TGGGTGTCTCCTGTTTGCTGTCAAATGGGCTCAAGTGCTACAGACCATTCGATCGCGACGACCGACCACGTACGCCACCCCAACTTTGGCTCCCCTTGTGTTCTCCCCCTCCTCTCCCTTCTTGGAAACCGTAGTGCGGTATGTGTCTCTGGGCACGGTCCGCAGGGGATGATGATGATGGCTCAGTGAGGAGATGCGTTTTTTGTACACAAACGTAAAAGTCGTTGGAGAAAGGTACATCATGGGCGGTATCATTCAGGTACAGCATTGTGCAATAAGGCGCAACGGAAACGACGAATTTATTTAATCTGCATCTCGTCTCTCTGTTCGTCTACGCCCTTTCCCTCGGCCCTTTCCCCAGATTTCCTTCTTTCCGTCTTCCGATCTTCACCAGGCACAGAGAGAAAGAAAAAAGTTGATCGTCCGTCCCACGTTCCATCCGTCGCTTTTTAAACTTTCACACTACACAAAGGACCTCAGCACGGAGTGAAACGGAATCCCAACACCTTAAACTTGCTCGCTCGCTCCCCGTCGATACTCATATTTGGCGTGAAGGATCACCTGGTTGCCTTCCGATAATTCTCTCACCAAGATATAACACTCGGCCAACCTCTCAACCTGCTACCTACTCCTCTCTCCACTACCAACTCAACCTGTACCACCGCAAAAATGACCGACGCCATGCCTCTCCCAGCGCCCCGAACTCCCATTCCTCGCAACGACTCTTTCTCCGCCGAGGACCTCACTCGCGCACTCAAGGCTGCTGTCAACAAGCCGCGAGACTTCCTCAATGTTCAACAGGACATTCTCGCTGTCCCTCCACCATCGCCAAACCACACCAAGTTCACATCGCCCTTTGGCGGCAGATAGAGACTTGTGGGAAGTGATCCTCACATCTCCATTACACTCAAAAGGACAAGATATCACCTCAACTTGGGGTCGTCACCTAAACCAACTATCTTGTCACCTCGCGATGCCGACAAGTGACAACTACCCTCGGTCAACTACGCGGGCCCCGTCGGCATCCGCACTCTTTCGCTTCTCCAACCATGATCAACATGGCTTCGACACCATTTCGGTCGTCTTTTCGACTGCTTTGCTTATTTCCAAGTCCGTCATTGCGGTCTTGTTTTTGGATTGTTTCGCCACAAAGATACCTCAGCACAAAGCTAGCGGAGCTTGGCGCAATCATTTTGGAAAAATGTTGTTTACGGGACCAGTGTCTATGATGCTTCGGTGGTTTTGGTGATTGCCCGTTGCAGTACCACGTTTCCATCGCTTCTCGGATTCCTGGTGTCTTTTTGGCTGTGTGTGTTTGAACTCTGCGGTTTTGGTTTTGCTTCTCCTCCACTTGTGCAAATTTTGTTGTTTCGGGTTGGCAAAATTGGGAAAGGAATTTTGTAATTATTCACGCTGGCCTTGATGGCCAGCGTATTCCACCGTCGATTGTTTTGAAAAGTTCTAGTTCTCTCCTCTGCATTTCCAAGGCCCATCTTGCAATCTTGTTTTTCGTCACGACTGGGGTTCACAGCTTCTCACATGTTGTCGTCATCGACAACGACGACACCGGTCCCACTAATGATATCGGAAGGTTACACAGGCTGCGAAATGCCACAGTTGCTGCAAGAAATCAAGCTCAGCTGATGTCGAAAAAGAATCGTACCGAGGCATGCGCGCTTATGCAGCGCAACTTCCAAGCTGCTCTTTTTTCCACACGGTACGCGAATTGCAGATACACATCTCGCACACGTGCATGCTACTCCCTGCAGATAGCTGCAAGCCATCTCGTAGCGCTGTGGTATAGATCTCAGTAAAGCATCCTCGCGACTTATGCTTTTAAGTGCACAGCTGAGATATGTGGATGGTTGATGCACGTCAAAGGCTCTCTCACGTCTGCACGCACTGTTCTTCCCCACTAGGGTTGAGTTTGGGGTAGTGAACGTCGCCTCCAAATGTGGAACGGGACCATTTTGAAGTGACTTCAAGATACGTGACTATGCTGACGCAGAATTGCGTACATTCCTAGTGAATAATAGGTGATGATCACGATCAAGTCGGACCGATTTACTTTGTAATCGAAGGAGACACAAGTGCTGTGCGGGACTAAGTACAGTACAGCGGAGTCACCGTGGCACTGAACAACATTGCAAGTTGTGGTTCTGATACCAGGTCATCAAGAACTATTGGCGTGTGAATCGCAATCCGCACTGTGGAAATAAAAAAGACAAATGACAGGTACCTCAAATGAAAACCCGTATGGAGCCGGCCAGGATGAATTATTCGTAGTTGTCTCGAAGTGGGATGAAAGCGGATGAGCCAATATCGAACAATCTGTCTACGAACGCTTTATCTTCCACAGTGACACTCTCGCGGCATCTCACCTGGCATGCCCATCAAAAATATCCGAACGCAGCGATAGTGGCTTTCAAGTGAAACCTCAGATCGGTTTCTCCCAGCGCCAAAGAGCGCTCATTGAAATCGAGCCAGAACTTGAAGTGGTGGCAAACCTCTTCATCAACGTTGTCAGTACGATGCTTTTTCCATGCCTCGGATCGTGACCCGATATATTCGTAACCGCGCTATGGTCGATGTAGCTTGATGCAGACATTGTAGTCACCTTTCATTGAGGATTTCTTGATCGGCTTAATCAAGCTCTTGAAGTAATCGGAGACGCTGGTGTAAAAATGTCCAGTTGGAGGATTACGCGGTCGTGTCTCATGAGGGCCGTTGGTTGGTTTGAACAGCCCCTAATTTTCGAACTACACACCTTTGGATAAGATCGACCGTGTCCTTATCTGGAGGTTTCAAAGTCAAGGCCTCGAGAAATATCACAAAGGAGACGAAATCATTGGACTTGCTGCAGGTGAAGGGTGATATTCCCACAATGAACACTGTCAAACTCCCCGACCGGAGTTCGTGTTAGGGTCCTCTTCCTAGATGAAGTTTACCTTACTCGGGCCCTTCCCACGTGTGCGTAAATCGATGCGTTCGAGACGATAGGATCTACCCAATGGCTCATTGTTGATAGTTGTGTATTGGGGCCTTGCGATGAACGGCTACTCAAGGCTTTGCCACTTCCATGACTTCACAAGGTTAGCAAAATATTGGTTGAGAAGAAACCACTTGCCCCATGATCTGCCATTCTGTAGCAGACCCTTGACAGCGAGCTGCCTCAACAACGTAGCATTTATGTCCCTGCCAAAGCCAAGCTCATGGCTTGAAGATCTCAGCAAAACCATAGCTATCCAGTAGAGCCCTGAGTACCGCACCGGATATCTCGCCCAGATAGGTAGGCAAGACAACGAGTTGCCACCAGGTTTCTGCGAATTTCTTCAATCGGCTGAACGCTATGTGTTACGTCCGACTAGCCGCAAAGGAATAGGACATTGCAACCTTAATATACGGCTCCCGCCGTCGCAATGCAGGCAATTTCAAGCGTTGTTCCGTGGAGCCGGAGGCAACCCAGATGCGGAGAGATTGCTGTCGGTCGTCTGTCGCTCTGCAGCGTCATCACCCGCTGACAGCCGGCAGGCAGACCTACAGCTTGAGAAGCCTAACGTCGAGTGAGCGGAAAAGCGATCGTCGCATTCGTGGGTTATATTTGAGGTCTTCATGAGAATCTTCATGAGATCGATCACTCGAGACCCATCCTGGTTCTTGGAAAGACGCGAGCAGATCTCAATTCCTTTGCAGCAATTAGCACATGGCTGGACGGCGATGGTGACCGGGTAATAGGGAAGAGAGTCCTCGCGTGGGCGCGTGATGGAACACTTTGCTAGCATTTGTCGTGCGAAATGCACATGTACGTAGTGGAACCTGACACAAGGTGCCTGCGATATCTTGATTGCATATCAAGTCGTATGCGTATAGGCTTGAATGATCAGTGCATTCATCGATGTTGTACGGAAGTCATAACACACGCATTTTCGACGGATAGATGCGTGTGCCCAGGCCATTTCCCTTACTTGCTTCATGTCAGAGCAAAATGTTGTGTCCTCGTGCTACAGTTGTAGCACTGGAGAATTGTTTGGCTCGCTACACCACGTTTTACTACCCCGTCAGCTGTGATGGGTGTTCTCAAGTGCTGATGAAACGAGAAGTTGATGATGCTAGCTTGAGTCGCCCTGAATAGATGCACATGAACATGTGCGAGGTCAGTACAAGACAGGCTCGAGTGCAACAAGAATCACAGGAGCGCTAGCTTTCGGCGATGATTGGTTGTCCATTAGCAAAAGTCCACAAGATTGTGGAGCCACAATGAGGAAGTGGTATGCCAATAATCCTATGTTGACGGAGGTGCACGAAGGTCATCAATGCTTAGGATTGTCCGGAGTTTTCAGATAGTCAGAAAGCGGCACCACAGTAATCCCGAATTCATCAAGATCATCGATCGTACTACAGAGACCTTACCATCACGGACCAGATCTGCCGGCATGCTGCATATACCCGTCTGCTGATATCCGTATCTCATATGAATTTATGTGCTTCAATTGGTTGCCGCGATATTGATGTCAGGAGAGACGCAGAAGCGATGGCGCATTCTACGGTTGTGATGTTCAGTACTCATCATCGGCGGGGTGGCCGAGAGGCTGATGTGCTCCAGCTGGCCTCAAACTGTTGTTGAGATACCATGATGTTTGCCCGCCAGGGTCAGTGTGAGGCGCTGATGTACTGTCAAATTTAGGCCGTACCATCGTGGTAGACTTTCCTTCTTCGGCCATTGCAAGCGGGACACGCGATATGCGACCCGCATGTCCGCCACTTCAAATTACATGTACTGTCTGTCGATTCTGTGGATGAGGCAGGTGCTGAGACGCATGACACTGTACGGGCTCGTTCGGAGAAAACATTGCGCTCTACAGATCATTTCGTCTCCTCTCAGGACTATTCTGCGGCTCGGCATGCTACGACCACAGCCCTGTGAATTTCGCGGATGATGCCACAGCCTCCGTCGTCACTACCGCACTGCATATACGTGCCGAGCTCAAGCGTCAGCTGATGACATCCATCGATGGCTCCTTTTTGGATCCACTCCCGTTGGAGATCGATGTCATCGGAGGTGGTGGCGGATATTTACATATCGCGTGTGCAGCAAGTCGTCAATGCACGTCCACGGTTGGCTACTACGCACATCGCCTGACTGGTCCGTGAGCGCAACAACGAGGATTTTCAACCTGGCAAGGTTCCAAGATTCCAGGTTTTCAACGGTGATCATCATGGCCCAAAGAAAGGATCGCAACCGATATGAATGAACTCGGCACCGTCCATTACTGTTTTTCAAAAGCGACTTATCCTCTCCAATCAGCACTTGACGAGTCGCACGCAAGCATATCCTGGTGTGCGCCGAAAAGGTGATCGGCATCCACCGCTTCTAGCATGGAAGCATTTTCGGCAGCCGGAAGTAACACCACCTGACAGCTGTTCTGGGGTGTGGTGGCCGTATTTGGCGGACGCTCCGACACGCCGTGACCCTCTCATCTCATGCATGGGTGGTGAACACGACCGTGACAACTCAAAAAGGTGGACTCGTACAAGCGGCGCGGGTCTGGCCGACGAATCTGACGAGCCAGACAGACAAGACGAAGCTGAAAGAAAAAAGTTTGGGGAAAGGCTTCCTCGGATTCTCAATTGTGTATGGCCAGTCTTGGAGATTTGCTTTCGGACTAGACTAGTCCCAAAATCGAAAGCACTGCAGCTGTCAGCGCCAACCAATCATCCGCGATATCGTGACTGCATCCAGCCAGACCTTCAAGTCGACCTGCATAAGGCGGTCGGACGAACAAATAAAAATATTCCACCTCGTGCACTGCAACGACGAGAAGGCGGCGCGAGCGTGTGGGTGGTGCGCTCCCACGGCCGCGTCGCAATTGCACAGTGCGATCAGCGGCGATCGAATCAGATATCGTAGACGCCTTTGCGGCAAACAAATGAAACACGCCAGAAACCTTCTCCCTTCTCTCACTACGACAACTCGGGGCGATTTATACCATTTTAGGGTTGATTCTTCCGCCTGCCGAACGAAGTCACATAACGTCACTTGGCCAGTCGACGTTCGATGATACGCTCGCTGCACTAACTGACGGACACGCTTCAGCTTAGACGATCGAACCGTCTTGTGAGTTCCTATTCCGTATGATCCCTCGGGAAGACTCTCCTGAATAGGGCGGAATCGTTGCATCTTATTTCGCCGTGGATTGATTATCTTCAATCATTCTTATCCAGTTTCTTCGTCTCCGTTGATTTACTTGCGTTTCCTGTTTTGCTCATTGCCTTTGCGAACTCAATTGGGCTTGGCGCCTGGCGATTACGTTCATTCTTTCACCCTCTTGTTCACATGTCGCTGCTTTGTGACACGGCAATCTCTTGATCTCATTCCTCGTTTTCTTTCACTGCGCGTCACAACTTTGGCGGGCTCAGCCACATCTGCTTTCTCAAACCCATTTCCTTTCGGTCTCCATGTCGCTCACTATTGCTCATCAGTCAACCAAGCCCGAACTCGAGGCGCGGTATACGCTTCATCCTTATGAATATTCGCCACGATACTCACTCCCCAAGCCGCGTCTCCCTTCGCCATATCGAGCCGACTCACCACTGGGTCACGTGCGGACAACGGACGTTTTAAATTCATCCCTCTCGTCGACATCGTCCAGGGCATCATACGCGTTGGCCGATCGAAACAGAATGACCACGCCTCATCGCGGACTGGCGCCTCTGCCGCCGCCATCAGCCCTGACTTTGCCAGACCCACGGTCGAGTCATTCTAATGTCGGCTCGCTACCTGCACCGTCTAGTCATCCCTATTCGGGTCATCAGGAGGAGTCCTCGAAAAGCTGGTATTCCTTCAAGGCCGAAGAGGAGCGTCGGAAACAGGAAGAAGAGCGAACACGCCAGGAAACATTGAAGCTTGAGCAACGCAAAATCGAAGCATCGATGCTGCATGACGCATTGAATGCGGGTGTGCCGGCGGGTTTGGTGCCGATGCTGCTCTGGCGAGATGCAGGTAATATGAATCAAGAGTGGATGCAGCAATTGGTTGCGCAGTTTCAATCGTTAGCGGCTGCATATCAAAATCAGCAGCATGAACAGCAGCTTCAGCTGCAACAACAATCCCACTTGCAGCAGCTGCAACAGACACAATCACATTCGCTTGGCTCATCGCCGCCCGAAGTTCGTCGTGATGTGCGAGCAGGTCCTCCAGCACCTCCTCCTTATCAATTCACTCTGCCTTCACAGGGCCACATTCTTGCCAGCCAGTCAGCCGAATCAGTGATCGATCCACTCCATCATCGCTCAACGCATCGCGAACAACAAAGCCATCGTCAGCAACAGCGACCATCCGGTCCATTGCAGACAACGTTTTCCGCATATGAAAGTGGTTCACGGCACTCGGTAACACCACATTCACGATCGGCCAGCAACGCGCAGCTCCCACGACTCGCCACCAGCGACAGTCTAATGTTGTCCAATCAGCGTCAGCATCATAGTAGTGGACCACAAAACTCAAGTCAGGCGAGACCTGATTCCGTGCAAGCAACATCTCCCAATATTCTCTTCCACCATTGGGTCCCACCGAATGAAATGAAAGCTCAACAGAATTCACAATTAGCTGGTCGTGGCAACACAAGCGCCGGTGTTGGTAGCGATGACAATCCATCACAGTCTGCCCAACAATCTGAAGGTGATCAACGTGAGACCACGCCGCGCAAGCGAAAAGCTCAAGGTGGGCATCAGCCCATCCCACCGCCATCCTCTGCCGATGATCGCGGTGCCAGATCGCCAAGCTTTTCTGCCATGAGCGTGACGTCAGCGACAGGGCCTAGTACACGACGTAAGCACGGCGGTGATAATGGCAACACCCATACGGAGCTTGTGAGAGAAACAGAGCGACCAAAGCCAGCGCCGGCTCCAACATCTGCTCCTCTTCGCACTGGCAAGTTTCGCAGCGACGAGTCGATCCACCGGTCGTCCTTCCACGCTGAGCAGGATGGTGTCGCCAGCGACAATCGACGAGATCCGTTCCGAATCTCAGGTCGCACCAGTAGAAGTCGAGAGCCGATGCCTCTACGGAGCAACGATGACCCAGAAGGTGATTGGTCAAGTCGTCAACAGCAAAGACAACAGCGCTATGATGGAGTTGATCGAAATCGGATGCAACTGTCCAGGCCAAGATCGAGATGAGAATGCTTGATATTGTCTTCGGGAAATTTATGATGGATCATGCAGGCGTTCTTCAGGAGTAATCAGGGTGTTGCATTTGTAATTTCTTTTATGTCATCTGGAGCGCTGCGGGTCAGCGGGCTGGAAGTATACCTTTAATCATGTAACTCGATTTTCTCTCACGTGGTTCTGAGGAAGCGATGCATTTGAACGTGATGGTTGTGTTAGCATAATTAACAAATACTCTCTGCGATCTCATCAAAGATTTTCAAGTCGTATGTTGGGGTGGGGGGTGGCGTGAAGGGCAGATTGTAGGAAATATCCAGCAGCACCTAGCTGAAGCATGTTGCCAGTTGATACGTATCTGTCTCTGGAAGCGTCCTTCGTCGGCTCCCCGAAACCATTGTGGAGTTGGACCAATTACGTTTTCTCGACGCTGGAGAGGCATAAAGTACTGTAGTTGGACGAGGAGTTTCCCGAGCGACAAGCGTCGAGGTGAAGTACACATTGCAGCAGATCAGCGACACTCATGTACTAGTACGTTCACAAAGTATGCAGATGAGTCTACAATGCAAATGGAAGAGTGACAGGAAGGAAATGCGAATGCTGATGCATTCGATAGTCGCTCCAATAGTCCCATCCAGCAACCCCAATGCGGTAATCAAACACTGGTAAATTGATGCACGTGAGTTCGCGTCGGGAGCCCTGGAAATGAACGCGGCGGCCATGACTCGTGTGCCCTCCTCCGTCGAATTTGTCCCATGACGATACTGTAAGGGAGAGACAGCCCTGGAAATTGTAGCATTGATTATTCCCTCATCGAGTCAGTTCGAGCACATCGAGTCGTCAAATCAGCCCAATCAGGGAGCCAATAAAGTAGGGACCTAGGTCGCCATTCAAATCTATCAATTCAAGATATCTGCGCCGCCCATCTTTCAATAGCCTGTCCATGAGTACGGCCGTCGTCAGAAGAGCGTCGTCCTTGCTCTGTCCGGGAGCCGCAACACATAGACTTCTCCCAAACAATGCAACAAGCAAATCAAGCTACGCACATTTATTGTTACGATGGTCATCAAATCCTCCAGTCAGACCTCATGCGCCAGATTGTGCAATGATCGTCTCGCTGCGAACTTGCTGTCCAAAGCAACTACTACGTACCGCCTTCAGCCGCTCATCTTCATCATCAACCCGTTGGAAAGCCCGCCAGACCAATGATGCCTATGCGCGAGAAGCCCGTGTGGCGGGTCTGAAGTCGCGTGCTGCCTTCAAACTCCTCGAGATTCACTCCAAATACAGGATCTTTCGCCGAGGCGACACTGTAGTTGATCTGGGCTTCGCGCCGGGATCGTGGAGTCAAGTCGCAGTCAGCAAAACCAATCCGGGCGGTCGAGTCGTCGGCATCGATGTCATTCCCGCTCAGCCACCGCCGGGAGCCAATGCACTGCAAGGTAATTTCCTTAGCATGGAAATGCGCGATCGATTAAGGGAGTTTGTGGGCGACCAAGACCAAGGGAGAGTTGGTACAAGAGGGGGAATATTGCAGAGACAGGTGAATGATTCTATAAAGCAGGATGAGTTGACTGGCGAAGCAGAAACTCAAGAAGAACAACCTGCGGCGAATGAAGCAGCAGTAGCTGGCGTCCCTGCTGAAGACGAGATCCTAGAAAGGCACCCCGATCATGAAGAGCTAGCAGAACAAGTATCCGATGAGGAGAACGGCCGCGTTGTCAACGTGGTCCTCAGTGACATGTCAGAACCATGGCCTCTCCTTACCAGTACTCGGATCAAAAGCGTTAACATTCCGTATCTCAGGATGATGAACACCAGCGGCATGGCATTCCGTGACCACGCGGGCTCAATGGTAAGGTCTCATTTAGAGCTGCGTAAGTCCTAACCAACATGTTGCTGACCACGGGATTTAGGATCTATGTATGGCTGCACTCGAATTCTGTTACACCACTCTGGCCACCAACGGACATTTCCTCACCAAGTTCTACATGGGCGCAGAAGATCAGATTTTCGAGAAGCGATTACGTCGCTTATTCCACAAGGTCCATCGTATCAAGCCCGACTCCTCGCGGAAGGAGAGTAAGGAGGCATATTTCCTTGCGCTGCGGCGGAAAGTGGATGTTTCCAGGGAGGCAGTTTTGGGCGATGTCGGGTGAACACCAATGTTACTCCAGAACAACGTGGACTCAATAATGTCTCTGAAAGATCTTAAATGGCATCAAGGACGATTGTCATTTCGTAAAAACTTTCCAAGACCATCCCCTCCAGGATTATATGCGCCAGACACCCGCTCAACCAATCATTGAAACCAATCAGCGCGCGAAACATCAAAACTGGACAAGAGCATCATGTATTCGTACAGCTCCCGCCTCCGGAAAGCATCGTTTGTCTCGCTCAGCCACGCAGGGTATCATCGAGATTCCTTCGACTCTTCTTCAATGGCGAAAATTGCACGCCATCGTTCCCTGCAAGTATCGGGCCCCCGAGTCTACCTGCGCCGAGCAAGCCTCCACCAGCTTTCTTCCCGCCGATTGCACGCCCACCTCCGAGGAACATCCTGCCGGCTGGCATGATGGTCTTTGCGGTCGGAGCCGCGATTGCCGCCGCAATACCGTCATTGTTGTCGTTCTCGTCAAATAGGGTCTTACCCAAGCCACCCAGTTTCCGCTTCTTCTTCTTCTCCGGAGCGGGCTCGGCGTTGAAAGTCGCGAAATCGACAAGGGATTTCCGATGTTTGGACTTCTTCTTCGCAGCGCCGTCCGGGGCGGGCTTGTCCTCGCCAGGACCATCGACCAATTTCGTCTTGATCTTCTGTGGTTGGGCATTCTCGATGTTTTTTTGGTCTTGTTCATGCACACCCTCTTCTGCGTCGTCTTCTGTGACGGCTGCGAGCGCTGGAATGGACTTCTTGGGGCCTTTGCGCTGGCGAGCGGCGGTTACTGAAGGTTTCTTCATCATATTGGCCTCGCTGGCAGAGATGGGCGCGAGAGGTAGCTTGAGATTGGTAGTAGGCGATTCGACAGATGGATGTGCCTCGTCATCATTGTCCTCGGCGTCAGAGGCGTTCTCGGTGACATTCATGGTGCGGTTGAGGAATGGTGTGATGGAAAAGGTCGATTTATCTCCTACTCCCACCGGCGCCTTGCGATTGCGTTTCATGCCCGGGCCATCGCCTGGTGTGCCGAAATTCGTCGCATCTGGATCAAACGCAGCAGCATTGCGCTTTTTGGGGTTGGCTGCAGCAGTGGAGCGGATGTTGGCGGAAATCTCGCGCGCAGCAGACAATTCGGCTTCGGTCTCCTTCAGCTTCTCCTTGGTGGCTTTTAGTTTCGTGCGGAATTGCCCGAGTTTCTCGTTCAATGCGACCTTGTGCGCTTCGTATTCGTCCACTGTGCTTTGCACTGCTTTCTCAGCTTTGGCGCGTTCTCGTTTCTCCTTGGCTAATTCCTGTCGGAGCCCCTCGACTTGCTCATCCGTTTCCGCTACATTTTCTGCTCGCTTACTGGCTTTCGCGGCCGCTTTCCGCTCCTTTTCTAGCTCAGCTTGAAGGCTCTCAATTGTGTCTTCGAGTTTCTGCTTGATCTTCTTCTCCTTGAGCAAGTCGCGTCTGACGTCCTCTACCTGGGTGTTCTCTTGTGCTGCTTCCAACGCTTCTTCGGCCTTTTGGCGTGCGCGCTTCTCACGGGCGAGCTCCTTGCGGACTTCGTCCACGCTGACATCGCTTTGTGTTGACTCGGCAGCCTCTTCGGCACGTTGTCTCGCTCGTTTCTCTTTTGCAAGCTGTCGCTTCAAATCTTCGACTTGTTCTTCCTGTGCAATCTCTACACCCGTGTTCCGTCGTTTCGCCATTGCGCGTTTAACATCTCGTTTGGCGTTTTCCAATTCGCATTGCAGCTCGGTCTGCTGTCGCTGGAGCTCCAACTTTTCAGTCATGAGTACTTCGGTTGCTGTGGCTTGTGCTTTAGCGTGTGCGAGCTCGGGTCTCAATATTGATAATTCCCGCGTCAGAGCGAGCTTCTCCGTGAGAAATGCTTCTGAATCTGCTGCGTTTGTTTGAAGTGCTTTAGCTTCCGCTTGCAATGTCACGATCTCTTGCTCTCTCTGTCTTGACAAGCCGTCGAGCTCCTGCATTCGTGATTCGGCTAGTTCGGCACGGCCAAGGTTTTCGTTCACTAGCTTTTCGAACATGTCAGATCGTTCTTCTTCCTGTGCTAGTAGGGAACGAAGCTCGTCGTTGTCGTCCTGGAGTATATGAACATCAAAGCGTAGATTTCGTATGTCCTCCTGTTTCGTTATGACCTCAACTAGATGAAGACTGCGTTCGTATCTCAGCTCGAGTGCTGACGTGCGCATCGATTGCTCGTGTAGATCGGTAGGTGCGAACGCCTTGGCCGGCGTGGGAGCCATAATAGCTGTTGTGTGATATGATACTGTCATACGATGCTCATTAACACCATAACCATGTAAAAGTATGTCTGCGAATGAGATACAAGTCAGATGTTGACATTGCTTGTAGTGGGTGAGTGCTGCGCCGTCACTGTTTGTTGACTTTGGGTGGGTGCATTGTTTACATCGGAGCGGGAACATCCGTACCACCGACATGCCACTTCCGATCACTGCTGTTGACGACCCTGTAAACAAAGCTCCTGGTATTGAATGAATAACTTTCTTTCGTTTTCAACCCGACTGGACAATTTAACAATACTAACAAATTACGGGCATTTGTGCGAATATGGCGGAATCTCAAGATCTGATCGACTTTGAGGTCATCGAATCGCACAAGGAGAACATTCAAGCCCTTCCCAGTGGACGTTCTGCAAAAGCGCTGGCGCAATTGTATTCACCTCCGCTCCTGGGTGCAACTCCTTCGCCATTGCTCACAGACGATGTGCACTCAAAAACGAGAGCTGCGTACGAACGAGAATTGGCAAATATTGACGAAGCAGATGACCCGCTCGACGTGTATGATCGTTATGTGAAATGGACGCTCGACGCATATCCTTCAGCACAAGCCACGCCGCAATCACAACTCCTGCCGCTTCTGGAGCGAGCGACCAAAGCATTCCAATCATCAACACACTACAAGAATGATCCTCGATATCTCAGAATATGGCTCCACTACATTCGCTTCTTTTCAGATGCACCGCGGGAAGTTTTCGTTTTCCTTTCTCGCCATAACATCGGCGACGGTCTCGCCCTCTACTTTGAGGAATTCGCTGCTTGGCTAGAAAACGCCGGACGATGGAACCAAGCCGAGGAAATTTACAAGATGGGTCTTGAAAAGGAGGCTCGTCCTGTAGAGCGTTTGCTTCGAAAATTCGGCGAATTTGAAAAGCGCAAAGAAGCACGTTCCGTAGACGCGGTGGAGCCTTCCAGTCCAGCTCTTCCAGCTGTACGACCGGCTCTTGCTGCCAAGTTGGACCCATTCGCGGCATCATCGCCCTCGAGTGCACCTCAATCCTCGAGCGGAGCGGCCAAGAAACCAAAGAGCTCCAAGATGGCTATTTTCTCCGACAGCGAGGCTCCTACGCGACCGGATTCAGGAAGTAGTACAAAGGGCTGGGATAGCATCGGGAGTCTCGCAGATCGTAAAAAGGAGAACTCATCTGTCGCGAAACCATGGGCGGGTGAAACTTTGAAAGGTGGCAAGACCAACGGAGGCGTGCCGAAGATGATGGTGTTCAAAGATCAGGTAAGCCATTACTTCCGCAATTCATCGAGCCAAGAGGCGTCTATGACCATGAATATTTACGAATGCAGGACTAAATCATCGCTCTTCTGTATCCAGTCTTCCCAACGCGCATCAATACCAAAACATTTCAATCCCCACCGAAGCAGTAGCAGCAGTACTCATCAGCAACAGTGTGTCCGCAATCCCAAGACTGGTAGACTGGAGTGCGTTTTTGTTAATCTCGAAGCGGTCTACCCTGATGTCGGTAACATGTCCGTCGAGTACTGTTTCGAGGAGCTTCGAGCGAGACATCGTGGCCTGTCGGGCAGAAGTCAGCGTAATTCTCAGAATGCGGTGCCGACAAAGGTAGAGGACAGCAACGATACGCTCGCCATTAACCTTGTCGACATTGGGCATGCCAAATCGAACCAAAGGACCAGTGTTCCTGTTGAAGAGTCTGCCAAGCCCAAGCCGAAGGAACGAGGGTTCAAGATTTTTGAGGATCCGACGCCAGGCAAGCAGCCTCTTGTCGAAACCCCATTGACAGGAGACCAGATCATGGTCGAAAGTTCCATGAAGACGCTTGCACTGAACGATGAAAATGACGAAAACGCTCTCCCGTCAGATCGTGCAACGTCGTCCAAGCCTGCGAAAAAGGCCAAGAAAGATGACCGTGGTAATCGCACACGCAAAATAAAGTTGATCGAGAAACATATCAAAAGTGAGACCAAGACAATCCAGATCAATCTTAACTCACCGACAGGGCCAAAGACTGTGAAGCGGAAAAAGTCATCCTCTGCGGCAGCCGAGCGGACAGAGCCAACTATGACGATCAACACCAAGGAAGCCATGGATGAGATTTACGGCATCTTCGCTCAGCCAATGCAGTCTCAGGCTGAGCAAACTGATCAAGAAGAAGACGAAGACGAGAGCGAGAGCAGCAGCGAAGAAGAAGCAGACGACGATGATGATGATTTCACGACCGATGGAGAGAGCACAGCCACCGGCAAGCTATCGGCTCCCGCTAGCGAATATGGAGATGAAACGCGTAACGAAATCCTCAAAATCCGCAATGGTGAGTCAAGTAAACACGGAGCAAATCTAGACGACGAAGATCACACGGACAATACGGGATGGTCTGATTTCACCATGAACAAGCCTGCACCCCCGGATGGGAGCGGTGACGCACCAAGCGAGGACCACCTACTGGACGCTGATGACGAACCTCTGGCGACTCCTATCGATAATGATGATCCTCACACGCTTTACATGAACGCAGACTATGTCCCAGCATTACCAAATCACCGCTTACCATTCATGACGCCAATCGTAGAGCAGACCGAGTCCTCCCTTGGCGCTGGCACGATTCGGGTGGACAAGCATGCTTACGCCATGAAAACGCCAAGTCGAAAGGCAAGCAATGGTATCGCTGATTTACTTGGTCGAGATGAGGACGATGACATCTGCAGTAGCCCCTTTGACGAAGTGACTTTGGACCGAGAGGATATTGATGACGAAGAGGACGATGACGATGAGAACATACCTATTCTCCAGCCAATCCGGACGAAGAGCACGAAGGGCACACTTTCTCTCGGCCAAGGTAGCGCAAAGGCCCAAACTACCGCTCGCACTCAACCGAGTGCAGGTACGGAGGATCCCCATGCTGTGCAAAAGGATCCGATAATTACCGAGAATCAATGCAATCCGATGGATCCAGAACTCCGTGCAACAATACTCGCACAGATGAAGCCGGCATTGAGCACATTCGAAGGCTATCATGAAGACCTCTCTGCTGTCTCAGGACGATCTGCAGAAATCAAAAAGTTTGTGCGTGCGCAGAGTAAAGCAGGCAAAGTTTCCAGCGGGTCCACCACAGCCAATACAGCAGAGAATAAGACTGCTTCATCCCTTGCCATTCCTCCGGTCATCAATCTTCCAAGCTCGTACAGCAAATACACTATCAAGCGCGAACTCGGCGCGGGAACGTTCGCTCCTGTCTACTTGGCTGAGAATTTTACTGCTGCTGCCCTCGACGCCGAAGAGGAAGAAGCCATCAAAAGCGGAAATCAAGAAGATCAAGCCTCAATCTCAAGGTTGCGCCTTGGTAGAGCAGCGCATCGCCGTGCGCTTGAAGCAATCAAGATGGAGGCACCTCCCAGTGTCTGGGAGTTTTACATGTTAGGACAAAGCCATCGACGCCTTGGTAGCGAGCGAGCAACACAGTCGATTGTGCGTGCCCACGAAATGCACTTGTTCCAAGACGAATGTTTCCTCATTGAGGAATACCGTAGCCAAGGGACATTACTTGATCTCGTGAATCTAGCGCGTGAAGACGCGCCATCGGGAGGCATGGACGAGGCTCTGGCTATGTGGTGCACAATAGAGCTTTTGCGGACTGTGGAGGCTTTGCACGCGCGTGGTCTCATACACGGCGACCTCAAGGCAGACAATATTCTCGTTCGGCTGGACGACCCGGGCATGGAGACAGACTGGTCACCAACCTACTGGGCAAACGGTGCTCATGGATGGGATAGCAAGGGTGTTTGCCTGATTGACTTTGGCCGCGGCATTGACATGAGGCATTTCAAGCCAGATGTCGGTTTCCTTGCGGATTGGAAGACGACCGACGCTGACTGCAGTGAAATGCGTGAACTACGACCTTGGACGTATCAGATCGACTATTACGGGCTTGCTGGAATCATCCACAGCCTGCTATTCGGGAAATACATGGAGACGATCAACGACAAAGCAAGCGGCGGCCCTGGAGCAGCTACTGCCGTCGGTGCTGCTGCGGCTAAATCCTATCGCATCCGCGAAACACTGAAGCGATATTGGCAGACGGAAATCTGGGCGAGTGCGTTTGATCTTCTGCTGAATCCGCTCAGTCATCTCGAGCAGGAAGATGGCCGTCGCATGCCTGTGCTGTCAGGAATGCGGGAATGTCGCGAGCGAATGGAGAGCTGGCTGGAAGAGAATTGCGAACGTGGGAATGGTTTGAGGAACACCATCCTCCGCATGGAAGCTCTAATTCGAGAGCGGAAGCGGAAAGTGAAGGCCTGATTTGTAACGATGACAGTTTGCTCACTTGTTATTGGTTAAGAGCATTTACAGTATAAGATTTTCTTGACGCGGATGAATTTCGACACCTCGATGAGAGGTTTCTCGAGTGCACCTGAATCGTGTTTGATGGAATACAGCCAAAGATCATTGATCGTGTTCTGTGTAGCTACGCCCTATACGCCGTACACCCAGTGCTCAACCTCATGCCAATAAAACGCCATCGCCATGAGAAAATTGGAAAGACCCGCCGCCGACACGCGAAAGCCACCAGGAAAGCAGACCTATTCTTCAGTGGCAAGTATCATCTTCTCACGTTCACTCCTTCTCCTCGTCTCCTTCCGACGACTATGCTTACGCTCATTCTCCTCCCTTCGCTTGATGCTCTTCAATTCGACTTGCTTAATCTCACCCGCCTTCTTCACAACCTTAGGCACATGCCGATGCCGACCGATGCGACGAATCTCGGGCATATGCTTCCATCTCTCTTTCAGCGCTTCATCGTACTCCAATTTCTGTCGCTCGCGCGCAGATTTGATTCCTGTGCGCTCTGACGCATGCGCTCGCCATAGTCGAATATTACCATCGTCGGATCCGGATAAGACGTAGGCGGAGTCGGGAGTAAAGGTGCTGGAGAAAACGCGCTGCATGCGTTTCGTGTGATAGACATCGCGACTGTGGCCGCTCGTTTGTGGTGTCCAGAGACGGATTGTGCGATCGTATGAGGCGGATACGAGTTCTTGACCTGTTGGGCTAAAGTCTACATCCATCACTGCTGAAACGTGATCCTTGAGGACATTGAGGGCTCTGCTGAGGTTTCTCGCGTCAAAAAGATAAATATTGTGGTCTTCATTGGCGACTGCGAAATTGAAGGGCTCAATGGGATTCCAAGCGATGCTGTTACTTGACATAGTCAAAATGCTTCGATGAAGCGGTGAAGAAGTTCGTAGATCGTAAAGAACCACTGAACGGTCATTTGCACAACTGGCGAGTAGTGACGTTTCGGACTGATTGAAGGCCACCGACGTAATAGTGTCAACACCCGTAGGCCAGGCTAGTGTTTGTGTGGGTGTAGTCGAGGGACGAGTCATGTCGTAGAGATGAACGCTTGACGAAGATGCTGTCGCGAAGACCATTCCGTCCCGGTGAATGGTGAGTCCAGTGAACGCATTTGATCCTAGCCATGTCGCTGCAGGAGCGCTTTTTCCGGGCGAGTTGTAAGGGTCGTACAACTTGACCGTACGATCTGTCCCACAGCTCAGCAATTTGCGATCCCTCGTCCAACTCATACCCTTGACCAGATTGTCATGCGCTTGTGTCTGCCAGACTTCCTCCCGACTTGGTAGATCCCATACTTTCAGGACTCCATCGCCACTGCCACTTGCGAACCGATCGAGCGAGGAGGGATCCTTTGCCAATATGTAAACACCATCGACATGTCCTCTTCCTAGCTGTGCGACAAAGGGCGCCGCGAACATGCGCTCCAATTTTGTCGCATTGAGTGCTCGAGTGTATTCTCGGGCTCGTTCGAAAGGATGCAGTGCAGGGTCCAGATTCCGTGGTTGGCGCGCAACATCGCTACCAGGTGTTTGGTAAGAGCTGGTCGCTCTTGACAGTGCTTTTATTTTCTGCGAGTGATCAGTAATTGATTGTAAAGCGCAATCGTGGATGTCCTCACCATGATGTGGTCATTCTTCGTATCATTAACGCAGAGTTGTAAACGATGATGATGCTCCGAAACTTTTTGGAAATCTTGGAGTCCGTGCATGAGTTTAGCACCACGGACGAACTTTCCGGCGGCAGGTAGGCTGACTAAGCCCGGAGGCGAGGGCTGTCGCATTTGCAGGTGATGGAGCACGCGCCTCACCAGCTGTCGTGTGGTACCTGACAAGCCATCACAAAACCATCCACCACAGAAGTGCAAAGCGTCACCATCGGCCAACAGCCTTTTGCGTCAAGGTTTCCGATATTTACACACATCTGTCTTTCCTATTCGCAATACACATTTCATCTCGAACAGAATGGCAGTCGAGGACAACAGCAAGAGGTTAGAGGAAGCGAAGCAGCTATCCAAGACTGAACCTCAAAAGGCAGAACGAATCTACCAAGAGATCCTTTCCACTCCACCTGGCACAAATGAAAAGGCTGTCAGGGAGTTTGAAGCTGCTCTGATCGGACTCGGCGAGCTCTATCGGGATCACAAGCGCACTCAAGATTTGGCCAACCTCATACAGCAGACAAGAGATGTGCTTACCTCATTTGCACGAGCAAAGACTGCGAAATTAGGTATGTGTGACCTTTGCGAGATGATCTCAGTTCATTTCGACTGATCAGTTTTAGTTCGTCAACTGCTTGATCTCTTCACAGCCATTCCAAACACCACCGACATCCAAATCAGCGTTACCAAGTCATGCATCGAATGGGCTGTTTCTCAGCGACAGGGATTCTTACGGCAGAACCTCGAAGTCCGCCTTGTTGCACTACACATGCAAACTCAGTCATACTATGACGCTCTCACCTTGATCAACAGCTTGCTAAAAGAGCTTAAGCGTTTGGATGACAAGCTGGTATTGGTGGAGGTCCAATTGCTCGAGAGCAGAGTGTACCATGCACTTGGAAATTTGCCAAAAGGACGTGCTGCCCTCACATCAGCGCGAACAAGCGCAGCTTCAGTATACACGCCTCCTCTCCTACAAGCCAACTTGGACATGCAATCCGGACAACTCCACGCGGAAGACACCGATTTCAACACTGCTTTCTCATATTTCATTGAAGCCATGGAGGGCTATCACTCGCTAGATGAACCCATCAAAGCGACATCCGCGCTTCAGTACATGTTATTGTGCAAGATCATGCTCAACCTAAAGGATGATGTAGATTCGCTCATGACGTCAAAGCACGCCCTACGCTATGCTGGCAAGAATTTGGATGCCATGAAAGCTGTAGCCCGAGCCCACAACAATCGAAGTCTGGAGGAATACGAGCAAGCGCTGCATGCTTATCGGTACGAGCTGGGTAGCGATCGCTTCATTGCATCACATCTACGACGACTGTACGACAGCATGTTGGAACAAAATTTGATCAAGGTGATCGAGCCCTTCTCTCGAGTTGAGATCAGTCATGTTGCAGACATGGTCGGATTGGATGTGGCACAGGTGGAGCGCAAGCTTAGCCAGATGATTCTCGACCGAGTCATCGTCGGTGTGCTCGACCAAGGAAAAGGTGTGCTGGAGGTGTTTGAGGAAGCGGAGAAAGACAAAGGGTATGAGGCGGCACTCGACACAATTGAGAAGCTTGGGAACGTGGTTGACGTCCTGTACGCCAACCAGGCCAGTTCGCTGGAGTAAGATTGGAGGATCCTCCATAGATGAAGCCATGCAAGATCAAAATGACTAAGAAATAATGCCTGAGGCACGAAAGCCATCAGACCTTCTTCCTACATATCTCAGTGCTTGGTGCATGCATTGCGTGCGTGTTTCATGCTGATAACGTCAATCGACGAGATAAGGGCGCCGTCCAAATGAACGCCTTCCAAGGTTGTCAGCAGAATCGAGCATTGAATACGTGGGCTGTCTCTGACGTCTACACGTTATCTTTTTTGCCCCTCTATAGGCTAGCGGCGACGGCCCGCGGCGTTCAACGTATCCGAACTCGGCTGAGATGGAAGAAAGGTGGAAAGCCATGATGATCTCCGCTCCACTTCCGCAGTGAGCAGGCAAGACCAATTCTAGCCCTCCTCACAGACCCTCGGTGATCCAATACTTCACGTTCTTGGTAATACTACAACACCTAGGAATTCTAAAAAACGCTGTCACGTCGGCTACTGATACAATTTTCCACCATCAACCTACATTCACATCAGCACTACTACCAGCAGCAGCACTACTCAATCTCACCGCTACATATACCTCGACCACAGTTCATCATGTTCAAGCGCGTCATCGCTGTCGCCCCGGCGCAAGCCAGCAGAATCGTCAGCAGCACTGTCGCCAGCGCTCGCCCTCAATTCGTCCAGAGCCTTGCCCCAGCCGTCTCGACCGCATCACAAACCGTCGTTCGGAGGTCATACCACGAGAAAGTCCTCGACCACTACAACAACCCTCGCAATGTCGGTTCAATGTCGAAGAACGACAACGACGTTGGCACAGGTCTCGTCGGCGCACCGGCATGTGGCGACGTGATGAAACTTCAGATCAAGGTCGACCCGACCAACGACACCATCACCGATGTCAAGTTCAAGACTTTTGGATGTGGCTCGGCAATTGCGTCAAGTAGCTACTTGACGGAATTGGTGCGAGGCATGACGTTGGAGCAAGCCGGTCGAATCCGAAACACAGAGATTGCAAAGGAGCTTTGCTTGCCTCCAGTCAAACGTGAGTATTCTGGACGCATCCCAGTATGGCGAATGAAGGAATAATAAACTGACGCGACCACATAGTTCACTGCTCGATGTTGGCTGAGGATGCCATCAAATCAGCCATCAACAATTACTACACCAAGAACCCCAAGGCTAAGCAGACCGACCTTGGCGGTACAGGCGCTTCCATGCCCAAGATCGAGATTGAGAAGCTTCCTGCTGACGCCCCTATGTCGGCTTCAGCTTCGGCGTAGATTTGATCAATTCAGAGCGAGGGAAGAGTTGGGGCGGTTGAGTTGAGATATGTTGTTGTAGTGACGAAGGGGGGATGAAAATGTGTTAAGATGCTCTGCGTGGCATCAATTTGGGCGGCAATCACATATGCCAGGCGTTTATGGCGCTGATGTATCCAGGGAGAGGCGCAATGTCGAGGATGCACGCCGTCTCTCACTGGGACCACTTTGATTCGAAAAATTATTTTATCAAACACAGAAAACTTGTATTACCACCATAGCCAGATCATACAGGAACACGTTCGTCTGTCACGCAGGTTCTTTGAACTGGTCCAAGAACGGTGGATGGGTCAGGCCCATTATCACTCCAGGAAGTACTCCACTAACCATGATCGTGATGCGAGAAGAAGTGATACCAGCCATTCAGCATCGGCGTGTGAACCCCTCTAGCACGTCGCCTTCTCACACGTCGTCGAGAACACCGCTCCTGTCCTAGACGGCCAGCTACCGGACAGTCTCCAGATTGTGGCGCTTCTGTCCCATCAGTCACATAGCACAATCACTGAAGCTCGCCACCCGCCTGATGTCATTTGCTCCGCGTAAATTATTACGCCGATCGGATGTTTCCGTCGACCCGTCTTGACTCCACTTGAATTGTCTCGTCTCTGGTGAGCTAGCTGTGCCAGCCTACAAACAGTCTCGATGCCATCCATATCGACTCGTCTGCGAGCTCCGTCACGTCTCTTCCCGCCAGCTTATGAATAGTTCTGTCACGTGACAGTTTCTGCCATGCATAACATCAAAATTCATCATAACTCCGTTGGTTGACAAGGATTTATTTTAAGGTTAGTCCTGAATTGAGAGATTGCATTTGACGCCGATCTCAGTAATGATTAAATGTTAGAGCTTTAGTAAATATCACGGGCGAGCGTCGACAACAGACATACATGTGCAGAAACAGAATTTTCGAGAGCGCGCCGTCATGCTGTCAGATGGGCAGTCAAGCCGCGCTCCACCACGCTGAGAGATGTTGTCCATGCAAGTCCCGCGTATATTCCTCAAAAAGATAGCCATCGGATATCGTCACTTCCTCACCATGAAGTGCATGATGGCGAGGGCGATGGAAATGGTGATGTTTGTCGTGTGTTATGGTTGCAACAATAGACCGATGTACAATATTCCATCACAGGGGCACAACAGAGTAGCGGAGCGTCTGCGCCGCCGCAGGAAGAACCTCTCGCCGTGCCGCCATGGGAGTCTGTCTGCAAGGATCTATACGAGAGCCAACATCCATCATTATCGCTGACGCATAGCCTGGCTCTGTTTCACTCGGAAGACTGGCCCAACACGTCTATGCACCTGCTCTACTCACCACGCATGCCGGCTTGGGTACGTAGGACGCCGACGCGGATCCAATCTCTACTCGGGATCCACCCTACCGTACTGTACTCTACCTGGTCGAGAACTCGCTGAAACTACCCAGCCCATGGGAGGCACAGACGGCACATACATGCGGCCTTTGATCGGCAGCCTCATCCCTTGATTGACAGCCTCATGATGATCGACGGCCTCAGCGATTGCAGTGGTGGTACATACTGCTTGGTAATCTTGTGTTGCGCTCGCCTCGCTCATCGCGCACGCATGATGTATCCTGCATGTCAGCACATGGTTTGCCCACCATTAAAGTCTGACGAACGCCTTCAAATCATGGCTTTCTGTCTGTGCGAGGACTTTCTTGTCGACGGTGACTTTTTCACAAAAACGCAGCGCTTCCAATCATGCAATCTGCAATCCAATATCGCCGCCCGCGAAAGGTGGTCGGAGAACGTTGGTCATGGTCGTGACAAGCTCGAGCTTCTGCAGGATCGTAAGTGACCACAGGTGATGCGCCGAGCTGCGAGAGCGGGATAGAGGAGGACGAAAAGCATTCAGGGAGAGAATGATTTGCGGTCACGGTCTCACGCCCAGTCGAAACTTATCTCTGACAGGAGACTCGCGCTAGGCCATGATGACACGCAAGACTGAATTACCCAGGCAATGGATGGCTCGCCCACCAGATTAAAGACCTATTTGTTGAGCAAGGCTAAACGGTCTTCATATCCAGGGTCAGAACGGAAGCCCGCGAGCAAGTCGTGAGGTAGGTTGGCACGCTGTTCCAGTTCAAACATGCTTGGATAGTGCTGATTTCACGATAGCGAGCTCGTCAAGCACAAGCCCAACGCGTGATGAAATGCGCTGGAAAACCTGGCACTTCGAACGCGGACTGGTGCGAGGACCACAAAGTCGAGACAGGTCGCTTAGACGTCCTGGGCGTGCTAACTGTGGTGGATTCGTGCTACGAGCTGAGAATCCACATCACCCGTTTAGGCTCTGCTTGCATGTACACATTTAACGAGGAAGAGTTCTAGACTCGTCCTCCCTTCACCGAAGAAGACCCCTTCGACGAGATTTCATGGTATACACGTACCCGTCTGCTCAGCGAACGTTCGATCCATCACTGTCCCAATCTCCTTTTGCTATGAATTCGTGTGCGCATTGGAGCAGACATTGATAGAGCGACCACATCGCCAAGCTGCTAGGCATTAGCAAGATCACCGAATCTACCAGTGCTTGATTTGTAGTAGGAGCTATTCGACAATAAAGCGATGAAAAAGACGCTGAAAGTTCCACAAAGGCGTTGCGTCGTGGACGGCACCAAGCTGAAAAACAAGCTGGTAGCGTATGACTATGGGGTCAAGGATCTGCGCGAGGCGTTGGAGAAAGTCATTCAAATTCTCACGGCGACGTACGTCGAGGAGTTCGCCGGCGCATTGGCTACTTTCACCGTGCAGGCTGCGTGCCTGTCTGGGCGCAGCTGCGTCGTGTTCCAGATGCGCAGGGTCAAGCCCATCGTAGGTTTGGACGAATACTTTCGATTCTTCTCCATTTGTTCAGGTTGCGCATGCACCATAGATTTCGTGCATGAGAAGTAGAAATGGACGCATAAGCCGATTTTATACACATCGCAAGGAAGGCCACCGTAATGGAAGAATCGTTCACTTGAAGGAGAAGCGCAGAAGCCATGAAGCTCATGACCACAGCAGCCAAAGCCACATTAGCCGCCTGAGGAGCACCACTTCGGCTGGCGTTCGAAGATATCAAATTCACTCCTGGAAGAAGTGCCCGAGTCCCGACAGTGATGGTGTCACCTGAGCGGAATGGTACGCTGCTGGCGCCAGGATCACTCGTGTACTGACAGGTTTGGAGCCTGTGAAGAGGAAAGAATACATTGGTAGTTTCACTTGTACAACAACTGCGGTGGACTCCAGATGCAGAAGGTTTGTCACGTGTCCGTCATGGAGAAAACAGCATGCGGACGGGCAAGCGTCCGAGCAAGCAGGACGAAAATAGCGCCCCGATGTCACTCTTTTCGTTAGCCCCGGATCTACTTCCCACCTATTATCGACCCGACATGTGCACACCTGCACAATCGGACCATCCCACTCTGCTTGACGTCGCCGCCGACCCGAGAATTGGGAACGTAATAATCGGCGCCTCTTCACTGCTGCATCATCACGATGCTGTGGGAAATGCTACCTTTACGGTGAAGGAGCAAGGCTAACCATGCAACAGTAACCCGATCATCCTCGCGCTTTCCCGTTTGACAGTTGTAGATTTTGGATTTATATGTTGGGCTCTCCCACCATTATTACTCTAATTACTTTTTATCCAACGATATCATCATACTTTTTAACAAGCTCTAGTATTCCCTGCGCAAACTGCCTCGATCCCTGCATCACCAACCATCAGTCATAAACATGTTCTTCAATACCGTCCTCACCGTCGCGCTCGCCAGTCTCACAGCCGCGGGACACGCTCCTCCCTCCTACTATCCTCCGATCAAGCAGAACACCTTCAGCTTGGCGATTCGCGTTGGCTATGGCGACGACGCCAAAAACCTATCTCTCGCCGCCAGACCTGCAGCACCTGCCTCAAATTCTCTCGTCTTTGTAGGAAGCGGTGAAGCACCTGCTACCGTCGGCACTCCGATATACGTCAACGGCACAAGTCCCACTGCGTCTCTCTTCGCCATCTATACCGACGGCCAGACTTATGGTCTACGTGCCGCCGATGTGGTGAGTCTCGTCACGATCCTGAAGCCCTATGATTCAATATCATAACATCGATCGCCATCAATCAAATCATGCCTCTTCGACATCTCTGACATCAAATAGGGAAGCAATTACGGCCTCGTGACATCCGTGCTTGGTACCAAGGGCGACTCCGACCCCAACTGGTATGTCGGAAATGGCGAGGTCTTCCACAAGCTTTTTGCAGGCTCAAATCTCCTCATGGGTATGTCAATATAGTCTAAATCCCTGCCGTGGAATGCAGTCACAACGCTAACGTTTCATCCCGCGTCGCAGCTTGTAACGCCACATTTGATGGTGAAGTCAAGCCTGTCTTGAGCTTCGGCGTCATCAACTCCAACGGAAGCATTCCCTATGGCTGTCAGTACACTCGCGTCTTTCAGGTGTGCAACCAACGTGGAAGCAAGGCTACATGCACATGAGGAAAGGATCAAATGGGGAATGACGCAACTTCTTTCGCAGCGTGGCTTTACAAATTGTTTGAATTGTTTGCATTATTTGCATTGTTTCGATACCTCTTCTTTTTCCTCTCTCGAAATTTGATAATGATAATGAAGCATACCTAGGTAGAAATGATACGAGTACTCAAACTTTCTCGATTACGTTACCATCTAAGGCTTGGTTCTGTCGACTCCTTGTCAGGATGTGTCATAGTGGTCGTCACCTCCCTCGCAAATTAGTACCAGACACGAAACGATGATTCACAATTACAACCGCGCCTTGCATGAACATGTAAAAGATCGTGAGTATTCATAAAGACATAGAAGAGTGCTATCAAAACAGACATGATTGTGTTCTTTGAATGAAGACACATTATCTCTTGAGTTGCCAGAAAGGACATTCATAAGTCTCGATCCATTTCAGGCGTGCCGCCAATATCCATCATCTTCCCGTCGCGGGCGTTATGGCCATTTCCATCAAAGCAAGATATCAGGGCGCTTCACCAGTAGAGCGGCAGTCTTACGAGGATTGCTCGCGCTCAACGATGTTCCAGGGCTGAGTGGAGTCGGGGTCGCGTTCAGCGATGTCCCAAGGAGTAATTGAATCGGGCTCACGTGCGGCGATGTCCCACGGTGTGGTTGAATCGGCTTCAGCTTCGCGTGTGGCGATATCCCAAGGCTGAGTTGAGTCGGGCGTGCGCTTCAATGGGTTCACGGTGTCTGGATTGCGCTTCCAGGGATTTACAGTGTCGGGGTCGCGCTCGACGATGTCCAAGGGAGTCACGGTATCCGGATCGCGTTCGACGACAGATTTCCACGGCTGAGTGGAGTCGGGGTCGCGCTCGGCGATGTCCCACGGCTGAGTGGAATCAGGGGCGCGCTCGGCAATGTTCCACGGCGTGACTGAATCTGGCAAGACATCCTTCTTTACGAAAAATTCCTTGGCTGGGGTAGCAAGGGCATTTTCGCGCTGCTGTTCAATCGAAGGTTGTTCACCTGGATGAACGCAATACGGCGCCATGATGTATGCGTCGGCACAGGGCTCCTTTGCAAATGGGTCCTTGTCGAGAAAGGTGCCACGCTCGGCAATGTTCCATGGTGTGACAGTATCCGGTGAGGCAGCGCGCTCTGTAATGGCCCGTGGACCGACAGCTTCTGTTCCGGTGGAAATGGGGGCCGCATGGGCATATGCACTCAGCGTTGCAATGGTCGCGAAGAGGTAATGCATGGTTGGAGATCCCGACCAGGCGGTAAAAGAAAGTCGTGAAGAAAGGGTTCTCTTGGTTCAGGCGAGGCAGTGTATCTGCAGAGCAAAATATGCAAGCAATGTACTGTATGCGAGAAGAGGACTGGTTGTTGTGGTACTTGTATATTCTTCATCGTTCAGGGCGGCGCATGTCGACGGATATATATCTTGGCCTGATAGACCCTCGCAACGGACCTTTCAGGCGACAGCGATGTCATGCTTGCGAGAGGGCCGCGAAAGAATGCTTTGCCGCCTTTGGCCCCGACTGTGACTCCCTTCCAGAACGCGAAGCCGTTTCAAGAGCTCGTGTGAATGTTTTACCTTGCAACCTTTGGCTGGGAATGTGTGTCCTGGAAACGGACTTGATTCACTCATAGGGCTAATGTCCACCCAAAGAATGCGGCGCATGGCTCGTGCGGGGCGGGTTCGCTTGGCCTACATCGAGCGCCCTGGAGCCCTGGAGAGGGCGGCTCAGCTCCAGTGAGACGTTGACATAATCGGAACCAGAAATCGGAACCACCCAAGAATGATCTTCACAGCGCACGAGACGTTCAGATTGTTGTCTCAATGGCACGCGTGAGGCTGTCTGAGTCACTTCTACCAAATATTCGTTGATTTTGTCGAGATGCCGCGTGGATGGCAGGCAATCAATACTGATGATCGACACGGCGGGGTTGTTCACTCATCACACAACTATAGCGTGGTCATGTCGATCGTCACTGGCGCACCCAATCAACGTTCATGTAAATTTGGACAAGATGAATTAGGAACTACGGGGCGGGATCAGGATCAATGTTTGGCCCCATGGTGGGCTATTTGGGTGACAGTGACAGTTGTGGCAGTGTCGACCATGGTCGGGCGGGTGACGTGCAGACGACATCCGAGACGGCACAGGTGTCAGTTGTACCAACATCTCCAAATCGAGACGTGAACGAACGTGCCAATTGCGTGTTCGCCCTATTGAAGGACGATCGGTCGTCGATGAGACTGACTGCGAGAGTGGTGTACGAGTCAGGCGTCAATCTCACTCAGACCGGGATTGTTCATGGATCTCAAGATATATTCTTCGAAATCAACAATACATTGCCTCCATCGGGTCGCTGGTAGAAGACACGTGTTGATCGTCTTATTTCCCGTACCCGTTGAACTCGAATGATATTTAACGATATTTTGTCTGGACTTTCTCTTTGACATTATGCAAAAAGAACATCCCCGAATCCCTCATATGGAGCCCATAGCAGATAAATTGCTGGCCTCGACGCAGTCTTGGGCCAGTGCAAGAGCGAACGATGTAACCGAGCAGGATGTCGAAGAAGAAAAAGGTCTGCTTCACACACTAGACTTTAGAAAGGATGCAAGACACACGAAAGCCTCTAGCACATCCTTAGCTGTTGCATGCGGGATCCTGCTCATCACGATTATTTGCCAAAACGTCTTCTTGTTCGCATCCAGCTCTCGCTCTGAAGTTCGGCTCCCAGCTTATTCCAAAAGTACGATAGAACTCCATGTTCTCTTCTGTGCTGCAAATCTTGGACTGAGCTAACCATGAATGCCTTTCTAGTCGGTTTGAGAAATGTGAAAGATCAGGTCCGTATCAGTGGTATGGTCAGCCAGTACTGGAACATGGACGAACTTGAAAGGTCGACGGAAGCGTGGGAAGCCATCCGAGCAGGCCATGGCGTTGTGGCATTGACGCCCGAGTTTATCGCTGCCCACAATCTGCCGGATAGCATTCATTCCAGCGAGGATCCGACAAAGAAATTGTACGCAATCGAGTCGTATCACATGATGCATTGTGTCGTAAGATGATATCCATTCCCTAATGCTGCGCTAGCACAGCTGCTGACAGGGATCGTTAGCAATGGCTTCGTAGAGGGTACGTCGCGCTGAGGACAGGCGGTATCGATGAGGATCATCCCTTGGAACATGTCCTCCACTGCTTCGACACTCTTCGGCAAAGCATCATGTGTCAAGCCAATGACGAGCTTTTGACGGTAACAGGCCACGGACACATGAACGGCTATCATCAGACTCGACAGTGTCGTGATTGGGACGCACTTCGGGATTTTGCGACTGCCAACTCGGCATGTTATTACGATGCACCCACCGGCCCGGTATGGGGACGTTGTGACAACGGGACCGACGGTCTACCCACCGCGAGTTTGTGGTAAACGACTTGGAGAAAGAAATCCTTATTTGGAGCGAGATCGAACATACAAGACCAGGGTCAATTCAGATCCGCTTCAGACCATTCTACCGCTTGGCTTGAGCGATCTGAGACCATAACAAGCAGGCGGTGGCAATTTCGAAGGCTTGCACCGTGTAGATTGTGCCTCGCTGCCACAATCCCTTCACCTTGGTCCGTCCATTCAGGATGAAGATGATGATGTTGAAAAGACCACTTGAGCCAACAATTGTGAAATATCGTCGCAGGTTGGGGTCGGTTTCCGCTCGTGCAAGCAGAATGGAGCTCAGGTTACCACCGATCATGCTCATCGCTCCGCCGATCGAGTGCCAGAATACGGACTTGTCCTCGTGCTCGCGAGGACCTCCGGGGACAGTTGCGAACATTAACATACCCGCCGAGTACGTTAACGCAGCGACGCCGCGGCCGATCACCAATGCGCTGCCAGTCTTTTCGCTGGGAGTCGTGGCACGCAAAAACGCGAGATTTCCCACGGCGAAAATGATTGCTTTGGCGTAGAAAGCATATTTCATGAAAGACGCGCGGGTTGAATTGACTTTGCGGCCATGGGGTCGCTCTGCAAAGGGATATGGAACAGCCAGATCGCTTGTGAAGTTGCCGATGTAGCTATACGATGGATAGTAGCCACGCGAAGCCCAATATTCGGCAATCCACCAGATTGCAGGGCCGAGTGTGAAGCAGGAGGCAGCTAAAGGCGCGCTGGACTCCAGCTGAGGTGCAAGAATGCGAGGCGGCATTGTGAATGGAGGTGCTGGATGAGGAATGCTGTTTCACAACTTAGAATGAAGGGGCAATCTTGTGTAAGAGCACGCGAATACAGCAGCCGTCTGAAGCTCTTTGACGAAGATGAATCTGATATCTTGAGAGAGTTCACCGCCCACAAGAACCGTGAGGATGGGTTATTAAGTTTAAATATGTACATAAACATGGCACACGAAAGCTGTCTGCCGAGGCTAAGCATTAATAGCGTGGTGCGGCGTAGCAAGCGACCCTTTCCATAGTTGCCTGCTTCATAGCAATGCGCAATTGGCACATATTTGTCTGAAGCAGGTTCCAACGTTGTTCACGAATGCTATAGATTCGGAATTTGATCGACGCTGGGAATTCGCCAAACTGACTCTACTGTGACATATTGACCGGAATGAAAGTGGTAGGCTGTGGACTTGACGACAATGGGCGAGCATGGGTACGGTATACTCCAGTTGGCACAATAAGCTGATTAGATACGGAGGGTGACACGGCACATGTGGCTCTCTGACAATTCGCTGATTGCGGCGAGTCAGGACACCTCCGAAGCCCTGATTGAGCACTCATTGTTCCTCGAATAGAGACATTTCTTCGCGGTGCAGTCCTCACGCGATCACCCATCATCTGCGCCGCCATCAGCATCAATCATGAGTCGAACAATCTCATCACTTCCAATCCGGGCAATATCATCACGCAACCAGCAGTCCTTGCTGTGGACTTGTCGAAGATGTCTGGCGACCCAAGCTGAATCCACCACCAATCAACCAGAATTCTCTCCTAGCCTCCCTTCGAGCCAGCGTCGCAATGCCGACGGCAAGATTGTTCCATTACAAAGGAGGGACTGGCTCCTCAAAAAGCCATTGCCTCACGCCATTCCAGGCAAACGCCTGGCGCATACCACCACAGATCTCCTACCTCCACAGGAAAAAGCACAGCGGGACAGTGTTCCCAAACAAAAGAGGACCGTCGGTGTGGTCATCAGCGCGGGATTGATGGACAGGACTGTGACTGTTCGATTACCAGGCCAGGTGTGGAACAACCATATCAAGAAGGTAGGAAATTATGCCACGCGACCTTGGGCTACTTTGAGAGTCAAATGTCTAACAATCAACAGTGGTTTCGCAAAGACACGAAACATCTTGTTCACGATCCAAATAATTCTCTTGTCACTGGCGATGTGATTGAGCTGCATGCAGAGCAACATACTAAGCATGTTGCTTACGTGGTTGGGGCAATCGTTTCACCATTTGGCAAGCCCATCGAAGAACGACCACCGGTCCCAACAGCAGATGACAGACTGGCTGCCTATAAAGAGAAACGATTTGCAAAATACAAGCGAAGGGCGGAGCGTGCAGTGCAAGTACCAAAATTGCGCGCTGCGGCAGACGCAGGGGACAAATTTGCGCGTATAAAGCTCGATCAGATCCTAGCAATGCAAAGCGGAATACCTCAGAAGAGAGACCCGGCATCGACGGGAACAAAGAGCAAAACCGCTGCTTAGTAGAGAAGTGTCAACCAACGACAAAAATCTGCGCGCCAACGTATCGGTCACATTCGACCAATGATATTGGTTAGCCACTGGAGAGCTCGAATTCAACGGGTCTATCATGGGTGCGATAAGCACCCGATACGCTGAACTCCGCCAAGCTGGTCTTCACGTTGCTCGGAGTCAAGTCGTAGCAGTGTGTGCAGCCATCAACAGTCGCCCATGTCCTTGTTGACAGAGCTAGCCGGTACCTGCAAAGGGAGTCTTACGACCTCTTCGATAATCAAGCATTTCAATTTCGAATTCTATTGCATCGATCCCCACGCAGTGGGAGACTCCCGCTGTTGTATAGCACAAGACTCCGATCGGTCTTCATCCACCGGCAGCATGCGCCATGGGTCACACCACACGTGGGAACTCCTGGCAGCTTCTTTACTTTACAGACGGGGGCGACTAGAGTGTTCTTTGATGGTGAAAGCCACGGCGCATAACAGCGAAATAGGCGTCCAGTTTTGTATGGTGGAGACTGTCCGGCAGATGTAAACTTACCAGGTCGCATCAAGCATTATCACATGTAAAATATGTATTCAAGAAAAGCTCTCATATTTGTTGATGGCGATTGGTCTGTCCCTTGGTCTGTCCCCTCTTCCATCGTAGTGCTACATCTTTTCGACCGGTGAGCTTTGTGGCGTCGTTCCAGACCTGCGCCATCTCACCTGCAGTGAGGCTTCTGTATCTGCTCGGGCGCTCATGCAACCGATGTTCTCAGCCCCCGCAAGATCCATGCAGATGGTGTGATCCTGCGAGAATGCAGCACCTTCCTTATCAACAATAGCTTCTGCTCGCCAGTCGCTCTCAGCACGTGGGAAGGAGATGCGCAGATTTCGATCGAATGTCGCGATACCTCGATACATGGTCTAATACAGATCGTCGTCGGGTCAAGATCTGTTTCGCAGTGAATACCTCAACGTTAAAGTCTCATGACGCACGGCATCGTTGAAGCAGACGAAGACTCAACCAGTCACGGTCAAGAATCATTCGCATAAGACAGTGTATGCATTGATCAACCACCCTTGGCCATTCCTCCACAAGCCCTGTCGCGCAAGTGTGTTCCTCTTTGAAGGACAGCTTCTGACTGCCATTCATGGGCTGCTGCCGATGTACGCCATGCAGCTCTCTCACCATTTCCATTGTCTTCGCAGGATTCCCGCCCCATTGATGGCTGGCAAACCCCTGGTACAAGACTGTGCAGGGGCGAGGTATCCTGCGCGATGCTCTGTGCGATCATCGTAGGTGCAGGACTGCACTCTCTGCCTGACAGCTCGGTGTGCGACCTGGGCGGATATCATGCAAGATATGAAGGGATCGAGGTCCCTGCGCGTTTGCGTGAAGAGACCACTCCTTTCGATCATCCTTCCTAAAGAAACGACTCGTTACATGACAGCTGAAGCATGTCATCCGAACGACACAACACCATGAAAACTCAGCGTAGCAGACCGAGTTCCCCCAAGACTTTGACAGCTGCGTTTTCACACATCGCAAATGATGCTGCCCAGCGTATATACAGGATCGCTTCCAACTTGACGCACGCGATATTCGGTGCCGTCCTGTTGATACCCGCCGTATCAGCCGACAGTGATTCTGTCACAGGATACGTCAATCTGAACAGTTCCGAGCCAACTTACGAACCGTTCACAGCGCGACCTGTGGACAACAGTACATTTGATGGTCAGAAGATATTGGCCGATGTCAACAACTTCCTCTCCAGTGACGGTATCAAATACAGACTCTGGAGCGATCGCGCCGCCCAGATTCGCGCCGGTAACAGAGGCGAATGTGTTGGCAACCTCTCACTCGCACTGAGTGGACTGGGCGCGGCATATCAAGCAAGCGCTGCTGGCGCGACAACACTCTTGACTCTTCTTCCCACTGCGGGTGCTTTGATCGGCACGCCAACGAAAGAGCTATGGATTTTATATAAGCTCATGCCCGTTGCGGGAATCTTCTCTATGGTCTTATCTCTTGGCGGTAACATCGTACGACTACCATTCTATACAATCGGCATCTGCATATAACTCAATACTCACGATAGAACAGGTTCCGTCCACCGTCAATGACTATGAGAGCATAGACTCTGACCCTCTGAATTACAATGCCGAGATGGCAGTGGTTCCAGATAGTGAAGATAAAGAAGCTTTCGAGGACGCGCTTGAAGAACGCTTGAAGGGCGTTCATGAACACGAAAAACGCTTCCATATCTTCGCCCATCGCGTTGCGGAACGAGCCCAGCTCCGTCACGGCAAGCGTAGGAGCGGTGTCTTCACGTTTGGCATGATCTCACAAGTGTTGCTCATCACCATCATCTTGGTACGATTAATAACGCTACTGCTCGGAAGATTTCAGCTGACTGATCTCAAAAGGTGGCATGTTGGTTCATGCAATCAGGTGCGATCGTGGTGTGGTGGTAAGCCTCCTCTCTCTCTCTCTCTCTCTCTCTCTCTCTCCTTTAGTGATACTTAGACCTGCGCTGACATGATTTCTATAGGTGTGAGGTATGCGCAGTCAAAATCAAACAATAGCTTGGCATGTGGCTGACCAGACTCTAGTTCAAACCGTTTATGTGGTCTTGGTACGTTTGTGTTGCGATCAGCTCCATCATCGACTCCATCGCCGGTGTCCCATTCACCAAACAGTGGACAGTTCGCGTCTCTCGTGCGCCCAAGATTGAAGTCAGCGACGATGCACCATGGGTAATCCCTGATCCTGAGCACCCTGCTGCCACGACTCCTCGGCGGACAAGCTACAAAAATCCTTCAGTATCCGAAGACCCCGTCCTTGAAACGTCAGAAGGTTTCGAACTCCAACCGAATCGGCATACATCCAATTTTGGAGGCAGCTTCAACGGCTATTCCAATCCACGTTATACATCAGTCTCTCAGCAATACCGCCAACCCTTCATTCCACGTGGATCAATCATCGAAGGTCTACAGAAGGGGTACAACACCACCGGCCGTATTGTCCTGCAAAGCAACAAAGGCTGGTCCGCCGCCAACGATGCCTTTTACGTCATCATCGGCGTCCGAGGCGTTTCCAACGCTCATGCTATCCTGCGGATCTTCTCCAAAGTCCTATCCATCGGCGTCTACACTGTCGGCACGGCCATGTTCGCCTCCAGTACGCTGACCACCATCCTCGTCGCCGTCGTCGTCGCGAGTATGGTCATATCGTCTGGCGTCTTTGGCCGTGTCACAGCCATGTGGATGACGTCGGAGCTCATGAGGGATCGACCTTTGCTGAACGCGCTGGCCAAGGACAATCGTGAAGCCGAGATGTATATCGAGGCGATGCTGCGTCAGCCAGATATGGTGTTCGAAATCCTCGACCATGTCATCATCGATGGCCGCTGCGTCAAGAGGCTCAATTGGTTCCGTTGGAGCAAGGTGTTTGGTGTCATGGCCCCGCCGTTTGATATCACGAAACTGGTCGTGCCCGGAGTGTTTCATGGCGTTTGAGAAGATATGGACTTCGCGAAATGGATTTTGTGGATTGAACATTTTATCAGGATTATTTTTTAAATGTACCCAAGGGAATCAATCAACAAATATGGATGCAGACACGACATCATTTCACAACATCCGCAAACCTGCAGCGCAAATCGTCTCCTTGTCATGCCTGAATTTCTCCTTGATCCTCAATTCGTCCCAGTAATTCCATCCGACCCTCGATCATCACAGTGCTCTTGGGTCGCCTTCTCACCACGCAACCTGTTCCAGAAAGAAAGCATCCCTCTCACTGATAAATCGATCAAGTTCGGTCGACGGTCTCGAGCCGAGGAACTTCTCCAACGCCTCCTGAAAGCTACACCACTGATGTTGTAAGCCTTCCTGTATCTCCACCTCTGTCATCTGCAGCGCAACTGTGTCCTCGACGACTCATGCTCGATAGCAGTAGGAGATCTTGTGTAAATCGTTCCGCCACTATTCGCACATGGCGAAATGATGATTCTTCACGCGCAATTTGCACCCGGTTTCTTCGAAGGCTTCACGTTCTGCTGCGGGCACATGGTCCTTATAACCTTCGATCTCGCCGCCTGGGAGCTTGAAATATTGTCCCCATTCGACCTATGTGATGGCAATTTGATCTAGGTAGTTGCGAAGGACCAGTCTCACCGCTTGACGTTCGATGTGTCCTCGCTGTTCTTTGGTGCCGATGACTCTTGTGGGGACTGATGATTTCGACATGGTCGTTCGGTCTTGGGTCATTGTGGAAATTCAACGCCAAAATGGAAGAAAATGTCGGGCATTTGCAACGAAGCGGCCAGGTCTGCTTTGTGTAGCCTGTACGGGGCATATTCCGGACTTCATTCCTGTCTGCTGAGTTCCGAATTTCGTTTTTGCTTGCTGCCTGCGGCCCCTCAGGCAGACCTTTGGTTACATAGGAGCACATATGCAGTACTTCCATAGGTCACCTGTCGAAATAGGTCTATCATGTTGCCTGTTCGGCGTTCTGGAATGAAGTGGACGCTGTGATCTTTGCCACTGTAGGTTTTATGGACCATGCTTGCAAGGCTGGGCAAATTTCGTCACTCATAAATGTTAAATGTTCCTTGTTGTACCAACCCTCTTCTCTGAGTTGAGTTCCCCCCTTCTCTTGTTTATACATATCTTGCCACCTTCAGGACATGCTGCTCTTGCGATTTCTCTGGCAATGCCTCACCGAGACTACCCATGCCTCCATGGCGTTCAATCATTAATTTGTTGATCAATCTACCGTCACTCAATCACATCTTCCGTCCTTCCACCCCGTCCTCCATCTTTCCTCCCATCTTGAACAATCGAAGCTCTTCTTCCCAAGCTTCACATTTACCGCATTGTGCGCTTCGCAAAGCCACTGACCAAATTCATCTCGATTGCTCACACGGGGTGCATTTCCGCTCGTGCTCATCCACGTCCGGAAGTCATCCGCGCACACCCAGCAAGGATACACTTTGCTGAAGAGGTGCATGAATTGACGTGTCTCGGTCTGTTGGGTAGGATTGGGTCGTTCGGGATAGTTGGCGGCGAGAGTGTGTAGGAATGTCCAGGTAGAGCGGCCGAGTTGCTCGACATCTGGAGGACAGTCGGATGTTCCGATCGTCATGGGTGCTCGTTGCTGTGACGCTGTGGATGATTTGTTCGTGGTCATAGAGGCGAATGGCGACGTGCTGTTGCTGCCGGACGTCGTCTGCTTCATCATCGATTTCCATGCGGCCCCAGATGTACATGTTCGGCAACTGAGCAAGTCATCGGGTCAGCTTCATTCCAATTCGTGTTCAAATAGGCTTCTCGAATACTTACGGCTTTCCATCGGGACCCAAAACGACGCCATTCGGTAAGGGTGCCCCAGACGTTGTGCCAACGGAATTTCCATCCTGTGATGTCTTCTCGTCGCCATCAAAGGACGGTAACGGCGCTCCCGTCATGCTTTCAACTGCGCATACAAATCTTGCCAGGATGGGGAAATCAAATGCAGTGATAGGCATCTCGCGCCAACATGTTCGCAATGACGCAGTGCCTGTTGTTATATGATTTCCGAGTGACGAATCGGAATGTGTCGGGAGATCCGTGCTCCGGTTCGATCGTGACAAGCTTTGGACCGGGCAAGCGGACGGAGAAGTCCACAAGCCCTACCGACCGAGTGGCAAGTGAATGTTCTCGGAGTCCATTCCGTACCACAATCATCGCACCCAATCATCTTTGATGAAGACTTGTATCGAGAAGGTTGCAAAATGAACGACCTATTCGGCTTCTGCTCTACTGGGTCTGATAAGCTTCTACTGACGTGGACCATGCTATTCAACGTCAGCGGTGTTTCGCCCCATTCCTGTCGAGAATGTAGCCTAAATTCGATGACGCCCGTAGCATTAGTCACGAGTGACAAGCGTATTGAGGATTAACAAATCGAGAAGTGGACGTCACGCGCTCAGTCACATCACAGGCTCAGTTTCATTCAACATTACGAGGACCAGCCCCAAGCTGTGGCTGGGATTCGTTTCGCTTGAGACAGCTTCTGAATCCGCTTCACTAATGTTCGTTGACGCGAGATTGAAGGATGAGTGAGGCGACAGTACGATCTCGACAACAGTGAGAACAGTCATTAGCGGAGAATGTACCGCGCCACAGCTCACTCATGGCCTAGCTGTCGATCCAGAAGGATAGGATCGTTCATGGGAAGCGGTCTTTTGCCAGCCCAGCCCACACGTCATGCAAATAAAAAGTCTTGTCGAAGAATGCAGTATGCTCGATTTCCAGCACTACAAGCCTAACCACGCAGCCCATATCCCGTACGCCACCATAAGAAAGACATGATCGCTTAGAACACGAGAGCGGCACCCTTGGTCTTCTTGTCACCACTGTTTCGAAGATTGTCAGTCCACGGTACCTCAGAAGTCGCGATGATTTCCATGTGATCACGTACCCCAACTCGAAGTGCTTGCATCGCTTGAGCGCAAGCTGTGCCTTGGTCTTGCACTGTGTGCATTCTAATCGGAGCACGACCTTCTTTGTCGTCTTTGCCTTCTTGTGGAACACGGGTTTCGTTTGACCTCCGTAACCGGATTGCTTACGGTCGTAACGACGCTTACCCTGGGCGAAGAGGGAGGCCTGGATGATACCAGTTGTAAGCATTTGAAGTGCATGCATCGTTCGCTTTGGGCTTTGCCTACCTTGCCGGCCTTGTACTGGGTGACCTTGTGCTGGGTGTGCTTCTTGCAGTCCCTGCCCTTGCAGTAGGTGCGACGAGTCTTGGGAACGTTCACCTGGGAGAAGTAAGTCAGCACATTGTCGTGCTATCCGTCTATGCCATCCCGGTTCCGATGGTCGTGTCCAGCCTTGCATTCGCCGCGCAACTTTTCGCCAGAATTCCGATGCAACGCGTTTCTCGCCATCCCTCGTTCTCCAAATGTTTTCCGAGTGACATATTTTCCATCACGCAAGCCATCGTGCTTCGCCTCATCCAAACAACTGATCGGTCCCTCTCTTTCTGTGACCGGTAGGTTCGAATCCTTCTTATTATTTTCTTTGGCGTCGCCAGCGAGATCGGATGCACTTCAACTCCAGAAAATCGGAATAAGCTGAATATTTGCTTACCATTTTGACTGATTTCGTGAGTCGTGATGCTGGTGATGTATGCGGCTATCGTACTGGCTTCGTCGTGGTCGTGCTTTTCGAGAGTGTGGGCGTCGCAAGCCAAGACTTCAGAACGCGGAACGGTACGAGCCGCTTGAGAGGTCCGGCGCTGATGTAAGCCCATCGCGAACTCTCTGCTCGACTTCGCCAACAGCCTGCTTCCTCTTTTGTAATGATGGGCCTGAAATTCCAGGAAACAATCCTGAGGAGATTCAACACTGTACTGAGGATGGGGCTTTGGGATCACATGTCGCCTGGTTGGTTTTTGAGTTCTGCTTCACAATCATACAAGTAATAAGAAAATCCTGTTGAAATCGCAGACGTCTTCCAGCCTTCGCTTACGTCCATGCTTGAAGATGAGCCCTACCTACTTTGAAGAGCATCTGTTGTCTGCGCGAATTCTATTCAAACAATACCGCTAAATCAGTACAAATAGAAACAACTCGAGGCATCAAAGCATCATGAATATAAGACAGCTATCCCACCCAGCACAGCTCCCGTCGCAGCGAACAAGGCCCGATGGACATTTAATCTCGCCCATGTTTGGATAATGTCTTTGACCTCTGAATCTTTGGGTGCGCTCGCAATGCCCTCGGCTTTTGCTTCAAGAGCCTTGACGCTAGCATGCATTGGTCCCAGTGTGTAGGGAACGATCATTGGAATACTGATAGCTGCAGCGATGTACAGGTTTGAAACCGCGAATGGAAATTTGCTGTGAATTCCGCGTGCTATAGACAGATGTTAGTAGCCGCAAGATTGAAGTTCTGACATGCATCTCTTACATTGATATGCGAGAAATGCAAATGCTGTGGAGCAGACAACCGCGAATGGAGGCATGCTGGCTTTGCCGAGTACGTATAATTGTTTCCATTGTCGTGCTGCTAGGTTGTCCGGTGCGAGCATCACGGTTGGTACACCAAAGTATGTGAAGGATGCTATGAGACCTGCGTGGTGGACATGGGTTAGACAAGCTTATCTTGTAGTTGTATTGCTATCCACGGACCGGTGAGGCATCCTGTGCCCGCAATCGCGATCAACTGCACCGCTGGAACAACTTGTTGTAAATTGGAGGTCATATCGACGAATTGTAAGTTGGTATGAAAGTCAATGTCTTTGGGTGATGATAATGTGAGTAAATGAATTCGGTTTTCCTGATCGTATGAAGGAAGTGGTCCTTGATGTTTCTACAATTCGTAGATATCTAGATGGCATGGGCTGTTATATATTACAGTGTTGATTGCTCCTTCTTATTAGATGTTTCGCACTCTTCCCGCATGCAGGTGTCCTTCAAGTCCGTATCGTATCGGTGTTTCAAGCGCTCGAAATTCCCCATCCGTCGGATATTTCAAAAATGCGGAGCTAGTGAGGCGCGCGCGGGTTCAATTGTAGCCAACCCCGGACAATCGCGGCGAGCTCGCTCCGCCAATGCTGGGGCGCCCAGCTGGACATTGGCGTTTACGTGCGATGAGTCTTGATGTTGTACTGTCTTTGTCTAAAGTTCGTCGAACCGCAACATCGCGGTGCTGGAAATGGCTGCAGATCGTATTTAACAATGATGAGGGACAGTCATCCGTACTTCACGCCAATTCATAGGGCCAGCTTGCTACGGTCGGTGAAAAGATAGAAGCCGCGGGCAAGGATGTCATCTACTACCTATATTCTTCAGTAAAAATGTACAGACACAGTTGGATAAGAATTTGCGCGGAACACGTCTTGTTATACACGAATGCGTATGCGCAACCGAGCAATCTATGGTGATGTGTTTGATATGTAGTCAATCCAAATTCCCAGAGGATCAAAGCTTTCGCTAATCAATGGTTTCTAAAAGAGTAGACAGTTGTTCTACCCAGTCCGAGTGAGTCCAAGAGCATTCAAAGAAAGTGTTATTCATGCTGGACGCAAAGAAGACTGGGCGTGGTTCAGCATAAGTCGGGGGGCTATACTTGCACGGATACGAGACTACCTATGATCCGGTCTTTACCTCTGAGCCTTTCACAAACTTTGTATGGGTGCCAGCAATGACAATCTTTCCTCTCGCACCAGTCGCGGGGTCATATTTGTAGATGATCACTTTGGTGAAGGCGAGGTTGCTCCCTACACGGTCGGCTATGCCTTCGATTTCCACCTCTTCTCCGGCTTTTGCTCCAGACTGGTAGGTGACGTGAATATCGACACTGACGCCGGTCGTTGAGCGCAGGTCGTAAGTTGAAACGGCCATTCCACCCATCCAGTCAACGATAGTAGCGGAGACTGACCCATGTAGGCTCTGGCCATGATTCATGTGATCTTGGGTGAGCTTCAGGCGCGCCACGACGTGTCCTTTCGAGGCGTCGACAATTTGTACAGAGCTGAGAAGAAAAGCATAGATGGGACTGGCTGGCAACTTGGTTCTGACAAGTTCTTCCACGTGCGCATGCTCAGGTGATTTGTCCGTTATACTGGCCATCTTGTAGGGAAACTTGGCTGGGAGGTGGCTGTCGGGTGCAGTGGAGTAAAATCAGGTCGAAATTTGTGTTTCTTTGGGCAGCGCACGTACCGAGGCTTGGCAGGCAACATTGGGAGAAAACAGCCTGCGGCCAACTTCGGCGGCGCACGGTGCCTGCAGGCTTCAGATGACGTCTCGTCACTTCGTGGGACCTGCGCGAGGCAGATCCACGTGTATTCCAAGGTTAATTATTTTCACATGCCATTGCGCGCTTCCTCGTCCTGTCCAAGGATACAACAGTCTTTTCCGATTGAGTGCCCAATCTGACCGCGAATGCAACCAATATCTTCCAACACATTCATTTGACGAACCGCATGCATGCATAATACAGAATTGATAAACTTGCAGGTCAAGCTTACAGATCTAGCAAGCTAGCAGGCCCTCTTTGTACTCCTTCCTAAGTTCAATCTCACCACCTTATCACCGCCAAGTTGGCTCGCCTTCCGCGACTGTCCTCGTGGACACAGTACATAAAACGCAATTTCCCTTGGCTCGCATCCGAGACTGGGCAGACTAATCGCCCTGCTGTTTGGCTCAGCAAGCTCGAGTCCGGCCAATGGCCGGATCGGAGCAAGATGGCCACCCAAGATAGTAGCACTCAATCTTACTTGAGCAAACTGTCGCCATGGGCACAGAACGTCAGCACTCCCTCAACCAAGAGTAAAGAGCCAGAGCGAGAAGCATCTGGCCTACAGGAGCAAAAGGGTGCTGATCATAGGATCAGTCATCGACATCGACTAAGTCTGAGGAAGTATCCTCGTGACTGTCCGCCCATACGGCCTCAATGGTTCCATGCTGTCGATGTGCCGAAACGGAGACCGCATCCCGGCGGCAAAGTCAAGGAGGAGAAGCCGCTTACGCCGCCCAAGAAGTATGCAGCATTTTCGAAAAAGGATTCAAAAGCGATTGAAGCGGCTTTCCAGAAGCTCATTGAGACAGAGGATCGGGTAGGGGTGGCCCGAAGACCAAATGAGTCTCTTGATGAGGCTGGGCAACCAGAGTCAATGAAGATACCTGTGAATGAGGACTATTTATTCGATGTGGACGTGGAGAAAAGGGAGCTCGGCCCAACATATTGGTTGGGTCCGGTATACGATGTTCGAAGAGGGACATGGTTCTATCAGGACGGTAGTGTCCAGCGACCTTGCGACGAGAATCTGGCGGCGCAGCTCGAAGAAGGTTATCTGAAGGTGCAAGCCTGGCGCATTCCTGTCCCACAATCGACGCAAACCAAACCTCGGGCCACATCGCAGCCTCGAGCAAGGCCTGCATCTTGGGCGCCTGATCAAACGACCTCAGGACAGACACCCGCGCAACCTTTATCTGCGAAGCAATCCAGCTCAGACCTGAAGGCTGATGCGAGCAAAGGTGTGGAGTCGAGCTCGCACGCGGAGCCAGAGAGCCAAAATAGCCAGCCACCCAACACGTACCGCCTCTTTGGGAGCCATATGAACTCGGTTGTCACTTATCAGGACTCTCACACCGCCTGGCTCTTGACGGATTCTACCTTGTCCCGAATGAGCGTGGGAGTCTACGAACGCTTTGCTGGTGGAGGACATTTTGCAGGGATGAAAATGACACGTGGGTATGTTCAGCCAAATCAAAAAACAGACAACAAAGATGCTTCCACCGAGGGTGATAAAGCCACGGCACAGAAGTCGGAGGATGAGAAGCAGGGTGCCGAAAGCGCAGAGTCCCAAAAGACCAAGGCTTCAACAGAGACTAGACGACAATTGTTGCAAAGACAAATGTCCTCTCTTTTGGACAATTCATCAGAGGGGCGCGAGAAGCAGGAGGAAGAAATGCGCCGACGAGATGAGCGAGAGATCGAAGACGATTACGACGATCAAGGCGATCAAGGACGGGAGATTTCTCATCTTATTCTAGTGACCCACGGAATTGGTCAGCGGTTAGGTCTTCGCTTGGACAGTGTCAATTTTGTTCATGACGTCAACACACTGAGAAAGACTCTCAAGGCCGTATACGCTGATTCTCCTGATCTTCGGGCTTTGAACGACGAGCATGATGCGGATGAATCCTCCGAGGCGTTGAATTGCAAGATCCAGGTTCTGCCAATTTGCTGGCGTCATCTTCTTGACTTTCCGAAACAGAGTCTGCGCCATAATCGAAAGGAGCACGACATTGCCGACACAGATATCGATGATGGCGAGTATCCTACACTAGAGGACATCACTGTGGATGGCGTTCCACACGTACGGAATCTCATTTGTGACATGGGTTTGGATATTCTCATCTATGATTCGCCGTCATATAAGGAGCACATCTCGAGCCTCGTGCTGCATGAGTGCAACCGGATTTATCGTTTGTTCATGAAGCGCAATCCCAGCTTCAACGGTAAAGTGAGTCTCATCGGACATTCGCTTGGCTCAGTCATTATGTTCGACATCCTTTGTCGGCAGCGTGCATCTCAATCGGACAGCAGACGCAAGGACGAGCGAAACCTTCAGCTCGAGTTTGAGGTGGAGGATTTCTACGCGCTCGGTTCGCCGATCGCCTTATACCAGATGCTCGGTGGTCGGACTATCGCTTCACGGCAGCCGGCCGAGATACGGACATCAAGCATGGATGATCCAATGCTCGGTGGTGCAGCAATCTCCACTTCTTCGTCCAAGAGAAAGAGTCTCGATCTGACCGCGGGACCGGATTTTGGGGAGAATCCAGTGTCGAAGCCGAAATGTTCTCAGATTTACAATATCTTCCATCCCACCGATCCAATCGCCTATCGCATGGAGCCCTTGATCTCACCTGCGATGGCGACACTCAAACCTCAACCACTTCCATACACGAAGCGCGGCATCTTCGGCGCGCCCGTAGGTCAAGGATTGACCGGCATAGGTGCACGTGTGAGTCAGAGCGTCAGCAGTATGTGGTCAAGCGTCGCATCTTCTCTTCTCACGCGTGGTCTGGGATATGATCAAGAGCCCAAGCCTGCGCCGGGGAGCGCTGGTGCAAATATCAAGAGTAGTGGCCCTCTGTCCATGCTTACAGGCAATAACAATTCAAACAGCGGGATGTCAGCCGCCGCCGGAACCAACATATCCGCTGCTCTATCGTCTGGCTCGTCTTCCCAGAAGGATGAACAAGCCGCACGCATGACAGAAGATAAGCTCGATCGCGCCGCGAGCAATGTCATGGCCGCGAACCAAGCCGGTCACGCACCTCCAACCCTCATCGACAACGAAATCGAGACTCTATCCAGCGATTTCGAGAAGCGCCGCCGCGCCTCTCTCGAACCGAAATCAAGCACGAATTCGAGTCAGAATAAGAGCAGTACAGCCAGCACTGCTGGGAACGATACCTCAACTCTCGATCTCGCGGAACTAGAAGCTCGAGGCAAGAAACTGCGTCGCGAAGAGGCCAAGGTGCGGAAACTCAATGCGAATGGTCGCGTGGATTATGCGATTCAGGAAGGTGCATTCGATATCAATTTGATCGCAGCTATTGCAAGTCATATCTCGTATTTCAGCGATGAGGATGTTAGTCATTTCATGTTGTCGCAATTACTCAGTCGGAAGGGCGTGCAAGGTCAACGCAAGCAACAACAATAGGAAGCCGGAGCGCGGGTGTACATGGTTCTCTGTTGAGAAGGCTCAAGGAGAGAAAGATAGACGATATAGACAGCCAGACGAGCTTCCCGGGTCCCCAGTCAGAAAGCGTCCATGCGCGTCATGCGTCACATTCATATTGTGGTAATCATCAAACCCCTGTCGGGAATCACCCATCAATCCGATGCCGGCATCGCCAATCTCCCCTTCCCAATCCATCCATTCCAAATGAGTCCCTCTCCCGCCCCAATGATCGACGCCTCCGCCCGCTCCATCATCTCCCGCGCAATATCCTCCGCCGTACGTCCCAAGCCATCCCTCAAACTCCGAATATCAGGAAACTTCTCGCGATCTGCATCCTCGAAATTTGGCTCTCGCATGACGCCCAACGATGCAGCTTCTTGATAGACTAGCGCGGGGAATTCGAGTTCGGGGAGATCGCTTGCGAGGAGTAATAGGAGCCAGACGACCTCGCGGTGGCCGTTTGCGACGGCCGCGTGGAGCCCGGATTGAGAGTTGTGCAGCGGATCTTGGTAGCGGATGATTTCTTGGGCGGACTTGCTGTTCTCTTCATCTTCATCCTCGTCGTCGTCGTCGACGTCCATCGTATCGTCTGCACCAATCTCATCGTCGTTTTCCGAGCAGGATTTCAACAAGTCGATAATCGCGCGATAATCGCCTTCGCGGCAGAATTCGAGAAAGGCGCGACATTTCCTCTCTTCGGGATAAGCACGGAGGTAGGATTCTTCTTGGAGGAGCGGAAAAATATCGATTTGTTCTTGGAAGCCTCCTTCATTGGTCAAGTCGACGAGGATGCGCGTGTTGGTCTCCGCGGAGGGACCCGCGGGTGAGGAGGTGATGTCGTGAGAACAGGCGGGACATCGCTGGATCTCATAGGCGGATAGCAGGCATTCCCAGTGGAAGTGGTCGTCGCAGGAGAGGCGGACGTCATCGGGGACGGTTGTTGTCGGTTGTTGGGTGGTGCTATTGTCGTTGGTTTCTTCGTCGGAGCTGTCGGCTTCGACTTCGACGACTAATGGTTTTGAACAGTGGGCGCACACCGGCATGATTGCTTCTTCTTCTTTTGGTATAGTGACTACTGCTATGATTGGGTTGTTGTAATTGGTTGGATAAAATGTCCATCACGGTCGACGACGTTTTTTCTGTTGCTGCATTAGGTATTTTATGATTTTGGACGTTGTTGCGTCACTTTGCCCTGACACAAAACGGTTCTTCCACGGCCGATCTTGGTGGGGCTTATCAGATGTGTGATACATGTTGAAGGAGAGAATTTAGACGTGGTCGGTCGGCCTGTTACCGCAACAATTTATATCCGTTCTCTGAACTGTTTCTCTCATCTATCACCATCACGGAAGAAATGATTGCCATAGGCGAGGTGATAGATTCATGTCACGTTGGAATATCGTTGGCGGGCGCTTGAAGAAATGTTGATCGTGTCCCGCTAGGGTTTGGGTTATACCCTATGGTTGGCACATACCCAGGTATATTCTCGTCCTTGAAACAGTTCGGTCAGCTACACGTGATCGGGCGCTGTTTCAAAAATGACTGCAGCCATGGTGCCATGGCATGCGAGTGATAAACGATCGTTATCGCTTTCTAGTAAGATTGATATGGAGTTCGTGGAAACTCTGTTGAGATCGCCCACACGGAATGTAAGCTTGGCGTGCAGGCGAGATTCGGAGGACTTCGGCCGACGAAACGAAATAATAATAATCAGCGCTGCAGGGGTTGCAAGGTCGGTTTCAAAGTCACATTGGCTGGAATCCATCGTCGGAGCTGCGGGGTGTGCGGGGCGTGTGGTTAGAATACAGTTCCGAACATGCTAGCACCTGGGCCGGGTCACCATGTATATATATTGCGGAGATTGACCATGAGCGAATGCGCGGATCATGTCCATAAATCAGGCGCGGTGATGCGCAGCTGACGAGAACTTAGTAGAGGTTTATTCTATTTGTGACGGGCCTGGAGTGGGTACACCAATATACATACACAGCAGTAGGTTCCTATATCTATATACCTAGGTAGTGATCAATGTGCCATTGGTGGGGCTGGTTTCCTACGACACACCTCGGTAAATTTTGGGTTGGTGGGCTGACCGAAAACCTCACAGGACATGTACTGTATGTTGCTCACAGTGCCGAGCGACATGCCGCTTGATTGCCTTTTCGCTCGCTCGTATGCACGCACGCATGCAGAGACAAGCTATCATCCCTTGCTCTTCTTCACACATCAGGCGCGATCCGTGTTGATCTTAATGGTGTGCCGCATGGAGTAAAGCATGTGCAGCAAAATCAAAAACAAGATCTTTCCTCGCCCACTTGTCCTCTGGAGATATTTGGAATGTTGCAGACACATACATATCCGACGTTTGTCATACGAGTGGATCTGACGACGTGGTTACCTCGTGCTGTACCTCCCAAGACCCGAGAGAACCCCTCCTGCTCACCACCACTCGCATGCTACTCATACGGATTAGTCCCTGCACGCCACCATCGTGGATGAAGACTAGTTTCGTCTGCGGACTCGTAAACTTCGCATAGCCCTTGAGTTCCAAGAAACGAGAGAGATACGAGCAATACGACCATGGCTGATAGCGTGAACGATCTTAACGATCATGACATGGACGATGTCCCAAGTATCAAAAAGGAGGAGTCTGTGAGCAGCAACGGAGCCACCTCCGTTGGCCTCAGTGACAGAGACAAGGTCCAGCACCGCAAGCCGCATCAGAAGTCGCGCATGGGCTGTACCCAATGCAAGGCTCGTCGAGTAAAGGTGTGTATTATGCATCCGATTTTCTCTGTTCACATCATCGAATGGCTCTATAACTCTTTCCCTTCTGCGATTGCAATTCCAAAGGATCCACATAAGATAGACTATGTGGAACTCCTGACCATAAGCATTGAGCGAATTTCCTGGACGTCAAGAAGCCAGCTCGAATCGACTTGACATCCTTGACTAACATCATACAACTCTCAATACAACAGTGTGACGAACATTATCCTTCCTGCAGCAATTGCAAGCGCCGTCGCGAACATTGCTCTTATAACGTCTCATCAAACGGCCATGGCGGTGATACGCCTGAACCGAGCTCACACGAAAGCCATAGCAGTACTATCGCAGCCTTGCAGCTCCTGCATATTTCTCAACTCGAGCTGATGCATCAGTACACCACGTCCACATATGCGACGCTGGTAAAATTACCTCGCGACCAGAACCTCGCGCAGATCGAAATTCCAAGAATGGCCATCCAATATCACTCCCTTCTCGACGCCCTCTTCTGTCTAACCTCTCTCCACCTCGCATCCGAGCGTCCCTTGGAAGCCGTTCGGCTTGCTAATGAAGCCGTACGCTACCAAACCTCCGCATTGGGCGCTTGCCGAGAGGGCCTAAGTAACCTCACAGCGAGCGGCCCCCAATGCCGTGCCATGTTCCACAGCTCCGCGTTCCTCGGAGTCAGTGCAATGGCTCTCCATTGTATCCGCGCTCGTTTCAATGCCGCACCGCGTCCATCGGAGACACTCCTCGAATCAGCCGAGCTATGGAGAGGCACCGGCCTGATGCTCCACACCGCTCAAAAGATGCTCGATCCCGAAACATTCAACTCCTTTTTCCCGTTGCCGGACTGGTTCACGCTCATCGGCGCCGTCCGCGACGAAAATGCACCCGCGCAGGAAATGCTAGAGAGACTGCGCACGCGGGTGCGCCTATTCGACCCATCCACCGATCTCACCTTCCAATATCCTCCCACGCCCACGCCGTCCCCGGGAGCCACGGGAGAGGCCAATCACCAGAGCCCGGAAAGTTCCGCCATGAGTAACGCATCCTCGCCCCCCGCCCTCACGCCGAAACGCGAGCAAGAAGAGCGCATACCCGCCTACCTCAACGTCCTGGATAAACTCAGTAAACTGTTCCACGTGCGGGACCCGGAGACTCCCGCGATCCTCAACATCCTCATCGAAATCTCGCCCGTATTCCTCCATGACCTCGTGGCGGGAGCACCATTGGCTTCGGCTATTGGTCTGATGTACACGGTATTGATGCGTACCCTTGAAGCGCATTGGTGGTCGAAAGATTATCAACAGCAGTTGAAGGCGGAGCTGGCGTCGTATATCCCTCCTGGCGATGTCGAGTTGATGGCGATTGCGGTGTGGGCGGAGGCGTGAGCTAGATGTGGTACTGGAGTCCACAATTTTCTGGCGCGAATAAGGCTCGAGCGGTGGCAATGTATCGGGTGTGTGTGTGAATTCCAAATTGGTCTCGACGACTTCGCTTTGAGGAACTCACAAACATCAAGTCAAGTCTAGGAAAGCTCGGCTTTTTCCAGCACTTGAATCTGCCTCAAAGAACACACCAGCGCACGCTTCAAGCCGGCATGACTTGGGAGTATCCCTGCAAAGAACGATGAATGTCGTCACATCCCGTTTCGGTGCCAGCCAGGAGTTGGTCTGGGAATAAAGAAGCAGCCGATGAGCTTCAACCACAATTTCATTTCCAAAAATTAATACATGGAAAGCGCCAAATCACCCAAAAATGAATTCTCGTCCAAACCTCCACCGAGGGACCGTCAACGCCCAAAGCCAACCTGATGGCCTTATGACAAGTGTCCTTGAGAGAGACCAGCTCCACAGGAATACACTCTCCACGCTGAATTTCTTGGTCAACAATCTTTGATCTTCGAATGATGCACCTCCACTCATGAGGCTCATCTGCACTACACCAGCTCGCGGACGGGTGCTTCGCTCCTTGTTCCGCTCAAGGTGCGGACTCTGGTAGGACCACCTCAATCTTCCGGACTGTCAAAGCTATGCCAACGTTGGATGGTTGCGCCGACTTGCGGGGTATGCATTTCAAAGCAGGTGGATCCTTGAAATTTAGCTGCTCGCCCACTCCAGGTCGCCGTAAGGTGGAGTCGAGTCAGACGGTGGTCGTGCTGTGGACCTTGATTACCGTTGTCTGCAGATATGCTCTCTCGACTTCAGATGTTGTGTATATGTGGTGCTTCGCAGCTCCAGGCCAGTTGTAAGGCCATATGCTCCTGGTTCAGTGCTTTCGTCGGCCTTTCTCCCGCTGCAGATTCGGAAGCGAGAGCTGGATCTCCAACCTTTCTGCATCGTCGAACCACTTGTGGAAATCCTTGTTGGCGACAACATCGCTGAAGCGAGGGAAACAGACGTCGCAACTGCCTTGATGCCGGCGGATCACAGAGAGGACAACAAATCCCCTTTCCCCCTCGCCTGTGTCGCACATCATCATTCGCCGATAGCCGGGCCGCCCATCCCACGGATAACTTCACACTGATAGCCAATCCACCGAGCATCCCTCCTCCTCCAGCGGATGACACAAAGACTCACAAGCACAACCCCACTCCCATCCGCCCCAGCACCCACCCCGGCCGCCGAACCAACACCGCCGTCCTCCTCCAACCTGCCCGTCGCAGCAGGCGCCTTGGTCGTCAACTCCAACGTCATGTACGCATTCGCATGCCCGAAACCCTCGTGGACATCGACCTGGATGTGTTTGACCACGGCGCGATAACCGGCGTCGCGCCCGACCAGCAGACGCCAGGATTCGATGAACTCGTGCAGCGTGCTGCAGCAGCGGGCACCGTCCAGGCTGGATTTGAAATCCGGGCGGAAATGCGTCTTGCTGAGCTCGAGGAGGGCGTCGAAGGCGCGCAGGTTCACGTATTCGATCACCTGGCAGCAGATCTTTTCGAGGCTGCGCGCGGTCGGCGAGATGTTGTTCGTGTTGTTGTGCGCCGGGGACGGGGAGATCGGGGTGTTGAGGGAGGCCGATGACGATGGGTCGCCGCCGTTGGTCGTCGGATTGGACTGTGTGCTGCCGAGGAGGACGGCGAGGGAGGCGTCTTGGAGGTTTCCGTAGGGCCGGCCGATGAGGCTGCGGGTCGTCGTCGCGACTGGGAGCGGGCCGTGAGGGATTGCGGACACGGGTCCGGGTGAGAATGCCTCTTGTTTGAACATGGGGTGATTCATCGTGACAGGGCCGCGCTTGAAAGACGCGAATGAGATGATCGATTAACCGCGCTTATCGGTTTGACCAGGAGAAAAAGCCTCTCAGTCTTAATGTGCGCCCGGTCTGCTTTCGGAACGTGAATTTCCCCGTCGTGTTTAGTGTTGCAATCGTTCTCCTGGCGAAATATTGGAAGAGTCCCCGAGGGAAAAGATAGTCGCAAATGCTAGAGAAGAAGAAAATCCAAAAGTGAAAAAGAAGGAGACGAGTTCAAGCGCTCCCCGGAATGTGGTAAATCCGAAGAAGATGTGGTCAGGAAAGTCCGGCGAACACTATGTTTTTTGTTGATCTTCGGGGATGATGCGCCTGGTCGCGCGTGGCGGGTGTGTACGAATCCAAAACAGAAACCCGTCCACCAGACGAGTGTTGGGAGGTGATGGCAGGATTGTGTGAAACGGAAGTGCGTGCTGTGTGTCTCCGGAGAAATACTGTCGTCTTGTGCCGCCCAGCACGTGCGCCGATAGAGGAGTCGAATAGAGAGGCGAGAAAGTCTCCAGGAAGAGGGAAGACTGATGATGGCAAGGGAGTCGGGATCTCTCCAGATCTTTGCGACTAAGGGTTCCCCGTGGATTTTTAGTTGGGTTTAAGGCGGTTTGGGGTCGATGCGATCTTCGGCCTGCCTCTGGAGTGGTGCGCGTGTCGTTGTTCGTGTGTGGTGAGCAAAGTTTTGGTGGTGTTGGGGAGAGAGCGTGGAGATATTGCTGCATGTCTATTATTGTCATTGTTGTTATTGTTATTATTGTGTGGTCAGCAACGGCGGGACGGAGGAGGCAGCACCAGGCCGAGACATGGTGACGAAGCGAGGGTGAGTGATGATGATGATGATGATGGGTCGGCGAGCAAGCGGGGGGCTGGTGATAAGCGAGACGGAGAGAAGAGGGCATCACCATTCCCAGGTCACCCATCAATTTGAGGGCGGCCGGGCGGGCTGGCCGACTTGGCTTGCCCGCCGCCCGGCGCCATTCGAAAAGAGTCCTGTGGGGCGTTGGGTGGAATGGAACGGTCTGGGGTACAGCACACACAGACGAGAAACCTTGGAAAATATGTGGGTGGGCAGGCCTCCTCCTCATCATCAGCGGTCCGCCCGTTGCCCGACGTGCCCGACGTGTCCGAGATGTGTTTACCACCCACCTTATTGATTGATCGTCAGCTTCCCCATCTTTCTCCGACGCCTTCAAATATCTCCAGTGTAAGTTCGAGAAAGAATGAGAGCAGGAAATGGACGCGGCGACTGGTTCGCGTTAGGCACTGTTTTTTCTTTTCGTATGTGTAAGAACTTGTTTTGATAAGGTACTTTTGGGACCCCCTCTTCTCTCCTCCTTTCATGGACGTCTCTTTGGAGACTGAGAGGAGGCCATGCAGGATGAGGGTGGACATTTCGATACGAACCGAATCAAGTACCCCCAAAATCTGAAGAATGAATGAGAACGACTTTCTTTAAAACAAGCAGAGAAGCAAGTGCAATTATTAGGCATATCCAACGACCTTGAAAAGTACAAAAAAGTCATTTGCTTTTCTTTTCCGCCGAGAGAAACTTTTTTTGGCTCCGTCCAATACAGTACATATCCTTCTTCTTCTTCCTCTCTCTCTCTCTGCCCCCAATTTTTTCTTTCCAAAACGTGTTCCATGTCATTCAAATCATAGCGCGGGAGGGTTTCCAACAGAACCCCAAACAAACACTCGAAAATCAGACCATTCATCGTGAACTCCGCGCGGAAGAAGACACACCGACGAAAAGTACACTTGTGATCCTTCAGAACTGATGCCCATTCGTCACAGCAGCAGGCGCCGATGCCGCTCCCGCCGCCGCGTCAGCAGCAGCCTTAACGACGCGATCTCTCATAAAAGCCCAGAAGCTGACCGGCGAAGCATCGATGCCCATCGAGTAAACAAAGCGACTGGCGAGATAACTTCCAAAAATGGCCCGGAGGTAATTCTGGGGGACACGCGCCAGGACTTTCTCCAATCCTCCCACGGCCTCGACGAGGACGGCGGGGAGGGCGTCGGATAAGACGCTGGTGCGAAGAGCAGTATCCTCCCAGAGTTCGGTGCGCGCTTGGAGTTCCTCGTCCATGGCGATGATGGCCGCGGACAAACGGTCGCTGAGGATGGAGAAGGGCGTCCCGGTAGATTCGTGGGCGCGCCACAAAGCGGAGAATTCCAGACGGGCGTTTTGGCGGATGATGGATTGGACTTGAGCGACGTAGGATTTGTAGAAAGCCGGAGGAGGGGCGAGGTTTTCCTTGGTGGAGGTCGGGAGACCGTTGGCATCCGTAGGCGTGGGGAGGACGTCGCAGCACATGTGGCGGCGGAAGCCGTCGTCGTCAAAGGCGAGGGCGGCGAGGACTTCCAGGCTGGAACTTGTCACGCCGCCTTTGTTGGCGGAGGCGTCTTTGAAGATTACGCAGCCGGCCTTTTCGAGGCGCAGCTTGGCGTCTTGCGTGAGGAAGAGGTTGGCGCCTTCGACGATGTAGGGGATTAAGGATTTGTTGGTCTTGGGGTCGATAAGCTGCGTGACGGTGGTGGAATCGATCGACTCGGGACGACCACCGCATGGCACGAAGAGCGTGATGGGTGGGATAGACGAAGCAGGAGTATCACCATTGGTGGCAGCATCGGTCTGATTGTCAGCCTCACCGGGCCGGAGATGGAATGTGTTCCGGAAGCTTGTGCCGTTCAGGACGACTTCGCCAGAGGGAAGCGTGATGTTGGTGTCCTCGACAAGGACACGGTATCCGGTTGTTGAGAGGCGAGATGTGTCAAAGTTCACAATCATCTTGCGAGACTTGGCCAGGCGAAGGAGCTCCTCCCGATCGATACCCTGAGGATCGACGAGAACACCGGAGCCATCGACGACGGCGACGTACTTCTCTCGTCCGAGGAGAATCTCGTTCGAGCCGAGATCTCCATCGGGACCGCCAGTCTGGAGCTTGCGCACTTGCGTCTCGTCCATGCCCTTTTCACGATAGATGCCTTGAACATACTCACGCACGGACAGGGTAGTCATGCCGTAGACATCGTGGGGAATGCCTCCCAACCTGGGACTCTTTCCGGTGAAGAAAGATTTCCACCATGGCGCTCCTCGCAGTCGAGCATGCTCTGTCGCCCAGTCGACCAGGTCTGCCGTATTCTCATCGGGACCCATGAAGAGAATTTCTTGCTTGCCATGAAGATCAACAATAGGATCTTTAATGCCAGGGCTGGTCGCGGGAAGGAGAAGATCCAGGATACTATCAATGTACTTCTCGAATGCGCCGGTGGCTTTGTCTTGGTGCTGCGGGTCAAGCAGGATGACACCTTTGCTGCCTCCTTCGGGAATATCCTTGTTCTTTCGTTGTTGTGTGTTGGCAAGGTTGTAATTCTCGTCGAACAGAGAACGGGCGTTGATGGCATACGCCTCGGTGCTGCGAGATTTGACGATACGAATACCACCACGAGCGACGTCACGGAAGCGCAGATGGAATCCGCGGAACTCGGAAGCGATGACGAGGAACATTCCGTAGAGCGGCTGAGGGTATTCTTGAATCGGCAGGAAAGAAGGATTGAGACGGAAGCTCAGCGCAACCTTGGTTGGGGTGTAAAAGTTGGTCTTGAGCACAGCTTGGTTGAAGATGCAAAAGGCAGACATGACCATTTGGTGATGCTCATTCACCGCCGTGCGAGTGATCAAGCTCTGTAGGGCATCATCTGACAACACAGGAACGACCTTCATGCGGAGATATGACAGCGTCGGAAGGAAATCGTCCTTGTCACCGCGAGTGTGCACGTAATGCTTGTTGGCGAACGCGAGGTACAGCGAACGGACCAGTTCGGGATAGCTGCTGATAATATCCAGGACGTATTCAGCAGTGAAGGTCTCCGAGCGAAGACGCTTCTTCAATCGTGAAAGCAATTCTGCATGGACGCTGTTGTTCGGGTCCAGCAGGGTAGTGAGGGTGTTGTACTCATTTCCGAGGCGATTGAGGAAGTGGTGAGTGAAGACCCAGACACAGTGTGCATAAGTGGCCTCTTGAAGGGATAACTGCCCACTGCTGAATTGTAGCTGGAATCGACTCTGTGGGATACAGTACAGCAAGGAAACCTCCTTCATGACCTGATGAATGCTGGCCTCGATAGGCGGGTGATTCGTCTTGATGTTCTCCGCTGGACGGAGATAGATTGACAGAATGGTGATTCCATTACTGAACTGCTCGATGTATTTTCGTGACGACGTCAACCCGTAGTAATGGTAGAGGTCACTCAGGGCAGCGAATAGACCGATCGCGCTGCCGTGCTTGAAGCCGACCACGAGGCGTTTCTCACGGGTGCCCTCGACGTCATACATGTCGATGACTGGTCCAGCTCGCATCAGAATGTCATCCAAAACAGATTGGTAGATAGCCTTAGTGTTGGCGGTCGCTTTGGAAAGGAATCGCTCGTCACCAAGAACCTCCACGCTTGTCTCGTCAGGCGAGGGTTTCGGGTTCTTGAAGGATGATTGATAGATGAAGTAACACCGGAGTGACTGATCGGTGTTTGGCAATTTGCTCGGTGATCGGAATGACTCCATACGGAAGCTCTGCGCCCCGGAGCTGGCGTCGAGATATTTCTTCTCCAGTCGCTTCTCGAACTGTGAACCATCTTGTGCAGAAACACCAGGGATGCTAGTGTCAATGTAGACTGCGTGATCCGCGGCTTCCTTGTCGAGCCGGATCTCTACTTTGTGGTCGTCACGGGCGTATGCAGCGATTTTGGCTGCGTACAGGGAGTGAATGTGACTGACAACAGCTTCGACGGTCTCGGTGCTGAAATACATGTCGTCGATTCCGAGATCATCGTAGAACCAGCGAGTCTCAGCCTCGACCAGATCGGAAGGGATGAAGCCCTTTTGTTCGATCTGATCCATGACTGTTTCCATCTGCTGGCCTTTGCCCTCAAACTTGGGAGCGTCATAGCCTGAGCCATTGTCCTGCACTGTATGGCTACGATGTGTCATGGGAACGCCGAGATGTGTTGGCTGTGGTGAAGGCTTTCGATGGTCGAGAAGACCATTCTTTTGTGCGGTATAGGCAAGCGGGTCAGGCCCGGGTGCACTGGTGATTGTGACCATGATGCTCGATTATAACGAGGACCCCGTGGTCGGTCTCACTGAGTGACGAGGCAGCGTGATGTGTACGTGAGAGGTGATGAAAGACACGACGAAGACAATGGAGAAAGAGGAGGGAGAGTTGAAAGAAAGTGGGTCTGTCGGCATTGACAATATATATGAAAATGAAAGAGGGATCCGATCAGACCGAAGGAAACATCGTACCCACCGCCGCATGTGACCCGTACCAGCACGGCCGATATGCTTTTCGGGAGTGAAGAGAAGCGTACCAATTGCCATGCTTGGCCCGTCCGCGTTTGATATGGAGAGGCGCTGGTGGTAGAGTCATCGTCACGGTGCCTACGTGAACGTCAATGCATGGAAGAATTACAGTGTGTACATGTGTGAGTACAAGCTGGTGAAATAGCGAGTGAAGGCTATGACCGGCTGAGCTTCCCCCTCAACGAATGCGCGCCTCCGCCGCCGCCGCCGCCGCTGACAACGTACGTATGTGCCCCGTCACATGAGCCTGTGCAAAGACATTAATTTACACTCTATGATCATTCTCCCGGAGAAAAACTTGTCTGCTCGGACCGTGAAGGAGCGTTATCAACCTTCTCAATGAGGCAGCGTGAGGCGTACACAGAACCGAATGGCTGGCGGATGCGCGTTCACCGCTGACGTTGACACAGAAGAGGTCTATTTTAGCAGCAGGCAGAGTTCATGCCAGGGCCTAGAATAACAACGAGAGATAGCCTAATTCGAACAGGGGTCGCGATAACAACCTTGGGCTATTATACAAAGTCGCAGATGTGCTCTCCAAAGGTTCCCATCAATGCGGCGCCAGTGCTGTAAGGAACGGCCCAGCGCGTTTGCTGGCTGAGGCGGAGCGATACGAAGGGTGATATGGGGTCAAGTCCCTTATCTCTGTCTCCGTGTTTGTGAAACCTGTGCCTTACACCGCCACGGCAAGGATGGGAAGGCTATAAATGGCCAATGCGAAGACGACGACGAGCACTTTCAACTGCCCAAAACAATCACAGATACGATAAGAGAGTGGAAAGGTCGTTGTACAATTCATGATGTGATAGCACAGGGGTCAATCGACAAAAAGGACATCTGGATTGGAAGGTCGTTGGGTTCACACCGCAGAGCGTCTATAGGATAGGGCACGCTGTACATAGTAGGCTATCTGAACCGCCGGGCTAGGCTGCCGTGGGGCGGGCGTCGTCATGAGGCTCAGCGGTGGATATCTAGGGAGGAAGGGATTTCAACATCCTCTCTCATATCGCACACATTTCCCAGATGTGTGTAGATTTCTCTTCTCGCCGTGCATCTCCATGTCAAGATCCCCGACATCATGAACAATCACGCAAGAATTCGTGCTGCACCCGCACAACACAATGTTCATTATTATGACAAACTCATCGTCCGATTTCTCCGCTTGCACATTCCCCAAACAGGTCCATGTGCAGTCAACAAAAGGCTGTATAGCGGAGAGAAACCCTGATACGACATGGACGAAAAAACCGAAGCGGTCACATTACACCGAAAGACCCTCCCCGCCGTTCTTGGTTTCACGTAATTATGGGGTAAGAACAATCAAAAACGGACTGCACATGACGGTACAGTCAGTACCTGGTGCTTTCTTTGATCTCTCCCAATGCCGCCGTTCTCCTCTCCGTCTCCGTGTGGCAGTCACACGCATGTTCCATCCAGGTCCTGCTGCCGCAGTTGAAATGCAGGTGTATTCGACATCCAATGGCGAGGACAAAACCAGGAACGAGGCCCGCCCGTGTGTGGCGGTTCGGTTGGCAGCGGCACAGATCGCGTGACACCCCAACAGCGCGGTATATAATAATAAGAATGATGGATGGGCGGGCGGGCGGACGGACGAGGCGGCGGCGGTAGCAGCGGCGACGGCAAGGGGCGGGCGGACGAAGGAAACGGTAAGGATTTCGAATGGGTGGACCTGGGGGAAAATTGTGTCACGAGTGTCACATGAGCGGGCGCGGTGCCAGGATCCCCCCATCAAATGGTGAGCCTCGACCCGCCGAGCCCGTGACCCGGACAGAGTGATGATCACGGTGATAAACCATACTGCTGAGATCCGCCTCTTTGTTAGTCCAACGAGTGGGAATTCTCACCAGTCAGCATGTATGGAATCCTTCCAAGGCTCATCACTCGGCAGATTTGCCTCCCAATGCGTGAGAATTGGATCCTCACCACGCTCTCCCTCCTTTCCCATCCGGTGTGAGCGGTGATTTGATCGTCCTTTCCGCCAATTGGTCAGCTCATCGTATGAGGAGGTAGCGGGTCAGCTGTTCTCTAAAGAAATTTTACCGAACCCGTTCAAATTCCACTCCATCGTCAGTCAGACGACCTACAGACGGATTTTCCGGGGTGAGAGCCGTTGATGATGCGCCCAAATCTTGAGAAACTCAGGATTTGGCGGGAGAGGTACAGTGCAGGGCTGATCCGTTGCACCCTTTTAGTCCAAGGGTGTCATCCAGTGTTGGATCTTTCGTTTTCTTTCTGTGTGTATGCGATGTTGCCAGGTGCTCATCCATACACAGTCCTGCCTCGTGTGCGAGGAATATTGTCTTGCAAATGTAGACCCGCGATCTTCGTCTTCATTCCAACAGATCAATTGATTCATCAACCATTCATTTAATCCTCTCCCGTAGAAAGCTGCCGTTGCCTGTATCCATGGATCACAGAGAAGGCTATTTGACAAGAATATGACTTGGTCAAATCCCGCGCGGCAAGTCGTGGACCGGGATCTGCACTAGCACCCCTGGATGGGACCACGTGTGGCTCACATCCGCTCAGCATCGATCACGATATAAGGCGGCGGTGTGTGTCAGGGGAGACTGTTCAGGGATACCCGCCTGCAGCCTGCTTGTTTAGCGATGGAAACTGAATACGAGCGAGGCATTGGAGCGATGATCGATCACATGCTCTCGTGATTTGAAGACCTCGAAGTGACTCGAAGAAGAGAGCTCATGCCTTGTTGTATCCATCTAATCTAGCGAACCGTCCATCTATCTAATCAATCGAAACGCCTGTCTTCCCTTTCCAACGAGAGACAACCTCATCGCTTGTTTCTGCACATAGTCGTCGTGATAATCATAAATCCCTCAGCGTATTTCCAACCCAATGCCAGATGCCCTCCCACCACTCAAATAAGAATGCTCGCCTCCATTCTAAAATGCTTCCGTGAAAGCCCAAAAGAAGAATCGAATGAAGTAAACCCAAAACCACTCCTCATACCCGAAGGCGAGAAAGTCAAAAACGAGGATTCCGCAGGCGAAGAAAGGTGCCCGAGGAGAAAACATTCGAAACGCCGTCGCTATGATGATGTAGGAGGTATCAAAAACGCTCATAAGTGGAAAGATGAGGAACGAAATGCTTGTCACGCGCATCGCTCTCATACGAGGAGCGCGAAGCAGATCGTCCCTGCCATTGTAAATGTAACCAGAAATTTGGTGGTCGGGTTTGACAGCCCGGCAGCACCACCGGTCGTAGGCGCTGGACCGCTGATTCCTGACATGATCGCGTTCGACAAGGAATCGTATCCCGACTTTGTGGGAGAGGATTTCGGCGATGCCGGTGCTGTGGTGGCGGTGGTCAGCGATAGTCTCTGGCTGCTGCTGTATGCCGAAGCAGTCGTCGTGGGTTGCGTGGGAGCTGTGATAGCAGCAGTCAGCGCTGACCCAGCTGTTGTTGCGACATCATCGCTAGGGACGGGGATTGCTTGGGCTGCACAGGCTGACGGCGACGCGGCAGCCGGAGCACCGAGAATCGAAACGACAGGTTGGCCTTGCGCGTTCCAGATCGTCGTTTGGTGAGCGGGAATAGTGACCGTAGTCAGGAAGCCGCGATCGTCAAAGCGTGTTGTTGTGATAGATCCAGGACCTGCGGCGGTTGCCTCAGACGAAGGCGGTGCGCAAGAGGGAAGTGGTGGTTGTGCCGGCGACGAGGCAGGTGACGAGGAAGGCGATGGCGAAGACGGTGATGGTGGGGGCGTGGACTAGAAAAAGACGGCGATGTCAGCGGGAAATCTCTCTTTGTGGAAAACTTTACGCGTCGGACGTCGGAGGGAGAAATTCCAAGAAATTCATGTAGAGGGAGGAAAAAGCTTACTCACTGTTGCCGCGCCGCTCGGCGGTCGGACTTTGCCAGAACTTGTGACGACCCAGCCGGAAGGCAGTCCTTCGTAAGACGTGTATGAGACGGTGGCGGTGTTGGTCCGATGCGTGCCGTCCCAGGCGTCATTCCCAGGTGACGTGTTTGTGATTGCCGGCGCAGGAATATTTGCCGTGACGCTACCGCCGGTATTTCCACTCACCTTACCTCCGGCAGCGACGATGCTACCGGCAGATCCACTCTGGTCGGAATAGGAGTAGGAAGTGCCGGTGGAGTAGTCGACCACGGAGAGTGACTTGACGTACATGGTGTAAGGAGCATTGGCGTAATTGGATAGACCGCCCGCCCATTGGATTGTGCCGGGTGAATTGGAGGGATCTCCTCCGCTCCACGACCCGAGCTTGAGCTGCATGGGTGTTTGAGGGAATTGACCATTGGCGTTGGCGGCGCTGAGGACGCGCACGGTCGCACCATCGATTTGCCAGATGATTTGAGAAGCTGTCCATTCGACCGAGTATGTGTGCCACTGCTGCTGAGTGTTTGATACTGCGTGAATTGCCGCACGGTCGTATGTTGTCGTTTGACCTTTGCCAAAGTAGTTACTTTGCACTTCGTTGGGCTTCCCGCCAAGCCATTCCCAATCGATCTCGTCCAGGTCGTCTGATTGCAATACCAGAGAGCTCACGATTCCAGTTCCGGGAGCAGCTTTCATCGTGACGGAGTATTTGCCAAACATGATGTACCATTTTGATGTCAGTGTTGGTGCTTCACCTCCGCGGGATACGGGAAAGCCAACTCCTTCACTACTGTAGGTGGGATTTCCGGCAGCTGTGAACTCATTCGATGCACCCGATGTGAAGTCGACAGATACTGATCGACCGAGAGCTGGATCTGCTGGACAACCAGACTGCTTCGTTGGATTGCAGGTTGACCATGTTTGTGATGTGACTGGTGATGTGAAGAGGAGGAAGCTTGCGAGGGTCGCCAGTGCCGTGAGGCGCCACGATGGGCATCCACCGTTGGAAGGGACCATGGTCGTTGTCTTGAACGGATCTAAACAGTCGTGATTGCGTCGTCCGTGATGTGTCGAGTTATTATTCGGGGCACAGCCGTTGTCTCAGATCGTGATATCACGCTGCGAAATGGTTGGAATCAAAAAGGCCGTGGCACGGAATCGAGGTGGACGAGGCCGGGGTTGATAAAGTCCAGCGAACAGGGACCAGCCATGTCGTTGAAGGACTGAGTCGTCATTCTTCAAGACGCGCGTTACAGAAATATACATTGGCTGGGAGTCGGAGGTAAAACGTCGCCCATCAAGAATATTCGTGGTGTAATATTGTCTAGCGTGAACGGACATATGTTTATTGTCAACCAGTCAGAACCTGGGAAAGACAGAAATCCGGGGAAGATGGCTGGGATTCGGCTGACAGCACATCCATGGTGGGTTCGAGTGGCTGGGGAATTCTGCAGAATTGCCTGATTGGGCTGTAAGAGGCGGTGTTCAGCTGTAGAATTCGCAGTCATGACCAAATATACCCAGACGTGAGTCCCTCCTCCTGAATAGCTCCCACCTACCGAACGGATGGTGCGTCTCCGAGAAAATGACGATCCTCTCGGATTTGAATTATTCCAAAATCGATCTGGAAGACTTCATCGTTTTGGGACGGATCGACTTTGAGACCGTGTGTCCTCCTCGCAAGAGTAGAAAGCTTGGAAATGTGTTCCTGCCCGCGGTCGGCTCAACTGCCGAAACCCTGAAAACAAGGGTCCAGCGCCTCAGAAAGTCTCAATGCTTCAAGACCCCTCTATTCTCGAACGAGCATTCTGGTACAGTAGAACGGTATCATCTAACAATAGACGATTCAGCAGTTCACAAAACCGAGAAGAGACATAATTGGTCCGTATTGGCAAAACCTCTGCACACAAGATTGCATCATGGCGGAAGAGCAACTCGAGTCGCAATTTCAGACACTGCAAATCGACAAGACCAGTATACCCGTCTATCTACTCAAGACCAAGTCCCTTCCCGTCGACGGCTACGAAGAACATCTCAGCAGCAACGGCAGCAGCAGCGCCGACCATGACGCAGACAGAAGAACTCATCAACCCATATTCGTCCCCGTTTTAGAACATCGCTTCCACGATGACGCATTGCGCACTCTCCGTCGCGCCGCCGAACGTTTCGCTTTCGCAGGGAGCAGTCCCGCCACCGCTCGACAGCCCGCTACGCACAACCCTGCCCGTCGTTACGGCGGAATCATCTTCACATCCCAGCGAGCCGTCGATGCTTTCGGGAGTGTCGTCGCGAAGCTCGACCCGGCCAAGACTAGCAATGGAACGCTCTTCGATGTCGACATGCCGCTCTACGTCGTCGGACCTGCTACCGCGCGGGGCGTCCGCGCCTTGGGCCTACCCTGTCCTGTGATCGGAGAGGAGACCGGCTCAGGGGAGGCTCTGGCGGCGAAAATCCTGGAGCATTATAATGCTCTGCCGCGAGACGCGACGCACCAGCATGAGCGGCCGCAGGCGTTACCCGGGAACGCTGGTGGCGCGGGGAGTGGTGGGAATGGCGCGGGAGAGAAATTGTCGCTGTTGTTCTTGACGGGCGAGCAGAGGAGGGATATCATTCCGAAAACTCTGCAGGGTGCGGAGTTGTTCCCCTTCGAACGCATCGGCGTGACAGAGTTGGTGGTTTATGAAACAGGCGAGAAGGCGGAGTTTGAAGAGGAATTTGGTGATCTGCTGCGGGAGGCGAAGAAGGCGCGTGTTGCTGAGCAAGCGGTGGTGGTCTTCAGTCCTCAAGGTTGCGAGGCCATGCTCAGTGCTCTGGATTGGATCGACGAGCAGACTGGACGGTATAGTGCCGCCCGTCGAGAAATCGTCTCGGGGCCGATTAAGACTCGCGTCATTACGATCGGCCCGACAACGAGAGACTTCCTGATTGAACAGTTCGGCTTCGAGCCCGATGTCTGCTCGGAAACTCCGAGTCCAGAAGGTGTCAAGGCTGCACTAGCACCTGCTAGTACTGCGTAAAAATCGAGAATTTTGCTGCTCGGGTTAGAAGATGCTGTTCTTTGTCCGTAATAGCTTGGAACAAGATACTGTATGTAGATGAGATCGATGATCCTCCTCCCGCAAGGCGTATCGAACATTTCGAAATTGATGATCTTCGTCGCCGCGTTATCGCCACAGTGTGACAACCTCCTGGGTACACCCAACCCAGACTTCACGGTACAAATCTCGCAGGAATCTCAAGCTCTCTTCGCATCCCGTAAATGTCTCCACGGGTCCTCCAAGAAGCTAGGCTTGAAAAACACCATGTCGCCATTTTCATTCCGCACTCCCTTCCTCATATTAGGACGATTCTGATCAACACCACCCTGAGCGCCGGCAGTTGGACCACCGTGAGTCGCTGTTGAAAAAGCCGGAGATGCGCCGGATACTTGCGCGGTGCTACCACTGGCAGCTACATTGGACTCGCCAGCAGCAGGAACGACGCCAGCAGCAGTCGTGGCATTCGCCGCATCTTGTGCGCTCGCTGCGGCCGGAAGGCGTGGGCCTGTCTTCACGCTATTGGCGCCCGTTCCTGGTGCAAGCTTTGCAGGAAGATTATTAGACTTCGCGATTTCGGGATCGATGAAGCCGTCGCCATCATCGTTATTGCGGTGGACTTTACGACGCTTGTTTGGAGCGCCGCCGAAGGAAGTGAAACCCATGGCTGCGGCCATGGCCGGGTCAATGGTATCGTCTTCGAAATCCATTGCACAAGGATGAGAACTTCTTGATTTGAGCTTTTTGAGGATTGTGAAAGTTTCTTGGGTTGAGGATAGATGTTTGGAAGGCTCGTGTGTGGATGAAGTCTGAGTGACGTGAACGAGTGGTCCGTGCTCCACAGTGAAATACAGAGCCGGTTGTTCTTTCTCTCATTACCACTTTAGCACAGATAACAATCTTCAGAAGCATTATGTCCCGAAGGCATATGGTATTAGACATATTTAGGCCGAGACGGAGTCAACTTCATCTGCTCGAGCGGATTCGCCTGGATGCCGAAAATCTCATAAAGCCAGCCCAACACAATCGGCGACGCCTCTGGCTCACCCATATGTTTCCTTCCCTCCACGAGCCGCACAGTCTTCGGCGCACCACGTCTCAGACAAAGGTAGTAGTCATCGATAGGGAAAATCTCATCATCCGTTCCATTCACCAACAACAATTTTGCACAAGTCGGCGAATCCAATGTCCCATCTTCGAGCAGCGAGAATTTCCCCTGGGCCTCTTTCGAGAATTTCTCGAGGTCGCTTCCGTAGCCCCATTTATGTGCCAATGTCGTCGCTAGGTCGAAGGGGTATTCGAGATGATTGACCCGCGATAGCCACTCCGGCGAGAACATATAGTGACAACCTCCCCCGTGCGCGACCACGGCAGTGATGCGATCCGCATGGGTGTGCGCGAGACGAATGCCGTAGAAACCGCCTGTGCTGAAGGACCAGCAGGCGCGACGGGACGGGTCGAGTTCAGGCTGGGCATCGAGCCAGTCGAAGAGAGTGGAGAAGACGCGATCGGAGGATGTGGGATCGCTGGGATCGGCGGGCGAATCGCCTGTGCCGGGGATCTCGAGGATGATGACGGCGACGTTGTGGCGGGACCAGCCTTCGATTGAGACGGCGATTTCGGTCCGGTAGGCGTCCAGGCCACAGAGGAGGATGATGGTCGGGACCGGCGATCCGGCTGTGGTGCCCGGTGGGAGGTGGTAGTAGAATGTCACGGAGTCTTTGTCGTCAGCTGAGGCATGCTTGTGTGGAATGGTCAATTCTTGGGTTGGGCGCTCGCGGAGGGCGAGACCTTGCTTCGCGGCTTTCTTGCCATCGGTCCATGCGCGTCGTTGCCATTCAGACCGCGGGGCAGGAAATCTCGAGATGCGGTATACTGCAGAGGATCGACTTGGTACTCCCGTCAGTACACAGACATTTGGTGGGTTCGTGGTAAAGCGTGAATAGCTCTTGAAACAACCTACAGGTACAACTCGGAGGCCTTTTCTCTGTTGCCTTCTTTCTCTGCAGCCTCCGCAGCAGCATAGAGCTCTTCTGCTTTCGGGAAGAACACTTTGGCATATTCGTCCCAATCATATGGTTCTTTCTGACCTTGCTGTGTGACTGTTGTGAGCAGAATGAACCGTTTCCAATCCATGAGTGAATTATCCCCATTCTATCAAAGCAACAGTGAGATAGCGATCATACCTCAACGAGCTTCGCAACAATCGGTTCGAAATCCTGGACAGCCGAGAACATGAACCTATCGATCACAAGTGAATTCAGCCTCCAATATCACGCAAACGCCTTCCCTCCTCCCCTGCCACAGGCACCCTTCGACTTTCAATGGCACAAGCAAACATACGGATATATGCCCATCTGACACGGTCGTTGCCATTTCGTCAACCACAGCTGCTCAAAGCTTTCATGATGCGGAGCTGGGACATCGAGTTTCTCCTGGATGAAGAAGCGACCGCCGGGGGGGAATGACATTGTATAGCTTTGAGACCGGAGACTAGTCTTTCGTTACGCAATCCTATGAACAAACAGTGGTCGTTTTGAGTGTTATTGTGTTCCGGCGAACGAGACAGCAAGCATATCTAGATAGATTCTGGTTATAGAGGAGCCCTGGAGGTTACCGATCATCGGAGGGCGGGGGCCGATCTAGTATCCCAAGAAAGATTAGGTAGGTAACGCCAAGCACCAGGGCGTGGCCACCCCCAGGGCGTGGCCACCAATTTCCGTATTAACCACAACAACAACTTCAACGCGTGATGGCTCCATCAAAACGCGTCCAAATGAGCTCAAACGAAGGGAGTATACTCCTTGCAATATCAGCTCTCAAATCAGATGCTATTGACTCCGTGTCAGCCGCTGCAAAAATGTACAATATCCCAAGATCAACACTACGTCGCAGATTGCAAGGAATGCCTAGTAGAGAGGACTACATGCCACAGAATAGCAGTCTTACTCTGATCGAGGAGGGCGTCCTTCTTAAGGACATATTGAAGCAGGATTCTCAAGGGCTATCTCCTACCCTTGATATTATACGATCTATGGCCAATTCTATCTGCAAAGCTAAGGGAAAACCTGAAGTTGGCCGGCATTGGCCTAGCAGGTTCATTCAGCGCAATCCCTCGCTAATAATGAAATCTGGAAGGACCTATGAATGCCAGAGAAGGCTCTGTGAAACTCCGGTAGTGATTGAGGCTTGGTTTGAGCTTGTGAAGAACACTATCAACAAGCATGGCATCTTACTACAAGACATGTACAACTTTGATGAGACAGGCTTTCAATTAGGCCAGATCTCAACTTCTAGAGTAGTCACATCATTTGAAAGGACTGGTAGGCCAAAGCAAGTCAAGCCTTCAGGCACTGAATGGATCACAGTCATCCAAGGAGCCTGTGCGGATGGTTCAGCCATACCACCACTCCTCATCTTCAAAGGCAAGACTATCAACTATTCATGGCTTGGAGAAGACTTTCCTCAGACATGGATGTTTGCAGTAAGCCCTCAAGGCTGGACAAGTGATGAGATTGGCTTGCAATGGATCCAACACTTTGAAAATCATACAAGAATGAAGACTATTGGCAGCAAAAGATTGTTGATCCTGGACAATCATGGGAGCCATACAACACCAGAGTTCACCTCTTTCTGTATAAAGAACAATATTGTCCTTCTCTGGATGCCTCCTCACTCATCTCATATACTCCAGCCTCTTGATGTTGCCTGCTTTGGCCCTCTGAAGCAGGCCTTCTCAAAACAGACTCAGCACCTGATCCGCAACCATATCTTTCATATCAACAAAAGCACCTTTATAGATGCATTCAAAGCTGCATACTTTGAATCAATCACACCTCAGAACATCCAGGCAGGGTTCAGAGGCTCTGGCCTGTATCCATTCAACCCTGAGGATGTGTTATCAAGGCTTGACCCATCATTTTCATCACCTCTCAGCGCAGCTTCACAGGGCTCCTGGTGTACAAAGACTCCAAAGACTACCCAAGAGGTGGATCAGCAGGCCACATTGATTAAGAGAAGGCTAGAAAGACATCAGAGCAGCTCTCCAACACCTATCTTTGAGGCCTTGAACCAGCTTTCTAAAGGAGCTCAAGAAATGGCTGCTTCTGCTGCTCTACTTCAGTCGCAGGTTTTTGCTTTACAAGAGGCTAATAAAGCAATGCATAAACGCAAATCCAGGAAGAGGAAAGCAATCCTATTAGACCATGCTCTGTCAGCCTCTCAGATCCAAGAGATAGTTGAGCAAGAGGAGGTAGAAGCACAAATAATAGAGCAGATGCCGAAGCCTTCAAAGCGTGCTAGCAGGTGTAGCAAGTGTGGTACATTAGGCCATAACTCTAGAACATGTAAAGTAGAGTAGCCAGTATTGATATATAACATATCTGAGTTTCAGAGCAATTTATTAAGTATTCGTTGAGATAATCAATATTGAAGGTGGTTCATGTTGAAATTGGTGGCCACGCCCTGGGGGTGGCCACGCCCTGGTGCTTGGCGTTAGGTATGTGGGGGGATAGTCAAGAAAACTTGAAGCTTTCTGCTTTGTCACGTCAAGTTACCTCGACAATGTCCTTCAACAACGTCAGCCAAAGCTGTGAAGTCCACGGACTTGATCTACAGTACCTCAAACATTTCTGGGACAAGATTAACCGGTTTTTCGAAATTACAAACGAGTGATTAATTAGGAGTAAAGGAAGAAAAGAAGGAAGGGGGCTCTTCAAAAGATTCCGCATATCTCAATCGCTGATTCCCATCAAATTCAAAGGCATCCCTATTTCCCGTTGCAATTTCACATTCTTCCCATCAAACACACTCGTACTCAAACGGGCCTGGAATTCCTGTGTACAGACAGCCCACTGTGCCCCAAGCGTGCTCGTGTTCTTCACTCCCTGTTCAATGACTTGGTCCAATTTCGCTTAAGTTCTGGGAATTTCGCTCTGGCCGAGCGTGGGACAGTCGTGGGAGAAGGGATGCATGTCGATGGTGGGTTCAGAAGCCGGGGCGGGTAAAGTGGGACGAGGAAGTGTGCGAGCGCACGAGCGCTGAGAAAGGCGACTCGATGCTACGTTCTCATTCCCTTGGGTTGCACTTGGAAGGGCGTGCGAAATGGGAAGAGCGAGGGGCTGGAGCAGGATAACTTCGGATGTTGTGTGTCGCGGTTCTTGTTGGTGTGGTGATGATGGCTGTGAAGGTGGAGGTGATCGTTACTAATGTACATGGTCCGTTGAGGAACAAAGGCGTGATTGGAGGGAGCTGTAGCGATGAGGTTTGCAGCGCTCGCGTGGTCGCTTTTTGGCAGACTGATCAGGAGCAGCTCTTGTACACGTTTGCGCCAATGGCGTACCCGCGTGCTGCGTCTGGGAAACCCCAGTGCAGACCGAGGCGCGGTGGACACTGACTCGGCAAGTGCTGTTGCCGAACATGAGCAAGCGATTGGGATCCTGGCCTTCCATTTTTGCCAATGGCTAGTCTTGCTCAATCCCTCTCTATCCAAACATTTCGCGCCTTCCTGCATTCAAATTTCGAACAAAACAAGCCCTGATAGCGTCTTCAGGTCCGCTTTCTCGCAAATCGTTTGTTGAGCAATTGCAGCACCTTGCTCACATTGAATTGAACATACTCCAGATCGAGATCTTCCTGTTGCTCCTTCTGCATTTCCAGGAGATCGTCAAGTTTCAAATCCAGTTCCAACAGACCACGATTTCGACCCTTGTAGTGCAGCGAAATGACAAAAGTACCAGGACTAGGACTCGTGATATTGAAGTAAATATTGGCGCGTCGGTTCTCCGGAACGTTCGATTTCTGAATGACGCCTTGCTTCTCCAGTTCCTGGTGGGTAAATTTGTACGGCCCGAGCACCTTGACGGTTTGGCCGCGCTTATTGGTGCCGTCGGACTGGCCACGGACGTTGTGCAGGTAGCTTTTGTAGGTCTCGAGTTGGCCGACCAAGTATGTGTTGTGATCACGAATGGTGCGGAAGACCTCCTCAAGTTTCTGACTCTCGGCAAGGACCTTGTCTTTCAACGAGCCGAGATGGACGAGCTCCTGTTCAATTTCGTCACGAAGCAGCGCGAAGCCGTCTTCACGATCGATCACGCCAAGTTCCTGCAATTGATTCAGAAGTTCCATCGCGCGAATGCCCTTTCGGACCATAACTGAGTCGTTTTTAGTCGTGGCTGCAGCTTCTGCCACTCGGTTAAGGTGTAAAGGTCGGCGCATGACGAGCGACCCAGTCGGTAAGGATCTCATGATCATGACAAAAGTTGATTTGGCCTCCATGAAAAAAACTTCGTCTTGTGTGATATCCATGGCAGCAGTGAAGTCATCAAGAGAAGTTTCCCATTTACTGAAAAGGGGAAGGTTGATGTGTCGATTTTCCTTACGTGGCAGCTGAGGCGGAGCAGGACCCAATTCGCCAAGCAGTTGACTCAAAGGCGAGTTGTCATCCTTGACAAGCTCCTTGTAGTGCTTCTCGATCAAAGTGTGAGTGGCGTAGACTTCGTTGAGTGTGATCGAAAGCTCAAGATCTTTCTTCGATAGCGCGACGTAGTTGTCCATTTCGAGACTTTCGTAAAAGTCCTGCACTTCGCACAGGTCCAGCATGAATTTGTTGATGCGCTCCTTGTTTGCCTCAATAAAGGGCTGGAGCTTCTGCATATAAGGTTCCTTGGCATAAGAGGGCTTGTTGGCCAAGTTCTGCAGCATCTTCGCCACGTACGTGAGGGTGCGCTTGGGGTTGTCGGCCGGGGTCTGTTCGATGAGCATGTACGAGCGGGGAGTGACAATGGCCGGATTGATGAAGCGTAAAAAGAAGAAGCCACCAATGAGGGTACAGAATGTCTGCTCCTGAGCATCGGGGTATTTTCTCCTCGTCAAGCTTCGAATCTGCTTGCAAATCCATCGAATTCCATATGGCGTCTCTTCCAAACCCTCAATGATCGTGTCCAAGAAAGATGTGGCAATCTCAATGAGCATTTCAATACGCGGACCGATGACTGACTGGACTGTCGGATTAAGAGCTGCTTGCTCGGCTGTAACGCCCTTTGGCAAATTGTCGGGCACTTGTCCGCCGTTTCGTTCGATTTGGTCAATCATCGCCTCGTAAACCTTGAGGGGATTGATTTCGAGGTCGAGGTCTTTGATGCTGATCAATGAAGCGATGCGCTCAGACAGGATAGTCTTGAGGTAACTTTGACCAGGTCCTCTTCTGGTGTAGGTGGTCATCATTCGTGAAACAGGAGTGTTGGCTCGCAGAAGGGAAGAATAATCAGGGGTATTATCGAATTGAAATGTCAAGACAGACTATAATGGTCAGTGGAGCTGTTGTCAATTGCGATGGTAGCTGTTGGCGCATACCTGAAACATGGTGAGCAAAAGGTGCTCTTCTCGGCTCTCGTATTGGTTTCCGTAGATGGTAAACATGACGGTTTGCAGAAGCTGGTCGATTTCGGCCATGGTGACCAGGCGACACAAATGTGCAATGTGTCGCGGCTCACTCTGCAGGAGAAAGAGCAGATTGCCGTATTTTTGCGTCTTTTCATCATTGGGAAAAGTGCCTTCGGTCAAGTCGGCCGAGTCGTCCAAGTGGCTGGCGACCTCTTCTTTCTAAGTTCAATCGTAAGATGTCTGTACCAACCAGTATCGATTCTCACGGATTGTCTTTACCTCTTCCAAAGCCATGCGATTCTGCACGAGCAGAGCAATTCGCGAGTCGAGATATCGCACATCCTTCTCCAACACGAAATTCTTTTTGGACTGAGATGATATCCGGGCTTTCAATTCTCTTAATGCTTTTTGCGCTGCACCGGATAGGTCAGTAAGATGTCCCCCATCAACACGACGCTCAAGATATTGTCCCCACCTCTCGCCAAGTCGTCCTCGATCTCCAAATCTTTTTGGCTCGCGTTCATGGACAAGTATAGGGCGGTAACGGAGTAGCGCTTCGACGCGCGCATCGAGCGCGAAGAGCTCTCCTGGGAAGTCATGGTGTTCTGCCGGGTGATGGGGATGAAGGACGAGCCGGAAGAGGTCGACGCGCGTGAAGGGGTCTGTAGTAACGACACGGCCATTCCGGGGACAGCCTACAGGACCAGAAGGCCGATGCTGAACCCTTTCGGTATGCGATTGAAGAGAACCCCAAGCGACGCGCCGAATGGCGACGGTTAAGAAAGCACCAATAGCGCTGCCGTTGACGTCGAGCGTTCACTGTTGACGGTGCTGTGGTTGTACGAACGGCTGTCTCGTAAGACTCTCCAGATGAGCGACCAGCGTTATTGGTGTAATTGAAATGCTGAGGTGGGCGTTGAAGGGTCGATTGCGAGGCGGCGAAGCTGGTATTCAATTGGCGTCGTTGTCGCTGTCGCAGTCGTTGTCGTGACTATCGCTGTATGTACGAGCGGGAGTGAGAGATGGGACGCCAGTGAAGGTGTAACTGAAGAGGATGACACTGAACTCGGCGTGCGCACAGTGGTTGTTTCTGTGGCAGTCAGGGTGAGAGAACCATAGGTGTCAGTTCAATGGGGAGGGACGGCGGGCGGATGTGAAGGCGCATGTGCGAGAGTGAGGGCGTGTCTGTGTTGGGTGTGACGAGACGAGGATGAACGGTTGGTGGTGTGGGAGATGCCGCATGTACTGATTGATGGAGGAGACACAATTGTTACAATCAGCTGGTGCGCCGATATGATGATACCCACTTTGCTACTGCAGTGCAGTACGGTAGATTCTCCTATAACACACATCTACACTGGACACGGCTATTGATTGTCTCTCCTCCTCTTCCTCTTATACTTCTTTCTGGTACTGTACCGTACTGTACTGTACGTGTTGCCCGCGAGTGAGCGAGAAACTGTCTCCGCCCGACATGGACCGATCGCTGCAGCAGAGAAGAGCAACGCGCGCGCGCCGCCGCCGATGATTATAGCCCTGCTAGGGTGCCTACCTAGGTAGTAGGTAGTAGGATTTTCCCCCTCATTTCCATTTGTATCCGCGTGCAAAAATTCCCATGGGCAAGCCAGCTAAAATAAATCACGCCAATCCATTTCGCGGCATCCACACCACTTTGGCCCCCCTCCTATGAATGATCTTTTACCCCTTTTGTCGGATTTGCTATCAGAGACACCCTGACTGAAGAGATCAGCTCCCAGCGATATCGTGGTAACCATCACGTGCCTGGTCGAACCATCTCGCCCGGAGCAATTTCGCGTAAGTGTTGTGTTCACCACCGACTGGCGTGACGGTGCTCGGTTTGGCCGTAATTATCCATCACACCCATCATCATTATGGTGACCGGTGACTGTTCGTCACTGTCGGCCAGGCTCGCCATGCACGGACACCGCCAACAGGCGGACATGGTCTCGACTCCGATATGGACTCGAAAAAGGCAAATGCGAACACAATTTTGCAGATGGGAAAAGCTTAAACCTGCCATTCGAACTTCTCGTCTGTGTAAACCGTACTGTAGTCCAAACGTGGTCAGCAGATATCGGCGCCATTGCACGATCGACGTCTGTGCAAAAGCTGTTTGGCCGTTGGGCGGGAGAAAAGATCAACGCCCAAGAGAATGGAACGGTTTCCAGCCAGATTTTATGTCCGAGTCCGACGACAGGGGTGTCTCCTGCATGAATCCATCGAAACGGCAGGGAAGAGGACGCAATCGCGTCGTCATTGTACACGGCCTCAAAGGCTCAAGCGCTTGAATCCAATCTCCGCCGATGGGAATGGATGTGGAAGTCTTAGAGCCCAAGCGTTTACTGTTGTGGTAGTTTTGGATTGCTTTCTTTGTCGCTGTAGATCTGCCAAATTACAGCACCGATGGCCATCCCTTCATGCGTCGTAGGTAGTGTGGAAGACCTCGCACGACCACTCAAAGCTTGCGGGCCGCCCGCAGCGAGTTTCTCCGCTCCGGCTGGATCTGCGCTTCCCAGATGGCATAATTTCAGGGGCGACATGAAACAAATCCTGGATGATTTAGAAACGTCGTGCGCCTGAAGTAAAGATAGTCTAGAAGATCTACAAATTTCGGGGAGAAATCTCGTCGGGCAAAATTGTGGATCAGGGAAATTTCCATTTCAACCAGATTGCTTGTGACAAAGAGTTTCGGGATGTCTTCCGAAAGACTTTCTGAAAATTGCCCAAGTGACAATTGTTCTTCGTCCTCGTCGAATCTGCACTTGCTATCTGCATGTCCTCCTCCTCCTCCTCGATGCCTGTTATTGACGCTTGCGGAGGCCCTTCAGAACCGCGACACATCCCTCCCAAACAGGGCATTCAAAGTCCAATACATGGGAATGAGCAGGCGATTCCGCCATGAGATCGACTTGACTAGATAAGCACCTCGCCACATCAGCCAAGCCGTCCGCCCACTGAGACTGCCTTTGTTTAATTGCACGATCGCATTCCATTTGCCGATGTACGCCATGATTCCTTGGTTGGCCTGAGCAATTATTTTCGTCAGCATGCGGTCTTCACAGCCCTACGCTTCATCATATGGGTTTTGTGTCAGCCAACTTACAAATGAGAATCCTCGCGTGTTGATGTCGCCTTTGTTGAGTTTCCGGGCTAACCACGTCGCCTTCTGTGAAGCAACCTGTGCTGTAGCAGGGTATTCAGTCCCGTCGATGATCGCACAATCGCCGAGCGCAAACACGTCCCGCAGCATGGCCGTCGACTGCGGCTGCTTGTCTTCGGTTGGTGACTGGGAATTCTTCGAGGCGGGATCGAGATTACTTTTCATGACCGCTGATGGTCTTGCACTTAGTTGAACTCGCAGGAAGTCATCTGTGATCACACTACCAGTTCGTGGGTGGGTCTGAACACTCCAGGTTCCCGAGGTCGTCGCCGGATCGGGGTTGGCATCACAATCCGTAAGCAGACGCACACAATTGGCAGGCGCGGAGAAAGAGGCGCCGAGCGCTTTCTCCACGAAGGGATTGCTCATCAGGCCGGTGCTCCAAACCACGAAACCACAGCCGACTTCAGATGAGACTCCATTCTCGAGTGAAAGTGTAAAGCCACTCGCCTTGACGTCATCATTTGTGGTTCCACTTCCGGTAACGTTTGGCAAACCACGGCGAAGGGCCTTGATGCGATGGCTCGTTTTGATCGTGACTCCTTCGCTATTGAAATGATCGATGGCGTATTGTCCGAGCTTCTCGTCGAACATCGGGAGAATCTTATCGGCGACATCGTAAACAGTGATTTGGACGTGTTCTTTCAATTGCGGATACAAGTGTCCGAGGTCTTCTCGCACAATGTCACGGAGCTCGCCAGAGAATTCAATACCGGTCGGTCCGCCACCAACAATGGCGAAGTTAAGGAGCTGCTTTTTCAATGCGAGAGGAGTCGTCGGCAGACTAGCGGTTTCGAAGCACGATAATAATTTATTCCGGATCTTGCGCGCATCTTGCACGTCCTTGAGAAAGAAGGCATTCTCTTTCACTCCAGGTATGCCAAAGGTCTGACTGTAGCTGCCCACACTGACAATGAGTTTGTCGTAAGACATGGAAAAGAGTTCACCACGGCTGGCTTCAATTCGCATCTCAATGGGTCGTTCATCACGCTCCTCGCCAGCCCGGACCGGAAGTAATCCGAGGTTAGGATCTCGCACCGTCTCCCGAACCATGATTTCCTTTTTACCAAAGTCAACAGCATCGGCTCGTCCTTGGATGTAGTCGTATGTACTGCTTCGAGATCGAATGGGCTCCAGTGCGGTGCGGAACTCCAGAGTACCGACGGAGGTCGAAGCAAGTAGAGGAGTAAAGACAAAGTATGAGCGAGGAGATACAAGCACGGTCTGGAACTTCTTTGGGTTGAGGCTTCGCGCAAGCGTATACCCTGCCCAGCCAGATCCGAGAATGACGACCCGAGTACGATCTGGTGTGAAATATCAGTGAGATCTATGAATATATGGCCCGTGGGATCACGATACTGAAGAGGTAAGATAAGACGAACCATTCTTGGCTGCTTCGAGTTGCTTGATGGTGATATGTCTCCGTTGATGAGAAATCACGCTGCTTTCACTATGAAGTTGTGGACGCTGAGTCGATCGTAGGAGCGATGTATCGCAGGCAAACCCTCGTAGTGACTGAACGGTCTTGCTAGCCATTGATGGATTCATTGTTGCTATTGGTTATGCTTTGTGTCCAAGTACGACGCTTCGAATAGCCTTTGTACCTCTCAAAAGGAACGAAGACAGTCAGTGCTTCGGATATGAGGTTGTCAAATTTTCGAAAAACAAACGAGAGGACATGAATAGAAGAGCGAATCACTCGCGTCATCATATCTCAAACATATAAGAGCAGGCCCAAGATGACCCACACAAACCAACACAGTCATCAATCCACGGTAATAGCTTAGCCGACCCGGCACTCGTTGTGCAGACTGCTAGCAGCCATTCTTGTGATTCGATTATACTACCGTGGTGACGAGTACGTAGCAACGAAAGAATCACTGTTCTTGCCCTGGATGCAATTCCCCGACCGTTCAGCTGGACAGGCAGGTGATAAGCTCCAGTGACAACATTGGCACCACCACAAGAGGACGGCCTGCGGTAGATCGTGATGTGTCACAAGCCATGGCCAAGAATGCGTCGCGTGAAACCTATGCAATTATCGGAATAGAGTGGATCACGCTTCCACATCTCGACATCCTCGCAGCCACCTTCGACGCCCGACGAGTTGACATCGCTGGCTTGTGACGAAAAACGTCATACATGCCCCATGGCCAGCAGCGTTGATACCTATGTAGTCCGAGGCGCTTACGTCTGGCTTGCATTGGTCGCTTTCCGGTGCCGGATCGTCCCCGTCTGAAGAACGCGTTCGCCGTTGGATGGCATGATGGATTTTTCGGCGCAGTACCTTGCATCAGAAATATTAAGTTCGAGCCGGAACAGCGCTATCCCTCGGAGGAATTCGGACCTCTGGAAAGCGAGAGGTGAGTCCTCCAATTGTTGCCTCGCGAGGTAAGACAGATTGATGAGGTCAAAGGATATGAACGTCATTGTAAATACATGATAACATATTTGTTCTACCCAAGAATGGATTTCGCAAATCATTCTGAAACGGTAGGTCGGAAAGCGGTGTGGCGAGGGCAGCTCAACGATGTTCCGTCGGCTTCCTTGGTAGATGTAGACAAAGCCATGTGCGCGCGGCCATGGCTTTCCCCACAATTTGGTTGGAGTTCACATGCAAATCACCCGGAGGATTTGGGGCTGGGCCTGAAGAATTGGACGTTCGGCTTTGTTTTGTCCACGGTACATGCTGCTGAAACGGCAGCTACCGGAGCGCGTTTGCTACTCACAAGAGGCTTCCAGTAATTCATTCGTTCCCTCATGTCCTCGCATAGACTTACTCGAATGGTGTAGCAGCCTGATGGGTTTGCCGCTGTTGCATTGGTGAAGCCCTAATTGCGTCGGCCACGGGATGATCTCGCCAAGGATTTGTTCCGATGGCGTGTCGATAGACGATTGACTAACATTACGCACGCTATTCAGGGACTTCAAAATGACGGAATGGGAGTATCTCTCTGGAAAACTGCAATGGCGCCAGGTCATGCTGGCATGAACAGGGCCAATTTGCCAGACGCGGTTCCAGCGCCCACCCAGTCCATTGTCGGGTGGAATTGTGCTACCGCGGGGACGGCTGTGATGCTGTCGTCTCCCAGTTGCGCAAGTTGCTTTCCATCGCCAGAATAGATATCAACAAAACGATTCATGTTGCCGATAACAAATCGCTGGATGCCGTCGCGCGGCCGCTGCTGCCACTGAGCACGCAGAATTGTAACCCAACGCCCTGTCTGGTTGTTGTGTGGAACGATTGTCGCAGGTTTCATTTCATCTTCACCCAATGTGGTTTTTCCAGGCTGCCAGCTACCACAATCGGAGAAGTCGTAGATCTTTACTGTGTCGTCATAACTGGCCGTCGCAACCTGGCCGGCACTGTTGAAAGCTGCGTGCGAGACGGACAATTTGGACAAGTGCTCTCCTACCAGTGATGGGGTACGGTCGTCCTTCTTTCCACTTATCTTGCGTAGATCCCAAATCTTCAGAGTACGATCCAGTGAAGCTGTTGCGAGTATATGAGGGTGTGCGGGATGCAGAGAGAATCCACCAATCTTCTTCTCCGAAAGCTGCATCAAGCTTACCTCGTCCTTCGGTGTGCGAATATCATGCATACCAAATCGTCCGTCCAAAGTGGTGAAGTGGAGCATGTTTGGATCGGCATGGCTGATCTGCACGCCAGACAGCGGCTCATCAGCACCAGTGTCGCTTGGCGCATAAATTTCCACCGCAGTGCCCTTTGCCAAATCTAATTTGCGAATTGACGAATCATACGAAGCAGAAAAAAGAGCATTCTGGTCGTGAGGTGCAAATGTGAATGCACTGATCGTCCTCGTATGAATTTTGAATGTTGTTATCGCCGGCTCTTGCTCCTCGTCCACGTCGCCATCTTCATCTGCATCGTCGGCCTCCTGCTTGATTTTCTCGGGAGAGGTTTGCGATGCATCGAACAAACCAAGACTTCCAAGCTTGTCGCCTGCGAACACAAGCGCTTTCTCCTCGGTCGGATGGAAACCGAGCGAGTATATCCTCTCAGGAGTAATTTTGATCCTGTTTGGCTGGGCGCCTTCCCACAACTGCAGGCTACTCATCCGCTCGCGTACTTCTCTAAGCTCTTTGTCGGAAGTGTTGCGGATATCTTGCGCATCGAATGTGCGCTCGCCCGGGTTTGCAGGTCCAACATTACTCAACCAATTCCCGGCACGATTCCAATGCCCACCATTCGTGATGGCGTCCGTGAGGTTAATGTCTTCACTGATACGTTGTCGCTTTGCCTTTTGTTCTTCTTGAAATGCGACAGCATCTGCTTCATCTTTCTGTCTAGCGACTTCGGAATCAGCAACGATGCCTTGGAGACGCGCCGATGTTCTTCGAGGCGCAGTTTCAACCTTGATCGCTCTGTCGGTTGGCCTTTTGCGCTTCTGAGCTGTTGATGATGAAGGCTTTGGTCGCGATTTTGGCCCAATTCCAGTCTGCTGGGCGTCTAATTGTAGTTGCTGTAGAAGTGCCTGATTCTTCGCGATTTTCTCCTGTCGCTGTCGCTCATATTCGCTCATCTGGTTAGTTTTGCCCGCCATGATGGCAGGTTTGATCGTGAACGGCCTGCCCGGATTGGTTATGTTCGTGTCTGCATATACGACAATTTGTGGAATTTCTGAAATGCTTCGGAGAGTCCTCAAATGTCTTTATGCATTATCTCTGTGTCGAGTGAAAATCTTTCTCTTTCTACGGCTGTTGATTTGTTGTACGAAGCGACCTCGTCATAATTGGACTGGACGATGTCGACCATGACGTCCATGACGGAGCGCGTCGCGTCCAGGCGCGTCTCCGACGAGTTCACACTTCGTCAGGCACAGAAATTCACAGGGTCATAAGTTTTGTCACTAGTCCCGTTTCGAAAATGCTAGCATCCATGGATTTCAAGACGAGGGAATTGTCTATGAAGTGTCACCTAGCATTATAGTTATGGAGCACATTCAGAACCTAAACTGTATTATAGTCATCGCAAATTCACCAGTCGCATCACCAACTTGATCGCCAAGTCAACAACGACGACGTCAATGGCTACAGCACAACTATCGGGCCACGGACAGAGCGTCTTCGGCAGGCAGCTCGTTCGGACAACACTGGCTGGCGTTCCATCTACGGGAATCGTACTATCTTTCCTCTATCAAACAAAGACTATCACACGACAGTACGCTACGGATCGCGATGAGCCAGATCGTCAACAAACAGACGGAGAAGCTTTACGCCGCACATCACCCAGGGCATTTGCACCGTTCAAAGGCCCGTCTGAGCGGGTGCTGCAGGCGGAACCCAACACCGACATCCTCACGACCCGAGAAGAGACTGAGAAACTACTCTCTCGAAAGGCACCATACCCTCTCGCCCGCAATCGAGGCCGCCGATCAGGACCATTGGGAGAATTGCGGCCGACTCATTACAAACATGGAGGTTCAGGACATTCTGCGATGGGTGCGAGGAGGGCCGGCATTGTTGAAAACATCGATCGAACTCAAGGGCTTGGGCATGAAAGAGACAAGATGAAACCAATGCAGCGGAAGGCGAGTCTCCCCTTTGAAGGTCTCGATAATATGAAAGAGTACAATGCTTTGGAGAACTCCTCAATATCCGCCAGAGAATATCAAACATTTGAAAAGCTCTTTCGCACCGGCATGGAGAATGGCAGTTTCAGCGGTACCGGCTTGACGCTAGATGAAATTTTGGATCAGGCAGTACAGCGCGAGAATGCGATGTTCGCCCCGAAGCCGGTGTCGAAGAAACCGATTGGCGTACGAAACAAGGAGATGGGGCCTGCAATAGGGCCTGCGGCTAATGAAGTTGAGGTGCGCCTTGTGGTGACCGAGTCGATAAAACAAAAGGCGAAGGAATTGCGGAAGTATCGTGACGCGATCGATAAAATACAAACCGACGCCGCGCTGTGGCAATTCCTACAGGAGGATGTCTTCGCCAAAGTCAAGGCACTTCGTCTAAATGATCCTCTCGCCAACGCGAATCGTGATCGAGCGCAAGCGGACAAGAAGAAAGCGGCTTATCTGAAGGCACCAGAGCCGGCTGTCCATCGGAAGCTGACCGCACCACCAACTCCTCTACCCATCGAAGAAGCCGATATTCACAAGTGGTCAACCAACTTTCCACTGATCATCAACTACGTTATGAAGACATTTGAGCAAGACTTTCCGGGCTCTCCGTTTGCTGCGTTGGTTTTGCCTGCTCTCAAGGGTTTGGGACCCTCGGAGTTTACATTTGGATCATCAACCTCGCTATTCAATTCGCACATAAACATCATGTTCCGTAAAGGCGACCTTGACGGCATCATGCGTCAATTGGAGGAGATGGATCGCGCAGTCCATCCGTTCGACGAAAACACGTTCAAGTTGTTGAACACCATACTCCGCCACAGCCAGAGAGCTACGCGAGGAGATTTTGGCCCCGGGCAGAAACTTCTCTGGGCTATGGAACACAAAACGCGCACCGTCAAGGGTATCTATGATTGGGCGAATCGCGTTCGTGAACAACTGCACGAAGATGCGCTGCGACGTGCCCGCGAGAAGGAAGCGGCTGCTTTCTCCGAAGGTCTTCTTGACGACCTACCTGACGGGCCTCGTGTCGTCGCTGCTGACACCTTGTCATATGTCGATGAGGGTCCCCTTCCATATGTTGAACGTAGAAGTTAATGTATCTGCGGGCCCACCGAGGTGTGGTTGACAAACGAGATGTGTGCGGGTGGGAGAAGGGGCGCGTTGAAGCTGCAGTAAAGATATCTCGCTGTCCTTTCGTCCAGGATTCCTCGCAAGCAAAATCCACTGCACCGAGGACCCAGCAGTCGTTCTGTATCAAAGCAACCTTGGAAGATATGTCAAATAGTAACGATGCGATCGCAATGGTTGAAACTTTGTTGCCGCTGTGATCCGATGAAAGCCAGCGATGGTGACCGGCCACTCCGGCCTTGCCGGCCTTGAAGAAGTGTATATTATCATTTGGTGTGTTCCACGATGGAGGGGCTTGACTAGTGGGGCAGCGATTGGCCTTTCTCCATGACGTCGAAACCACAACATTGACGATAACACGCTGTTATGCCGGAGAATTATCCTCCATGGAGGCGATCGTGAAGATAAAGAAAGTCGTGATTACATTCGAGTCACTGTTTGCTGGATTTCCCTTCCAAATTACCATATATCGCGCTGTGTTGTAGAAGAACACTTCATCTATTCAAGATTTATGTAAGATGATCCCGATGGTCACCGCTTCCTCCCAAACAGCTTGGCCCAGCCCATCCTGTTGAGCAATGATGTTGAACGCGCTGGGCCCGCGACACAAAATCATAGCATCGGTGGTACTAATTAGCTACTTCGCAGAGCCTCTTCCACCTCAACATCAACACCTTGACGCAGCTTCATCGGTAGAGCGGCAATCTTTCCCCTCCACTTCCTTGGGACATTACAGTCAGATCTGATCATCTGAATAACACCTTCGCCCCCGCTCGCAAGCAACACAATTCACAATGGTCGGACTCGGTCCAAAGCGCGCGCCCAGCCGCAAGGGCTCCATGGCCGACATGCCGAAAGACCTGCTCCAAGAGATCAAGCGCTTGGAAGAGATGTTCATTGTGGATACTACCAAACTGAAGGCAATTACCGATCACTTCATCTCCGAGCTGGCCAAGGGATTGTCAAAAGAGGGAGGCAGTATTCCTATGAACCCAACCTGGGTCATGGGCTATCCCACTGGCCACGAGCAGGGCACGTTTCTCGCATTGGATATGGGCGGGACCAACCTGCGTGTCTGTGAGATCAACCTCCCAGAAGCCAAAGGCGAATTTGACATCATCCAATCCAAATACCGCATGCCCGAAGAGCTCAAGACGGGAACTGCGGACGAGCTGTGGGGATACATCGCCGACTGTCTCCAGCAGTTTATCGAATACCACCACGAGGGCGAGAAACTTGACCAGTTGCCTCTCGGCTTCACATTCTCATACCCAGCATCGCAGGATTACATCGACCACGGAGTGCTGCAGCGCTGGACCAAGGGTTTCGACATCGACGGCGTGGAAGGCAACGACGTCGTGCCGCCGTTCAATGCCGCCCTCCAAGAGCGCGGAGTGCCCATCAAGTTGACTGCTCTGATTAACGACACCACTGGTACTTTGATCGCCAGTAACTACACCGACTCAGAGATGCGGGTGGGCTGTATCTTTGGAACTGGTTGCAATGCCGCCTACATGGAGCACGCCAGCGAAGTCCCTAAGCTTGCAGACTGGAATCTCGACCCGAAACAGGAAATCGCCATCAACTGTGAATGGGGAGCTTTCGACAACGAGCACAAGATCCTTCCTCGCACCAAGTACGACATCATCATTGACAAAGACAGCCCTCGTCCCGGTCAACAGGCATTCGAGAAGATGATCGCTGGACTCTACCTCGGCGAATTGTTCCGTCTTGTCCTCGTCGACCTTCACGAGCAGCCTCATGTGCAACTCTTCGAAGGCCAGGACATTTCCGCATTGCAGAAGCCATACTCGCTGGACGCCAGTTTCCTCTCGGACATCGAGAACGATCCCTTCGAGAACTTGCAGGAGACCAACGACAACTTTGTCGCGAAACTGAAAATCCAACCCTCCAGGCCCGAGCTCGAACTCATCCGCCGCCTCACCGAGCTCATCGGCACGCGGTCCGCGCGATTGAGCGCGTGCGGTGTTGCGGCCATCTGCAAGAAGAAGGGTTACAAGACATGCCACGTGGGCGCTGATGGATCGGTATTTAACAAGTACCCCCACTTCAAGGTCAGTCACGATGAAACATCCTGACCCTCCCCCGTGATTGACACACCTCGCTAACCTTTCCCATGGTCGTTCAGGTCCGCGGTGCACAAGCGCTCAAGGAGATCCTCGACTGGACCGAAAGCCGAGACGGCCGACCCCTCGGCAAGGGCGCCGATCCGATTGAGATCCTCCCCGCCGAGGACGGCTCCGGCGTGGGTGCTGCGCTCATCGCCGCGCTTACCATCAAGCGCGTCCAGGAGGGCAAGGTCATGGGCATCCGTGACGCAGAGGCGCTCCTGTCGGGCACTACGGCGAACAAGAAGGATAAGCCTGTTGATAAGAAATAAGGGTGGGTAAAGAATAAGGGTGAGCAAGGAGAGGAGCGCTGAGGGGTAGCTGGAACGAGTATCACGAAGTGTGTAACGTCACGGCAGCTTTGGGTTAAATTCCTTTTTGGTGTGTGTGTGTGTGTCTGTGTGTCTGTATCTGTGTGCGCAAATGAAGTGACGACGATGCCATGCCTTCGACGAACGAGAATGCAATGCCGCGTGCCGAACTGACTGGGAAGCATTGAACATGAGAAGTAGACTATGAAAGAGTGTGATCGGTGCAGGTGCTGGTGAAATCAGGAAAGATCGTGCTGAGATCGACTTTCCCATATGTCTCGGATCCGCTCCCAAGGGCTTTCGATCGGTGTCTGATTCGCATGGGCATCTAAAACATCATCGAGGATGGATCCTCATCAACATGATGAGCACGAAGAATTCCGTCCCATGAGTTGCGCAGTTCCCACCTCCGACGAGAAAATTCGGCTATCATAGAATGCACATTGTTGCCGGACCAAATCCCCACTGAATGAGTCAGTCGGCTTCAATTGTGACCCTGATGATCATCGTGACGGGCCGACGCAGCCCTCAACCTAAGCCGCCCTGACTCCTCACTGCTGCCCTCTCCCTCAGAAGCCCCCCCGGCGGTTCCGCGAACGCTTCATCAGTGCGGCTGATGAATGACTCAACAGTACTCTCTACCACGTTGGAGCCGGGATCGGGGAGGTCCACTCCAATGCGTCACCTTGAAGGAAGGAGGGCACCGTGGTGGTGGTCTGGGTCCATTGAGGTGAGGAGGGTTGAGGTGCATTTGAGGGCTCATCGACCGTGATGGGCTCCAGGGACTGTTCGGGAATTCCTACCGTTCGTTTGTAAGTTACTTGAAGAGAGCGAATATCCAGCTTATTATTTATTGCTGCAGTACCCAGATGGAGTCAAGTGCTATGCGTATGCCTGGTGCAGCAGGTATCTACATGTACCTAGGTAGGTAGAAGGTAGATAATAATGGAGGTACTACAGTAGGTAGGATAAGGGCGCGTGGCTGCCTTGGGCTTATCGCCGCCCTCTCCGGTACCTGCCTAACCCGCCTGACTGCCTGACCTGCCTGACCTATCATATGACGATGATAACTCGAGCGAGGGAAAGTGATCAGCATATGCGGATGCCGACAGCGATGAGGGCTGGGGAGTTTCACGTAGAATGGTCCACGGGGATATGTGGATGTCAAGAGATAAATACAAGCTGTAACGTTCAGTGAAGGAAATGACGTGAGGAAGATTCATCTGTTCATCACACCGACGTCGTGTTTCTTCCTATGAATGTCGAGAGGTCTGCAGGTGTACATGATTGTGTGTACCATTGTCCAGCACCTGGGCACAGTTCATAGCTCGAGCTGCCCTTAAACCAGCTGATCACACCACACCACACTTCCGTCATCCTCTCGGGAGTCATCGCTCACTTTACTTCACACTCCTCAATACTCTCCAGGGCCTCAACCACAACCTTGGAATCCTCCCAGTCCCTCACCATCGTCGTTACACTTCCTCTTCGTCCTACACACCTACAACAGTAAGAACACCGACGGCGATCGCTTCACTCGAGCTTGCACAGAGGGTCTCCCAACTCCGCCATGTCGTCTTCCATGCCCATCCCACCGCGGAAGCCGGCCGTAGGCGCCTCGAGCAACACCGCCTGGTCACCAGCATCGTCATCTTCCTCGTCAGCCTTTTACTCACCACCTTCCGCTTCCTCCTCCTCCTCTTCTACTACTCCTGGGAACTCAACCCCGTCGACCAGTTCCATCCCGTCCACACCAAACATGTCGTCCAAAGCGAAGCAAAAGGCACCCATGTCGGCATCTCCACCCTCTGCTGGCTGGATCTCACCTCGCCGACCTTCACTACTCGGTAAGACGAGTTTGTACAATCTCACCCTACGTCGACCGAGCTGACTAGTGGTTCCCACGTCACAGGCAGCTCATTCACCCGGTCGGAATACACGGTCGTCAACGTCAGCCATTCACACGGTCCGCCTCGACTGGTGAGTAGTCACTTGACCCATCTCGATCATTCCCGACCCGAAGCATCTACTGAACAATCATAGGTCACATGTGTCAAGTCTTCCCAAGGCTTTGATTGGAACCAAGGTACGTTTCCATCCACGAAGAGATGGCTCGCGTGACTTCCTTGGAAACGGAGGGAATCTGGCCATCCTTCTTGGAGGATAGATTGAGTTGATGAGCTGACGACAACTCGCCCGACAGAGCTGTTCCTACCATCCTACGCTGCTGACTTCGACGCCCGTGTCCTCGAGCACCGATCGGACCCTGTCGAGGACATCATCCTATCCGACGAGGAGGCTGCCGCGATGATGCCCCAGTGAACCTTCGGGAAGAGATTGTGTAATTGTGCAAGGATATATCGATATTAGCATTGAGATGGCGGTTGGGCATGGAGTATCTTTGGCGTCTGGGCAATTGAAGACTGCAGTGTTTGGGGATTATCGGATGTATTTGTCTTTCGGAGTCGGGGATCGTTGGCGTTTTGGGCATGACAGGGAGTCTTTTGTCATCATGGATTCAGCGACCAAGAGATCAACTGGCGGATGTCCAATGTTGTGTCGCGTCTCCGTCGTATTGACCGCTTCCACGGGAGTCTTCATCACGATACATAATAAGAATGATTTCGCACGCCTTCTATTCTAATGACTTAACAATTCCTGTCTCATCTTCACATAAACCATGTGCTCTATGCTCTACACTTGACCCTTATTGTATCAATCCCCGTTATCTGACTCAACCCCATCAACGAGACACCCGTTCTCTCCTATGGACCTTACCGGCTTCCCAATCGCCCTCACGCCGATCCTCTCCGAAAGATGCCGACCCACCCAGATAGAGTTGATAACGAACAACGCCAGTGACGCACGCATGCAGGCCGGCCAGTGCAGCAGCCGCAAGCCGAAAACGCGGGGGAAGGGAAGAGAGGAAAAACGGACGGCTTTATGGGCGGCTTTAACGAGCGGGCTCGCTGGACAATGTCAAAGGGCAAGGGTCCCCCTTCCGCGAGGGTCTTCGCAGCCATTGGGATATGTTCTGTCTTCGATGGAGTCGACAACATCCATGAATATCCCCAGCACGATTTGCGGGAGACCTACATCTGTCCACTGCTCGGAGATCGGATGATGTTCACGGAAATGTCTGGGTGGGATTGTGATCGAGCCTCGGTCGTTGTTACGGTATGGCCCCATGCAATGCCTTGAGCGAGAGCCGACCTGATGGGGTGGTGGTGACCGGACGTCATCCCGCTATCGATAAGCCCCGACAGCATCGCAAACACTCCAGAATTTCCCGCGTCGCGGCGCGTCTTCCCCAAACACACCCATCCATCCTTCCAGTCCCGTCGCGCGAGCCAAATCAATGTCAGCGACAAGTATCGCCCAGCAACATCAACTACGACGACATTGATTTTTCCTTCCCCCCATCACCCCGAAGAGGAAAGCAAAACAAAAAAACAAGGACAAACAGCTCACGGTTCCCACCCGCCTCGCAAACCCCATGTCCGCCCCGAACATCTTCGACTCCTCCGCGCCCGCGCACCTCGGAGGCGTCCGCGGCACCGAAACCGCCCATCGCAAAATCGAACTCCAAGCGCCCGAAGATCTGACTTTCCTCGTGGCGAAGTTGTCGGAGGCGGCGCGGGAGAGGATCGAGAAGGAGTTTTCCACCGCTGCTGCTGCGGCGGCGGCGACGGAGCAAGGGAAAGATGGCGGGATCGGAGTGGACATCAACGGGGAGGATCAAGCTGCGCTGAGGAGGAGGGTGGAGGAGCTCGTCGATGAGGTGAGTGCGGATGATACGTGTCGCTGTTGTTTCTGGAGGAGAGCGGGGAAGGGAAGGGAAGAAAGGGCAGGAGATGAAGGAAAGATAAAGGAAGATGGCAGAGACTAATAACGGTTGGGTGTGGACAGTATGTCCGCGAGACGTTTTCCGCCGCCAAAGATAGCCTTTCCATCAACGGCATGGACTCGCAAGAACTCGATGCGGAACTGGCCAAAATCCAAGAAGGTGAAGGTAAGTGGAAAGAAACACCCATGATCCCCTGCCTCACGCGAGCCGGACGAGATTCCTCCCCACCAAACAAACTAACGGACGATCGACCGACAGAACTCGCCCCCTTCGACACCAGCCTCGCCACCAAAATCCAATCCCTCTCCACGCAGATCGAGGCGCAGACCCTGCACCTCGCGAGCGTGCGGCGCAAAGCGCCCGCGCAATCCGCCCAGCGCTTCCTCTCGAACTTCGAGGCCCAGCTGGCGAGCAGCGCCGCGCGCCTGCGATCCGACGAGGAGGCCCGGCTCGCCGAGGCCCGGGGCGCGAGCGTGTCGGCGGGGATCCTGCCGCCGAGGCCCGAGGAGGTCGGCGAGACGTTCCTGCGCGGCGTGCGCGATCTGCAGGGCGTGAAGGGCGGGATCGCCGCGACCCTGGACCGCCTGGAGAGGGCGCAGAGGGCGGTGGAGGTCGTCGGGGAGAAGTAGGAGGACGGGGAGGGAGAGGATGAGCGTGGATGAGAATGGATGTGTTGATCGGAGGGAGATGGGGGAGTGGGTGGATGGTGACGTTGATTGATCGAAGCGAGGATGACGCGACGAGGCGGATTCCTGGCAGGGAAGAGAGGAGGACGAGAGAGGGCATACGCTGGTCTTTGATCCAAGAGAGTGGAGGGGAGACCATCGGAAAGGCTCCTCCCTACTTTATGCCTTTTGGCTGTTGGTTGTTGTTGCAGTTTACGAGATCTTATACCCCCCGTCTTGAAATGCCTCGAGAGCTTTTTTTCAGCTTTCTTTTCCCTGAGGACACGCGTGCATGGGTAATGTGCTTCGGGATTTTCACGTTCTGGCAAATTCACTCTTTCGATGTCGTGGAAAGGTGAGCGGGCTGGAAGAAGGCAGGAGTCCCAATTCTGCCGCACGTTTTCCTGTCTACACAAAGGAAACCGGTAACACCGCAGCAATTCCCAGGCTGGTGTCACGACTACGATTTTCACACAGAAAGAAAAGAAGAAGGAGCGCGAGGTTGATTTCGGAAGATCGTGAATTTTTTTGTAGTTATGTATGTGGAAGAAACAAATCTGTCATTGAACAATGGACTTTTTTCTTCTCCGTGGTGGAGCCAAAAAAAGGGCCATCTTCGCTATGCTATGCTATGCAACAATTTCTTTTTGAGAGAGAAATGAAAAGGACCGACGATGCCGATGTTCCATCATGCCGAAAGCCTCCGAGAGAGAGATTAATCATTAGAAGAGATGAGGGGACGAGGAGGAGTTGTGCGCTCGCTTTCTGGGAATCGCTCGCTTCTCCGGATCGGTCGGGGGAGGCGGAGGAGGTCTTGGTAGTCCCGAGCTGTGGTTATCGCGATGATGGAGCGCTTATGCGTATTGCCAGGCGCCGGGGGCGGTGCCGTTGATGGTGAGGAGGTTGCCGCCGAGGCAAGTGGCGATGAAGCTGACGCCTGGGACCTGGGCGAAGAGCTTGTAGGCGTGGCTGTCGCCGCCGACGGGGCAGAAGAGCAGGCCGTACTTGTAGCTGAGCTGGCCGAAGGTCTTGCCCTCGATCTTGGACCAGCCGGTGAGGCTGGCGCCGGCGGGGATGCTGGCGCTGTGGGCCTGGGTGTAGCCGACGGCGCCGTCCTTGGCGACGTAGATCTGCTGGCCGCCGGGCACCTGGGTGCTCAGGCCGAGGGTCTCGTGGCCGCCGGCGAAGAGGGTCTCGCCCTTGCCGACGGGGCACTTGAGGCCGGAGACGCCCTCCGGGCAGTAGGTGGTGGTCGGCTTGCCGATGTAGAAGGCGTTGCCGGTGGCGTTGAGCTCCTGGAGGTGGATGGGGCTGCCGGAGCGGGTGACGATGACGCCGAAGTCGGCGGAGACGGCGGCGGTGAGGCCGGAGAGGACGGCGACGGTGGAGAACTTCATCTTGATGGTTGGGTTGGGTTTGGTTGGGTTGGTTTGAGGAGAGCGGTGGAGGTTGTTGGTGAAGAAGATTGTTTGTTTGTTTGCTGTGTTGGATGATGAGGAGAGAACAGATTGGAGGGCGGAATGTTGAAGTCTTATATATCTGAATGCGACACCATCGAAGACATTGTCAATGCCGGCGATGATCTCTGACGATGAGACCTCTGACGGCAGACGTCACGAAGCTCCAGAACCCCTTCGACCGCGATGGCCACCAAAGGGAAAAAGCGTGACACCATGGTGGGATTACAGTGCAGTGCGGTAGTTGCAGAGTCGCAATGGAGGGGAGGATTCACGGTTGCATAGCGTCGACGTAGTGCGTGTCCCGAATTAGTGCACGAGCGTTGAAAACCGGGGGTCCTAACAGTGGCACACTCCACTACGTCGGCAATAAAGTTCTGCCAGTTTCTAGGGCTTCCCCATCAATTCTGTGAGGGAACGCCATCAATTCCTGCCGTAAATCCCACACCTCCCCTGAGTAACCTAAACCTAACTGGACCAACCCCATGCATGATGTCAAGCGCATTGCCCGCCATGCCATCGAAATTGTCATTATTATGCATGTCGAACACGAGGTGGGTTTGGACACTAATGATTCTCATCTGCCACCACGGTTGAAACGTTACCCTCTGCGCTACTACGACGACTTTTGCACGCTGGAAATAAATATACCGCAACAGGAGTTCGTATTAAGTGGATCCCGCCAGAGACAGGCGTTCGTCATGGCATCGTCCTATAGCGAGTGGAGCAAGGGGAGATGGAAACGTTAGGCGAGTTTGATGGGATCGGCCAACACGATTCCAATAACGAGCAGAAACCGACATCAGCTAGTCTCTCGAGAATCATCACTTTAATGCCTCGACACCGGTGGGGATCTACAGAAACATCGGTCTCACGTAAGCTCGTCGCCCTCGGGCAGCCAATGGAGATCTCGAGGCAGTTTAGAATTGATCGTGATGCGCGCCTCGTCCGGGATCGGTGGGATTTAAGGCCTCTCAAGGCTCACCTCCGCTTCATGTCTTGTCAGCACTCTCAAGGGTCTCCTCACACAGGATCTCCTCGCGGTTCCATCTGCCGCATAGTTAGTCACCGTGTGCGGCTTACGACATCAATCACGTCAAATGCCTCGTCTTCTCCTTCCCGCCTGAGATCAGCACCGGAGCGAGGCCTCGGATCCCATCAATCCTTGGCATTGTCACTCAACTCGCCAGCCCGGACGGTATACATTACACACCGATCACCTTTCTCTAGATAGAGTGCATCCTTATTCTATCCATCTAAAGATAGAATAAGCCAGGACAATGTTCCGATCGACAGGAACGATCGCTTCGCTAGACCGCCGTTGGCAGCGTTACATTGTCCCATAGCGGGAGGGCGCTCGTGATGAGGAAAGCGGAGATGGTCATGGAGAGAGAGAAAGCGAGGGAGAGCAAATTCGACCCCGATCCCTCGTACAGAAACCCTACTACGCTTCGAAGGAAATGATCGGCAAGCCACAATGATGTGGGAGAAGAAAAAGCGCCACAAAGAGAGCGACACAAGGATAGAAAGAGAGATGCGCGGCCCGTGTGTCCGCCGTCGGCCTGACGTTACAGCACAAGAAATGACAGGCCTTGATGGTGGTGATGATGATGATGATGATGATGATGATGATGATGATGGGACGGCGCATATGATGTGTGGCATTTCTGGGCGTTCTCGGCTTGCAGGAGTTGGAGGCAGAAGGCGTTCGACGGGCGGACGGCCCTGTCGGCTACAGGCGGAATGGGCTTCGACAAAACATCCAATCCAATTGAATAAGGTACAGCAGGTCCATGTCGCCGATCATTGCCACACTGACTGATGGACTTGACGGACTGACGTATCGTTACACCCTGACGAGCTATTGATAGAACCCGCCCTAAGCTCTCCAGGGCTAGAGGGAGAGTCTGCCTGCGTTGGAGAGTTATTATGCGTTCCTTTCTCCGTATACGATGTTCTCCCTCGCATATCTCTCTGTCTCTCACATGTACCATAGTTCTCCAACCAAAATCATGCGCACTGCTGCGTGCACACCGTATAGAATACATACCGTATAGCAGCATATAGTACACATGGTAATTATGATGTACATTAAATCTCCCAAACGGGCGCGGATCTTCCGAATTTGCCGAATACGGGACTCGGTATCTTCCGAGGGCTTTTCCTTCACGATGACCGTGTTTCCCTCCCCCTTCCCCACGCAATCCAGATTTCGTCGGCGGCGGTTTTTTTTTCTTGGTTCGAAAACATCCCTTCAACCCCGTGCGGTAGTGGTAGGTCGGTCGTACAGAGTCGAGTCGGTTCGATCCGGCAGATTTTGGGGTGACGACGCAAACGCGGTCACATCCGATACCGATATGATGTCAAAACGAACCTCCCTCCCTCCCTCTCCGGCACTTCCGACGTTTCGTTTCGCGGGCGCAACCTCCTGCTACCCTTCGCGATTCTGCGTGTACGACATGGACCCACCATGTGCCCATCCGCATGGTCCTCGCTGATGCAAAGGGAAACCCCATGGAAATTGGTCCCCCGTTTCATGAGATCGTCGATAGATTGAACTATCTCCTAGCTAGTGTCTGTCAGGCAGACCAGGGTGAGAGAGAGAAGAACAGGACGGGGTTTCTATTTTTATAACTCGTTGTGCTCATGAACCTTCTTCCCATCCGGTGGCGCGGCGCCCGCACTCTTCTGCTTGGCCTGCTCCTCCCTCTTGGCATCCTCCCTCTGCAGAACCTCCTGGATACTCTCCCCGCTTGCTCCTCCGGCGCTGCCACCGGTGACCGGGGTCCTCGCCGAGGCGTTCGCCGCTGCGGTCAGCTTATGCTTATGTCTCTGGGCGACGGCCGCGATTTCGTCATCGTAGACGGTCCATTCGGGGACTTGGCGGCGGGCGCGGTCCAGTTTGGGCTCCTTCGTCTGGGGGTTGTTGCAGAGGTCGATGGTCTTGGCGTCTTTGAGGCTTTCGTCCGAACACCAGGTCTCGCACCAGAGCCATTCCTGGGGCAGGCTGTGGATCGGCAGCATGGATTGCATGTGGTTGGGCAGGTCCTGGTCCAGATTGGATAGGCTGTTGGGGTCGGCGGAGAGCGCGTGGTAGTTCTGGCGCAGTCGGTCGCCGGCCGCGATGCGCCGGAACTCCTTCAGGTCGACCACGTACAGCGCGGAGATGTGGTAGGGCAGGCCCTGGAGGAAGTTCTTCCAGTAGCCTTGTTTCCAGAACCGGAAGCCCTCCATCTCGACACGAGAGTCGCACATCGGCGTGAAGCCGTAGGGGGCGCCGTGCAGGTCGTGCTGCACGAGCTCGTACATGTCCGTACGCACGATCTGATCGGCGTCGACGAAGATGACCTTGTCGAGGTCCAATGGGAACAGAACGTCCAGGAACAGGATTTTGTAGCCCCAGATTTCGCGCTGCTTCTCTTTCTGTCCGCGCAGCCAGTGCGGCCATTTGTAGGTCACCATCTCGTATTGGAACCCATACTCGGACGCCAGAAAAGGTAAAAAGTCTTTGAAAGAGGGGGACAGGAACTGTTCGATGAACCAGAATTTGACGCTGTGTTTAGTATGCTTCGTGACTGACAGCATCATGATGTTGAGCATACGTTCGTAAAGGTGTCCCGACGCAACCGAGAAGATGTTGATGTCGGCGTGTCCAGATGACGCCTTCCCACCTCCGGGGAGCAGTCCAGCACCAAACTTGGCTGCTTTGGAGAGGTACTTGCTCGCATCTGGCAGTCCGGCCTGGTTGAACAGTTGTTCAGCACCATCGGCCAGATTCTCAAACGTGGTCTTGGAGACTTCCAGCACATCCTCGCTCTCCATACCGGGTTTGCGTGAGAGCCGAGGGTACAAGGTCACTCCTCGGAAACTCATCAATGCAATCTCGGTAGTATTGTCACCGGGATGTACTCCATAGCCGAGTGATCCAGCGCTGTCAATGGCAAAGATCTCTTCGCTACGGCCCGATTGAAGTTTCAAATCGTAGATGCCCGGGTTGGCTTTAAATTGGAAATAGCCGAGATTGGCCATGATGATTGTGTCTGCAAAGTGGGCATTCCGGTCGGTTCCAAGGACCAGCTGGGCTCCACGCGGCGGCTGTCCGGATGACGCATCCCTCGAATGTCCCTCGATGAGGATATGCTCGAGTTCGTAGATGGCCTCGATCTTCGCTGCACCTTTGACCGCGCTCAATTTGATATTGTCCAGATCGTGGACAGTCACTTTAGGTGCGACCAACCATGACGGTGGCAAGTCCATGCCCATGTTGAGCAACGCGTCTGATGGCAGACCGTCGAACTGGGCTTGAATAGTTTTCAAAGAACCGTCAGCCTCGAACTCAGGCTTAGAATTGAGGACATGTCGGTAGAATCGTTTGACTGGAAGCTCTTTGAGTTGATCTCGAGGGTTGAGGAAAAGTGCAACGTGGACACCCTCCATCTCAGATAAGACCTTGATGATCGGCACCCAGCGTTGTGCGGTCTCTGTCGCCGGATCGAGTGAGACTACGACCCGAATACTGGCAGTCTCACGGTCTCCCATCTGGATGGACGTGTGTTTCGATTCCCATTTGTCAAAAGCGGCATTGCGCACTGTGGGAGCGGCCTCGAAGAACCCTTCGGGGACGTCCGAGACAGTCGAGATTGCAAGCAGATTTGAGAACAAAGCAAACTTCAAAGGAGTTGAAGCCTTACTCTTCAAGTCCATCCCTTCAATCGCATCTGCTGCTGGACCCAATCGCTTCGTGCGTTCAAATGCGACCAACGTCTCAAAGTCGTCAGCGGTGAATGCGATTTCGTTGGGAATGGGGCCGACAATTCTGCCATTGATAAGAAGAACTTTTGACTTGGTTGATACTTTAATTGCCGTCACAAGCTTGCCAAATCGCTTCCAGTCGGAACCTGAACGCTCATTGTCATCATGCGAGAACGTAGTGGTATCGAGAGTCCACAGATCCTGATAAATCAATCGTCTGGTCGCGTCGTCGACCGGACGTTCGCCAACCAGTCTCGCCGCAGCAGCATCGTAACCCTTGCCTAGGAGGTCAAGGTATTGCTTGCTCAACAGAGCTTTTGACCGAGTTGCATCGTCGGAAGACCCAGAGATGTGCAATACCGCGAGTTCCACGTTGTCGTGCGCCCGCTGGAAGAGTAGCGCGTCAAGGACTTGCTCAAAACCCTCTACCGTGTCAACATCGGCCGCAACGGTGAGGTGGACAAAGTCTTTCTCGGTTGTTTCGAGATTTGCCGGAACAGTGGGAAGTTCAGCAAGTTCTGGGAAATCACCCAGGTTGAGATGACGAATTTCCTTTTCATCTTCGGGAACAATATATGCATTCCTACGAAGGGCTGCATTCGCAAGGAAAATCTGAGGGACGGAGAAATCGTCCTCCTGACCTCCGCTCATGATCGCTTGCTGTAATTCTTGAAAGTCTTGACCAACCTGCTGGCTCATGGTCTGCATCCAGGTCTCGGTATAGGCAATCGGAACGCCGTTGCACAATACCGGGGGTGCTTCGATGCTGCCGAAACGACGTGCGTACGCGCTTGCAGCCTCAATCTGGGCCTCAAGTCCAACGTCTGTCAGAATCTCCCCGAGAGTGAGAACCGTGCGGCCAACGCGAAGTTTGCGATCTTGCATCGCAGTCTGCAAGGCCTTGGCCTCAGGAACAAAAGTCTTACGACTCGATCCTTTCAAATATGATTCCAGATACAGAAGAGCAGCGGTAAGTCCATATCGATCAGTGAGATAGCGGACAACCTTTGCTTGCTCTTTGCTGGCTGCAGTGTGAGTCTTTGGCACAATACCGAACCGGATCGGGATCTTGCGCTTGACGAAATTTTGAAGGGTTTCCACAGCGAGCTCGACGTCGGTGAAGTCGGAAAAGTCGATCGGAAGGACGACATTGTGGATATCCCGCCTAACAGACGGTAGCTGACCAGGGTATGTTCGTTGAAAAATGGCTCTGATACTCGAAGGCCATTCGGCATAGCGTTTGTCTTTCTCGAGGTCGTTCAGCCAGATGATGACATTCCCGCCCTCGGCTTCATCGCGCCAATCAAAGCGTTGCGTCTCTTTCCCGATCTGTGAAAGGGTAATGGACGGAGATGACAGAAGTTCGATGGCCTCAGGCCCTGTCAATCCTAGCGATTGTAGACCGTTGATCAATTTTCGTTCATGTCGCAAAGACTCCAAAAGAGCGTACGCCTCAAAGTCGCGTTGCACGATCTGAACGCCATTGATCCAAACAATATTGTAGCCAGCCGGGATCAATAACTTCCTGTTGCTCTTGTGCTCTTCAACGAAGTCGTCGGAAAGTTCAGCAGATGCGATTGAGCTTGTGTGCTTCGGGAAGTCCCTCGTTAGTCGAAGCAGCGTCTCGAATGGATCGTCGCTTCCCATGACGAAAGATGCAGCTTTCAGAGACAAGGTTTGCACTTCTGACGTTGAAAGAGGTCGAAGATCAGCGACTTCTTCTTCATTCAGCTTCACCTCTCCTGCTGCATTCTCCTTGAACGCCTCTCCCGTCTCTCTATCGTCGATCACGATATAGTCGGTCCGTTTGAGCGCCAATTCTACACCATATCCACTGACAGCAAGAGGTCGATCTTCTACGTTCAACGGTGCTCGATGTCGAACTCGATACGAAGTCTTTCCCTCTTTCGCAGTCTTGCTCAAAGTCTTGTGAAATGTTCGGAACGATTCCGAGGTGATGTCTGCATATAGAATTGATGGACGCTCACTCTGTTCTTCGCCCAGAATACGATCAAACGGCAGCTCATGAAGCTGCTCCCCAGCGCTTCCATGCTTCTTGGCGGATTGCTCACTCAGATCTGGAGAGCAGAATCTTTGTCCAGTGAACGGAACATATGCCCAGCTCGAACACAAGTTATCCTTCTCTTCCGGTATTGAAGGTGATACGGAAGTGTTGTAAAATTGATAATGGGCCTCAATACGAGGCGCGGCCGAATGAATCGACAGGCCATAGTCGAATGCCGATAGCGCTTCTTTCCCGAGGTGTCCATCGCTCAGAAGAAGAGACCGGAAGTTCGTATAGAGCGCCTGATCTGTCGTTGAGGAGTCGAAGTGGCCGTCGGCAATTTTATCTAGCAAATAGAAGTACGATGTTGCATTCTCGTTGGCAGCAGTCTCACTGTGTGGTGTTAGTGATCGGTGTAAGTCTCGTTGCTGTGAAGTCGACTCACAGTAATTCTACCAGATATGGAGGGGCTGCGAATGCTGCCCGCAGCTCTACTTGAACTGACGGCGCAGCATGGGCGAATGCGAAGAGCAACGCAAAGGCCGCCGCCTTTTTCGCGATTGAAGCGTGCTTAGGCATTGCGACATACGCCAGCAAAGTGGTTTGCGTGTTTCGCTAAGTTTCAGCAATGCGACTGTGAGCTCAAGCTGCAATTCCGTGCCTCATCAGGGTGTCCATTCAGGGTTCGTTCACGTCAGCGACATTTTTAGGACAGCTGTCGCCTGTGTCTTTGATCTTCGAGTTGACCGACCACTTGCACAACTATCACAAATTCACTCTCAGTACTCCGCCTTGCTTGACACTTTCATCACAACATGAAAATTACTTCGCATAAACATCAATGTCGTCACTAGCGAAACATTGGACATTGCCTGCTCTTGCGCTCCTCGGGAGTCGGAGCACGTCCGAATATGGAATAGCTTGTATGTTCAAGCGACTCGGGCCACGGCTCAAGCACTTTCCATCAACCGCTGCCTCGAGGCAAAAAACGAGGACAAAGCATTCGCAACATCTGTCACATTGCTCGATGCCGTGGTAGTTGTGGTGGCAGCTCTGATCCAGCCAGGCAATTTCGCTTGAATGCGGGCATCGCTATATCGAGCATCGAACAGCAAAATGCTAGCCCAATCATTCTTATGCCGAATCACTCGCCCAATTGCCTGATTGACGCTCCTCATACACACGTTCTCTGCATGTTCTCTGCTCGATTGACCGCGCGGCTGGCCATCTGACGCCGCTCTTGCCTCCAGATAGTTCAATTTGGCCTGCCAGTCGGGTGTCTGTAGGTTGGGATATGGTAAACCTATCACGACCACGCAGCGGCCCAGTTCATCCGAAAAATTGATGCCCTCTGATAGCTTGCCTCCAATAACGGACAAGAGAATCGCAGTGCCAGAATTGCGGACTTCGTCGCTGTATGCGCGAAAAGTCTCTTCGGCCGCGATGTCTCGGCTGTCGAGGAAGACCCGCTTTGAATTTTGCAACCTCGCCATGATCGGTTCCTCCTTCCATGTGCGAACCACATCATCGAGAAGGCCGTAGCTTGGGAAGAAGATCACGAGACCTCCTTGGACCTCTTGTGCAACCTTCTCAATTGCGCGGCCTGCACGGGCAAAGTTCGCTCTGTTTCGAGTTTTGAACGTAAATTCGACCCGACCTTCATCGTCAATGCCTATCGTCCGAATGAGAAGGCTTGAAGGCGGAATTAGATGGCCACAGGAAAACGTTCGCACCTTGTCCGTGAGATATGGAAACAATTGTTGATTGTACTCGTCCATTGGGGACATGGTTCCGCCGGCGAGTATGACAGCTCTAGCCTCTTCGACGATGTCTCTGAAGTGCTCTGCAGGGTTGAGTAACAAATACTGTAGAGTAACCACCTGGTTTTCCATTGACCAGAGAAAGGCTCCCTCTTTGGAAGGATTCATGAGTGTCATCAGGAAATTTTGCACATGCATCAAGGTCGGGACGTCGGTGGAGCTGTTCGAGCTAGCCTTCGAGTGTGATTCCGTCTTCTGTGCCTCTTGCGCGAGATGTGCAGCATAGCTCTCCACCTTCCTTGCAAGCTTGCTGTCATTGATGTATCGGACCAGCTTGGCTAAATTGATTTGATCAACGCCTTGACCGCTCAGCAATACGCTTGGTGCTATCGTGTTGCCGAGGGTGTTCTTCTGCACGTTTTGAGTAAAGTTGATCAAAGAGTCTAGTAGACGCACCAGTTGAGCAACATACACTCTGTTACTACCCTTGAGTCGATTGCGGAACTTCTTCAGATATACAATCAAGGCCTCCTTGACCCGTTTCATTAGAATGTCCGTCACTTGAGCCGAATAAATGCCCTCGACCGCACTCAGCAGGTTGTGTGCTTCGTCTATAATGACTACATGGCCGCGCAAGGAGATGCCCAACGCCTCACGCGCCGATTTCTGGAGCAGCAAGGGGTAAGGCAATGTGACAATCTCAGCCGCGCTTATGGCAGGCCGAGAAGCATAGTATGGACAGATTTGCAATCGCTGACCCAAGTCCGCCAGATCTTCAATGTCTCGGATTTTGGCGAGGGCATGATCTCGAAAATCGAGAACGACATCTTCGTTCTCCTTGCGTGGGAGATATGGACACCTCTGTGTTGCAGATGTCTTGCTCTGTTGAAGCTCGATGCAACGCTCATTCACGGCTGTCTGTGTAGGAAGCTTCACAACTTTCTCATTGATGCAAAGGTTCTTTCGAGATCCTAAGGTGAGATGTTTGAGCTCTTCTACAAGTGTGGTATCATCTTTGTCTTCCGGTGGTAATCCAGGCGGCAACTTGATCCTTTGTAATTCGCCAGTAAGCTGAGATAGTTGAGAGTGGGTTCTCGAGCAGAAGTAAATTTTAGTCTCTTCAACGACCTCTTCATCAGCACCCTTTCCACTTTCCAACGGAAGCATACCAAGCTTCTCAAGCATTTTAAGCGTCTCTGTAGAATACTGTGACTGCTGTCGAGAATCTTCCTTGTCGCTTTCATAATCATCAAGTATGAATTGCTCCTCGTCATCTTCAGCAGCGGCAACACGGTGTGCTTCCTTCCGCCGCTTAGGGTTGGCATCAGACATGACCAATTGCTCTCGTTTACGCTTCTCGGCTTCACGAATCGTTGTCAAACGGGCCTCAAGATGTGCTCGCATGTCGTGTATCTGCTGCCTGCGTTCCTCTCTGGCATGGTTGAGCATCCATTCTGGCTCATCATCGTCGATCTCGATCTTGGCGATGGCTTCGTCAAAAGCTTTTCGCTTATGTTCTCGGAGCCATGTAAGGGCGCCACACAGCAGACTCAGGGATTTCCCTGTGCCTGTTGGAGATTCGAATATACCAACACTGCCTGCGTCAATGCAATCATAGAGTGCCTCCATGAATTGTTGTTGGATGCTATACGGCACAAACGGATGATGAAAGTCTTTGGCCGACATGGCCACCGATCGCTTGTCGTGTTCAAAAAACTTCGTCGTGTTTGCGATATGCAAATTGCACGGATGGCGATGAGCATTGTGAGTGATGCAGCAGCTGTTACACGTTGTGAATAGAATTCCAATCGATCATGCAGGCTAGCGCGCGGAACACGCGTCATCCCGTGACTTTGAGTGCATTCTTTGTATCTTCATGTCGTTTATCCATTCTTGCCTTTTCGGAGTCGCACGTTCTCACGGCTCATGTCCTGCGTGGAGATGTATTTGGAAACGACCTTTGTCGAATCTTTCGGTTTGGCGTCGATAATCCACGTATCAAGAATCTCCTTCTTCTCAATGTGCTTTGCTTCCACAGCCTTTGCATCCTTGATTCGCTTGATGTAACCCATGTAGATGGCAACTTCTGCCACGGCGACAATTGCGCTGCCAGAAAAAGACAGTCCGAGTCGCTGCGGTACACTCCAGCGACGAGCGGCCATCCAAATGGCTACGCTACAGCAGATGATAGAGATGAGGACGTTGATGATCAGAATCATCTGACGATTAACGTCCGCAAATGAAACTTCATCAATGTCTTCTGCTGTGGCTTGAGCGAATGGACCGAGAGTGTTCGATTTCCCCGGGAACCGCTGACGAAAACTCTCCGTCTTTGGCGCCGGGTTGATCATACGCTCATACTGTCTTTGTTCTTCTTCAACGCGAAGTCTTCGCATCAAGGCTTTATATTCCGAGGTCTATGGGTAGATTCTCGTCAGCCGTCGATGTTCTAGGATGAATGAGGACTATGCTTACTGGTTCCGACTTTTGTGGCGGTGGTGGTTGATAGACTGCTGCACCTCGAAGGAGCACATCCAATCTTCGTGTTTGCGACTGTGAACTTGTCTCATCATTTTGCGCCGCAAAATATTTAGCGACCATCAAGAGGTCATGATGATCAACTGGAGTCCCAACTTCTGCCGTCGACAACTTCTCCCAATGATCTCGATTCTTCAATGCGGCCTCGTCCAAATTCGGTAAAGCCTTGTGGTATTCTTGTAAAGCTGCTTTGGCAGTCGGCGTCAATGTCAGAAGCACCATCTGGAGATCTGTATATAGCTATATTAATTTGATCATGAATTTAGCAATCAAATGCGTTCGTGATATCAAGATGAAGATGGAACCCTTGGAGCGAACGATCCAGGGTCATCACATGCAGGAATGGTAGCGAATTGACTTCCGGCCGATTAGTTGTCAACGCGTTCCATCCGCACAAGAAAGTCGTTAGCGTCATCCGAGCTCCCGAATCTTTTCCCTTGACCATTCAGAGGCAAATCGTCAAACACGTTCGTTCATCGTATCTAGCGAATATTGTCGCATTCTATCTGTCTTAAGGACAAGGTCAAACTCGAATGATAATTATTCACCCTTACTACTCGTTTCCCAGGCAAAGGACGGATCCATGACGAGACAGATCGCATCGCCAGCGCGTGCATTCGTTGGGACATTGGAGTTTCTCACCACATCCACAAGTCGCTCACGATCACTACGGCATTGTCCAGAATGTCTTCACTCGTTGCCAGCCCGCAGGATCCATACATCGAGACAACTTCAATATGATTCATCAAAACCCCGAACACAATCAGCTGTCGCCGCCGCAGTGTCGCGCGCAAAAGAGCTCATCAATGGCCCGCCACCATCGGGACCTCTGGGCATCGATCCTTTACGAAGTGTCGCAAAAGAGATGTCATTCATGACTGGGAACATCAGACAACTGCTTGGATCTGGCCATCCAATGTTGGACACAGTTTCCAAATACTACACACAATCAGAGGGCAAATACGTGCGACCCACGCTTGTGTTACTCGTGTCACAGGCCACATCAATGCTGCCACGCCGACCGCTGTCGTCAACAGAAACAGAAGATATCGACAAGCCCATCACCGCTTCCTCAATTCTCAACGACTCCAACCCTTCATATCCCTCTCCACTGAGCGCGACTAATGACGACGGCAACCTGCCGATCGACGGTGCATCTGTTCTACCATCTCAGCGGCGTCTTGCGGAGATCACCGAATTGATTCATACCGCATCACTGCTGCACGACGATGTGATCGACCATTCGATCGCGCGACGAGGCAACCCTTCGGCCAATATTGCATTTGGCAACAAAATGGCTGTGCTGGCTGGGGACTTCCTACTCGGCCGGGCGTCTGTTGCGTTGGCTCGGCTGCGCGATCCTGAGGTCACGGAGCTGCTGGCAACAGTAATCGCAAACTTGGTGGAGGGCGAATTCATGCAATTGAAGAACACAGCCCTGGATGAAAAGAACCCTTCGTTCAGCGACGACACCATTCCGTACTACCTGCAGAAGACATACCTGAAGTCAGCGAGCTTGATCAGCAAATCTTGCCGCGCTGCTGCTCTGCTTGGGCGACACTCACCGGAGGTGGTGGAGGCTTCTTATCAATATGGCAAGAATCTCGGATTGGCGTTTCAATTAGTGGACGACATGCTGGACTACACTGTCAGTGGTGTCGAGTTGGGTAAGCCGGCTGGCGCCGATCTTGAGTTGGGTCTTGCGACCGCGCCTTTGCTCTTCGCATGGAAGAGCAATAAGGAGCTGGGAACTCTCGTCGGAAGGAAATTTGCAGAGCCTGGTGACGTTGAGAAGGTGAGAAACAACGTTTTACAGGAAAAAACCCGGAAATGAGATGCTGACATCTGCCTTAGGCTCGCGAGTTGGTCACGCGCAGTGACGGTATCGAACAAACAAGAGCTTTGGCGCAAGACTTTGTCGACAAAGCTATTCGCGCCCTTTCGATATTCCCCGACAGTGATGCAAAGGTTGGGCTAATAGACATGTGCTCCAAGGTCATGAAGAGGAGGAAATAGGATTCTCCCTATCTCTCGACTAGTTCAGAGCTCGAAGCAGGTTGTCGTGCCGCTGGATACGCCCATGTCGTCCCAGTATCGACGTGCCATGGGGTTGAGAAGGGGGCATGATCTGCGCGCGATTCAAAATATGGATTGCTCTGGTGTCGTCGCCGAGGCAAACATCCAGACGAGAGTCCAAGTGGACATTGTCGTATATTATAGATGTATGATAGCGTTTATCGGCGATCGTAAATACCATTGATAGAGATATTGAACATGGCTGCAAGTCTGTGTGATGATGAAAAGGGCTAAAGCGCGTTGACAGAAATCCACCAGAGTTGCGGTCTAGGTATGACGATTGAGGGGCAGGCAACTTGTGATCGACGACGCGTAAAGCGGCACATCAGCCTCGCGTTTCACATCACTAGGACTTGTCTTCTATCTTTAAACGTTCCAGACTGATCACATCGAGGCGAAGACATCATGTCCATATCGTTACCTTAGCATAGACTAAATCATCTCCACAATGTGAGCTCAAGAACAAAATCCGGATGCAACGTTTGTTGTCCCACACTCGATTGGATCGACTGACGATCATGACATAGGATTGATCCCTCCGTTCGTCTCCGGCGAGCGATCCTGCTCAACGATGTCCTACTCGTCCAACGTATAGTCAAGAACCACCCGAGACTCGTATCGAACCCAGACTTCGAAGACAAAAGCAATACCAGTCTCCATCTGGTCGCATCCCACGGCTTCACCGAGATCGCCGCCTGCCTAATCGAAGCAGGACACGATAACCACGAGATCAGCCGCAACGCAGACCACGACACACCCTTGATGATGGCAGCCCGTAACGGCCACGTGGACGTGACCCTTCTTCTGATGAAGTGCTTCCCTCGAAGCATTCCCTGCACCAACAAGGCCGGCATGGACGCTCTATCCCTCGCCGCGAGGACCGTGAACGGCGCAGTCCTGGTCCCGGCCCTGCTCAACGACCCGCACTTCCCTGCCTCACCGCACGGGAAAGATCAAGACGGCAACACCGCCCTCCACCACGCCTCGGCCGCAGGATCGCTCAAAGCGCTCCGGGTCCTTGTCATGGCCGGCGCCGATCCCCACGCAAAGAACAACTACGATTGGACGCCGCTGGCATACAGCCAGACGGTGGCAGCGGAAGTCTACTTCAAAACGCTGATGGCGGAACTCGAGCGACTGCGCCAGGACGATGCCAAGCAGAGCGAGGAACGGGAGAGAGCCAAAGCGACGGGTTTACGGATCGTGGCGGACGACGATCAAGTCACGCCCATGGCGGAGATCGATAATGAGGAAGTCCTCAAGGATGCTCTAGCGCGGCACTGGAGCCCCGTGGAGAAAAAACGACCTAATACTCCTGGCGGCGGGAGCGCTGCGAGGTATGAATGGGGCGCGGCGCTGACGAACATGCGGACCCGATCTGGAAGTGGTGAATAGAAACCACTTGTGCGGGAGTCCTCCGAGTGGATGAAAATACAACAACAACAACGTGAGAACTACTGCCAGGAGGATGTGATATTTTCGCCGATTATACAAGCAAGTATCATGGCCACAGCCTCTAAATCTTCGGCATCTTCCTGTCCACCCCCAGCGCCTCGACATCCTTCGGCTTGTAATAATGCGGCGCAACCTCGGTCAACCACTCGGGCTTCAACGGAATCACACTGCGCATGAACTCGCGACTCGTCAACACCAGCTCATAAAAGATGACCCATTTCGGCCGGACCTCCATGAGCACACTCGAGGGATGGATGTTAACCGTGAGGTTGTTTTTCACGGTGCGATAGCTGTCCCCACCGCGCTGGAGGCGCGCAGCGTTGGGGAAGAAACCCGCCGTGATCGCCTTCTGAATCGGCGGAATATTCGCCGCGCCGCAGGATGAGAGCGTGACTTCGACGCGGTCGCAGAGCTTGGCGAGCTGGTCGCGTACGTCGCGGGCGCGCGTCAGCGACCGCTGTTGCAGGTAGTTCTCGCGGGCCCAGACGTAGGAGAAGTCGCTGTCGACCCACTGGTTCCAGATGTTGAGGTAGGTGAGGTGGTCGCCGCCGTCCTTGACGGTGAAGCGGGCGCGGGCCGCGTCCGCCTGGAGCTTCTTGTCCTTGGGCCGGTAGAAGAGCGCGGAGGCCTCGCCGAGCATGGCGATGATGGAGAGCACCTCCTCGACGCAGCCTTCCTTGTCCGCGGCCAGCACCGCCTTCGCGAGGAGCGGGTCGGTCGGGAACTCGGCCATCTGGCGGCCGACCTTGGTGAGTTCGCCTTTGTCGTTGAGCGCGCCGAGGGCGTAGAGCATCTCGAGCGAGCGGATGAGCATGTCCGGGCTGGGCGGGTCCATGAAGTCGAAGTTGATGAGGTCGTTGATCCCGAGGGACTTCAGGAGGAGCACCACGCTGTTGAGGTTGGTGCGCTGGATCTCGGGGGTGGTGTTCTCGGGGAGGTCGTTGTAGTAACCCCATTTCGTGTACAGCCTGAAGCATTTCCCCGGCCCGGTTCGGCCGGCTCGTCCGGCTCTTTGGTTCGCCGAGGCGCGGGAGATCGGGACGGAGACCAGGCTCTCCATGTTCGTCGCCGGCGTGTAGCGGTTCTCCTTGACGTAGCCTGGGTCGATGACATAGACGATGTTGTCGATGGTCAAACTCGTCTCGGCGATGTTGGTGGCGAGGACCACCTTGCGGACTTTGGGGGGCGTCGGGTCGAAAATCCTCTGCTGCATGTCCGTCGGCAGGTTGGCGTAGATCGGGCATATCATCAGTTCGGGCGCGGCACTGCCGAGTTTCCTAGCCGTCTCCTGGAGGGATTGTTCCGCCTGCTCGATTTCATCTTGACCGGTCAAGAAGACGAGGATGTCGCCGGGCATGGGCTGTGAGAGGTGGATTTGGAACACGGTGGTGATGGCAGCGGAGAGGTAGTTGGCTTCGGGCTGCAGCGAGTAGTTCATCTCGACATCGTAAGTCCGACCGGGGATGTTGAGGATGGGCGCGTCGTCGAAGAATTTGCTGAATTTCTGGGCGTCGAGCGTCGCGGAGGAGATGAGGAGCTTCAGGTCGGGTCGGCCGCGAGCGATGTCCTTGACCAGCCCGAAGAGGATGTCCGTGTGCAGCGTCCGCTCGTGGGCCTCGTCGATCATCAAACAGCTATAGCCACTGAGATCCGGCTCCGTCAGGAATTCTCGCAGGAGCATACCATCGGTCATGTATTTCAATGCCGTCTTGTCCGAAGTCGCGTCTTCGAATCGAATGGCGTATCCGACCTCGTTGCCGAGCTTAACGCCCATCTCCTCGGCGACACGGGTCGCGACACTCATCGCGGCGACACGACGGGGCTGTGTGCAGCCGACCTTGACCCCATCCTTGCAGTATCCTGCTTCGTAAAGAAATTGTGGGAGTTGAGTTGTCTTTCCACTTCCCGTTTCACCCACGATGATCAAGATTTGGTAATCTCGTACGGCATCGAGGAAGATTTGACGATATTGGTAGACGGGCAGGCTTTTCCGTTTCTCTTCAATCGTCTTCGCCTTTCGTTCCGCCGCGAGCAATTGCTGGGCTACCAATCGCTCTTCTTGGCTCTGCATCGAACTGAGGCCTCCTTGCAGGGTGGCATCCGTCACCCATTTGATTTGCTGTTCCTCGTCGAACACATACTCGTACTCCTTTTCGTTGACGCGGTCTGCGACAATGATCTGGGCTTTTGTCTTGGCGAGTTGTTCCCGTTCCCATTCCTCATGTTCCGTGACGTAACGCTCACGCCCCTGGTCGTCGCGTTCCACGTATCGGCTGTAGAGTGCATCCTGCTTGCGCTTCATGTCCATCTTGCCTTTTTCTGTAATGTAGTCCTCGGGCATTGCGTATCCATCGAAATGGTCGTCGATGTTCTCGCGCTCCTCGGCCAGCCGTAATGCTTCCCGATTTCGCATGAATTCATCCTTCTCGGCCTGCGTCAGTCGTGGGTTGGTTCGCATTTCCTCCTCTTCATCCGCAACCTGTTTCCTCAAAAGCACAAGCTCCTGAGCTGATCGCTTTTTGAGATAGTCCTGACGCGAGCGCAATCGGAGGGCCTTCATCTCTTGTTCCGACAGCTTTCCCGCCTGCGCTCGTCTTTCCGTGTCCGCAGCTTCTCTGTGAGAGGATCGATCCTCGACCAGAGTCTTGGTAGACTTTGCGTCCTTCGTCCTCAGTCTCTTCTCGAATTCTAACCGCTCGCGCCGATCCTTCTCTTCTTCGTCCTCGGCCGGCGCCTCATCCTTCGCCGTGTCCACCGGACTTGCAGAACCATCGTCAAATCGTGCGCGCTTCGCAGGTGAGGTCGGGAAATCCTCCTGCCCCTCTTCCTCCGAAAACTCCTCGTCACCCCAACGATCGTCAAAGTCGCCATCATCTCTCCGTCTGTATTTCTTCCTCGGCCGATCTCTGCTGTTGGATCGCCTCCTCGCATTCTCCGAATCATGCTTTGACCTCCGGCTGCTTTCACGATGCCTCGACTTCTCCTCTTGCTTTGGTGGCGGAGGCGGCGCCTCACCTTCGACCTCCATATCCACCAGCGCATACTTCTTCTTCGTCTCCTTTGGCTTCTCGCGTGCTGGGATGGCGGAGCGATGACTCGTCGAGGACTTTCCGACCCGGGCGAAAAGATCCTGGCTGAATTTTTGAAGGTGATCGTCGCTAGATTCGAGCATGCCGGATAAGGTGTCCATCAATGCGCCGGGAGATTTGGCCGATCGCGCGGTCTCCAACACGAAGTCGACCATCATGCCCTCGCTGGCTCCGACCAACTTGATCAAGTTGTCGGAGACGAATGTGCGCGCATCCATGGCTGGTGATGTTGCTTGGTATGTCCGTTGTTCAATTTTCAAGCAGATATTTTGGCTTTGACCACAGCGGTAGTTGGGAGCTGAGCCATAGCACCTTTGCGACAGCACGTCCAAGACCATCGATGGATCTCCTCCGGTCGGAGCTCAGAGAAAGTTACTGCTGAGTCATCATTTGAAGTCATCGTTTGATATCATCGATAAGACAACCCTAGGATAACCCCAACCCTGATGTTGTAGAATGCCCAGGTGATGGAACGAACACTTCGAGGCCTCGGCCGGGTAACCACAGATATCTGGAAGATAAAGAACATGCTACCTAGGTATTGACTGAAATACATACTCTGCGCCCGTGTTGGTATGGAAAAGTGCTGCGAAATCGCTTTGCACGAGACGATTGAAGTAGACGTCCCGTCTCTGGTCTGAATCAGTACGTCGAATGCTGAGCAGACGAATGTGTTCACGCGAGTATTTTCTGTTGTTTGGGAATACCGCCCTCCGGTATTCCCAGGAAGCTACATACATCGTGTGGGAATGAATTTGACTTGTCGAATAACAAGCTACCATCCGAGACATCTCGATCGTACATGCGCCGACACCAGACTTCCACAATCTACCCAGGTACTACACAAAGATCACCAGAGAGGATTGACCAACCACGCCTCCGACCAGTGAATGCGGGCAGAAACGCCAGGAGAGGAGGTGAACTGGTGAAATTAGGATGAGACATGGACTATGACCCATCGAGCACTTGCAGCGGTGCGGTGAAGCATTTGTATTATATATTATTACGATGATTATGATTCCACCGCAATTTCCTCCGCATCTCTCGGCAGGCGAGAAGACGAGTACGGTTTGCCATCATCTCGATCGTTCACATGCAGAGTCAGTCAAGCGAAAGTGCTGTACGTCCAATAAGATCGGAAATTTATCCAGGACTATCCATGGATGGGACCTAGGTAGGCATGTATGTATCATGATTGTTACAGATGCTGTGCGGGTTGCAGGCGGGTGGAAACAGCCCTGAAACAGGGAATTCGTCCGCCTCGCGGGCGTGCAAGGGAAACGTGGTGGCTTGCATAATGTGTGCATGATGAGTATATGTACCTAAGGGATGCATGTACCGAAGCTCCAAACATGAACCTGTCCATCGGAACCCGTCCATCGATCTGTATGATGGACCGCGGCGCGCTAGATCTGTCGGTGGTGATTGTTGTCGACAATGGAAGTGCAGCAGGCGACGAGTGAGACGATTTCCCTCGGTCGGAACCTTGGAACCTTGGTACCTTGGAAATATGCCCAGGTGGTGGTGAGTTGGATCCGTCAGAGGGCAACCATCCGTCCATCCAAGAGCAGTCCAAGCCGGAGAGATGTTGTCAGCATCAGCAAAGGTACAACAGACAGCTGGAGGTAGGAGGTCCGCCGAAAACCAAATGAGGGATTTCCCTCAATATGCACCGAGCCCCGCTTCGTACCGTTGGGACGAGTTGGTAGACCGGCCAACACACACTTGTTCAATAATAAAATACAAACAACATTGGAATCTTTTTCATGCACCTGGGCATATAATGTACACCTGGGAGGGAGGGAGGGAGGAAGGAGGAATACTGTAGGACACCCTTGCTGCTGCTGCTGCTGTCGTCGGATCTGCTGTTCAGTCGGTCGGTAGTGAGCATGGACTGACGACTGGCCATGAACGGGAAATGCTGATGATTGCGTCAGTCTCTACTACCTACTCAACCCAACGGCTGCAAGTGTGTCTGTTGATGTGAAGCATTCCCACGATGATGTGATGATGAAGGACATCAGTCATCATCATCATCATCATCATCATTCAGCTGGAAGGATGTCAGGGAAACACCGCCCAGCGCTGACCATGTCATTCATCTTCAGCGCCCATGGACACACGCTGGGCGACTATTATAGTAACCGTAGGGTGAAGAGGACAGGGATGCCCGCCGGCGATGATATGAGTGGACGTCAGCGGACTTGCGCGCGCCCGCGCCTGAGCGGCCAACCATAGGTGTGAATAGCCCTGGAGTTAACAGCTGGGGGAGCAGCTGGGCAGGAATGGAAACCACCCGGGCAGGAATCTTCAGCTTCTACGTTTTTATCTCTCGAGCGCGCGACGGTTTTCAGGGGACTCGTGTACACATACACACAATGCACATACACTCACACACACACACACACACACACACACACACATCCTACACCCTCGGTTGCTCTGTGCATCCATGTATGATAACCGGTAATCTTTCGTGAACTTTCGTGACAGGACGGGCACACAACCTCCTCTTCCAAGCTTGTCATCATCATGTTGCACCGTACAGTACTGTGGCACTATTCTTAGCGTGAACCTCGACAGTCCGTTCACTTTCACGGGCTTTCCTGGAGGTCGCCGCTTGGCAGGCCGATCCCATCTTTTGTCCCAGGTCGTATCACATCACTGCGCCCACTTCGACGCGTGATTAGATACACCGTCGTCGTCCTCGTTCGGCCGGGTGACTTCTTCATCTATCTGTTCCACCCATCATACAATTCCTGCGCCAGCATCGTCACATCCAAGCATGTCAATTCCTCCTCCTAAGAAACCTCCGGGCTCCACCGCCCGGGCCCCTGTCGCCAGCTCCACCACATCTTCACCCAACCCACAGAGGAGCCCTTCAAGATTGAGCTCAAGTACGACAGCCGGCGCAAGTACCGCTGTCGGCAATACGGCTGCTGCAAATGGCCTCAACAGAACCCGTTCTGTCCGCACCGGTGCGCCGGTCTCCGCCCGAGCGGCGGTGAGGAAACCTGCGCCCACAGACACCGCAGCCGACGATGAGGCCAAGGCCGAAATGCAGGCCCGCATAGACGAGCTGCAAGAACGATTACAACAGGTGGAACTATCATACGAAGATTCACAGAAACAGTCGACCGTGCTCCAGGTCAAACTGGACGAGGCGCTGAAAGAGCAAGGCTTGCTGGAGGAGAACGTCCACGAACACACCGAGCGCATCAACGATCTCGAAAGCGAGAAGAAGGAGAGCATACGTGCTCGGCGAGAGATGGAGCAAATCTACGAGTCTGAGCGCGCTGCGGCGCTCAAGGAAAAAGAGGACGCAGCAGCTCGGGAAGAGGAAATGCAGCTTTCCATGCAGAGATTGAAGGAGACGCTCTCCCAGAAGGAACTGCGGGTCGGACTCGATGAGGACCGCAAACCACATCTCTCCCGGCAGTCATCGACGCTCGCTCGGAGCAGCAACCCATCGCCCAGCCCAGAGTCCTTCGATCGACAATTTGCGCCCTCCTCCATCGAGCGAAGCGATTCATCGTCGCGCAGCGGCTCCAAGCTCATTCTCCAGAAGGATAAGCTGATCGAGTCATTACGTCTCGAACTGGCCGAGGCTCAGATCAAGCTCGTCGAGGTGGAAAATATGGGAGGCGGCAGAATGCAAGAGCTGCAGAGGCAGATGTATGAGATCAAGATGCAAAACGCGCGATTGATGGAGGAGAACGAGTCGTTTCAACTGCTGCTCAGCGAGAAGACGCTGAACGGCGACTTCCTGCGAGCACCGTCTACGACAGAATCACGACCGCCGTCACAACCACAAGAAGCGCGGACCACACTCGCCGACGAGCTCGATTCGCAAGAAGAGGGCGAGGGCGGCGAGGAAGTGCGACGCTTGCAGGCCGAGGTGAACGGCATGAAGGACCAGAACAAGGCCTTGACGCTGTACATTAACAATATCATCTCCCGCCTGTTGCAACACGAGCAATTCGAACAGATCCTCGACAAGACCCCCGACCTCATGGCTGGACCTGGTGCCGCGAGCCGGAAACACTTGGAGGTAGCTGCTGCCAACAAAGAAAAGGAACTCCCCCCATCTCCCATTGACAAGGACGGCCCCGGTGGCGAGGAGGGAGGCGCTGGATTCCTCCAACGAGCCAAGAGCGTCATCGGCAGCCGCCCGAAGCCTCGACCACAATCGCAGATCTACTCCGGTGACCTGTCAAAGGCTCTCCCCGAGCCCCTCAAGCTGAACGAAGATCCCGCGACCGCACCGAGCGTACCCCTCGGCCGCTCCTCCTCCGTCCGCAGCAGCATGGGCCACCGGCGCGCCAATTCGGAATGGCCCGCAGCCAGCCTGGTGACGAACATGTACCGCGGGGCCTCCCCAGCCATGTCCCCCCTGAGCCCCGGCCTCAGCTCTCCCACGCGAGGGACATCCTTCTTCGGCCCCGGTGCTGCACTCCGTGCCACCTCAGGTGCCTCCGTACCCAGCATCGCCGAAGGCCCCGACGGCAAAGAAAACACCGCCACCACCACCACCACCCAACAACGCGACAGCAAAATCAGCGAGAAGCGCCACAGCATCCTCACCGAATCCAGCCTCGACGAAAACGTCAGCAGCAGCAGCACCCACCCACCCACCTCCAGCCACGGCCACCCGCAGCAGCCTCCCCCGCGCAGCACCCCCTCCTCCCCACCCCGCAGCCTCGCCAGCAGCGGCGACAAGGACAGCAAATCCTCCGGCGCCATCATGATGGGCAGCCGGATGCGCCCCTTGCGCCTCGTGCAGGAGAACGTCGACCAGGAAGACGCCGCGCGGAGGAACGGCGCCGCGGCCGCCGGCGGCGCAGCGGGCAACCGGAGCAGTTGGTTCGGCTGGATGAACAAGGGACTTCCGGGGATGCCCGGTCTGCCGGGTGGAGGAGGAGCTGGTGGGAGTGCGGCGAGCACGCCGACCACCGCGCACGCGGCGTCGGGGCCGTTGCATCACCCGCAGCAGCATGCGCCGTCATATCCGCCGCCGCCGCCGGGGACGGGCTTGACGAGGGCTTCGACGGACGGGTTGGGAGGGAGCGGAGCGCAATCATGATCGTTCCCGGCAGCGGTCCTGGACGCGAGAGGATGAGCGGCGCGAGGTCAAAACAGGGGAGGGGCCAGCCCCGAGGCTGGGCCGTTTTGACGAGCATTTCCGCTTTTCGAGATTTATCCGAAACCGAACCCCCCTCGGCGATGCTACGATTCTGTGTCGCCGTGGCTTTTTTTCGTCTCGGGGGATTTGGCGATGTTTGGGAAGAGGTTCATTTACTGTCTGTCTATTATCGATTACGGAATTTCCCCCCATGAAGGAATTACAGGCTTTATTCTGTGTGTGTGTGTTGTCTATTTCCTCGAATGTGGTTTCTGTTATTGTTGGCATTCCAGGAGAACTTCCATGTCCTGGAGAAGGGGGAAAAGGGGACTCCCGATGAAAATGACGACACGATGGAGATATAGAAAGCATGAGCAGGATTAAGAAGAAGAAAAGTAAAATGTGTTGCTCATCTATCGGGAAAAGACCCCGAAAGACTAAGGTACGGCGGGAGCAAAAGAGTCTCCGCTACGCTCTCTGTCGCCATCATCTAAAGGACCTCGTCCCTCTCCCACCCCGCCGGCTTCTGCACATCCAGCCGCTTGTTCGGATGCGGTTTCGTCGTGTCCTTGTATTCGCTGACGTACGGGTTCGGGTCGTTCTTCTGATCCAAATTGCCCAGGGTATGGTTGACTTCGCGATGCTTGGATTCGTCGGCGCGGATGTACAGGAGCAGATCGCGCATGCTGCGGTTGCCCTCGGGCATGTTCCAGTATTTGACCGCGATGTCCGGCGCGGAGATCCCCTCCCACTCGGGCAGATGCCCCGCGTCCAGGGCGGCGATCTCCTTCGTGTACGTGTACACGGCTTCTTCCTCCAGGTAGCCGACGAAGCGGTGGCAGATCTTCGGCGCGATCAGGTAGGAGATGAAGAAGGCGTTGAAGAAGACCCCCTGGGTCGCGAGCACCATGAACCGCATGAACCAGCCCGGTTCGGCCATTTTGAGGAAGGTGAGGAGGTGCATGCGCTCGTTGTAGGATTCTTCGAGGAGGGTCTCCATCCAGCCGTTGTCGCGCTTCATTCGACGCATCGAGTGCATGTGGCGGAGCATCCCGGCGACCATGCCGGGGACCCCTGCCACGCTCTCGAGGAAGACATTGCGGACCATGTACTGATGTGCGGTGGGCACCTTGTCCTTGCGGTAGCCCGTCGCGAGGTCCAGGCCGAAGCGGAGGATCTTGGTCATGGTGTAGGCGATGCGGTCAGGCCAGTCGCGAGGTTGACGGTGGTTGAAGGCGACCAGTTCCATGGATTCTTTGGTGAAGCCGGGATGCGGCCATGCTGGAGGTGTCTGACGGATGTTTTCGGTCTCAGGCTGAGGGAAGAAGTCTTTCATCCGAGAGGCCTGGGTGGTGCTGAAGGGTCGTGAGGTAGGAGTCACGAGGAGCGAAGATTGGTTCTGGAGGCCGAGCAGAGCTGGCCGGGCCAGAGTCGTCACCTTAACTCCATTGTGGTTGAGAGCCTTGAGGAGTTGAGCAGCGGACTGCTTGGCGGAGAAAGCGTTGACGGTCAGGCTGCGCGTGCAGTTCATGAAGAGTGGTGAGTCACTTGACTTGGAGATGATAGGTGATGGGCGATGTTAGGTTTGGTGAGGATGATAACCCAATGGAGATTCCAATGGGAAAGGAAGCCAGGAATGTATTTATATTGCTACAGTCCAAAGCGTTGCTTGCCTGCCCGGGTGAAACCTGATTGTAAGACTCGGATAACAGATCCGAGACCGTTCCTACCTTGGAGCGTATGAGGAGGCTCTTGCCTGGGCATTCGGGCAAGAACGTAACCATGGAATACAGGAGAGATGCACGTGTGCGGCGTCAATGGCACAGCATATTGATGGGGTGAGGTGATTTCGCACGAACCATCGATGGGAGTTGGTGAACGTCCCGGAACAATTTCGACATTGTCAGTCATGTGCCGGGCCTTCACCTGTTTCGGTAGGCGGATCCCTTGCACAGCACAGCAGCAATGCGGGAAACATCGCCAGGTCAGGCGACTTGCCCTCTAGGGCTGACGAGAAAGACGCGGAAGATTGGTCAGACGGGTGAGTCAGACTCCAGCAGCGCCCTCTCGCGGTATGACCCGAATGGACAAGTTGGTCCGATGGGGGCACCTTCGCTCAGCGACAGTGTGACTGGTCGGGAAGATTCGGAATGTTCGTAGTGAAGCATCGTGATTCCGCTTGACTGGGCAACATCACGTGTTATTACACTACAAGGTGATCACAAGTTGCCTGCGTTACGCGAGTCTCTCATGGGCCTTTGGAACAAGGCGATATGCGCGCAAGGCAGACATGTGCCGTGTATGTCTGAACATCGATGTCTTCCAAGGTTGGTGGGATTCATCAAGCCGCCAGCTCGGAAAGCCACTGGCCCTTGCAAAGATGCAGGAGAAGAGCTGCGCCACGATATATTCGATGCATGGTGCCTCCATAGGCTTTTCCATGCGTCTCCTGTAGCGACGCGATGATGTTCAGATTTCGTTCGCAGGATATGTGAAGATTAACAAGAACGCGCAGCCGGGCGTTCAAACTTTGCATCGAGATTCGTTGAAGTGAAGGAACAATGACAGTATGGCAGCTGTTCAAGCCAGCGGACGCGACTTGACGAATGTCAACTCGACCGATCTCGACTTGTCGCCGCTTCATGGCAGAGACATACGCCTACTAAAGTTACTTCCGGGAGATGCTGGTACTCAGATTTGCTGCGAGGTGATAGTCGTCTCCTTAGACAGTAACCCGACCTACACGGCATTGTCGTACGCCTGGGGCAATCCTCCAGCAGGACGTGTCATCTCTTTGAATGGCCGTCAGACCAAAATTCGTAAGAACCTATGGCGTTTCCTTCACCAAGCGAGGTCCCTCCCGGATGCGTTGTTTGAGTACATCTGGATTGATGCTCTATGCGTCAACCAAGTGGATGACGGCGAACGGACACACCAGGTAGCACTAATGGGCGAGATCTATGCTGTTGCTGAACGAGTAATTGCATGGCTTGGACCTTCTTACAACAGCAGTGATCAAGCATTCAACAATATCCAGATCGCGTCACCCTCGTGGACAGCTAAAAAAGCGTTCGTAAAGAAGTGGGGGTCCTCGGCCGCCTCGTCGATCCGCGGCATCTGTGTCAGACGGTATTGGGAACGACTCTGGATCTTCCAGGAGCTGCTTTTAGCCCGAGATGCCGTCCTGATGTGTGGTTCGTCCTGCCTGCCACTGCAGAGCTTCAAAAGCTTTGTTCTCACCATTTTGGCCTGCAGTGTCTCCGACCATGCTGCAGAGCAATTTGAGCTTCGACGCGTTCGGCAGAGTCCCGCGGTGACTATCATGCAGTATGTTGAAGAGCGACGTACCGAGTCCCCAATTTCAGAGCTAATGCTGGCCACACGGGATCTACGCTGTACCGATATGAGGGATCGCGTATTTGCAGTACTCAGCGTCGACAAAGGGCCATCACGGAATATTCTACCGGATTATGAAAAGCCACTACCTCATCTGGTAAATGAAGTTTTACGAGACCATCATGCCTTTAACCCGCCGACAGGATTTGATGAGGTCACTGAAAAGTGTCGCGAGCTGGCTAGGATCATGTGTATCGATCTTCAAGATGTCTTTGCCATACAGGAGGACCAACTCAAATGGAGTCCCCATATGCCTATGCCCAAATTCGGACCCTTGGACGACATTGGTCGAAGAAAGCCTCTTGTTGCCGCGCGACGCCATGACGTGGAAGCCGACAAGGGTTTGTACGGACGAGGATTGTACGGCATGTCGATTACCATTGCCTGGGCTGCATACTATCGCCACGTCGCAGTGATGGATTTCATGCTCAATCAGGACTTATTTGACATATCGACTTGTTTCTTAAGAGCCGTCAAAATGGATCATTACGCCGTCGTGGAAGCCCTTTTGCAAGTCGCAAACGGACGGTGGCGTCAAGAATTAGACTTCTCCATCTCTGAGAATGCCAATGCTCTCCAATTGGCAGTTCACTATGGTCGGTCGAGCATTGCAGACCTTCTTGTGCGCGCTGGGGCGGACGTCAACAAGCGCGGCCTAGACTTCGACCGCGCTTTAACGAGCAGAGTGGACCTCGCGCGTGCCCCGGCGCTTGTAGTCGCGATCACGCAAGGATCATCTGAGCTCGTCCAGCTGTTACTGAAGCACGGCGCAAAAGCGCACTCTCTACCTTCAATCCTTGAATCAGAACCGGATCTAAGTGCCTGGGAGATTGCGCTGATATGGGGACATGCCCAGATAGCCGACATATTACTCGACGCAGAAGCAGAGAATGTGCCTGTGCTCACGCCGAAGGAACGCTTGCAGAACAATGGTTTGTCTCTTATATGCACTGCATTGGGTGAAGGGCAGGAGAACGGCGTGAGACTGCTTTCGAAGCTTTGCACAGACTATTACGTGATACACAAGAAGGCGGCATGGTTTCATGTACGCAGAATGCTCGACGATGCGAGAGTGACAGACAACATTGGAATCTTGAGATCATTTCTCTCAATCGACTATCTAAGAAGATATGAGAAAACCTGCCATGAGCTTGCCTATGTATTGATAAATGCAGTGTGCTCACAGAGAGTAGACTTTGCGCAGACGCTGTTCGAACACTATGCCACTGGCTATCTGGGAACAGGCATCATTGACGATCTGTTCGACCATACGGTGAGCTCAGGTTCTGCGGAGATGGCAAGATTACTGCTCCAGTACGGCGCTAATGTCAACAACAAGCCAAAATATGGGCATCAACGCACCGCGCTTTGGTGGGCTGTGTTTCGTAACGACGACGCTTTGTTACGAATACTGGTAGAATATGGTGCTGATGTTGATTGCCTATCAATTCCACGGTCATATCGACCGCTCGATACCGCTGTTGATAAAATTCAGCTCTCCTCGTTAAAATTATTGCTCGAATCTGGTGCTGAAGTTCAACCCCGACATATTTCAATGCTAATTCGAAGGGCCCGGCAGTGGTGTCCTGACGACAAAGCTCAATGTGCGATACGAATGCTTCTCGCACATGGAGCTAAGATCGGCGGCAAAGGACGAGTCTCAGTTTGGAAAACTAATGTATTAAGAGCTGCCAGGCGTATGCCAAAGCTAGTCTTAGACCCGCTGACTGATCTGTCTGGGATTGCAAATGTGCACGGTGTATGATCTCCTTCATGTCCGCGTTCTCTACAGTCATCTGTAAGTGGTCATTACCAAGTTCAAGTCCGGATTCTATCATCATCGCGATGAATAGCATCAGTCAAGTCAGCCTCATATCTACATTGCTACCGGTATCGGTGAGGTTGAAGCGAATATACTGTTGCTGCTGCACTCACTGCTTGAAGATGGATTCCCCGTCGACGTTGGTCATATCCTCCGTTTCTACCTTAGACACCTTCGCCGCTGATGGGCCCATATGGATATGTTGGACGAATTTCTCGATCGAGCTTTCACTGCCTTGTGCCTCTCCGATGACCTGTCCCAGTTTCACACGTGTTATGTTTAGCAGCATAGATTGAAGGATACCATATCAACTGCTTACGGTGCCGTCATTGGAGTTCCTCACGAATCCCGTCAGGTTCAGACCTTCGGCCTTGTTGGTAGTCCATGCTCTATTTGACCATTGAATTGAAATGAGATCACGTCAGTAAACAGCGTCCGTCTCTTGATCGATCAATATAGCGGAGGAGGCTCAACGTTTTAAGAGTCGACAGGAACTAGGTAGTCCGCTTTGTTTTACCGAGCAACGCAACGATACTCACCTGAAGTTGACTCCCTGTACCGTCCCGTGAACTTTGTACGAGATCTATTCAAATCGAAGCCCACGCGAGGCATTTGGTGTCAATGATTCGCTTCTTTTTCTTGGAGTAAATTCTGTTTGTTTACCCGCTTCGACATTTTGTTTGATCGATTTTTGAGGTCAGGGTGCTGCAAGAATACTCTGCGGTCGGTCCACTTGTGAATTGTCGCCAGGTCGTTGACTCAAGATCGTTTGTTCGAACGACGAACACAGAAGCAGCGCGAGACATTCTGTACATACCCCACTAATAACGGTATCATCCAGTATGACGCAACAATCCGCCCGCTGACATTTCACTTGTTGTTTCGTGTAGATCGACAACGTCGGAAGTTCGGTCCGCACATAGGACAACATCAAATCTTCCCCTGCGTTGAACGCTGGCTCGGTCTTCCCACACACTTGGTAGCAATTACAAGGATTCCGGAAGTAACAAGAACAAAGATCACCGCTGCTCTAATCACGCCCAGGTTCGTATTCGCGAGAGATCGATGAATGCTACCAGCGCGTCTGATGTTTCCGACCTGCCTATATCGAAACATTTGCAACCTCCAATTGATACAGCATTTTCATTAGAAGACGAAGATTTGTGAACCTTACTCGTAGCAGCTTGGGCTACCTCGCGGCCCTCCGAATATGAGAAAGCAGGCTGTAGTCTAGAGATCGGACGGGATGACCAGAGGCGAGAGCACGGTTCGTCAATAGACGAACAGGAAGAGCGGTCGCATAGGGATGATTCGGATAAGTCAATACGCACCAAGCACAGAATATAAGAATTTACCAGTTCTCACACCGGGGAGACAAATAGTCTATTTCCACTACTAATGCAAGTTTGACACAGATCTGATGAACCTTTTCATTGTGCTAGTCGCATCGATATGACCACGCGATGACGGCGTGCCCCACGGTATCCTCGATTCCTCCTCGATTCCTCTTCCTCTTCCTTGAATGGGTGATCCTGCGAACTGAGAATGTTACCCCAAGACTAAAAGACTAAAAGACTTCAATGAATTGCTAAATTTTTGGTTGTGACCATCGCAGTGGTATTGATTCGCTTGAGGAGAGATTCCTTTTTTGGGTAGTTTTCGTAGTATATCTCCTACCGTTTCGTCTTACGCCATCGGCTAGTGACAAGATGTGCTCAACTTTGGGAGATGGAGGAGGCTGAAAACGTGATAATAGTTGGCTTGCATTTGTTAATTGATTATTCGCATTGTGGTTTATTTCAGAGAGTTCGGCAACTGCTGGTTTAAGGTCGATAGGAGGGATCGATCAAATGGATTCTTGCGAATGCTCAAGTACGCAAGTTCGATGCCGAAGAGTGTTCCATTACGAGCAAGAGAGGACATCTGGCCTGACGTTGACTTCGATTGCGAGACGACAATGTCTCTTATCGCTTCATCTGTCGTTCGGACGCAACTAGGCCATTTCAATCTTGGACAAGCAATATTCTAGCATTAGAATGAGGACGATTGAAATTACTTGAAAGAGCAATGGTCAACGAGTTGCATTGCGCTTTACGTGTAGCGCTCGACACCGACTACAATGGTCGCTTCGTGCCGCTGAATGGGACCATTCCGACCCTCGCAGGTGATGTCGGCTGCTTGGGCGCATCGCTGCTTGCAGGCGCCCCTCCGAACGCGATAATCGAGGTTGTCGAAGCTGTGAATGCATTGAAAGATCAGGTCTTTCACGCTGTTCTTGGCTCAGCCTCGTGCAGCATTGGCGACAACGACTCGGCTGCCCAGGCAGCTTATGCCGTCAATGGTGAAGATATTGACGGTGGCAGCGGCAGTGGAATTACTCAGAAGGGTGAGTGGGACGCCGAGACCCTGGCGCCGACTGGTCTCTCCGCCAGCCAGCACGTCGAATAACAGTATGGCGTATTGGGGCGGAACCGGGCACTTTCGCTTGTCATCAATCTGGCTACGATAATTAATGTGGATCGGATGACGCCTAGTTCTGAATGGTATGGCAATGGGCTGTAAGATGATGATGTTGAGACGTGTGGTAGTTTCCTGTACCTCTTCCCTTAATTGAATGCAACTCAATTATTTCAACTCTGTTGAAGCAGAAATCGTGTATCTTTGCGATGAGTTTTGTAGCGGCCTATGACGAATTGTCCTCGCTACTGTACTCAGGCGTGTATGCTGAGATACAGCCAGATTTGCACTGATATCGGATCCTATTGGAATCCCGCTTGACGATAATGTCGATCGCCATTCTAGGGAACATCGGTACTTTGAGAGTCACTCAAATGTGATGCAAGATCGTGTCCGCAATTGGCGCAAAGGGTCAAATTGGCGGCGCGAATAGTGGAAGTGGGGGAAACAGTTGGCCGGAAATGAACAGATTAGCACAAAATGAACAAGTTGGAGCGACGGTAAAGCCGCGGCAGCGCGTCAACGTCGCGTCTGCTCTGGGAAATGGGCCAGCGTGAACATAATTTGCCCTAGGCTCGACCCCTTTCGCTGAGAAGTGGGATGTTTGTCAAGGGCGACATCATTATACTTTCGCCATTGCACCACTCTACATGTCGCCACTCGTCGTATTGGGCTCGAGCGATAGCCGTTTTCACTGTTGATCCCTCTGAATGATCATCTGAAGAACCTCGTGCTGCGAACGACTGACCGATACATCGCCTCGCCCGATTGACGGCTGATCGTTCACGCTCAACGACGGTATGGCTACCGAATCGCCGGTGCTGTCGAATGGCCCTCTTTCGCCAGAGAACTCGATTGCGATCGCATCAGCCAACGATGGAGATGACAAGGCTGTCGCAGACCAGTCGACCACGTCAATCACATCCGACGCTCTCTCGTCAAAAGCAGGCCACTCGGCGGATGCAATCATAGGAGGAGCAGAGGGGTCCGTTGTTTCGCCGCAGCAGACCGCACATGATGTATCATCACCACGTACTCAGTCTCCCTCGCCGAGTGTAACTCCATCATTAGCCCTCGATGCTGTTCCAGCACTGGATCTACGATCGGTTTCCACGCCGTCAAGCTCCGAAGGTTCGACGTTATCCCACCGACCCAGATATTCCTTCCGTTCTGATGGCGGCGCTACAGTTGTGCATCGAAGAGGCTATATGCGACCTCAAGGGACTTCCTTTGCGGAATCAGCCCGAAGCCGAGACAGCGTCATGAGCTTAGGTAGCATCGCCCACATGCAGTATTACTTTGCCCGTACGGGTCTGTTGGACGGAAAGGGAGGACAACTCGCAAAAGAGAAGAAGAGAAGCAGCAGCGCGACGGTAACAACAACTACGACAAAGAACCGAGAGAGTATGGAGCCATCGTCCTTTCTGATGTATGATTTCGGATCGACGGCGTCGTCTGTTCAAGACAATGCCTCGAATTACGCCATCTCCGATTCAGGTATCGACAGCTGTATTTTGGAGAGTCCAAGTGAAATGCAGCACAACGGCGAACCATGGGCAACCTCACCAGATTCAATGATGCTCCCGCCGACAGTAAGCACATACAAAGTCAAGCCTGAATTCATCGAACCGCCTCCAGATCTTCCGGTCTTGCGGAGGGAGCTGAAAGAAGCATTGCAAGACGCATGCAAGGTCCTCGAGGAGTCGCAGAAGCCTGTATTGATTGATGGCGAACCGCCAGCAGAGAACAGCGGCTTTTATGAAGTGCAGGGTCTACATCTTTTGGACATCATCACCCTAGCCATCCGTGCCGCCAAGAACTATTATACGGCTCACTCAAATCCTCAAAAGCTTTATGCGATCCGCTCTGAGAAGGTCATTCGATCCGATCTATATCAAGTGCTCGACACTCTAAAACGCATGGCAAGCCGAAATTTCCGCGGTGGCGTCCGCCTGCTCGAGCTGACCGAGATCGTCACCTGGATCGAAAGCATCGACAAGCTTCTGAAAAAGGAAGAGGCTCAGGAGCAGAGTGATGCGGCTGAGCGAGAAAGTTGGGTCTGGCGCGAGGGTGACTGGACTGGCCGGGAAAGAGAACGCGAATGGTTGTTCCTCAAGTCCTTTGATGCCATGGAACCCGCCCTGCCGCAGTGGCCCGAGGCATCGAGCTCGGCCGAGACCCGTCTTCCTAACGATTTCCTTCTCGCTCTACAGAATGGACAGCGATTAGTCCGACTCCACAACACTCTGGTTGGCCGCTCGAATCGTCGGTTCGGCGACATCAAGACTTTCCACACCGACACGGCAAAACCTTACCGCATGTCCGAGAATCTGACATACTGGGTCAAAGCTGCGGAGTTGCGATGGGATGTCCTGATTACCGTGCCAATCGCTGATGTTGTCCACAGCAAAGACAACGCGGCGTGGAAGGCCTTTGATGAAGCTGTCCTCGCGTGGAGCCGTGGCGTCCGCAAAGAGCTCATGGACGAATGGACTCTCGAAGCTAAGATCTCGGAAAGGAGACGACCGCCGGAAGTCAAAGTCGACGAAGTCGAGGTCGGTGCGCAAAGCTCAGAACATAAGATTGAGAGCGCTACCGAGCCCACGCCTGCGGTCGAAGCAGACATCGAGGTCGCTGCTGACAAGACCCTGGTGGCAGAAACGGACGTTGTCACTGCCAGTGAGAAGGAGGATAAGCAGACGGCAGTGGCGGAGACGCCTTCATTGGCCGCTGAAGCCACGCCGCCAGTCTGAGAAGCAGGATCGTCTACCTGCACAATGGAGGGAACAGAAAAGGAAGAAGAAAGAGATGATACCCGACGGAACGAACTCGACTCGAGATTAAGAGTCCTGACATTTACTTTTATTTTTGACTACTTTGATATGTTTATGCGTGTCGCGCGTTGATCCTGATTGCGTAATTTCCTGAATGGTCTGGCTACCGCCAGTATGTACGCGTACGCACTTCCCTTTTGTTTATGAGCATTTTTCTGCGGGTATCGATCTGTCTCTTGCATGACGGAAGAGAGAGAAACAGGGCGAGGCAGGAGAGAGAAAGGACCATGAGAGTCTGGCAGTGACCTCTCTTTGTTATCACGATGGCGAGGAGGAAGGCAGGGAAGAAGAGCGAGGGAACAATGCATCCCATTTTATGGATGGATCGATCAATCAAAAGGACTCTATCGTCTAATAATTCATAGAGTATGAACTGACTTGCAGTCCTTATTGAATTTAAGTTTCTCAGTCTTCACATCCAAGGAGCAGGGATCTCAAGCAGTGGGATCGAAGAGGAGAAGAGCCACGCGAAAGTGACAAGGCTTTCTTTGTTCATCATGTCCTGTCTCTGCAGGCATATACGAATTTCGTTCGGAGAATGCTACAAAGCTATTGTTGTTAATAATAACAACATCTCCCTTTGTACATTTTTGATTGAAACAATTTCACTACTCCGCACATCGATCGCCCGATTGAGGGTTCGAACAATATATTGTCGGCACCTGAGCCGATGTCTCATCATTGTCCACGGTAGCATTGCCTTTCACAAGTGGTGAGGAGAGGAAAGCATATGTGGCGAGTTTCGTCAGCGCATCTTGTGACCACAGCAGCATGGTTGGACACGTTATCAGTCGTGATGTGGGTGACGAGAGGAGGTGACGACTTATCATTACATACAGGATCGCATTGAGTCATCATCCATGGTGAAGCGCTGAAGTTGGTTCGGTTGGGTTGCGACCACGTCGTCCGTTGTCTGAAACATCGAGGGCCAGCAGAAGGATAGGATTTAAGCTTTTGCCTGCCACTCCTCGCTAGTCCAGTCCACGTACAGTAGCCGGATGTCAGACATGCAGCAAGTTACGTCGTGGTGCCCACATCATTGGGCACACTGCAGCTGCACCCGGCCAGCCTATGATCTTCGCCGGAAGGCCCTCTGGTGGTGTTTCCGTCGCGGTTGTCCTCGTCGCGGCCACGCCTGTTGAGACTGTATGGATCGATGGGCATCAGGCCATCGTTGCAGGGCTGTCGGTCAGTAGAGTTGGGGTTTTAATCAAACCTTGGAAGCCTATCTGACGAGCTTCTCATGTAAGCAGCCTTTCACGCTAGGAATGGTTGCCGTTCCAGGGGCCGAACGCTTTTCCCAGGGCTTTGGCTGGTGTTTGCTGGCCGCTGCTCTCGGGCTTGGCCACGCAAATCTGGCCCAATCTGCGCAACACTACCTAGCTACCTAGAGTATTGAGGATAGGGCCGCGAAACGCTCCTTAGGTACCAACCGTCCCGCGGCGTAGACGTCTCCCATGGTTCATGGGTCAGAGACCAAACACATGTTTCGGTTGGTCACGATTGTTCACTAATAGATATCCTGGAATACCGAGAAACGGCCACTCTATATCCCTCCCTCGTACATCATTATTGTTCATCTCGACATCGGACGTGCTGTGGAAGAAAAGTGCACCTGCGTGTTTTGGCCCTCCCATTCCCCATCGGTACATGTGTAGTACGTCAGCCCGCCGCAACCACGGCTCGGATGCGCGCGTCGAACAAAGCGGGAGCACAATAAACAGACACGCGAATGGTGCCCAACAAGCGGTACAGCGGTTCTGACCACGCCCAAATTCGCAGCGACGCACGCCATATGAACTCTCCCACCGCTACATCCTCCCGGCCTCTCAAGCCCGCCAATCCACCCCCGAAGCGGCGCCTGGCTCCCGGACTGGAAGCTCGACTCAAGAGGCTGGGGCAGCGGAAGGAAGACGAACTGATCGAGGAACAACGGCGCCAGCGGCAGGCCATCGGTCGCATTCCAGAAGAGCAGATCCGCGAACTGGAACGCTTGCAACGGCGGCAGCAGCAGGAGAGGGAAATCGCACGGCGGGGCAAGATTTGGGCTGGTCCTCCTGCCACGGACATGCCGGAGCTGTCGGGTGGAGGAGTCTTGCTCCCTGTATTGACCGACGGCGAAGCCTCCATCTTTGAGAGTGATGTGTCCTCAATCATCGACATCAGCGATCACTTCGGCCCGTCCGAGACCGAAGATGACCAGGACGAATTGATAGACACGCAAAAGTACCGCCTCCCACACATCGGCAAAACTAACCTCAACATCATCACCAAGGAACCTCTCAGCCCAGCGGAAAGGCTCCCCACGCGCGAAAGCAGTCCTCCGACGACGCCACGGACGACGCGGTCCACCGCCGATTCATCATATACACCTCCGACCATGGGCTTCTCGATGACCAATTGGTCTGGCATGAGCCCGGAACAATTGAACGGCTCGAAAGGTCGCCACCGATTAACACGTTCAGACTCCATATACACACTCGGTCGTGCCACCTTCACCGGCCAATTGGCACGGTTGACGAGCGTACGGTTGCCGGAAGCTGACGCTCTTGCGCGGAGAATCTCATCGATACCTTCTTCTATTGAGGCTGCCTTGGTCTTGTCAGATGCTCATGACCAGATTCATGTATGGATCGGCAAAGCATCCGACGTATTAAATGGACTGAATGCGGAAGATGATGTGGAATGGGCCGCAGCGGGTGGCCGTGAAGGTATCGCAGAAGTGGACGGCGCCATCAACCGATTTGAGCGACTTGTGGAGGTGTACATTTCTTCCATCGAGAAGCTTCAAGGACGGGACGACATCTCGAAACTGCCTGCGCAAGACCTCATAATGGTTGCAAAACAAATGGAGAGCATCATCGCAAGCTGGAAGAACATCCGGAGGACACTAAACAGCATCCAAGATCAGGTCGAGATCGCAATGGACTGGGAAGACCTGTGGAATACTGTGCTTGGCGAGATTGGGCAGGAAATGGCTGGCCTGAATTCATTGGTGTTTGAGATGGAAGAGAAGCGTCACGAAGGTGCCGAGAATCTGCTAGGAGGCTCAAAAGAGGCAATGAATCTCGACGAGCTGGAGACCATCATCGAGGAAGGAAATGGCAGAGCCAAACGGCAAAGCCGCAATGCTCAGCAATCCTCAACACCTACCACGCCAATCTCACCACATTCAACCCAGCCGACAGCTATCGATCTGAAGGAAGATTCGAACTTGCTTGCCCTCTTCGCTCGTATGGAGCCATTGCGTGCCTCGTTGGACTTTCTCCCAATGAGGTTATCAGCGTGGAGTATCAGAGGAAATGTCGTCTTTCCGACAGCATGTCAAGAACTCGAGACTCGACGAGATCAGCTTGAAGAGGCTTGGAATAAGCTTTCATCCGACGCAAACTCACTTCGACGGGAACTTGGCGAAGATAAATGGATCCAGCTGTTCCGCAATGCCGGGAGGAAAGCATTCAAGATCTACGAATCAATACTCCGAAGCTTCGACAAACTCAAAGAGGGCATCGAAGCGGGTGAGCAGCAGTCACATTGGACCGCATTCTCGAAGAAAGCGGAGAACTACGAAGCGAAGAAGCTTCACTACAGCCCGGCCATTGAACGCGTTCTGGCAATCATCGACCGTGGCGTGCTCGATCGTTTGACTGTCAACGGCGAAATTCTACGTTTGCAAAGCGACTTGAGAGGTCGATGGATTGTGTTACAGACGCAGATGAAAGAGCTCGATCACATCGTCGAGGATGTACTTGCCGAAAACCACGAAAGGCAACTGCACGATTCCGTATCGACGGTTGTATCGAGCGAGAGATCCGCGGGCAGCAGTCATGTCGACACCCCTGGAAGCTCGCCAAACAGTAGTGTACTCGGCCTCAGTCGAAAGAGCAGCTTCCAAGGCACGAAGACGCCAACGGGTCTGATCAGTATCAAGACACGAAGCAGCTGCACAAACTTATCGTCGAGCGTCACATCAAGAAAGTCGATACCTCGTTTGTCCGTCAGCTCCAACCACAGCGCCTCGCCCGCCCACACACCTCACGCCTCACGAACAGCAGCTTGGCCGAGCAGACCCGAACCACATCACGGCGAGCGCCCAAGATGGACCATGGCCGTGAAGCAATCCGACCTCCGAAGTTTCCGCCCACTGGCCGCCACCGAGCCCTCGCCATACGCCAAGAATCCAACAACACCCAAAGCGAGCTATCTCCGCTCCACCACCCATCCCGCCTCCATGCCACCCCAGATCCCCTCTATCCGAACCTCCCACCACCACGAACAGACCATGAGTCCACCCCGCTCCGCCATCCCCAAACCCACTCCCAAGACCATGCCCGCTACCACCACAACCACCACAGCCAACCGCGTCGTCTCCCAACCTCTCTTCTCACCGACCCCACCCGCCCGAACAGTCAACCGCGTAACATCCTCGACATTCCCGCGCAGCAGCGAGAACCATGCTACCGGCACCAGCGCCTCAACCCTCAACAGCCGCGCCTCCATCAACGGCCTCCGCCCGGCCTCCCGCCTCTCCCCCGCCACCGCTCTCTCCAACAAACGCGCGGTCGTCTCAAATCTCCCCAGTATCCCTACCGATGGCAACGAGGCGGACAACGAGAGTCCGACCCATCAGCGTCGTCCCCCGAGTGTGCTCGGTGGCGCACACCGTCAGAGCAGCGCGATCCCAATGAGAGCGTCGAGTCGATTGGCGGGCAACCGGGAGACGACGGATTTTGATGCCAGGCCGAAGTGGCGGCCTTGAAAAGAAAGACTTTCTCTCTGATTTCCGAAGTATTTTTTTCTCGATGTTTCTCTTTTGTTGTTGCACTTTTTGGTTTCGTCTTTGGCCTTTTTCCCCTTTCGTGTCTAGGACTGATTTCTGGAAAGCGGCCTTTGTACCAATCACCGTCTATCGCGAATCTCATGTTCGGGGGAGTAATCGGGGAAAACTTACTGTTTGCGATAAGGGGCAGGGGGAGGCGTTCTATGTTGTGAAGTCCCCTGTGTCATCTGTGGGATTTACTATTCTCTTTTTTTCCCTTTGCAAGCGATCTTTAGCGGGCGCCAACCTCCAATGTCCTTTTCGAAAACCCATCAATGCAATCAATTACTTCGAACATGGAACGCTCCTGCTTCGTCGTCAACCTCGTCTTCGCTGCCCTGTGGTTTGCTGTAACACTTGCGCCAACAGCATGGAACGCAATCTTCACTTGCTCCGTTCGGCATCGTGGCCTTTGAAACATTGCAGGATCCTTCTCAGAGGCTAGTAATTCTTGATAGACTACTGGTGATTGACCGGGTCTTATCACAACAAGAAACAGAAAGATACTCAATCGCCTACGGGCCCGCTCTATGGAAGAGAGTTCGTCTCACCTACACACGTCCCTGCGCATTCGCGCGGGAAAAAGTGAGAAAGATATGGAAGTCATTTCCTCGATGGATTGGCTTTGTTTGCTTCCAGAAGCAGTACAACTTCCATTCAACCACAGACAGATAAAGAGGCAAAGACAGAAAGGCAAAGGGATGAGACAGAGAGAGCTGAGTTGCAGATCTGAGATAGCACAATATTCATCGTTTCTCCTTTCTCGCTGGAGTTATTGTTAACTCGAATCGCTTCCTCCATTTCCTTAATCGTGACGAATAACACAAGCAGATACCCAATCCGCAAACCGCATGCCTGAGTTTCCCTGGCCTGGAACAGGATCAACGACATTGAGAGAGGAACGGGCGAGAGTCGCGAAATCAAAATGCATTCTTCACTTGACACAGTGTAGTGAACGCGCCTGCGACAACATGACAGATGCTCAGTAGGCAACCACCCCGATCATCGCGCGAGGCAATCATTGCCGCTTGATACCCTCTACCCTCCCTGTTTCTCCTCCTCTTGAAAATAGATCCTCGGATCTCGCCAGGGTACGTGGCATACGCCTTTGTGATCCAGTCATATTGAAAAGCTCTGCGTACTATTTCCAGACGAAAGGACAAGGGCAAAGGGGAAATGATGACCATGCTATGATATGATCTGACGAGCGATGAGTGACGATGATGATAACGATCAACGATGCCCGCCGATAGGCGGATATCGCGGACAAGAGCTCCTCGTGACATGTATCAAGCCTATTCTCAGCATGGGCTATGTTACATTATGTTCTGTGATGTGCTACCCGTCGTAGATTTTGATTTTGGAAAAAAGAGCACAGAGCACACCTCGCTCGCCCGATCGCCCACCAATGCGATGGCGTGCTCCGAGGTTGAACGATGAGATCGATCTGACACATTATGACATTCGGAAGACGGAAGACTAGAGGTCGTTGGTTACCGACTATGGATATCCCGGCTCGTTCGGGGCTGACCGATCGAGTTTGTTAGTGTCCCTGTCCATGTCCTTGTTTCCATGTCCTTGGTGTTAGGACGTTACAGGCGTTTACTTGGAATGGGTGTATAGTATACATGGGTGGATGAGTTGGCGGAGACCTCTCTACGTCCACGTACTCGACAAGATGTATCTTGATTTTATGAACCAATTTATCGGATGATTCTAGCAATCGCACGTTATGTTCCGTTCTCGTGGTGATCTTCACAACAGGGAATGTGAGATTCAGGGCTTCGTGCGCAAACCATTCCATTTCGGGGCAATTCCTCGCAGTCAGAGGAGACGATCCTCCAGACAATATGATATAAGCTTGAAGATAGTGGTGGTGGTGGTGCGCAGAGAAATTGCTGCCATTGTGGACGTGAAGAGCACACCATTGAAGGGTTACCACCATCATCACTATCATTATGATTCATGATGATCGCCTTCGACGGGAAAACACACCAACGGAACGGGTTGATCTCTTCGGAGGACAGGTGCATGGACTGGCGCATTTCGGGGCGTACTGAACCAAAATGCAAGCACATAATCGAGGGTCCGTCCGAACAAAATGCATCGGTGACATTCTGACGCCGAAAGAGAGGAGCGATTTAGTGCTGACAGCGCGTTGCTTATCTGACAAGCCCCAATTCGCAGTTCACTAGTGCGGCGCAGTGCAACTACTGCAATGGTTTGGGAGGCAGGAAGGATCATCACACGCATGTTTAGGGCCACCACATCGTTGAAGGGGAAAAATGTCAATGACTGAACCCTCGCCGCATTCAGTAATAAATGGTTTTTTCAGGCGATGCGTCGACGGAATGCAGGAAGGAGGCGCAGACGTTGACGGATTTAGGAAAATTTCTTCAAGAGCGAAGGCCGAAGGACACCGTTATTATAGAGATGGTGATGGATCAGATTTCCCTGATGGAGCATTCATGCAGAGCGTTGACTGTGAGGATGATTCTCACCTCCCAAGGATCATTATCTGGCTACAAGCAACTTACAAATTCTGTTCGGGAAATAGTCGTGCTCAGGATATGCCTGTCCAGAAACAAAGATCAGACACACACAGAGTCTGGCTTTTGCGACTCTTTCGTATCATGCTGCGTCGTTGGTCCGAAAATCGATCTTACTGGATCGTCACAATCGCGATGGACAGTAACAAACGGCACACAAGAAGTGGAGCAATCCTGACGATGGCCCACTGAGCTTACTCTATTGAGGGCGTGTGTGCTCAGCAAAAGTGTGCTGTGCCACGATTCGTCTGGGCACGGCGTCGATGCGCCGCAAGATAGAGGCCTAACGGAAGCAGATGGACACACCAACCTGATGAACGGCTGTTCGGTCCCTAGACCCACCTGTCCTGTGAAGACGTGATGAGACTGTAGGAGCGCTTACTCGGGTGCCCTAGATGCGTCAAAGAGCATGTCGTTCAGTGATCGACGTAAGCGGATCCTCCAATCTGACCGACTCGAAAAGTTTGTTCATGATGATCATGCCCGATTAGAAGAGTGGGTGACCGAAAAAGAAAACATCTTACGCCGGAGGTCGGGTTGCTGTTCCTTTGCGAGTTCGTCAACTGTAATCATAGCTTGTAATCCGACGCTGAGTGTGTGCTGCCAGCACATCATTCTGCTCGCTCTGAAGTACACAGTGACTTCGCGGACACGGTGTGATACCTACCTCGAAGCTGAATTCGGTCTGGCTGGCTGATGTTGAATCTCGAAGTTGGTTCGGGATAATCAGGCGGGAACATAGCTCTTACCTGAAACATGCCTCGCATGTTGCCTTGATTTGATTAGGCACTTCGGGAAAAATGGCACACTTTCGCGGCGCTGCATGTAAGCAAATTCCTCGCCGCCGCCGCCGCCGCAAAATGACACTGTTTGAGATCGGGTCACCGGACGAGGTTTCATAGCCGCAGTTATTCTTGGATGTCGTGCTTGAAATATTATTCTTCGCAATCTCATTGAGACGACAAAAGTCTAATTCTTGCTTATTGTTGTTGGTCGGGGTTAGATTTAGAGCGGAATTCTTTCCTCTGCGCCCTCGGTCTTCGCCAAATTCTTCCCTTTTCCGTATAGTGGGAGGACATGCTCCGTCCGCGCCGTGGGCGTGCGTTTGAACTCCGAACCTGGGGTGACTTCGGGGGAAGTGATGGAGTCTGTTGTAAGCTTTTGCCGATCACGTTTGGGCGCCCAAAATGTTGGCCATGAAGAAGAAGCTTAATAATTCGGTCAGGTCGTTGAAGCTTGACACTGCGAGCTGTTCATTGGTCTCGCTGGACCCGCATTTGCCTGCACAGAATCGATGGATCCGTTCTATATGCGCGCCAGCCTCTGCATGTGCGAGAGGTGAGAATTGTGCGCGTGTGTATCGTGCGTGCGTGCGTGCGTGACGAGCTGCTCGGAAGGATTGTGGACACGAATGTTCCGGTCGCGGTCGTCGGAACTATCTATATGCTAACTCCGTGTGCGCGCGCCGCGGCGGCGCTCCGGAAGTGGGCGGCGAGTGACATCCTGAGATTTGCCGAATGATCAACACCATCGTCATAGTTTACGACTTCGTTGTGGCTAGAAGATTGGACATCACAGCAAGGAGAAGAAAGGATTACAAGATTCAGTGGTCCCGCACATGCACTGTGGGACAAGTGCATCCCAGCGGGCCGAAGTTGCATAATTTGACGAGCGATACGAAGTGATATTACGAGATTCTTCGAAGTTTGACAACGATCAACCGACTTGGCGTGCATGGTCCTTAGGTCTGGACAGGTGATCTGCTTGGGGTAGCATTTGCCCATCGTTCATCATGGTAGTACTGTGCGTATTGTACTGCAACATTCGTCACAGGCAGTGCACGATATCTAAAACACGTTCGCACGCAGAGCAGCTGTGAAGCATGCCCAAGTCCTTTGGCAGCCAGCAGAACAGAATTTGCACTGGTGCCGAGACTGCTCGACCTGCGCGGCAGATGTCTGACGCGATCACTCATTCGTCGCACGAAAATGTCACACAGGACTGGACTCAATCCTAATCTTCAGTAGCCTCCAACCTTGCATATATGGTCAAAGTCAACTGCGAAGTTGCAGGGTCTGGCTCACGAGACTCCAGAAGGACGGGCATAGACCGAACTAAGCGGGGACCGTTCGTAAACTCACCGTGTGGTGACGACCATGATGACAACCTTGGGATGATCCCGTGTTCCATCAGATTATGCAGCAATATCATCATCGTAAGAGAGCCGCAACCGCCAGGCGAGGTTCCAATCTGCCAAGTGTCATGACCAGGTCTCGTCGCAAGGGCTTGGCAATCTTGGTATGGCTTGGCCTTGGCTGCGGAGTTTATATCGCACACGTGTGAGCAGAAAGGACGAAAAGCGAGCTCGCCCGGGCGGCGTCTCACTTTGCAGGGTGAAACGGGAAGGCAATGACAGCCTTGACCTAGCGATTGGAAAAGATGTGCAGTACAGAAGCTTGTTGCCGATATATGCGAGGTCCATCGTATGTCGCTGTGACGTCTGTCGTGGTGGGCGAGGGCGCCGCGGCGAACATGTCTGCCCTCCAAGCCGACGGCGTCAGCACAGATGCATTGCCCAGCTTCCATCGTTATTAAGACCCACGCATGTCACGTTCCTTGGGCGTTCGTAGTCGATCTCATTACATGGGTGGACGAAGTCTTGGAAGTTGCTCTCGTGCCATGTGTACCAGTCTTAGATCATATCTTAGACACCTGACATCGATTGTGTGTTCTGCTAACACGCATCATGATCTTGCTTACTCCAATCAAAGGAGGTCGCTCGCGTGCGAACTCGCTTAGCTCTTTTCTCAAGAGGCTCATGGTAGCGTGTTGTAGATTCCAGACTCTGGCATGGCCCCGCGCAAGTCGCCAGTCGGGTAGAGGATCCTTGGTCTTTCCCTCCTTGCTTTGCGTATTACAAGAAGACAGGCTCGCACTTGTCCCGTGAAACTGCGGACCAGTGCTGCTTGGGGCATGGCTCGTTGAGCTTACTTAGGGCTACGGGCTGGGCAAGCGAGATTTCTGCGCCGATCCGCCCCAAACTCTGTAGCCACCGAAGTGTCGACTAGCGACTGGGCTGCTGCCGCCCGCATGGCCCTTGAAAACCCAAACATGCTTGTAATAAGCAATGAATTTAAGCATCAAATTGCGCAGCGGCGGCTTCGGGGGCTACCCTCGCCCGATGTTTAGATCCGCATCAGCCCTTATCCCGTCGTGGGTGCATAACTCACGTGGGTGGGCTTTTCTAAGGCGTCTGCTTAATTCTGGCTCGCTCTCGGCGCTGCCGACGCTTCGCCAAACCAAGTGGACAGCACTGGCCGTGGCTTCTGCGCCAATCTTCTCGCAATATCGAGTCGCAGTGTTCGCGGGACACGTGGTTGTATGCCGTGATGCTGACAGAGGGTGCAATCTGAATGGCTGTCGTCGATAACTTATCCCTGATATATGAGTAGACAGACGACAGTAGGCCCTCCCTGGGAATGATGTTGCCTACCTTTGAAACACTGGCCCCCTGTGGTGTGCCTACAAGCACTGCGGCGTCGTGAGAGGATGGGTCTCCGCGGCCGAAAGCGGTGACGAAATGTACATGCCACACTCGAGTAGCTTTGGCCAGGATGGAGCCTATCATATCGACACGAAATTTTCGCTGATTGCCTGAACGGATGGACGGCATCTCGCCTTCTCATAATAAACGGCCAAGGGAGCTCCGAAAATAGAGTTTTAAGGTTCGAACGCTCGTGTTTGTGCTAACCTTGCCATTAGGTGGCCGAGACCGAGAAATACGCATGGGTACGTTGACAGGGGATACGGAGAACATGCACGTACTATACCAAGCCCGAGATTTGTGCGTGAAAAGGTTGGAAGTATTCTCTGGTCCGATCAGTAAATGAAGTGGCGATTGCGTCTGGCGCAGTCGCCAATCCGACCACAAGTCTCTTGGCTCATGTGTCAAGTCTGTCAGGGATCGGCCAAAGTCGGAAAGAAGACCACTATGGGAGCACCACTGTCGAGATCGCTGCGCCCGTCACATGCATAATGGTGGGTCACACATAGTTCTGAGGCCCAAAGGTGCGTTCGTCGCAGTGCGCCTGTGCACTTGACGAACAGCCACCGGAAGTCTCAAAAGGCCACGAGGCGGCGACAAGTTTTGGAGATCAGGCCAGGGCGAGTTGTCGCCATGGTAGATTATTGATCTCATCGAGCACGCGCACGAAAAGCCTACCATGAACGACTGCTCAATACCAAGGAACGGGCGTTGTAGCGTCGGTGAGGACATTCCCGCATGCTGACTGCGCCGTAAATTCGCATGGCCGCCACATTCGCCTAGCGGTACTGTACCATGGTGGGCGTGAATGGAAAAAAGATCAGGACACCGTCATGTGCAGCGGGAAAGCGACGGCGGTCTGGTAAGCGAGGTCCTTCTACTTCCTTCGTGCTTGAAGGATTTCGTCGTCTAATAGTCGAGGACGCACGGAGAAAGCAATTGCTTGGACATCGTATACCAAAGGCTCCAGAGGCACTGGCCCTGCAGATAAGGGCGGACCGTCGGAATGTTCCTCGACGCACTCCCATACAATATGGCAGGATCAGTGGAGGTTCAGGCAGAGCAACGCCCACATCACCGCAGCGTGGGAAAGCCTTAGATGGACACCGCAGCGCCTGCTTCCCCAGAAGGACTCTAAGCGAAGGGTGCGGAAGAGGATCGAGGGACAGGTTGACAGCACACATGGGCTGCGAAATGACGTGCTGTGCGTACCTTAAGGCTTGCTCATCGAGACGATGAACAAAATATCATCTCCATTGTCGAAGGCAGTGCGACAAAAAGTCTGGTATGGTCCTGCATTTGCGTCACAGCGCAAACCGGTCCTCGGGGGACAGCAGAAAGCCATTTCCAGCAACTTGCTCACTCAAATTTGTTTCCTGATGATAGTTGATTTCACAATTGTGATTGATTGAGCCTGTCGAGATGCGTCACAAGCGGCTTAGCAAGTCCCTTGGTGCTGTGCCACGAGAGCGGCGTTCCAACTCGAAGATGTAGGGGTGCCCAGGCCATGAAATGTACAGCCGGGATCGGAATCTCGAACGCCGCCCTACGGAGTGGATTGCCCAAGTGAGAGGCGTGGGTGCATCGCGCGGGACAGGAAGCCAAGAATACCAAGCACCTCGCGCACGTTTAGCGTTGACTCAGCTTGGCCATCATCGTTATGTTGGTCCGGTGCCCCAAAGTTGGTGGTGGAGGACGGAGGATGCGGTGGTGGTGGAAACTGTAGCCTATACATGGGCAGAGTTGAGCACTGTTGCATGCACCCAACTAAGGGCACGGCGGTCAAAAGAGGCGTGGAAATAAGAGTATATTTTAGCTTGGCTCTAGTCGGAAAATGGTCAAGCTCGGTCGCAACACTTTTTTCGAACCCTGCTTTGCTGCCGCGCAGTGCCCTCCTTCACACTCACACACACGCACTCATAGTCTCATACACGCTTACGCACACGCACACTTCGCTCGGTCGTGTCTGTCCATCTGTCTACCGTTCACCTTCGTCCTGCCTGATAGAGTGGCCTCTTCCCTCTTCAAAATTTCCCTCTTCTTTTCTGTGCTGTGAAAGACCCTTTTCAGCCTTTTGTCTACTGCAACCCGAACCGAGTCACATTACCGTCGGTCGTCATATAAGATCCTGACCTTGAACCACATGGTCCTGCAGTCTTCTGTGCAGTCACTGAACCTAAGAAAAACCAATAGGCCGGCGTGGATTCCATCGCCTCGGAAGACTTCACCTATTAATATCCAAGCTTCGCATGCGAAGCTCATTCAAACAACATGCAGACCTATAACGGCCATGTACGAACGCCGACCGACGCAATAATATTGTTCGAAGCATGTCGTATCGGTCTACTTCCGCGAGTGCAGCGAAGATTATCCGAGAAGGAACGCCAGAGCATCAAATCAGGATCAGTATTCGTCTGGGATGAACGCGAAGCGGGCATGCGTCGTTGGACTGATGGAAAGTCATGGAGTGCCAGTCGGGTTTCAGGCAGCTTCCTCACCTACCGTGAGATGGAGGGCAAACGTGGCGGCAGCGGCTTCGACAAGACAGCCAATCGTGATGGCATGAGCAATCCAGACGGTGATTCCGATGGTGGACCAGATGGCTATCGCTACAAGCCCGATGGTCTCATGAAGCAGTCATTCTCCATCACGACCAACAGCAACCAGCATCTTCATCTTATCAGCTACTTCTCACGATCATCGACGAATTCTCCCAATCTTATCCAACCTTCGAACGACCCACAACTACGACACATACGACCAGAGAAGGGCATGTATCCCGAATCTACTGTTCACGAGCAGAGTGCCATCCCAGCGGTGACCCGGGGTCCGATGCACTCTCCAGGGTATGCTCAGCCACCTCACCAACAACCACCATATACACGCGGCCCTCCAGCACAGTACTACCCTCCACAATGGGCTCCTCCGAGCCCCATGCATACTCCTCCGCCGCACCACACACATCACCAATCACCTCACCAACACCAACCATATTACCAACAGCCACCATATGTCTCGGGTCAACCGTCGCATCATCAGCATCCTGCTCACAGCTATGGATCCCCGTCACACCCGCACCCTTATGATCGACCACCACCGCCGAGTTCCCACGGCCCTGCTCCACACAGCCACCATTATCCACCTGGTCCACCTGGTCCACCACCACCTTCAAGCGGGCATGCGCACAACTACCCGCCCCCTTCATCCAGCTACTACGTAAGTAAATTGAAGCCAATCACAATGCGCACATCCATATTTACTGACACTGGCTTGCAGAGCGGCTACGCATCTCACCGACAAACATCGCCTCATCATAGCCGCCCCTACAGTTACGACAAGCGAAATTCTCCCGAGCGAGCACGCCACGAAGCTCCCGAGAAGAGGAGCGACTCGCACCAGGAAACGAAGCGGCCTCCACCTCCGCCTGCACCTGTGCATCGTGCCGAACCTCCTGCTTCTACAGCTCAAACCATTCCGAGCATTTCCGCGATGCTCAACAATAGCGAGGATAGCCGACCGCCCATGCGTCCGAGCAGCCGAAGCCCTGGAGGCACCCTTCGCAAACTCCAGGACATTCCTAGCCACAAACTCGGATTCGAGGTCAACCGCGATGTTCACACGTTACGAACACTTGACAAGACGACCTTCAAGGGCTACTAAACTTGATTTCACTTTCTTCTCCTTCCTGCGTCCTCTTCATTGAAGGGACCTCGAATTGTCACCGGCGTTTCGTTCTGGAAGATAGATGAGGGTTCCATTATATTTGCAGTCTTGGGATGTTCGGATTTTTACCAGCGAGGTGTTGGTCTTTCATTATGCGGTTTTAAGTCGCTGCTGGCCTCCGGGCATTTGCTCTGGCTCATCATGGGCGAGCCTTCCATTGCTGGTTCTCCAATTTTCAATGCGGGAGGGAATGATACCACATTGCTTTTGTTCGATCTTCGCTACTACTTGCATTTGGTTGATAGACTAGGCTGCTAGTCATGCGGCCTGAAGAAGTTCGATATCTTGATAACGACGCACAATTTTTGGCCTCGCGTTCATTCGTTTCCTCCCATCGTATCGTCTGCCGGATAGCTCTCCCTCGCTCTTAGTTGCCTCGTACATTAAGCTTTGGTAACCAGCAATCTGAGTTTGACCACCAAGCCATCTGAGACGCCTTTAAGAAGCCGGCGACTCCCGATGGATGATACGGGAAATTCCACGTACACCTTGCCTGTACGAACACCTGGCCAGCGCCCGCCAAGCCCGTCATAACGTAATTCCATTGCATTGCCCGCGCGGCTCGCATACGCAATGCAGACAACACCCTGTCATCCACACACTTCCAAGTCTTCTGTTCTTATCACTCATGGAGTCTGAACGACATGTCGCTAAATCACTTTATACGTCGTTTCACAACTTCGGTAGCGGGTTTCTTGTATCCCGGGCGGCTCCCAGCGGGAACGAGAAGTATCCGTGCCGAACGAGGACTAATAACCAACGTGGACGTATCACCATCTGTAGACGCGCGTATGTTTTATCTTCGTGTTTGAAGCTATAAATTGACGGGACGCAAGAATAGGCCGTCACCGGACCGCGTTGAATAGACCAAGTTGCTATGTTGATTCTGCACAGATATCGCGGCAGCCGCCTGCTGCAGGAATTGCGCCTTGCTTGTTCGTGCTGTGGTGTCGAAAGCTTGCTGCCGTGGGCTGGCGCACGATAGCGTCCCGAACATCGCTCGAGGCTCTGCGCGGTCCTGCTGCAATTCGAGGTCGACAAGAAGACTCAATCAGAAAACTTCGTCGGTCGCACCAAACAATCTTTCATACATGCAAACAAAGCTGCACATAGACATTAAACACCACTTAAAAGGCAGCCAGCAAGTATCAGTGATGCGGTGGGCCTGGTTATTACTACGAACAGCTTTTGCGCCTACAATGAGCGTACACCTGCAACCATCACTTCACCCCAAGCCTGATTATTCCCAAGGTGTTAGGTTTATATTTTTGGGGGCTGTTATTTGACCCGCCTTACTAATAGTTCCAGGGACTACGGGTATTAGGACCACATTTGTTGGGGGCTGTTCTCTTAGATCCGTCTCACTGCGGCCGTCTGACCAATATTTCTGGTATATATGGAAGGTTCGATTCTCACAATTGCGGCGCGGATGGTCAATCTGGAAGATCGTTGCTCTTGGCTAATGCTCGGCAAGATGGTTGCTTATGAATCGCTGCTCTTCCTCAGCAGTGGCCTTGAAACTTAAGAAGAATGCCCGTCACACCTCGCCAAAGGACGCTCAAACTTATGTCGATACCTGTCTCGGAGCAACCTAGGATCGCCACCCCTTGATAAAACAGGTCACTATCTCTCGATTCATTTGTCCAAGAACTATGGCGCACCTCCAATATTTTTCCTATCCGGGCTTCGGTGAATCTGCCCGCGAACGCACGTGGTATAGCCAGGCTGTGCGCGTCGGCGACCAGATCATCATATCCGGTCAAGGTTTGCGGCGCCCTTGTTCACACACGCACTGGAGTATGTTCTAAATCGAGTAACGATAGGTGGCTGGGATCGCGACAGCCATGAAATATCACCCGACATCGATGAAGAGGTCGACAAGGCATTCGAAAATGTCGACCACTGCCTCAAACACGCTGGTGGCCAGGGTTGGCCGCAGGTCTTCCAGGTCCGCCTGTACATGACCGACATCACTGAGGCTGCCATGGCTGCCTTGGTGCGCAATCTGAAGCATTGGCTGCCAGATCACCAGCCCATTTTGACTGGTGTGGGAGTTTCGGCCTTGGCCATTCCCGGCATGCATGTCGAGATTGAAGTGACGGCCCATGATCCAAAGGAAACCGAAAAGCTTTAGGCTCCACAAAGCGCCGAAGTTTCCCTGATTCGTTTGGAGCAAGTTGATAGACCTAGATAGCTGTGCGGAAAATCAACTAGCTCAATCGCGAGTAATGACGCCACACATTCTTCTCGTGGGAAAAGACTGCGAAAACCGAGTATTGAGTAATACCATAGTTAGCCTGGACTCTGACAGTGAGGGTTTGTAGAGCAGGGGGAAATGCCGAATAATTCATATCGTTGCTGTCATCTGAATGAGGAGCACTGGACTATCCGTTCGCTTCTTCAGCATGCCTGATAGTCGGTATGTAGTCCTCATTTCATTCATCCTAGACGAGCGTACATCGTTACAAATAAGGCTTCAGATTCGCATCTAATCGCCGTCGTCTAGCTCCTGACGTTGGGTTCTGCTCGCCACTCTGCCCGGCAGGAAAGGGACTGAGAGCCTGCTTTGGTCCGGAGGCGCGCAACTTCTATGAACCGCATAGAACCACGTCCTGCTTTGAACTGAACTCCACTATGTAGGCATATCAAGTGCCTGGTCTGGTCTAACAAAAGCTCAAGCTGCCCATTCTCACAGTCCTTCGTGATCACGTTAAAAGCTGCAAACTCAAGGACGCCTTTCCCTTGATGTTCTCCATTCTTTTTCTAGCATCGGTCCGATCAGTCTCAGCTCTTTAGTTCCATCCGCCAGGGACTGGGCTTCCACCTTGGCATCTGCGACTGTCCCTCTGCTGGTGATAAAATTCTACAGGCTCACTTGGAGCTTGACGAAGACCGTGAGGCACTGGATTTACCGGGAGCGAGTGAGTCGCGGGGCGCCTTGCGTGAATCGGCTTGCGTGCTGTTCCATCCCAGGCGGGATTTATAGTTGGGCAGTTCAGCGTTATTCCATACATTGGTGAGGACTCTAAAGAGAGATATCCGTCAGCAATCTCGAATAGCCCGGGAATCGGGTAATGCATATGGACGCGCTGGGGGCTCACTTCTGGGTGGTGTCGGTATATTTCTCGTTGTCGATGTCCTTAACTTTTACGCGCAACCCTCCTTCTTTGGTAAAAGACACATTGCTCTTCTCCAGCTTCTTGCTTGCGCGCTCAGCTAATTCATTCGACCAAAGCCAGATGTGATATCCAACGAAGGCGGATACGCCGACCACGATCAGCAGAATGATGAGGGGGATGATGTTGCCCAAAGCCATTGTCGCGGTTCCGTTGTGGTAGAAGGGAGCGATCGAAGAATGGTTTTGCGGCACTCAGTGGAAGTCGTGAATGCGCAAAGACGAACCTATGCGCGCAAGACAATGTCTGTCGTGATCTTAAGATTCTCGAGACACAATATTGGTGGGAGCTAGAGCGGTTTCACATGCATGGATGAGACACTGGGCTCGCGTGGCGGAGGGACCCTCGGGCGATCCGACGGATCGTGCGCAGCATGCCTCTGCCGAACCAAAACAGCCCTGAAGGACTTGGATATGTATTGCATCGCGTACATTTCTTCGCAACCATTTTTCCACCACCAACAATCAATTGATTATATGCGCTATCGTCTTTGAGACAACATAGTATTCCAAGCAACGCTATGAAGCATTGTCGGGATCGTGGCTGATGGTGACGACGACAGACACAGGTTACTTCTCAAGTTACAGCATGGTTCGGACGCGTTGTCCTTTGTGAAGTGCACAGCCACGATCGACGAGCCGCTCCAGCGAAGATGAGCTGAGCGACTTCGCGTTGACGCGCGTCAAGTATCAGAACAATACAAGTCTATGTAGTATCGGAAATGCGTGTCGCTTGCTATTGACTGAAGCCGTGTAGGACGAAAACTGCTAGACGCAGACGTCAGGCCAGCTGTCGACGTTCGCCGGTAATCAGCGCTGTGCAGCGTCAGGGGCCATGAATACGGCCAAAAAGAATTGGCGAACTGGACTGTGAAAGTCCTGATCCTGTGCAGAAGTCAACAACGCCATTCCCTTCACCTTCACCATCGAGGCATTTCCGCACGTGCATCCGAATACCGGCCAACGCAGAAATGGACTTTTTCATAACAGGATCCTCCTCCCTTCACCGGAGTTTCCAGGGCCAAGAAATTTACATTTCATCACTACCACGCGTCATATATCGGTGACCGCACCTCTTCTGCCGCCGAGCAGACCGTCTCTGTAAGTCTTGGTCATAGACTACGTTCTCTTGGCAAGCTGGGCGTGTAAACTCTCTTCGAGACGGACGCTCTTGGCTCATGGCGTGGATGGCTTCATGTGTTTCCCATTGACCCTCATCTTGGCGAAGGATTTGAGTCTTGGTGCCTAGAGATCAAGAGGTGTGAGAGTCTCGAGGATGAGGTCGACAGCTAGTCATCGTCTGTATATCGCTCATTATTGTCATGTGGTCACAGCGACTGATGTGCAGCAACGATGGCGCGGTGGGAAGACTCAAATGAAAAGCCAAAGTCCTGACGTGGCAGGTAAGGTCGGCCGATGTCATGAAAGAAATGAGAATTGGTCAAGCTTAGACAATGGCATACTCACGCTGATCAGTAAGTATGTCGTCGAGCCACTAGCCATGAGCTAGATTTGTAGCTCATTGCAGTTGCCTCTGTTGGGTTGATAGTAGCCGTAGAGCGCCTGCACTTTCTACAGGATACTATGAATGACTGGAACAGCACCTGGGTTGGTAGGAAAGAAGAGTATGCAATTGCTACATCTGATGCCTTTACGGGATCAAGACTTCCAAGGTTTCAAAGTTCCGGATAAACACAAGGAACCTTGGAATATTTTCGCATGTTCATAAGCCCATCACCCATCAGTGGAAATGAAGTCAAGTCTGCATTTCACTGCTTTGCTGAGTTTCTTATTCCTCCTCTTTGTGGCGATCACATTGCGAGGACACGCGCGTGATCTTCTTGAAATTGTTCGCACCTATGCCTCATTTCGGGACATCATGATTCGCAATCCAGACGTCCTATTCCGTTATTCACCTCGCAACGAGCAACAACGTCCCTCGGAATCTGCATATGTCACTATTCCCAGACTCATACATCAGATTTCACTCGCCGAGGATCACCAAAATGGCAACATCGCACGATTTGCTCCTGCGATGCAGAGTTGCCGAATCTTGCACCCAGACTAGGAGTTTCACATGTGGACGAACGACGACGCAAGCGACTTCATGAGAACAAACTATCCAGCACTTTATCCACATTACGAAAACTATCGACAGACGATCCAACGCGCGAACGTCCTCCGCTATGCATTGCTGCATCATTACGGTGGCGTCTATCTCGATCTCGACGTGGCATGCCGCGTCCCATTGGACGATCTCCTCGCTGGCGATGAATTCCCATCGTTCCTCACTCCCGCCGCGTTCCCAGCAGGCGTGAATAATGCATTCATCCTGACTCGTCCTGGCCATCCGTTTCTTACCAAACTACTCGAACGATTGCCAGGTCGAGATCTGTACTGGGGAATGCCATACGTCGAGAATATGCTGAGTACGGGGTGCATGTTCTTCACCAATGCTTGGATGGCATACTTGAGAGAAAAAAAAGCACGTTCTGGACACGACTCGATTAGCAGAGCACATGAAGATCGCGTACAGGTATTGGCAGATCACGATGGCTGGCTTGAAAGTCATATGCTGCGGGGAAGGGTTGTCACGCCATTATTCGAACACGGAGGCGCGAGCAGTTGGCACAGTTGGGATGCTGCCGCGATTGTGCTCATTGGGAAGCATTACGGCTATTTCGCCTTTCTTGGCATTCTGGGATGTTTCAGCGGATTCGCGTTCATTCTAAGATTGACGATGTCAAGAAGGATCGTACGGCGAGGGTGGCTTGACGCAGAAGCGGAATGTCGCATGCTGAAGGACGCTTGAGATCTTGTGGCAATCGTTGTTGACAGCTAAATTGAAAGCCTTGTATCACAAACACGCGGCCGAAACAGCGACACGACAATCGACCCCGGAAGGAGATTCACAGGCCCTTTTGCATGGAGCGCTACTTGGGTGATGCTCATGGGGGCAAGATTGTTCTATTGTGTATGTTCCTCTATAGCTTAGATTCCTCCTTGACATCTCCGATCCTGAGCTTGGGCTGGTACTTCTTGAGGACGTGCTCGTTGTGGTACTGTGACGCGAAATGTCAGTGCATGAACTTATCCCAATTCATCTCTATTATCCGCCCATTTTGCGACATGCGATTGACCACTGACCTTCCAGAACTGCTTGCTCGCATCCTTGCCGCCAACGCGCTTGAGGATCTTTGCACCACCGGGGTGCTCGTCCACGAATGAGCTCATCGAGTAGACACCACCGTCGATGATGATGTACAGGCCCTTCTCGACGCTGGCGTGCTCGGCGACTTCGGCGGTGGAGAATTGCTTCGACATGTTTGCGATATAATTTTCTAGACTGCAGCCAAAAGGGTCAATGTCTTCTCTTCCGAACGACTATGCGAAGTCCCATGTCACCCACTTTAAAGACAGTTGCGATTGCGCCGACGTGCTGTATATCTCTATGTTTTGTGAGACGGCGTAATCAAGCGGGCTTTGAGTGGTCAGAACTGTCGCTGGTATGAGCCTTAAATACGGTGAAGCTTTGGGGTAGTCGGCCAGCCTCGGCACGTGCCCCCCCCCCAAACGCGTCGCGCGCGAGTCGGGCGTGGAGATTCAATCTGACCTACGAATGGCGTTATCATAGCAGTCTTGCTTCTCGCTGATAAGCGGACACGTATTTGACCGGGCACGCTGCTGTTTCTATATCGGACGGATGTTGGACCGCTCCTGTTGCTCGTTATATACATGTCACTGGTCTTTGGAGAAGAAGTAGACCTTGATACACTTGTGACTACAACTTTCACCACTTGATCCAGGAAACTTTTCCCTGAGCCAGCATCGACACCACGGGCGCCTTCTACTCTCCGATGTCAAGTAGGTCAACCTGAACGGATGATGGCGACAGACGAAACGCAACAACGGCAGTGAATGAGTGCAACTTGTCATCTTGTCAAGCAGAAGGTCATTGAGCGGCATGACGATCATCTATCATGAACGGTCGTTAGCAAGATCCATCCATCGGCCGCAGGAAGTCACGATGTTGTTTGTGCCTTCTTGAAGGCCGACCAGACTGTTGGTGAACCTCTATGTTATCGCATGTCGAACCATAGCTTCCATGTCCACCTCCCGGAGTCGTCGCCGTGAATTTGCTGTGCAGAGGCGCATTCGTATCGTTAGCGGAGGTACCGGACATTAGCACCCCGCTCAGATATTCAGCTGAATTCCGCCTCGACCAACAAGCCTGTGGTGTTTCACACCTGGGCAAGATTGACACTGCTACCACCAATGAAATCATGCTGTACAACTGGATTCTCCGCACACTATGAGCAATTCATTGGCATAGCTTAGTGAATGCGAGATCGTGACTACGACAGTCTATCAACGATCGACAGAAGAGTTCATTTAGGTTAGGTCCATCTAAAATCCGCGGGTGCTACCCAAGCATTTGTCAGCTGTTGACCGACAAATGCCTTCGAAATCGACCGAAGAGCGTTCTGGCCTTCCTTGATTATGAATCCGGCCAGCTACATATATTGAACTCCGTTGTCTACATTGAAATCTTTCACCATTCGCTGAACCAAACACCCACCTCCTCAGATACGACGCTAATCCAATCACGAATTTACATCATGTCTGTCTCTCTTTATGACGTGACGGTGCCGACCTACATCTTCGGCCTAGAGCAACTCAAGGAATTTCTGAAGAAGGGCGAAAAATGGGCCGAAGATGAAGGTCAAGACAAGGAGATTCTTCTCCAAGGCAGACTCGCGCCCGACATGCTAGTCAGTCCATTGTTCGACCAGGAGATTATAGCATCCCACTGAACTCTCTCCGTCGTTAGCCTTTGATCAACCAGATTCGCATCATCAGTGACATTTCCAAGAGTCTCGTACAACGCATCGGCCGAGGTGAAGCCACACCGCTTGAGGACAACGAGGCCACCTTCGAAGACCTGTATGCACGCATCGACAAGACAGTAGAGATCCTCCAGGCCGCCAAACGTGAAAACTTCCAGGGACCGGAGGAGGCGGCAATTCTCGGAGTCGGCCCAGCGAGTGCGAAGAAGTATTACAAGCTCACCTCGCTCGAGTTCGTGCAGAAATGTAGGCTTCATTTCCTCCCCGTGATTTTCACGCCGAGCTTCGCGCAATCGCTAATGAGATTCGGGACGCACAGGGAGTCTTCCGAACTTTTTCTTCCACAAGACTACTGCGTACAACATCTTGAGAAATGCAGGCGTGCCTTTGGGGAAGTTGGACTTTCTGGGCGCTCACTCTTTCTTCGTGAATGAGGTCGATGCACCCGCTCAATGAGATGGGCTTGTCTACTCCGCTGCGCAGTCATCAATGGAGGAAGTACAGGTGAACTCACAGCCGCAGTGGGTAGCATTCAGGAGGCGCGTGGCGCGTTTCCCTCGACTTGACCATTCTCCAGTGGCATGGGTTGACTCGCCTCTCGCATAGGTTACGTAGTGAGAGAGCGGTCTTTTGAAAACCTAAATAGATGCCGCAACGAGGACATGTCAGATGAAGACGCTGAAATGAAATACAATTCACGTAAAAAGCGGGTATATTATCAAAGAAACGTTCCGCGCAAGCAAACTTTACCATTGACATCAGTTTGATGGAACTGGTGTCGTCTAGAATATTCACGCGGCGGTCTATCCTTTCGTTTTCCCGCTCTCCAATGTGTACCCTGTAGGGGGGCTTGTGGGGCATTTTTTCCTTGGGTTTTGGGTCCAGACAGGGCCTGCGTGGGCGACCGTGCAGAACCCTCGCGGGAGACTCGGAGAATTCTACAGGCATAGCAGTCGCTGATCTGGGCTGAACCTGAACCTCCGGCATTCGCTGCTCGTTTGCTTTTCTCTGACAGTATTGCGTCAGGACGATAAGAATGCCTCTCTGCCTGTATCCTCTTCCTCTCAGACCTGTCGTGTGCTCGCATGAAAGCTCAAAGACGCGTGCAGAAGCAACCACTATGGGGCTCAGCCTCGTAAAGAGCTCCGCGAATCATTTGGGACTGGGTTATCCAAGTCCAAGCTCTGTCCCCATACCTATTTTGGTGGTGAACAATATCTCAAAGTTTGGACCATTCATCCCTTCAAAGACATTGCGAATTTGACCAGATCATGTATCCAAAGAGCGAAAACGAATCTCTGGGCGATGAAAATGATCAATGCAGACGGGTGGTCCTCTGGAATATCGATTAGAAATGATGGGCACAGGAGTCCGAGTGATGATCATATCTCATGCGAGCACGTGTAATTGAGACCCTGGACATTTAGCGCGAGGATTTCGGAGGCCAGAAGAAATTTTATGACACGGGAAGACCGCCTCCCAGCTTTCTCGGTCAAGGTTGGGATTGATCGTTTCCTGAGACCCATCGGTGTTGCACAATAGTTGCTTGTTACGGGCGCGGAGCCATAGATGTGCCACGCCGCAAAATCTGAGCGCCGGAATGTGATTTGCGCTGAACTTCTATGCCTTAGCTAAAGGCTCATCAATCGGTACAATCGTTTCGGGTTTGAGACCAATCTAGAATGCACGTGTCAGTGATGAGTCTATCAGAACGTGATAAAGCTGGAATATGTTAGAAATCAGGGTCCAGGGGTAAACTTACGAAGAAGTCTCTCGTCAACTCGAAGCTCAACCAGCTGCTCGCCATGCTGGGCGCAACCTTGAGCAAGTTCGGCGCAATGCCTTTGTACAGACCAGCGGCACCTTCCTGTGCGACAATGACTCGCACAGCATCGAAGATGGACTTGTATTGGTAACCCATTCCGGACATGGTGTTGATTTGGAAACGTCGACGGAGAACATCGCTGTGATATTGGTCAGCATGCTTGTTCACACTTTGCTTGCGGTCGAAAGGGTTAAGAATGCACCAGTGCTATATGCAAAGCATTGAAGCAATCAGAGCAGGGAGAAAAACGGGAGGAAGCTTACAAGGGATACGTTGCGGTCTGCGCCACGGCGCCTGAGATTGCACCGGCGGAGAGCTTTCCGATAGCAGAAGGATTCTGCTGGCCTTCGGGTGTAAAATACTGCCTTACGCTCTCGTAGACCATGAAATTCAGACCAACATAAGGCGCCACACCGGCGACAGTGGGCAGAATGCCGCGGTATAGAGCTGCGACGCCGCCTTCATTGCGGTACATGAGAACAAGCGTAACCCACATGCCAGGAAGTTTTGGAGGCGCCGGCTTTGCTGATGCCGAGCCGGCGGCGGTCTTCGGTGCAGCGGCGCTGAGATCAGAAAATGAAGCGGATTGAATGGACAGACGGGTCCGAACGATGTCGAGTGGGTAGGTGACTGAGACTGAGGTAATTCCTGCTAGAGCACCGCAGACGAGGCGGCGGACAGCCGAGAGAGGTTGATCGGGTGATTCTTCGAAATACTGCAAGGAATAATTAGCAAGTCTGTCGCGCAATGCGGTACGCATTTGGCTACTGGGAAGAGCTGAGTATATCATACCGGTTTGTAGATATTGTAACTTCCGAATTGAACAGCACTGTAAGGGACAATGCGTATGCAGTTCGTACCATTCCCTGCCATCATGCCCTTGAAACCTTCTTCCCTCCAGATTTTTGCCAGGGCTTTGGAGATGCTCATCTTATATTCGGTGCGGCCAGAGGACTGCACTTGCAGTAAAATCTTCAGCCGTTCCAGGGGCGAAACAACAGTACGCGACACGGCACCAGCCACACCACCGCCAATGAAAGACGCAACGACTGCTTGTGAAACCCAGACCCGGAACCTGTACATGGCTGTGTCCGAACCAGGTTGAGAAGTGGTGGTAGGATTTTGTAATGCCGATGGTTGCATTGCTGGTGAGCCGGTTGCACCGGATGAATGTGAGAGTTTGTCGGCATCGCGAAGAGAGCTCTCAGTCGCCGAGGACTGGAGCTGAGGAGATGCACTCATTGTAAACAGGCGTAGGGATGTGACCACCGCATTGGAATGTCCTAGATCACACTCAAACCCCGGCTCTTTTCTCGAGTGATTCGCGTACGTAGGTGTGAGTTGTTGCCGTAGAACAACAGTATAGGACTATGGCTGTAATGACCGACAATGTCTCGGCTGATAGATGTGACTTAAAGTATGCTTCGGGATGACTGCAAAACTCGGCGCTGAAATCAAGGCGTGATAAGCAGCTTGTGAATTATCCAGATGTGGTGTCTGATCGATCGCAAACAGAATTAAGTCGCGGTCCGATTTAACAAGTCTTTGTGTGGACGAAACGTGAGCGATAGAGACAGCAAGGATGGCCTGCGCGGACAGACGTGATGTCGAATTTAGGAAAAGATTCTCGAGTATTTCAAACCGATATGCGGTGTCTTTCGTAGTTCTCAGAAACCGAGCCGCGGTGTTTTTCTTGGGGTACGTATCAAATGATAGCCGCTCAGGTGCATGAATTCTAATAATAATAATAATAATATAAGAAGGCAGCCCTGCCAGATGGTGAGGAGAAGCAGGAGTGCAGTGGGCTGTCTAGGCTCCCGTACCCTCGGAATCATGATTGACTGGTGAATTGCATAGACTGTGACATACTGCAAGGATATACGCTCTCCTTCAACGAGACCTTTTAGAATTCAAGGACCGACAATCCTCCGAACGCCGCACCTGTACTATAATCTTACAGTAGAACTCGTGAAGCATGGAACATTAGACGACGATTTTGTAGCCTCACAGTGCAATGCAGAAGCAAGCAATATATCTTTTGAATGGAGATACCCGGTAATTTGGCAAACAGAACCACACCTCGGAACTCAATCTGTTTTCAATATGTTCAGTAAGAAGCCAACGGACTACCATAAACATGTTCATTCTGTTAAATCTCCATTCCCAAAAACAACCATTTCTCGCTCACGCAATCCTCAACGCCGGAAGCCCAGGCGTCCAGCTTACTCAATTCGAAACCCACCCAGCCAAGATCACGAACTAGATCAGTGAGATCAGGCTTGTTGATAGTACGATCAAGTGCGATGATGAGCTGACTGCAGTCAAATCGATCATGAGATGCCAATTCCAAGAGGGCCATCAAGCTGTGAAAGGACTAGTCAGTATTATTCGAGAAGCACGGGTTCAAAGTAGAGATGAGAATCACATACCCAGGCTTGAGGTCCACGCCAACGACTTGTTCGTCGAAGAAGATAATCAGGCTTTGGTTTTCGTCGGGTCCTGTTTCAGCCGCGACGAAGCCTTTGAAGCCTACCCCAGCAACATAATCCCACACCTCGATGTAGTCACGGATCAAACCGCCTGGGTGCGGATATGTCAGAGCACCTGGCGATGGTGAGGGAGTCATCTGGCCGTGACGGAGCACAGTCGCGTCGGCCTGCTGGTGGAGATGATGGCGGGAAGAATACTGCGGCTGTTGCAGTGGAATCGGTCGTGAGGGCGTAACATTGATCGTCGATGTCGCCATTCGCTCTGCTCCATATCCTTCTCCTCCCGATACCATGGACTCCGTGGTAGTAGTATGCATGTCCATCCCAAGCGAGTTCTCAAGACCTGTGTTCTTCTCAACCAAGAATACAGACTTCAGCGTCTCGCAGAAGAGCCTCTCACACTCTTCCGTGATGTGACACGCGGCGTCTCCGGAACGCCTACGCAACAACGGGGGTTGTTGCGGACTGGTCGAACGTCGCATCAAAGCGCGTCCGCCAATGGGCGCCGCTTCCGGAGACGGCGGCGGTGATGGTACACCCAAAGGGACCTCAAACCCACCGCCCCTGTGAGTGAAATGTCAGTATACAGCTGTGCCTGTATGTTTGTGCGACCCAGAACAAGCCCTTCTATTTGCCCTTTCTTCCTTGTCGCGGCTTGATTCGGTTGGAACGAATACTGTCGAAGCAACAGGTATCGGGGCCGGGGGTGAAGAGCAAGTGGAAAAGACGTACCGCTCCTCCTGCGAAGCCGTGAGTGAAGTGGAAGCCAGTCAACGCCATGGTGGTGGCATCGACGGCATAGGCAGTTGCCTGAGTGTTGGAGCGGCGAGAGGGTGAGCGGGAGTTCGAGCCCATCTTGCTGCGATTACTACTTTTACTACTGGAATTGGAGTTGGTTAAATTCGCCATATCGTCGATAGTCTGCCACGGTGGATGTTCTGAGACTGAGTGGTTGCGGCGAGATGGCGAAAGTGTTCGAGTCGTTGCAGTGAGATGTCGTCTGGTGGTGATAATGAAGATGATAATGGAAGAGGGACGGAAGCCGGAACTTTCTGGCAAGGATCCTTGCGGCAAATTGAACGGTTCTTAAGACATCCTAGGCAGGGCTACTGGCTGGCTGGGCCGGATTTGGCGTGGGCTTGCACGGCCCACGGTGGGCGTCTGCAAGTACAGTGGGAAAGTGGAGTCGAGGGTTGCAATTCACAGTACTACTGTACAGCCCAGTACACCTTCTACACTGGTTGAAAATTGCAATGCATGAGAAGCTCATGAATGCAGCTCTCTCACGCACGCTGCGGGCGATTCTGCATGCACCACCCGTAACACGTGGGGGGAGTCGCCCAATCAATGCTGATCTTTGGTGATGTATTCGCCATGGCTCCAAGCTCTCGACCGGCCGCATCAATTGCCAAATCGCTCGTCACTCTGCTGTCCACGAAAGATTTTCTGCTTGAGACATTTATCACGCTCGTTAACCTCTCATACATCTCACCGCCCAGAGCTGCCGTGATGACCGGTTGTTCACTTCAATTTAGACCCGATATGCTTTGAAGGGTCTTTGTGTGCAACCCTAGATGTCTTGGCAGTTGTAGCAGTCGACGTCATGGCACGCCGGCTCATTTTGACTACATGCCTGAAGATGACAGAGCACGTCTACAGGTCTGCGAATATGTCAAGAATAAGCGGTTATGCGTGTCTGTCAACGCGCCACGATCATCACGCGCGACAGAAATTAAGATGAGTGTGGTCAAGAGAGTGCCGATTGTCTTCTCCACGATGGCCCTGCAGACCACAGCCACCACCTTTGACGATCGGAGTCATTTTGACTCACTGGCCAGTCGTCCTCGAAGTGTACTCCAGTAACCGCCCAGAATCAGACCGCATGGTCACTGGGGGCTGAGATGAATGGCCGCAGCAAGCTCCAAGGCTTAAACAATATGCATTAATACAGATCAACACAAAACGACTATCCTCAGCGCTAGATACAGGTTGACCTATGTCCATTGCGCGGTCTGAACGAGCCCCAAAAATCGCTCAGGCGCTCATGAGTGCTCCGTTGGGTAGGTCAATCCTCAACAGCGCTCCTGATACCAGCGGGAGTAGTACCAGCGAGGCAACCGCTCTGCGTGGCTATCTTGACTGTTGTTGAGCCTGCAATTTCAGCGGTGCTTGCAAGCATTTGCCAAGTTCCACGCAGATCATCTTCATCCATAGCAGTGGGTTGTGTATGTGTGCAGATCCCGAAAGCGAAACCCGATGAGATCTCCAACACAAAGTCTTCTGAGGGTTTTGTTTTCATGGTTTCATTTTTGCTCGACTTAAATACTTCTCAGCAAGACAAGTTTTGTACAAATTCAAGTATATTCCATTGAAATACAGAAGAAACAGATTCGGTGGGAAGAAAATCTCAAGGTTTGGAAATCAACTCATGTCATCGTAGCCCTCATCGTAGTGGTACTCATCGCATCGTACGCCGCTTCACGGACGTGAGACGGGCTTAACGTAGCGCCACGAAGGCGTTCTCAATTCCATTGGCAATAAGATCGAACTGGCTCACGGTCTGCCCGAAATACGGCGGCAGATTAGAATTTGTCGCGTCCAGTTCCTTTGCGCCATACATAGCTGCTGGCGGGGGTGCAGGATATGCATTGATGGCCGCAGCAGTGGTGTCCATGGTTGTCCCTTCGTCTCGTCCAGGAGAACCTTTCGACAGCGCGGACGGATACGCGCCGCTACCAGGGTAGACCTGCGATGCCATGTTGTCGGTGCCTGAGATAAAGGAGTCCCGGGCGGTTCTGGGTTTGAGGGAAGCCGCATGTGTCGTACCGATCCGCGCAGTGGGATGAATGCACATCAAGTCATCAAAGTCGTCGGTCGCTGGATCTGGTGGATGGGCACTGAGCGGAGAAGGCTGAAGGAAATCGCTTGTGCTCGGGCTTGGGTTCGCGAGCGAAAGAGAGGAAACTCCTCCCTGCATGGCGTCTTGCTGAATCGGGTGGAACGAGTGTCGGCGCGTCACGCTCAGACTCCCCAGATTCGAGAGCATGACAGCGATGGAGCGCTCTGGAACGGGTGGTGGAGGGACAGTGGGCGCCGTCGAGGCGTTGTGACCTTTGTGGAAGGATTGTAGAGAGAACCGACGGGAGCGTCGCTTTTGCTTTTGGGCGTCGGCGATGCCGCTGAAGACTTGTGGGGTACTGGGAATCTCACGAGTAACTGGACGCGCCTGGCGCTCATCCGCATCGTAGAGCGGGCGACGACTCGAAACATCGTTGGGACTGACGCGGCGAGAGATACCAACCGATGAGATTGATGGAACCACCGATGATCGCATGGGCGAGACGGAGGGTTTGCGTCCCCGTAAGCTGCGTGCTCGCGATGTCGCATGATTAGAGACGGAAGCATCAGAGACGACAGAAACTGTGATCGGTAAGCCTTCTCGAGTCGGAGGGCATGCCGAAAGCTCGACTGGACCGTCGAACTGTTCGTTCGCAGAGATGATTGAAACGCCAGGGCTGACCTTGCCGTTAGCTTGGTCGCTTGGCAATGGTGAAGCGTATGCTATAGAGCCAGTTCCAGGAACTTTCAATGCTTGCGAATTCTGAGTACTCTGATCGCCTGCAGGCTTTGGTGTCTCCTCCGGCCGGCTGTACACATTGTTAGCTTGATCAAGGTTTGGTTGCATGGATCGTCCGTCCTCACCTCTTTCGGCCGCCTAGACGGCTCGACGTCCAAAATTTCTTGAGTCCCTTCTGCTCGACAGCATCCGAACGTCGAGATGTCTTGGTCTGCAAAACCGTCAGCCGACTGTCTGCATAGAATCGCCGACGGGATCTCCAACCTCAGTTGATGTATCGGAGTGGTCAGTGCTTTCGCTCTCACTGGCTCCACTGTTTTCGGGCGAAAGACTTCCCACAGAGTCGTCGCTGGCAGGTGCCCAGCGCTCTTCATCGCCGCAGACGACAATGTACCAGCCGATCTTTTCGTCGGCGGCGAGTCGATCTCTTAGCTCTACCAGAGCCGACCATTGAGCAGCCGGGATGCTATTGGAACGAACATCGTCGACATCAATGCCTAATTTGATTTCCTGAACTACATCGGCGACGTAGGCATACGGCTGTTCGGAGTCGGACGACAGGTCGTCCGGGTCGTATTGCTCAATAAACCGCAAGTTAGGTAAATGTTGCATCGACTCTGGAAAGAGCTTATGGAAGTTGTGGCACAGCGTGCGTTGAGTGTTGGGAGCAACAATCCAATCAGAGGCAGCATCGTCCAAGTTTTGAAGGATGATATGTATGCGAATGCTCGGTCGGGACCAGCGGAAACCATGAAGCAAGTAGGTCGGCATAGTTCTGCGAATGCTCACTTAGAGCTCTCTCTTCCAGAGATCGCCGGCAGCTGTTGTAAGGCACTCCAAGGATGTTTAGGCACAGAAACGATGCCCTTTTTGACTGCTATGTTCGCCAGTGGTTCTTTGTAGATTATGCTGGAGGAGGAGGTTGTGATTGAATCGCAAGGAGCACCGTCGCGGCGGAACTCGATCTTTAGCACAAAGCAGAGGATGTACGACCGTTGCTGCAGGACTACGTAAGACCAAGTTCGTGATGATCGTCAAACGGTCAGAGCTAGACAGATGTGCGTGTGTGCGTCTGTGTGTACTCGGAGTGAAGAAGGGTGGATATGGTACAGCTGATTATGGACGTTATGGACGTTAGCGAAGAGAAACGAAAGAATCCGCTGCTGCTTGGCTAGAGCTATGATATCTGATAGGTCGGAAGCAGCTGTGGAGAGAAATCAGATGCTTCGGACGACGGTCGGTCGACGCAATGCTGATGGATAGGCATGTAAGGGATTATTAGAAGAAAAATCGGAAGAGGATGCGATCCCCGGCACTGAGAGAGGGAAGCATCGTCGCACATAATCTAGATCATGCATTCCAAAGTTATTATTACATATCACGGCGCGTACCATAAATGATGAGGCAGAAGACAACAGACCCAAGACGCCCACCCACCAACAGCAGGTGGGCAACCTGACTAGGGTACCCGATTTGTGCTTGCATCTTGTACCTTGTACAGTCCATGTAACACATGTGTGCGCCAACGCCATGATTCTGAGAGGAAGGTCGCTGGCTTACTTCCGTGGATGAACAAAGAGAATTCGTGTAATAATTACATACTTCGGAAGAGAAGCGGCGGGCGCACTTGGCTGGCGATGGACGTTTCTGGTCGCCTTTTCCGTGCCTTTCTCTGGTATGTTTACGTACCTACCAACGGGCTTTGCTCAATGGTTCCGGCCAGTACCCGACGATGTGGGAAGACTTCCACGTGTTTTCCGAGCGTCTCACCATCAGACTGACTAGCGAGAGCAAAGAAATGGCAAGAGAGACATGGTTTCTGTTGTCGTGATGTATGCAGGGCGGGATTATGAAACTGCACCATGTTGCTATGCCGCTGTTCCATCACCTGATACAATCTGAACATCGTATGCTGCTCTTGACTTCGCACAAGACAACGCGGAATTGTCTCGAGCGGCTGGCCTGCAGATGCAAGTGCAGATCCATGGGCACCGTTAGTCGCGCTGATGGGTGTTTCTGGTCCACAGCAGGTTCAGTACCATTTTCGAACGATGAACCTAAGGAAGGATGACATCTTCGTCATATTTGGTAGTTCCAGAGGCCTGTGTGCTCCCCCCGTGCTCCCCTCATCATCATCGTCATCGTCATTATCATCAGTCGAAAAGCTGGAAGCAGAGGACGGGAACAGTATGTACAGTCCCACTCAGCAGATGAGTCGACAATCAACCAGACCGTGAAAGGAGTGTACGCTCGGCACCCATGGAAATAGCACACGCCATTGTGCTCTGGGCTGCACAGCAAATGCGCGCTGGTTGCGCGGTAACTTGGATCGTGTCCCGAACCCAGAAGAATGCCCAGGAGCGGATATCCATCACCTGCAGATTGACTCACCTGTGGGAATGAGACGATGTCAGGAAAATGCTGAATACCCTGATGAGTATGAGATTCTGGCAGCCAAGAGTCTTCGGTCAGACATTTTCCATTACATGCTGGTCACCGAGTCGTAGTCGCACAGCTCGTTCGCGACCGAGAGGTTTCGTATGCAGCACCGCGAACCGTCCGTCCTCGTTGGTGATCGACACGGTTCGTTCACATCCAACGTTTGGGCAGATCATCTCCAACCCGAGCGTGGCGGTTTCCAACCACCACTCCTCGGAGAATTCCTTACGGCGCTGTAGCAGTACGCACAGGGCACACTGATTTTTCCCGGCTGGGATCAATGAGACATGCTCATATTTCATGAAGCTTTACCAAGCCTAGGCATGGTTGGCGTCCTTACAGTGCCCACCTTGAGTATGACTATAGAGCCTGGACGGTCTTCTTTCGAGACTGCCTGACACTGCGGAGCTTCGAGCTAGAGCCTCAAAAAATATGGGCTTATGGACAATGTAAAAGCGTTGTACGCTCGGCGGCTGCCGAACGGTGCCGACGTCACCGCACAGGTAGGGCCACTGCCTCGATGTGCCAGTGAACAATACTCTGTGCTGTGTCAGAATTATTCGCCTCGGTTTCACATCGTAGCATAGCAATTCGCATCTACAGAACCGATATCGCAAGGGATTGCCAAAAGTCATGCGAAAAGATGAGATGGGATGATACGTCTGTGCCCTCGTAGTCTGGCTCTTGTTGTTTTCGCGGCTAATGACAGCAAGCGCGTGATCAAGTTGACAACATCGCGGTCGTCGATTCGTTAACATGCCTTTGCATCTACTTCAGAAAAAGAGCTGGCATGTTTACAATACCGAGAATGTCGAACGCGTTCGCCGCGATGAAGCCGAGGCCCAAGCCCGAGAGGATGCGGCCGATCAGCGCACATTGGAAGAAGACGCTGAGCGACGGATGAAACTACTTAGAGGCGAACGTGTTTCGCCGTTGAGAGAATCGGCATTCGTAGAGGATGGACATGATAATACAAATCGGCCTTCACAAAGGAAACGGGATGACGCATTGACTGACCCGAAACGTCGTCGCCTGCGTGGCGAGGATGATACCGATCGTGACATCAGAATTGCACGAGAACAGGATCTACGAGACTCCGACCAGGCCAAGTCCTACACATTCCTTGACGACAAGGGAAGAGATGCTCCGCTGCAGGACCCGGCTGGGCATATTCAGCTGATCCCTGCTCCCGACGATCGACAGAGGCATCTCTCGAAGCAGCACGATTCAAGAGAATCCGACAAGGCAAGGAAGCGTGACAAAGACGATGTGCAATCCATGCGTTTCAGCGATGCCGCCGGCTACAATCGTGGATCTCATAGGCCGTGGTATACTGCCCGAGTGGAGGAGAACTCTGTCGTACCACAGTCCTCGGCTGACGCAACCCTCGCTGCCGTGCAGGCTCGTGATGCGTTTGGCAACGCGGACCCTCGTCGCATAGAGCGTGAGGGTAAGCGCATCACCTCAAATGATCCTCTGATGTTCATGCAGCAAGCGCAGCGCGTTCTCAAACAGAGTGAGCGCGATAAGAGGGCTTGGGAGGAATCTCGAGCAGCCTCGCTCGAGCATCGCTCCAGAAGGCATCGTCAGGAGAGGCGACCTGTTGACCGGCTGGCTGACATTGATTCCTTTTCACTAGATGCAGTGCCGAAGGAAAAAGAAGAACGTAAGCGCAGAGACCACGATGGTGAGCAAAGACGTCATCGTCCCAGCCATCGGCACAGATCGAGGAGTCGTTCACCACACAATCACAGGCGCCATAGTCAGAGGCACGACGAGCGTCGACGAGAATGACGCGAATTGGCCCGAGAAGGTTGCTCTCTAGGCTTCAATTCTGTATCTGCCGAGTGATTGACCTCTCCCTGCGTCAACCTTTTCCCGCAACTGGAGGCTACGGATAGTTTCCAGCTACGGCAGGTTGTATTATGCTCAGCTTTCCACGGGCGTCGTCGATGCCAAAATGTTCGTGTACTACCTAGGTAGGTAGGTACAGTGCCGCAAGCATTCCTTGTGCCTGAGGCTTCTATGCAGCCCACAAGAGCCCCGCTGCGGTCATCATCAAGCGAGTACGACGCAAGACCACCTGGGCACCTGGGCATGCGCCGTGGATTGGTGATGAACGTGAAAGACAATCCGTATTTGTCTAAATCCGCATCCCTTCGCTGTTCAGATAGCCAACGTTGCCATCTGTGGAGTCGTTCACCTTTGACACCATGGCGCCCTCATCGACCTTGATCAACAAGGTCAAGGTTCAGCTTAAGCTCAGCATCTCGCGACTACGCATGGTACAACAGAAAGACACCGCTCTCGCGAAGCAACAGAGACGCGACATGGCCGGACTTCTGGACGTCGGCAAGATCGAAAGTGCGAAGATTCGTGTTGAAAACATCATCCGTTCAGACTTGCACACCGAGCTCCTCGAAATCCTCGAACTATACTGTGAGCTGTTGATCGCGCGTGTGGGCTTGCTCGAAGCCAAGGAATGTGATCCAGGTCTCGAAGAGGCTGTTCAAAGCATAATTTACGCGGCACCGAAGATTGAAGGCGTGAAAGAGTTGACAGCGGTCCGGGTGCTATTGGCGGAGAAGTTCGGAAAGGAGTTTACCCTCCGTGCAGTGGAGAATGCAGATGGAAAGATCCCCAAGCGCGTAACAGATCGTTTGAGGGTGGAACCACCTGCGGCGGAGTTGGTAGAGGCATATCTCGAGGCCATCGCCGATGCATACAACGTGGACTATCCGCCTGGAATTAAAGCGAAACGAGCCGCAGATGAGGAGGAGAGGTTGAATGGAGGTCCAGGAAACGATATTGATGGTGACGATGATAACGACGACGACGAGCCTTCGGGAGGACAAAAGGTAAAGTCACTTGAAGCGCCATTGTCAAATGAAGAGCTTAGTCGAGCAACACCGCCTCGCGATCTTGGTCCACGGAGTGGTGTCGCAGTCATGCCGCCCTCGCCGAGTACAGATAACGTTCGGCCCAAACTCAATCTCCCTGGTCCTCCAGAGCTCACGCCATCAAAGAAAATGGCCGATGCTGCGCTGAAGAAGAAATCCACTGCAGCCGCTTCGAGCTCAAGTAATGGTCCAGGGGGAAAGATCCCAGATGTCGACGAATTGTCAAGACGGTTTGCCCAACTGAAGAGGTAGCCTGTACTTCGTCTCGAAGGAATTACGTGCAACGACATTACGATGTGATGAGTGCAAACGTGCGTTTCGCCAAGAAGCATCGCCGATGGCCACCGCAATTGCGACTACTATCGTGAAACCTGTCACCTACTACACAAACACCCCAAATGATGTAGTCATTGTCGTACACTGCAAGAGGGACCGGATGCTGGCAACAAGAGTAGTGTCATGAGACTCTCCATTTCCGACTTCGAGCCCTGCTCGCTTTACCGTGGAACGAGTCATCGGGCTGCTCAATGCCCGCCTTCCATACGGCGCTAACACAGTTTATGAGCAAGCGATGAACTCGTCCAAAACATTGCCGGTGAGAGGTCAACATCAACCTCTGGCAAATGATTGTCACTCGCTCAAATTTCGATCTTGCACTTGATGTATCGTATGGCAGAGCACAAGGCCCAGACAACTCCAAAAACGGAGTTGCATGCTGCAATGCCGTTGAACAGACGTTTGATTCGGAGATCAGCTCTTCCATCGGGATTTTTCCCGACGTCTAGAAAACAGCAGGTGTGTAGACTGACCCTACGCTGTTGGTGCATCTGCATCTGATAAGAAAGAACGCATTCAACGTCGTAATCACGCGACCAATCTAGACTCTCAGACCGTTGTTACATGTTCGTTGTGTATTTAAGACATTTCGTAATCAGTTCGCGTAACTTGTGCAGAATTGCTAGACATTTTGTCTTGCTCCGATTCACATGAAGCTGAGCTATCCGTAACAAGATTCCGGCCATTTGGTTTTCTCTCCAGATTGAGGACTTTCCACGTGACGCGTTTCGGATCTCAACGTAACCTCTTCTTCTTGAACTCTCCGCGCACGACATGAACATCGGGCTCCATTGTGAGCATGCGACCTCAACTACCTTTTCGAGTGTTTCGTTGAACTGATTACCGTCTTTTTCTCACTCGCGAGGAATAGTTACACGCGAAACTTATCATGCGCAGATGTGAAGCACTAGGCCGACACGTGGAAGGCGATCTCGTGGCCAGGGTCATAATGTTGATACTTGCTCGGTACCGACTACCTGTCTCCATCTCGACAGGTGGTGCGCAATTTAAGATCCGTCTGTCATAATAACATGACCCAGCGTCAGTTGAGACAAGGAAACATCCAAGTGTTCTCGACCCGCACGTTTATCGTTCGCATGATGCGTACGTTGTGCGATGTGATGCCGCTCATCAGATCTGCCGATACGTGACACGACGATCAGGTAGCTCTTCGCAGTGCATTCAAAGGTCTTGTTAATGCCAATTCTATCCTTTGACATGATGACGACAAGATCTCATCTCTTTCATCTCCGATAAGCATGCGGTTACGCGAGGCTTTCGCGATACTCTTAGGAGCTTCCGCATCTGTCGTTCGAGGTGAGGGCTTCTGGGATGGCTGGCAACCTTCTCTCGGCCCTGCGTGGCAGTGGACTGGGCTTCGGAGTTCTGACGGGGGTTACTGGTTGAATGCAACGGAAGAGGTGTTGGGTGATGTGCAAGATCTTTACTGGAATGGGACCTCTTGGGTACGACATGCGGGATTGAACGACTGCAGAGAAATCAATAACTAATGTTTCTCACTAGCCCTCGACCATTCAGTGGATCGGTGCCGTAATTAACACAATCGTGACTTCAGCCGTGGAAACTTTCGGCGATGCTCTACAAGAAACAAACACGGACGAAGATGTTTCCCGATTCCAGGCTGATATACAGAAGTACTTCACACAAATCGAAGCGTACTATGGTAGTGAAGACACCATACAGATTTTCGGAGCTGCTTACGATGATGCTCAATGGGTCGTGCTGGAATGGCTCGAAGTCATCAAGTTGATGAAGAACTATCAACCATATCTTGGACCCACGACTGACTCCAGTGTTCTGGCGAGGTTTGCCCATCGTGCGCACGTCTTCTACAATATCGTACAGAATCACTTCGACACCTCGACATGCGGTGGCGGGATCACATGGAACCCAGCACTGCTACCCTACAAGAACGCCATCACAAACGAATTGTTTATCTCAAGCTCTATCGGCATGTATCTATATTTCCCCGGAGACAATGACACAGATCCATATCCTGCGCCAAACTACATCACTCAAACGGGTAAAATATTGCCAGAGCTACAATACGTCACGGCGTATGATATGACCTTCTTGAACAATGCTGTTCAAGAGTATCAGTGGTTCAAGGGGCAGAACTTCACAAATTCCCAAGGACTCATTGTGGATGGCTTCCACATCTCAGCTGGTCAGACAAGCTGTGACGAACGCAACGAGATGGTCTATACCTACAATCAAGGTGTTCTCCTTTCCGGCCTACGAGGACTTTGGGAAGCAACAGGCGATGCCTCCTATCTGACGGATGGTTACGGCTACATAAGCACCGCTATCGAGGCAACCGGGTGGAACGCTGAGAACGACACCACCGCAAACGAATGGGCCGGCCTCGGTCGCAATGGAATCATGGAGGACTATTGCGATTCCCATGGCGATTGCTCACAAGACGCTACGATCTTCAAAGGCGTCTACTTCCACCACCTCAGTCTCTTCTGCGAACCTCTACCTGAGCAGACGGCATTGATCCCAGGTGTGACATACATCGCTCCGGCCGAACTTGCAGCTCAACATCGCTCTCAATGCTCGAGCTATAGAGCTTGGATAGAACATAATGCGCACGCGGCATTGAGTTCGCGGGATACATCATATCGGATCGGACAATGGTGGGGAGCATCATTTTTCGATGCGCTTGTTCAAGGTTCGTGTTCATCCATCGATTCGCGAGAAACGAGGCACACTGGAGCGACGTTTTTATTGACATCTATGTGCAGCTGAAACGCCTAGGCCTGTTACGGTCCCACTCAACAGCACCGATTATCGAAACAAGCCTTGGGTCTTGACCGGATCGCCTTGGACATGCACTGATGCGGTGAGCTGCGCAACATACGAGCAGTCTACGCCTAGCAGTGATGATTCAATCACTGTTCACCGACGTAACGAATTGCAAGATCGACAGGCAAACGTCAATGTCCAGAAGACGACCGTGGAAACACAAGCACAAGGTGAGCTGAACCTTCCGCGTGGGCATACCGTCCCAACATGCTTGAGCACAAATGCTTACCTATTTGCTAGGCCTGGCGGTGGTGGACGCAGCTGCGAAGTTCTTGATGAGGTAGCCCCTGATCCGAGGGTTAAGAGGACAGGCAGGGATGCGGGGCCACGTGCTTCGCACATGTGCATCTTCAGCGATCGGCCTTCGATCGGAATATTGAAGAACTAGGATAAGCGGCACCAGAGCAACACGCGTACATCTCACCCCTCCCGATCCAGGTCGCAATCCCGCGAGCTGGGCTGGTGGCGGCCACAGGTCCGCCGCGATGATATGCGGCTGAGGAAGTTAATCACATCATATCACCATTTCATAGTCGTCCTTTCGGGACAAATCTCATCTGGAAACTTCCCGTCGATAGTCTCCTCTCGTGTTCGGGCGTGATGAGAGTAACATTGATGCTTGCAAGGGTGGTGGGAGGCAGGAGGGAGGTCGCGATAAGGCACGCCGCAGACCTGCATGCGAGCACATGCATTCCACGCCGATGGTGTGATTAATCTGCTGTCGTAGAAGCACTAGTTAGATCTTCGTGTTACTCTCCAGTGGCACGCCGCAAGATCCCTATCTCGCGCTTGGGGAGAGTAGTTAGATGCGAATCCCTCGACCACTCTATCGGGCGGTGGTGGGCACATCTCCACCGAGACAAGGGCCCCACGCTGCACTCGCGTGGCGTGAGCGCTGTGGCGCCAGTCCGGCTTGCGTAGACTCACATTTTGTGTATCTGTCGCGCTCAGGTCCCGAGCCAATGGTGTCGGCCTTCTAGAACGACGCCCTGGCGTGTGCACAGTGTGTTCGGACCATCGAGAAGGAGAATGTCCGCGGGAAGAGGAATCTTTATCTCCTGGAATTTATGAACTACGCTGAAGCGACCAGGGGATGCAAGGATCATTGTTATCGATGGATATGCAACGCGAGCTGGAAGTGTACTCTCGGGACGACGGCATCTATATGTATGCTAAGGGCCTGAAGGTTTTGAGCGGTTCCTGTGCAGCTTCTAGACTCCTTTGTCTCAATCGTCTCTCGTGATGATGACGAAGAGCAAAAAAGAGTCCTGCCCACCGGCTGGCCCGCTCGGCTGCCCTGCCACGTGTGTGTTGCGCGCGCAAGCTGATCACAGACTTCGGAACTGTCTAGCGCAGCCCATGAGCAATGAGCAGAGAGTCTATGAACAAGAATTATCGTCATGGATTGACTCGTATTCGATTACAACAAGCGAAACTGTTGTCAGAAAGCGTACATGTTGAGATGTTACTACAGCTGCACGGATCTTTCTCCATCCGGGCCTGCGCGCAGAGCAAACAATTCTCACCTCGCGTCTCCACAGTCCGCTTATATCCGTGAAAGTGGAAACGAGCAACGCCCGCCCGGCATGATGGCAATGTCCACATCCACCTCAACACCTGATGCGGTGCCCTTTAACATTATCACCATTGGCGTGATCAACGTCCCAGAGGCAGTCTCGCGATCTCGTTCATCATGGGAGAATAGAGCATCGGGACGTCGCTTGCTGTCATCTAGAAGGCTTGGCTGCGATGAGCCATCGCCTTCTCCATTACTCTTGGCTCCGTCGCGTCCGCCGATCGTCGTATAGAAATAAGAGATCAGGCCATGCACGGCAGCTCGGCAGCTCACCAGAAAAATGTACACTCTCAACATCATGCGTCGAATACCGTAGGTCTCATTATTGCCACGAATGCAGAATTAGAAGTTGTCTTTTTTCATCGTTTCATTCTCTCTTTTATTCGCATTATTGTACAGTCTACGTTCGTTACAATCATACACGCGGGAATCGCTCCTCCGCTCCGCAATCAGCTCGCCCGCCGCCAGCGACCTCGCGCTTGGTAATTATAGGAAAATAGATCGGCGCGTTTGAGAAGAGAATGTCACCACTTTCACACACTGCGCTCACTGCGCTCCTCGCCATCAGCACAGCATTCACACCGCTCGCACAAGCACAGATCGTGTCCAGCAAACGTGGCCTTTGCTATGTAGAGCCCAAGGATGGGAACGACAACAACTTCTGGTCGTCCGGCGACCTGACCTGGTACTACAATTACCTCTCCACACCGACCGCCGCGCTACAGAAAACGAATCTTCAATTCGTCCCGATGCTATGGGGCGCTCAGATCGGCAACACGGACATGTCCTTCTACAACTCGGTCAAGCAGCAGATCCAGGGCGGCGCGAAGATTCCGTATGTTCTGGGATTCAATGAGCCGGATGGATGCGCAAATGGCGGTTCCTGTGTGGATGCGCAGACCGCGGCGGAGACGTGGATTCGGCAGATGGAGCCGCTGAAGAAAGAGTTCAATATCTCGCTAGGTGCGCCGGCGGTGACGAGTGCGCCCACGGGGTTCAACTGGTTGCGGAATTTCTTCGACCAATGTGCAGGAAGGTGTAATCCGGATTTTGTAGGTCGTAATCTTTCTGGCAGTGAAATGGTGGACAAGAAGAGCTTGGAAAGACATTATGATGGCAAGAAAACGTGGAGCTAATGACAACTCTCGAGCAGATTCCGGTTCATTATTACGGCAGCTTTGAGGGTCTGGCTTCACACATGGGGCAGGTCAACGCGACGTATCCGAACATGACCATGTGGATAACTGAGTTCGCGGACCCGGGCGTGACATTGCAACAAAGTCAAACCTTTTACAACCAATCCGTGGAATACTTCGAACGGCAGCCGTAAGTTCACCTTATTATGTCCGAGCGACCACAATACGTTCAACTGCTCGGAAAGTTTGGTTGTCGAGAGAAGGGAGACGATGAAATGTCTCGTTCGAATCGCAGGCTGACGACGGTACAGATACCTAACACATTACGCCTGGTTTGGAGCATTCCGGTAAGTCTGACCAGCACAGCAACCATGACGGAAACCAGACCAGGAGATAAAGAAAGATCGTCAGAGACACTAACATCCCTCCGAACATGACAGGTCATCCGTTTCCAACGTCGGACCCAACGCGGCTTTTTTGACGGGCAACGGCCAATTGACGGACATTGGTGCCTGGTATCTCGGCCGACGAGCGACGGGCAATGTTCCGACAACCAACGGGGCTACAAGACATAGCTCCGCATTCGTCGGATCCATCGGTGTGGTCCTCGCCGCGGCTCTGTATGGTCTGGCGTGATCGCTTCGCCCTCTGCATTTCAGTTCTCGTTCATGGCGTATGCAGGTGTTTTCCTGGGAAACCCAAAAGAAAGGCTTGCATGGCCTGCTCTTACTTGCTGACCAAGGAAGTGATCGGCGTTGTTCTTTTCGTTCTTTCCTCGCTCCTCTTTGAGGGGTGTTAGCATTCATGCGTGGGATGTGGGTGGTGTTCGGCGTTTTTCGATTTCACCGCTGTTGCTACATATGCTGTGATCATACTAACCCGTATGACTCGTTACTATATTAGGTCATGGGCGGACACATGGGCATGTGGTTCGCAGGAAGGATAGATAGGCGGTGGAGTTGGTGGTGTGGGAAGATAGCTGCATGGCAGACAGGGGATATATAGTCCCAAGCGAGCGGGATGCTCACAACCATTCACGAGGCGATATTTCTTGTTCTTCGAGACCCCCGATGAGTCCCGTCTGTCTGTCGATATCTCACTGCGTGATCTCAATCTCCACACATTCCCTCGGTCTCAAACCGATCGGCTTGCGTGAATGTTGGATCATGTACCAACCCTAGTCTTTTTCGCCGACAATAACCCGACCTCTGCAATTGGTTACACAGGTACATAGAAACTCGGCTCCCACAGATACTGTACCTGAATCCGTTGAGAGATAGAGAAGCGAACTCTTGGTACCTGCGCGTACATGCAGCGACGATATGTACATGTACGTGCAATACAGTGCATGACTAATAACAACACGGGCGACAGATAACGTCTTGTTTCCACGTGCGTGTCGACATCCTTCCTGAGACTTTTCCATCCAGACTTGGTTGGAACCTAGATATCGCGCAGCCGGCTTCAACTGCTCCAAAATGTCTCACGCTGACATTCTCCCACGCCTCAGCATTGCAATCGGGAATTTTCCCTCGGTGCTCAGTGATGCGCAAAGACGTGAGATGCTACTCCCCACCCAGGTGGCCTCATATGCAAAACATCGTAGTCAGGGAATCCAAGTCCAACATGCCTTGGTTCTGTCCTTTGTCGTCCTTGTTTTGGTATATGGTACCAACGACAACGATTCTGTTGCACACACCGACAGTGATCGACAAACACTCACGCAGTAGTAGCAGATAGTAGCGTGGAAAAGGACAATGTGATCCAAACGAGAACCAGAAAAATACCTCGCCGAAGATCGGAAGGTAGAGAAGATCCTGTATAATTGGAAACCACACACCTCACGTGTTGCAATATCGTATGAATGGTCGTATTCTGTTCACGACGCTGACGACGACGACGACGACGACGACGACAACGCCGAACGAGCAAGACGCGTGGAATCCACGTTGCGTTCGGCTGTTGTTGTTCCGCATGGCATTTGCATCCGACCAACTATAATAGCTCCTATTGAACTAATGATACCAGAGAGTTCCTCCGCGGACGATGACTCGGGAGCAGAATTTCGCCTCGTCAAGGGCACTCTCGTTAGGTAGGGAACGAAGGAGGGCAGGTGAGATTGTGTTAGTTCCTCCGAGCAACTGAACCTCGCCAGCCTCTGGTTGGTGTTGTCAGGAAGACATAGATAGGGAGGGAAACCAATATGGCGGAAGAAGCAGGCGGGCGGCGCGGCGTCGCCTGGGTCTCTGTGTTCGCACACAGCCGCAATGCTGGTTTGGAAAGGCTGCCCTCCCGAATTTCTCCGAGGCGGATTGAAGACCGAGTGAGACTCGTATGATTTGTTATGCGTACGTGTGCCAATTCCTCGTACTGCGATGGCGAGGGGATGCGGGAGGATTTCCCAAGTCCGTTCTATTATTATAGGTTGCCAGAGGAGTTCTGGATCACGCGTCGTTCGTGTTTGCCGGTGATGCTACTTCGTACTACTACAAAGAACATGAATCATGGACATCAAAGCAGAGCAGAGGCTATTCCAAGGTCATGTGCCGTTTTCCTGTGCCCTGCTGAAGGGATTCCTGAGTCTTGGCGGAATTGCTCCATGATTACGACAAACAACGAAAGGCGAAAGCATAGGAAGGATTGCCCAGTAGTAATTCAGGCTCCTGGTTCGGTATCAACAGACAAGACTAATGTACTCTTTTCGCGTGCGCGATCCATCGTTCAGCACGCGAGGGACGTTAGGGTCTTGGGGCAAAGGCTCGGCAGGCGGCGGCGGCCAGTCATTGAGGGCTTTCGGGAACGAATGAACTCGTCGAATCCAGGGTTATCAAGGTCATATCGTCAGTGATGAAATCATGATGAGAGTGAACTTGGAGCAATATGCGCGGCGTCCACAAAGTAAGTTCACAAGATATCCACTCCTGCTCGTCGATCGCGGGGGATTCCCCTCTCTCTCCACATTGTACGCCGAGCCTCTGGGGTAGAGATCTTCAGATCAAGATGCTGTTCTAATCATGGACAAAAGCAAAGAGGAAAGAGGATGTGATGCTTGGCTCCCAGACAGGTTTCAATATATCACACGAGATAGGAACAGAAGTATAGACTACAACTTTGATAACGGAATCCTCGAGGATTGGTTCGTGTTGTAATGTCGGCTGGTGCCAAGGTGATAACAGAGATTTGGACAGAGAATGGGGTAAAGCAATTGTGCTGTGCTGTGCCTACTAGTAGTGTTTATTGAATGACCAGCTCCGTTTCGCGACGCGATGTCCCTGGGTACCCTTGAGGGTTATGTTTGTCTTCGATCTCATCGCGATACAAGGGCTGGGAAATCTCGAGCCACTGGGAAGAGATGTGAAGAAGAACAAGAAGAAGGCAATTGCCGTGCCGCAAGCCCAGATTATTACTAGTGATAGTAGTGGTGTGAACAGTGTCGTGGGAGAGAAAGAGGAAAGTGTGTGTGTGTGCCCGGTCGCGTGCGCGAAGAAACGTCCGTGTGCCTTTTCTGCCTGCTTACTGCTGCTGCCGTGCCGACGATGCAAGATACCGTACCTTCTATAATAAAATGCCCGCACAGGACGGCACCCGTGCTGTAGGCGAGTTCCCATTCACGGACCTGCGCCCCGAATGTCCGACGGAGGGTACAGGATGGACATCAAAAGGGCTGGAGAGTGGAGAGGGTAGTGGTGGTGATTGCAGCGGCAGCACCAGCGGTTCACGCACACCCGTCCTCGCCTCGTCGTCGATTTTGACCGATGTCGATTACTACTGGACGATCGAGACAGACTTTCCTGTTGAGGAGGCCGCCAATGCGGGAAAGCTCGTCCCATTCGGACGGGTTGTTATTACCTTTCGACGAGGCAGGGCATGGGCAGTAATGCCGGACCAACGTGCGTAAGGTGCATGAATTGGTCAGAGGTGTGATGCTGACAATGCTGTTGGCGCCATGTATTATCACGGCGGTCTGTATGGCGCGGATTTGCACGAGACAAAAATCGAGCCCCATCTATCTAGGAAGCGGTCCGTGTGCGGGTGACGATGATGGGGCGTGCGAGACAGCCGATGAGGTGAAGTTGCCAGTGCGAAGGTGCGAAATCGATGAATAAGACCATTACGTCGTTATACGCTATTCCCTGTTGGACGGACAAGATAAGGAATTCCGAAAAGAACCAATCAGCAGCTTATCAAAGTGTGAAGATCCTCGAAACGGTCAAGCGGGTGGCATGGGTAGTGCGCCCGCTGCGGCTCCGTGCGTGTTTCCGATTGAACAATGCGCTGATAAGGATTCCGGGCTGGCTTTTTTTTTGGGCGGTGGTGGTTGTGGTGGTGGGCCTCTGCTGATGATGATACTGAACGCCTGGGCAACAATTGGCAATGGAACAGATCCAACACCACCACTACGACGAGGACATCCCGCTTGGCAGCTGATAAGGCACTCCCTTCTGGTGGTGCTGCGACAGGGCCGAAAAATAGAATCTCCCGGCCTCATTGCGGGTGATGTAGGGATCCCTCCACTCCAGCCCGTGTGTGTCTCCTCACGCGACTCGATCCTCCTCAATGCCCACACGGATATCCTGGAATATCAAATCAACCTTGCTCCACGATCATCGATTGGTTCGCCTGGGATATTGTTCTGGACCATCATGTCCTCGACAGGTATCAAATTCGAGATTCTCCACGCCGCAATCATACATCAAGGCTCGCTTGGGCGGAGATACACGCGCCGCAATGTCCTGTATTGTAGATGTCATTCGGGAGTGACAGAAATTGGCAGGATTGCGCGGGGCGTCCGTCCAACCTTGGTCAGACAGTGACAGCATCAGATACACCTGACTACGAGGGCAATGATGTCGTCGGCCGCTATGCTTAGTTACGCTCACCGTCTGTCGCGGTTACTGGTAATGGGAATGGATCGCGTGAGAGCGCGATCGGCTGGATACCAAGAACGACGACGGGCCTTGGGGGAAGCAGGACAGCGGTGCTGCTGATGCTTACCTGTTTGCTGTGCCGTCCGTACTCACCCGTAGCCTACATCGGGAGGAATGGTTCGGTTCTAGCAGCAACGACAAGAAATCGCTAGGCAGGGCAGCGCGCACATACACCGGATCTCAGGGTCCCTTAACTCCAGCACTGTGTTTGTCGGCTGCTAGTCATAACCAGGGTCTCGTCATTCCCTCTCTCGTGCGTACGCCGGCTACTGCATTGGAGCAGTAGTAACATACGGTCCGTGGCGGTAGACCCAGCGATCTTCGACATGTATGCACCACAAGTATGTGAAGCATATGGAAGAGCAGAACGATGATGCAGTGGTGGACAGCAGGATCCGATGCATGGCATTTTCGATCTGGACTTTTTCTTTGCTGGTGAGGGCGATTGAGGGGCCCCAGGAAACACCTAAGCCTTGTCTCACAAGCTTGTCCACGCGAAAAACAAAACTCCCACCCGAATCAAAGCCATTCCATTCTGTTTCCTTCACGGTGGGCGTCTTGCAGAGGAATTTACGCGCATAGGTGTGCGTGGTTGATATTACCAACCGCGCCACTCATCCGACGAGATATCATGAAATACACTGTCGTATGTACAACAAAGGTGGGTTTCGTGGCCAGTCACCATCGAACAGCATCATCACGGATTCCACATTCACGCAGGCCAAGGCGCCGCCCGCTGGGATCGTGTGTGCATGCCCGTCCAGGCCCGGGCGGTGGTCCTCCACCTTTTCCCTCCCCCTCGAGGCCTTCCTTCTGATCGAAAGCGTTCTAGCACGCGATAAGGTCGTGCACAGGGCGTCTTTGTCTGACAACGAAGGCATTGTCATCACTCGTCGTCACGAGCAGGGCAAAGCTACTAGAAAACGCCCAAGCTTCTCTTCTTGCTTCCATGATCGAGAAATGTCACCGTGGAAATATTTGGTGAGTGAGAGACGGCAGCAGTATCGCGGCGCGTGCGCGCGCGCCATGGGCTGGCATCTGGGCTCACGCTTTTGATTGAAGGAAGGGTATGGGAGTAGAGGGAGATGCGCGTGGGTCATCCCATTCCGATGACGGATTCTCATCACCTCACTTCAACTGTCTGCGCTTCCCTTCCCGTTCTATCTGGTGTATCTGCGCAAGGGCTATCTACAGTATCTCGCCACGAACAAATCTAGTATGTCTTGGGAGCATCGGCCGAGTTAGACTGGTGGCATGGGTTTCCCTTCGCACACCCACCACAACGATAGTGTCGGAGTAGTCGGTTGAAAGCGAGAAGGAAAGGAAGCATCTCATCACATCTTCCCACACCGCGCCATGGTAATCAAAGTGGAAGAAAAGCCTTGATTGTTCGAGAAGGCGCAAGGTCGCGCAGTAGTATGGATCGCTGGTGGTTTTTCTGGTGCTGTACAGTAGGCCCGCCGCAAAATAGGTTCACACACACACCCTGTCTAATCGGCCTCGAGGTGTGTGTGTGTGTGTCTGTGGTGAGGCGTGAGGTGTGTCTAGTCCCGATTTTCTTTCGCCCTTGACGTCGGGGCGCTTCTTCGCACTTGTTCGCTCGCTCGCTTGTTCAACACCCGTTTGTGAGTGCGAATGCAAGTGTGTGTGTGCTTGGGTCTGACGGGCGCGGTAACGGTTGGCGTCTCGATTCTTAAAAGGAAACCGTTTGCCCGCGCGCAGCTCGTAATTCGCGTGCTCTCAATCATTTCACCCTCTCTATCTATCTCTCCTCCATCCGATCGTGTGTCCACTCTTCTCTCATCACACAGAATCTCAACGGTGAACTTCTCTCACTGTTTATTTCCCTCAGCAACGGGCATTGGGTCTTTCTCTTCAAGAGATCCACGTCCTTCTCTCTCCCTCTCCCTCTCTCGATCTCCTCGTGAGAGCCGCTCTTCCTCTCCTCCGGATCCCCCGTGAGCGAATTATCAACTATACATCTAGCGGCCAGACCCGCGCTTCCTCAGCAGAGGGGAACTCGGAAGAAGAAACGCCACCACTTCGGTTGAACAGCAATTCCCTGGGATCGAAATAATCCGTGCCCACTGATTTGCGGATTTCCACAACACTCTTTGCGCGGTGATTTCGCAGCCACCACCATCACATTTCCGCAATCATGTCGTACACTCCTCCAGGACCCGCCATCGCCTACAATGGCACTGGCCTCACTGGTGGTAACTCTGGTGAGTTTATTACTTCTCGACTTCCTTCGCCTGCGAGCGGCGGACGCCCGCCGCGCGGCCAATGCTCGTGTGACGCTTGGGACTAGACACTTCAATGCGAGCAACCTGCTAACAAAACCTCTCTGAATTGCAGCCACCGAGAACCTCAACGTCTACTATGATCCGGGTGACCAGGCATACATCATCGTCGCTTCGGCGATGGTGCTCATCATGGTTCCTGGTCTCGGTTTCCTATACTCTGGTCTCGCTCGGAGAAAGTCCGCGCTCAGCATGATCTGGGCTTGTATGGCCTCCTGCTCCGTCATCACATTCCAATGGTACTTCTGGGGTTACTCGCTCGCGTTCAACCCCAATGCGACCAGCGGCTTCATCGGCAACCTCGAATCTTTCGGTCTCATGAACGTCCTCGGCATGCCCAGCCCCGGTAGCCCATTGATCCCCGAGCTTCTCTACGCCTTCTACCAGGTACGCGACAACAACGAGATACGAATTCCGCTGTTTCTCGCAATATGCTGACTATTTCCTTCCAGATGCAATTCTGCGCCGTCACTGCTGCCATTGTCGTCGGAGCCATCGCCGAACGCGGTCGCCTCATTCCCGCCATGGTCTTCATCTTCTTCTGGGCCACTCTCGTCTACTGCCCGGTCGCCTGCTGGGTCTGGAACGTCAGCGGATGGGGTTTCAAATATGGCGTGTTGGACTACGCCGGTGGTGGACCCGTCGAGATCGTCTCGGGCATGTCGGCGCTTGCATACTCCATGGTTCTCGGTCGCCGTCAAGAGAAGATGATGTTGAACTTCCGTCCCCACAACGTCTCCCTCATCACACTTGGCACCATCCTCCTGTGGTTCGGATGGCTTGGATTCAACGGTGGTTCGGCCTTCGGTGCTAACCTCCGTGCTGTCATGGCTTGCTGGAACTCCAACTTGACCGCCATGTTCGGCGCTGCGACCTGGGTCATCCTCGATTGGCGCTTGGCCCGCAAGTGGTCTATGGTCGGTTGGTGTTCCGGTGCCATTTCCGGTCTCGTCGCTGCCACACCCGCCTCCGGTTTCATCACCCCCTGGGCGTCTGTCGCACTCGGCATCGTCACCGGTCTCTGCTGCAATTTCGCCACCAAGATCAAGTACTGGATCAAGATCGACGATGCCATGGATGTGTTCGCTGAGCACGGTGTCGCTGGTATGATCGGTCTTCTCTTCAACGCCATCTTCGCCGCCGACTACATCATCGGCCTGGACGGTGTCAACTTCAGCCCTGACCAGAGCAATTCGACCTTCTGGGGAGGCTGGATCCAGCACGGTTGGTGGCGCCTCTACGTGCAGGTCGCCTACATCGTCGCCTGCACCGCCTACGCCTTCGTCGTCAGCGCCCTCATCGCCTACCTGATCAACCTCGTTCCCGGTCTCCATCTGCGCGCCAGCGAGGAGGCCGAACTCCTTGGTATGGACGACGACCAGCTCGGCGAGTTCGCCTATGACTACGTCGAAGTCCGCCGTGACTACCTCGCCTGGACCCCCAGCAAGACCGACCCGGAGAACCACGAGCACACCGTGCCTCAGGGCGAGCGCCACGGCATTCCCCAGCACTCCGAGATGCTCGAGGGCCGGGAGCCTTCGCACAACTCCGGCGACGACTCCTCCGGCGGCCACGCCCACACCGGTATCGGTGGTGACCGTCACGGTATCGCATGGGAGGCCAAGGAGAAGCTGCGTCGCTCTAACCACTGAGTGTCACCGCCGCCGTCATCTCCTTTGCTCCTAAAATAGAATATTTCTCTTATTTTTTTCGTGACTTTTCTCTCTTTCCTCATCCATGCCCTCCCTCATCACCCGGGGATGTCCATGTGCAGGTGTGTGCATATGCCTCTGTGCGAACCTATGCTCGGAGTTTGTTTGGTCAGTTGCGAACGGTCTTTCGGCGGTCGAAACCCTCGAGATCTTCGCTCGCAATCTTTTTTTATTTTTTTGGCTTTTCTGTCATCGGTTCGGTTTCGGCTGCTTTCTGAGTGTGTACGAAGATCTGGAAGGGAAAGGAAGGCGAATGATATCCCAAGTTGTTGGTGGTGGCGGACGGATGAAATCCGCTGGATGCATGGTGTTGGAACACGGACGGAACAGGACAGGTCGATCATGTAGACTTGGATAGAGACGAACGGAATGATATCCCCATCTCAAAGGCACTCTTGGAAAGTATCCTCCCTAGGTTCGTTGGTTGTTGTTCACTTTTGATTGGAGATTTCTCCGTGTGTCCTGACTGCTTTAATTGTCTTGTTCCTGGTCGAGAATTGAGCTTTTCCTGTGGCAGGCGTTTGTTTTCAGCAGGCTCGCATAATCGTCCTCTCCAAAATGTCTCCGACTCGCATCGCTCCTACAACAGCATGTTCAGTCGATACTTTGAGAATGGGAAGATTTTGCTCAGGTCCACAGAGGGGCATTCGAGCGCAGAGGATCACACCTTCCCACAGGACCTCTTGCCATTGCTTTCGCCACTGCTTGACATTCGACGAGCTATATCATACCGCGCCTGAGAGCAACCACCACTCAAAGCTGGAGAGTATCCGAAGTCGCAGCGAGGGAGAATATGCTACTCCAAAATGAGTATTGTTACATGATGTTGGCGGCGGGCAACACGGCCCCTGCGAAGAGCGGGCCGTTCTGGTTACACAAAACTAACGCGTAGGTACTGAACATCACGATAACCATGAAATGTTTCATTAAACGCAGGGCTCATTGTTCACGTGTCTCATTAATGAATGCTGTATGCCTGAAGAACGATCGTTTATCTTCATGATCCCGACCCACGACCAGATCAATGGCTGATATACTGGAAGACAGCACTGACATCCTTCTCGCTAGTTTCCTGTCGTAACAGAAGGTCCTGGATTTTCGACATGGCTCCCTTGTCGCCTTCATTCACCATGTGATTCCAAGTGCTCGTATCACCATACAACATGGCCGGAGCCTTCAGATGCTGTTTCCCGTCTCTGCAACGCTTACATTTGAATGTGTCGTGGGTATCACTCGTCGTGCCGGGGCGATATTGGAAGAGCTCGCGGAGAGAGTCCAGGCTGAAATGACGTTCCACGTCTTCGGCAGAGTCGACCACACAGGATGACAAAGACTGCTTGTGTGATTGTCGTTGAAAGATCTTCTCCTCGATTGTACCCGTCGCGATGAAACGGTATACAAAACAGTCCTTCTTCTGTCCATCACGCCAGACACGCGCGAGCGCCTGCTGATCCGCAGCAGGGTTCCAATCCGGGTCGAAAAGTACTAGACGGTTGGCACCGATCAAATTGAGACCACACCCTCCTGCTTTTGATGAGAGCAAGAACACGAACTCTGGGCCTTCAGGGTCATTGAATTTGTCGACCAGCTTTTGTCGCTTGTTGACGTTCATCGTGCCATCCAACCGAAGGCATCCATAGCTGCGATTTCGACAAAGCTTTTCAAAGACATCCAGTGTTTGTGTGTAATTTGAAATCAGCACAATTTTGTCATTGGTGTCTGCACGGATCCGCGCGAGCATACGATCGAGCACTTGCATCTTGCCCGAGTACCATGGCTTGATGTCTCGATCACGACCGCGCGACTCCTTTGGTACAAAATCATCTGGCAGGTATTTCTCACAGCCAGGCAGATCATCGGGGAGGTTCAGGAGGTCAGGATGATTGCAAAGCTTCTTGAGCAGCCCAATGGCTTTAAGAGGCTGGCTGCCCTTACCTCGCAACAGACTTTGGATTTCTGTAAAACTTTGTCAGCAGGGAGAAGCAGAATATTGAACTGGTTTGCAGCATACCAGGAGATTTGATGAAGTAATTGTAAAGATCGAGCTGAAATGGCGCGAGGTTGCAAAAGACAACGTGCTCGTATTTGACCGGCAAATACTTGGACAGAATGTCATTCGTTCGGCGGATAATGAATTTGTTTACGAGTGTAAGAAGTTCTTTGAGTCGTTCGTCACCCTTCTTCCTGTCGGCATCAGTTCCAGCAGCATCACGACCACGCAGAATGGGTATTTCGTATTGCTTTCGAAAATCTTGTCTCGTGCCAAGGTAGTTGGGGTTGGCGAAGTTAAGCAGTGCGAAATATTCGGACAGATCATTTTGAATCGGCGTGCCAGAAAGAATGACTCGCTTCCGTACATTTAGGCTAGTGAGAGCCTCAAATGTTTGGCTCTCGCCGTTCTTCAGACGATGTCCCTCGTCACATAGCATGAGACCGATGGGCGTATACCGGAGCTCTTCAACGTACAGCCGAAGTGTCTCGTACGATACGATAAGTACTGGCCGGATAACTGCACGACCTGTCGCAGAAGACCATTGTCGCAACTGTTGAATGAGCTCTTCCTTGGTTGCTTTGCCATCCACAGCAAAGGGGTTGATTGCATCGGGTCCAAGCCACTTAACGAGCTCGTTGGCCCAGTTTCGGACCAGACTTGACGGACAAGCGATCACACACTTCTGTATCGTGCCCTTTCCAGCTTCAGGTGACTGCTTCAGCAGAGTCCACATCAATGTGATGCATTGAAGCGTTTTGCCCAGACCCATCTCATCCGCCATGATGCAGCCTTCCGCCTTCTCGTCTATTAGACCCGTTGTACATCGATATAGAAACTTGACTCCCTCAACTTGATGCGGTCGTAGCACCTTGGCTAATCTTGGGTCGATCACGACGGGCACTTTCGGGCGCTCATCGGACACAACCTTTTTGATTCCTAGAATATCTGCAAGACTCTTGTGCATAATCGGTTCGTCCAACTTTGTCTTTGCCACCGGCTCGTCTGACTTGTTGTCATTCTCGACAGGCTTGGGCTTGTCATCCACAGTAGGGTCGTAGAGCACAATGGCAAATTCTCCGCTAGGGTCGTGAAGAGGTTTCGCAATGAAGACCTGGCCACGGCGCAAACCCAAGAGAGGCGGAGGTCGAACAGAATTGTATGCGGTGGGATCTCTGTTCTTGAGCGGTACCGAGAACCGGGCGCGAAAGGTTGTCTCCTTATCTTTCGGCTTGAAGACAGGGAAGCGATTCACATCGCGGGTCGCCAAAGCCAAGCGATCCTCGTTCGTGTAAGGCTTGTCGCCATCCTCTGTACTCTCGTCGGCACCGGTATAGTCGACCTTTCGTCTCTTCCGCGCAGGCTTCTCGGATATCCGCACCGGTGTGTTTGCACCTGGACATTTGAAAGGTTTGGATAGTCGTTCGGAGATGAGGGGTGATCCTGTCGAATAACGTTTCTTGATTTGCAAAATCGGAGGAACGTTCTCCTTATCCAGTATGACGGTCATTGCGTTGCATGTATCGGTGATTTTGGACGAAGAACTTGGGCAATGTCCCAATATACCAAGGTATGTAGTATTGTATCGGTCGCCACCGATTAGAGAGGATCGGCCTTCGCGTCGCAGGTGACGCGACGTCAGAGCTAGCCCCGGGATTTATCTTTGCCCGCTTGCAGCCTTGAGACGCGCCAACACGTGATCCTAATCGACGAATTCCTTTGGTTGCGACATTGTGACAGCCCTGGAGATCTTCGTTTCTTGTGTTTCCCCGTTCAAGCCTAGGGCGCACAGCAATGTTTCACAGTGCATGGCTTCTTCAAAGATGGCCGCTGCTGCGCATCATTAATGGAACAGGAGTGCTGAACTATTCCAAGAGGCCGGGGCAAGTCAGACACACAGACTCATGACGGATAAATATTCGCTATGCTCCCTTGACATTCAACATAGGTGGACTTCAATCCAGAAGCCACTCGCCTGGATAAACTATAAAGCTCGTACCAATTTCGCGTGTGTGACGTAGCTTCGCTGTTCAACCTACAATTGTCGGCGAGATCGGCCTCGCCTCATGGTCGAAAGATCGCGGCGAGTCATATTCGCTGGTACGCTGGTACGCTGGTCAAGCAGAGACTGCTGTTAACTGGAAATCGGGATTGAAGTAACATTTTTCAAACTTGAAAGCTGCTGTGGCTTTATTCTATTGCGCAGCCAGCAACGACAAGATGAACGATAACATAGGTGCCGGGACACTTTCCAGATCAACGCCGAACAACATGGGCGATGATCATGTGCGATCAGATCAAGAAGAGACAGAAATCGCAATTGAGCGCAGGATCATCCGCAAGCAAGATACGCATCTGATGCCGTTGCTCTTCGCAATCTACCTACTATCATTCCTGGATCGATCAAACATAGGGTCAGCTGGGACTTGATCAACATCAACAATAACGATGTGCTGATATCAGAATAGCAATGCGAAGATCGCCGGCATGCAAGATGACTTGAAGCTTTATGGCGATCGTTACACATGGCTGTTGAATATCTTCTACATTGGATACATTCTCTTCCAATGGCAGACCATGTTCTTCAGGGTACTTCCTCCACATCGTTTTGCGGCATGGGTGGTGTTCTCCTGGGGTATAATAGCTACTTGTCAAGCAGCCGTTCAAAGTTGGGCTGGCGAAATGGTGCTTCGCTTCCTGTTGGCGGTATTCGAAGCACCTATCATCGGGCTTACCTACATTCTCTCCTTCTTCTATCTACGACGAGAGCTGGGGTTCCGCTGTGGCTTATTCGTCAGCGCAGCACCGCTGGCAACGTAAGTTGTAGTCCGTCCTGCGTCAATACCAATACTGACTAATGTTAGCTGCTTTGCTGGCGCACTCGCATACGGGATCACTTCTGGCCGTACAGATATCGCGTCATGGCGCCTGCTTTTCCTCGTTGAAGGTCTTCCGACAGTCGCTCTGGCTCCAATAGTCTATTTCTTCCTGCCTGACTCTCCCGACAAGGCCAGGTTCCTGAATGGCGACGAGAAGCAAGTCGCGGTCCGTCGCGCTGTCCGACAGAATGGTCGAAAGGGCCGCGTAGGCAGCATCACCCTACGAGACACATTGAGCGCCTTGACTGATTTGAAGGCTTGGCTGATGGCACTCATGTATTTCTCATGTAATGTGTCCTATGCTTCTCTGCCGGTCTATCTGCCGACGATCATACAAGAGTTTGGATATCGTGGTGGTAAGTAGATGAGTTCTGCAATTGAGATAATATACTAACAGCTCCCAGTCGACGCGCAAGGATTATCAGCACCGCCATATTTTCTCGCCTTCTGGACAACTCTACTCTCTACCTACATTGCCGACCGTACCCAACAGCGCGGTCTCACCATCGTGTGCTGTTCGCTCGTCGGCGCCATCGGCTACATCATGCTCGCAACGACTCAAGGTACTGGACCGAGATATGCCGGAACCTTCCTCGCAGCGGCGGGCATCTTCCCCTGCATCGCCAATTTGCTCCCATGGCAAATGAACAACCAAGGTAACGATACTCGGCGCGGCATCGGTCTAGTCATGCTCAGTTTGATCGGTCAATGTGGACCCCTGGTCGGCACCAACATCTATCCACCAGAATCTGGCCCTCGATACCTTAAAGGACACAGCATTTGCGCGGCCTTTATGTTCTTCGTCGCAATACTTGCACTCTCCCTGCGGTTCCTCCTAGCTTATGAGAACCGCAAGCTGGATCGTCAATATGGTACTGTGGCCGAGCAGAAGGCCAACGCAGAGACATCGGACGATTCGGATGCTCAGTCACAGGGCGTCGAGAACTACGGACCGCTCTATCGCTTTGTTCTTTGATGTATTCTCATCTTTGTATGTTTTCAAGCTCTGTGACGTCGCAGGTGAATGTGATGACATTGAATGCGAACGAATAGCTGACTTGCGTCTGATATGGACGATGCGGTGCACATTTGCGCGCAAAAGACAGGAATATGTACGCAATTGCCGGCGTTCTCCTCACAGCTGCTTAACAACAAGCATCTCAAAAGGGCATGTGGTCTAGTGGTATGACGGCTTCTTAGCACCCAGCAGTGATTGTCTGGAGCAGGTCCTGGGTTCAATTCCCAGCTTGTCCATTTCTTTTGCATTTTTGCCGCAGTCAATGCCGTTCGCAATCTCGCCTTTTTGCTCCACAGATGAGGTTTAGAGATCCTTGTGCACTCCCATTTGGTGGGCCTCTTATTTTGGAGATAATTATGTCATGTTGTGGCTCTAAAAAATGGACGTATAAATGTCACATCGGCAGCAGTGTTGAATAGTCGATGTCCAAACCCTACCGAACAACCCCAACCCTATGTGTAGGAGATGGAGAATGACTTCTGGCAACGGTACATTTCGAGAGCAGTGTTCTGCTTTCTCGGCTCCCTGTGGTAATAGTATGGTAATAGGTGGTCGAAAGAAAGGATGGGTGGGTGAAGTTCAAGAGTCTTCTCGACGTTTCGTCGAGGATATATGCGCTTCATTTGGGGAGGTGTCCATCATGAGACTCTTCATGTGCCGGGAAATCGCCTTCAAGAAGGCAGACTCGACCAGTCGAGTGATTTCACCACAAGAGCACAGACTCGACGCGGACGACGTACTACACGTGGGGAAACTATGCCTTGATTATAGATATGGAATGATTTTTATATACTTCCTTCGCCAACCGTGAGGACCGGGTATCGGGTTGGTGCGGAAGAAATCACAAGTGATAAGATAAGAAAGCGAAAGAAATGACAGACAGACTGAACGAAATGCGTGAAACGCGTGAGTGGACAGAAAAGAGAGAAAGCAAGTGAAAGACTCCTGGTGTATCCTCCTCTCATTATCCTTCTTTGGGGGGAGGGGCGGTGGACAAAACCAATAAAAAGCAAAACGGAAAAGGCAGGGAAAGCGATTCATTACTTCGCAATGTAATGCCCACTGCTCAGTTTCGCCACAGTGGGAACCCTCCTCCATCCCGCCGCCGCCGCATTGATCGCATCCTCGTCCGCGAAAGGATCCGAGGAATCGGCCGGGGGAGCATTCGCCGCCCGAGCACTAACGCCCAACCCACTGCCCAAGCCGCGGGCGTTTTCGCCGACGAGGTCCCATTTCACGTCGACGCTGCCGCCGGTGGCCTGGGAGTCGGTGGCGAAGCGGGCGAGGAGTTTCTGGGGCGCGGCGGCGCCGGCCTCGAGGACGATGTCGCCGACCTGCCAGTAGATGGTGTTGCGTTCGCGGGAGAAGGTGCCTACGGGCTTGGACATGCAGCTGGTGGCGGTGGCGCCCTCGAGGGTCAGGGCGAGGGTTGCGTTGGAGAGTTTGAGGGTAGTACGGCCGTGGAGGGCGAAGGAAGGGGAGAGGGAATAGGAGACAATCACGGAGGTTTGATTGGGCTCGATGCGGAAGGCGGGAGTGACGAGGATGGGGACTTGTTCGTTGGCGTCATCGTGGCGGAGCTGGTATTTGAAGGCGATTTGGGTTTTGAGGACGCCGGCGAGGTTGACGGAGTATTCACCCTCCCGGCCGGAGGAAGTTGGGCTGAGGAAAGCGGGGTTGGGCGCGACCTTGTCTAGAATCGAAAAGTTGTCGAGTCGGATGGTTTCGTGACCGAAAGGCGAAGAGAAATCCGTCGAATTGTAGACGAGTGCAATCTCGCCAATCAGAGAGGAGCTCAAGAGCTTGCCATTTTCGAACCTTGCCGACACAGTTTCCACAAGTGATGAGTTCAGGCCGACCTCGTTCAGGTCGGCATGCTTAACGCCTTGACTTCCCGTGCTCGCAAGCGAACGTCCGGATCTGATCGACTGGGTGTCACCTGTATGGTCGGGACCGAGTATAGCCTTGGCTGCTGGTCTGATGGCAGAAACGGGTTCTGCCGGTGCAAATGCCGAGGTGGAAGTCGCTGTAGCCGTAGGGAATGTTTGTGATACCGGTAGAGCTGTGTTGATAGGCGCATTAGACGAGGTGGTGGGAAATGCTGAAGGGGTATAGAACGTGTCCTCCGCTGGCGCGGGAGCAGCGAATGCTGATTGAGAGTTGTTCGATGTCGAGCCAAGAGCTCCCATCATGGCTGGCTCTGCAGCAAGCGGTTCACCTGCAGGCGGTCCATAGGTGCTGATGACAGCACTATTGCGCGCGTCACGGCGACCTCGCACAGTGCCCATTCTACGTTGACTAGTGGGAGGTGCTTGCTATTTGATGTCAGACGCATTCTCTCGCAGTTACCAAAATCTCACATACCAATTTGCCTGCAACGTTCTCGAGGGCTGCTGTCCCTCCCTCCTCTTTGATGGGCGTGTTCAGGATATTGACATTAAACTGTGGTTGCGATGCTTCACCAGCCAGGGCAGCACTGGCCTCTGAGATCGGGTCCAGGGCAGGCGGAGGGACAGTGAACCCCTCGTTGTCCTTCTGAGGAATAGATGGTCCCGCGCCATTAAACTCCTGAGGCTCGTTAACATGATTAACTTCTGTGGACGAGAGACTCGGAATGTCGTTGTAGGTATTGATGGTAGGTGCCTGTGTCACACCGGACGCAGAGCCATTGTACAACGATCGATCTTCAGTTCTTGTAGGTGCACGAGACGTTTCGGGCTCTTCGTCCAAGATCTCGCTTCCAACATGCGGTAATGGTGGTCGCTGACTGGAATTATCCTGTTCTTGGTCTGTCGAATATGAGCTCTTCGACCTTCCTAGGCCGAATCGCGAGCCTTTGCTCTTTCTCTCTGGCGTCTCTGTTGTGGGCGGAAGAGCTCCCGCCGGCACTTTACTCGATCGTCGGCCCATGACTGTGCCGAGTCGCTTCAAGCCCTTTAGCGGACCCTTTTTCTCCTTTTCCTTCTCATTGATGGAAGCATCTCCTTGATTAGGTGCGGATTCTGTATTGGAAGGGATTGGAGCCAGGTCTGTTGCAGATGGACCTTGGTTGCTTCTTCCAATTGACAGCGATGGGACTGCAAAGCTAGCGCGATTGCTGCTTCGTGACTGAGTCGCTCGAGGGACATTCGCTGTGGACTTGATCGCGAAAGTCGCAATCTCATCCTGAGTCTCGACGTTCAGGAGGATGTTCAAGCAATGCTCGGTTGTGGTACGGTGTTTCTCCACCTGATCCATCTCAATGGTCTGCGACTGTGTGAAAAGGTCGCGCAACTGGCCAAGGCGCGCTTCGTCCAAAAGCTGGAGCTGCTCGAATACGTATGGAGCTTGGGATTGCCATTGTACCTGCGCATGATCCAGATCCGAACTCGCATCTGCCTGCTTGCTGGTATGTTTTCCCTGAAGCTTATCCGTCTTTTGCTGCGCCTTCTCCACGTCTTTCGCCAATGCGCCGAGGTTGCCCTGCACACTAGTGACAGCGTTCATCTCTCGGCTACTCGAGGTGAACTCGCGCAAAGGTCGCTCCAGATCCGCCTCAAATTTGGCGGCAAAGGCGGAATGGGAATCGGCGAGGGTGTCCAGAGAGTCGGTGATTGTATTCCAAGGCACAGAAAACACACTATTTCAAGGTCAGATTGTTGAGAACTTCCTTCACATCCACCGCTTTGATGCCATACCCTAGGTCGGACCCATCCAGTGAATTGCGCGCAAGCTTTCGTAGGCCTGCTGCATACTGCTCCTCAAGTAGTCGTCGCTCCTGTTGTCATTGTTGTGTCAGCGCCCGTGAGAGTCGAACGAGCCTGCAACAAATACCTTGATCCACTCTGCCACGGCATTGTTAAGCTTGCTGATGTGTCGCACACGCTCGTTCAGTACATCTACAGCTTGGCCAGGCTGGAGTCGGGCCTGCATCACTTTGGTGTAAGTCATGATTCGCGAGCCGCAGGAAGCGCATTGGTTCTTACCAGCATATTAGGATAATCGGTACGCTCCATTGTGCTCAATGCGTCTGGTGCACGACCGACGACGGCAGTATACAAATCGATTCCAATGAGAATTTCGGTGCACCTGGGTATTGTGGTTTCGCGTGAATTTGACCTTAGGAGCGAGTGTGTTGTGGCTGTTGCGCAGCAGCGAGAGGAACAATGTCCAGAGCGTTGTCCCGACGCAAAGCTGCGAAGCCGTCGCGGCTCTTGACGGGAAGACACTTGCAGCTGGAGGACATCAATGATGACGAAGGCAGCATTACGACGCCCGTGCCCAGTTCCCTTGACATACTGGACGAACAATACTTGGACTTGGAGCATCAATCACACACAGCACACGATCGAGACGGCCAATGCACAATGCAGTATCTAAGTATCCTCTAATGTGCTTGCTCCACTCCCTAGGTATGCCGCAGTCTTCTCACCAAGGGATCGTTTTCTATCACCAAGGAACAAGCCAATCGTCAGTGGAATGCGTACCCGAGTACAGTATGCTCACGCCGACGTCGCCTGCGCAACTCCAGTGACAAGACTAACGTTGTGGCGATCGCGACGTGCAGTCAGTTCCGTGTACCTCTGGAGACGTATTCGTGAACGCGGAACATATTGGTCATTTGTCCTTCTCGAGATACCCGGAGACTACGTACTTCATGTGTCTGCCTTCACGTCTCTGCTGCCCTCCAGCTATTTCGTTGCAGGGCCGGTTACCTTCTCCACAGTCGAGCCGTAGCCAGCTCAACAAGATGATGAAAGTGATTTGGAGAACCATCAAAAATTGCGCCACTGAGGCCCCCGAAGGAGACTCATAGCAGATGCTCGCCACGCTGTGCAATGTAGGAGCTTCTGTTAGGTGACAGGCATTCATGAGCGCCCGCACCGCAACAAGGTAAGTATGAAGAAGAGAAAGAGAAAAGAAATGGAAAAGGCGAGGATAGAAGCAGATACTTATAGACAATTCGGAGAGGCGCAGGGACCACCGTGCCTGGCCGGAATTTGTGAGTCACGTTTTGATGCCCCAGGCACCCACCCAATCGACGCGGATTGTCTGAACCATGTCCGGGCGGGCACTTCTGCTGCCACTATTCTGGATAGGCCCCAGGTGTGCGTGCTTGGGTGCACTGCAATGCTGCGCATACATATATTCATATATATTCGTTGCCGGCAAATCCAGGTCATCGCTACCATATTATTCCGGGCTTTATAGGTGTAGATTCAATAGATGTCATAAGCTGGAAGGGAACAGCGTTGACCTGCATACCTAGTGCATAGGTTGCGTCCAGTCGAGATCACGGCGTGTCGTGTGTCCGTCCAGGCGCATTATTATGTGGGGAGCCAAAGCGCGTCACATGTGAAGCTCCCTCTACAGTTCCGGAGCTCTAGTATCACAGGTACTCAGCTGTACATGATAGGATCAACCAAGTGGTCCTACGCGCACGAGATCTCCGAGCGTGACATGTACAAATGACAACAGCCTCCTAAGTTCCGTCCACCTCCTTATTCATCATCATTTCCAACCTGTCGCCAGATATTGTCCGCACCTGGACACCCGCAACATCCATGTGTATGTGCTCGACTTCCTATGGGAGCCGGACTGGTGTCTCTACAGCGTGCTCCCATGTTGGTTGAAGTCAAGGTCATTCTAGCCATCACCCAATACCTGTGGATTGTCTTCCGTGTTCCCGGACGAGAGCCAAATCAACCCATATTGATCGAAAAAGCGCCTGAAAGACATGGCCAACATAGTCTCCTCACGAGTCCTGTCACGCTTCTTGCCTGTGGCGGAGGGGGACGTCTCCGTGTACGAGAGTATTCGGAGGGATACGCTAGGATATGATGATGTAGAGTCGCAGCCTCGGAGAGCCTATCAAGCATCGTTCCAGGATGACAACGATGACGACGAAGACCCGAACGAGACGTTCCTCTACAATGCCACCGATACGCAACTGCTCCCCAACAACTCTATACTCAGTCCGCCTACTGGCCCGGTGCCGGATGCCTCACCTCTCCTACAACATGCTCGATCAAAGTGGCAGGGCCCGCGTGGAAAGAGGAGGGCAGACGAAGACGAGGACGTCCCGGAATCATTGCTGTTGGAAGACAAAGGACAATCGGCGATGAAACCATTACTGTCTCCCGAGAAGAACGATGCCCGGGCTGAAGCCCAGTGGCGGGCGATGCAGGAGCAGCAAAACCTTCATGCGAATCGATTGTCACGCCCAGCTGGCCTGAACGCTCGTCGGCCAACAGCTCAAGCAATGGTTCAGCCTCCAGCCAAGCCTCAAATCGACCCTCGAGCGGATGCCATGTGGCTCTACACAAACGCCAATAACTTGGACGCTTTTCTGCGTGAAGTTTATCGTTATTACGTTGGCCACGGAGTGTGGTCTATCCTCCTCTCGAGAGCACTCAGTTCATTAACAGAACTATTCGTCTTCAGCTTTGCAATGTTTCTCACAACTTGCATCGATTACTCCAAGATTCCGAGCAGCAAGTCCACAGGCGAAGTATTGATTCCGAAATGTATGGCGAAAGCATCTTGGCTCAAGAATGCGGCATTGTTCTTTTTCATCATCTATTGGCTGTGGCAGCTGGCCCAGCACATTGCAGACATTCGAAGACTCTTCCGCATGCACGATTTCTTCTTGCACGTCCTCAACATCAATGATGTTGATATCCAGACTGTTTCGTGGGTCCGTGTTGTTGATGGGTTGGTCAAAGTTCAGGATGCCAACGTCGCCACCGCCAACCCACGACCATCTATGCGCAAATACCTCGACTACAAGGAGCCGCAACAGCGACTGAGCGCTGAGAGTATTGCCAACAGACTTATGCGACAGGATAATTACTATGTTGCGCTATACAACAAAGATGTGCTCGACTTTACATTGCCATTGCCATTCGTTGGTAGTCGTCAATTCTACTCGAAGAGTTTGGAATGGTGTATTGACTTTTGCCTGACGAACTTCATCTTCGACGAGCAAGGGTCTATCCGACCATTTTGTTTGGAGGTCAAGAACAGACAAGTGCTTGTAGAGGCTCTACGAACGCGTTTACGCTTCGCGGCGATAACGAGTGTCGTCATTGCTCCTTTCAACATCCTTCGTTTCTGCATCGTCTTCTTCTTCAAGTACTATACGGAGTTCACACGCAATCCCGCACGAGCTAGCGCTCGTACCTTTACGCCATTCGCCGAATGGAAGATCCGCGAGTTCAACGAATTGGAACACTTGTTTGAGCGTCGAATACGCCAGGCGTACCCTTTCGCCAAAGAATATCTGGCACAATTTCCCAAGGACAAGACCGATCAGGTTTGCCGTTTCGTTGCATTCGTGAGCGGTGCCATTGCGGCAGTCTTGACCCTGGCAACGCTCTTCGACCCGGAACTGTTTCTGACTTTCCAGATAACTCCAGGTCGTACTGCAGTTTTCTGGTTGACGGTCATGGTTGGAATATTTGGTGTCGCGCACGGCTCCTTACCTGACGAGAACGAAGTCCACGACCCAGTTCTACATCTGAAAGAGGTTTTGGTCTTCACACACTATCTACCTTCGCATTGGAAAGATCGCCTACATAGTGACGAAGTCCGCGCAGAATTTTCCGCCATGTACCAAATGAAGGTCGTCATCTTTGTCGAAGAAATTCTGAGCTTAATAGTCGCGCCTTGGATCCTGTGGCGAAATTCGGGCAAACGTACAGAGAGGATCGTCGACTTCTTCCGAGAGCAGACGGTGCATGTAGAAGGTATTGGCCATCAGTGTAATTTTGCAGTCTTCGGGTTCAAGAAAGACTTGAACGCAGAGGACCCTATTGCTGTCCTGAACGAGCCCGATGGTCTCCGTGACGATTACTATGGTCTCAAAGACGACAAGATGGCATCATCGGTGCAGAATTTCATGCAATACTACAGCCACCAACGCGCTGCTGGACGCCGGCCTCATGGATGGCAGCCGCCTCCCGCGTGGCCGCCGGTAATGCCCGCGCAAAGTTCGAACGACGGGCCCAATGCCCGCGCAGCCTCGAGCAGGGCAGCTCACCCTTCATCGCGAAAGGCAGGCGGAATCACGAGCCCCCGACAACAGCCGACAACGTCAAAGATGCAGCAAAGACAGTCTGTCGGCCATCCAGGGCGAGGTGGACCTAGTCGGACCATCCACGAGGTCTCTGAGAGCGGTCTCATGGCGAACGACAGCGATCTGCGCGAATTCGCTGACGGGCCTGGTCGGAAGTCCCAATCTAGCGACCCCGAAGACCTCGATGATGCTGAGGATGGTGCTGCGGGAGGAAATCCGGGTGTTTTGGGCATGCTGTATCAATTCTCCAAGGCCCAGGCAGATAAGGGAGCAGGAGCGGTCATGTAGAGACCGCCTAATTTCCTGATCACGATCAATGAATTTTCAAACCTGTAGCTTCATCAGAGTAGACCGAGAGTAAACTGATAGGGCTGAACGTTGAAGACATCGTTTTTACAGTATCACGAGGCGCATTGGCGGTTGCCGACATTTGAGCGAATGATCATGTCCGCGCGACAAGATCGAGCGATGACTTCATGTTCATCAAAGGGAGAGCTCCATTGTGCCTTGGGGAAAGTTTCGATCTGCTCACGAGGCTGGGAAAACGTGAAACGTTATATTTATCATTACGATAATGGTCCCAAGGTTGTTTTTTTTTCATTGCCGTTGTATCATCCGTCCATGGTCTGGCCGCGGGTGAAATATATATTGCCCGAAGTCGACGGATAACATAACGGCTTTCCGCCCTGCGTTTCTATCATCAATTGGGAACTTGACGATCAGCGTTCGTTATCATCGGACATGAAGAATCCACATGTTGCAAAAGCGTCACGATCATCGGTGTTTGCCATTGAGCATGGTTGAGATACCGTACCGAGACGTTCATGGACAGTACACCACACCGCTCCTGATGCTCAGTTGCTCGCGCAGATGCGACACGGCCCCCCATGGCTGAACTCTTTACAGCTGCGATGGAAGAACGCAATAGATCACGACGAAGTAACGCCATGTTGAACACGTAGGTGGTAGGAAAGGACAGTATCTCCGCCAATAGCGAGTCCACTCGTGATATGCACCCATGGACTCGTCCACAGCCTCGATTGAAACACAATTCGGGCCGGACAAGTTTATAGTGTCGTCCTGTCCCGACTTCTCACAGCTAACCGGAAGTGCATTTGCCATGCGAATGTTTCAACGCTCATGTGCTCGTTCATCGATCTAGTCAAGACCTCGGGTATAAACGAGCACTCGAATATATCTGACGTTCCTTATGAAGCCGTTCCATGGCAGTTTTTCCATCCGTCAGAAGATTTCGACCCTGAGCTGCCTCCCAGCCTCCCACTCAATTCACTACATATCCTCCCTGATCGTGAAGCATTTCAAGATATCCAGACAAGAACATCAAAGCCAGTCACAGCAAGCTACTCCGACTCTACCAATCTCAAAGACTCTCCAACTCGTCTTCTTAGCAATGGACAAGTCCTCCAACATGGCTGCTATCACCATCGCGACGTCTAGACCCTCCTCTCCAAGTTGCCAACGGTCTTCCACCATGGCCCGATCGCCCCTCCAACCAACGTCTCCCAAAACCATCATCCTCGCCCTCTGGCCCACTGCCCGCGACGAACAAATCAACTACTACACCGCCGGTTACCAAACACTCTACCCCTCCGCCACCATTCTTCAGCTCTCGCAATCCACCACAGGTCTGAACCGCGTGCTGAACGACCTCCTCAACACCGACGAGCCCTCCTTCTCCTTCCACGACTCGGAGAAATCGTCTGCCCCGGACGCTCGATCCAATGATATCATCCTCCACCTCTTTGGCGACGACGCCGCCTCCCAAGCAAGCCGTCTCCTCTCCGCCTACCAGCTCCGCACCCAACGTCCCTTACCCATCGCTGCCGTAATCCACGACTCCACACCATCATTCAGCCTGCCAAGTTTCCAACTCCTCCGGCGAAGTCCCCTCACCTACCTCACAGCGCTGATCTCAATCCTGCTCATCCTGATCTGGCAATTCCTGCGTGGGACTCTGTCAATCTTCCTCCCCACCAGCACGACAACCAACGTCGCACAGATCTACGTCGAAGTCCTCCCCGGCGACGTCCAGCGATGCTACGTCCTGCCCGAGAAGAAGCTCATGTTTTCATGGTCGGACCCCGCAGCAACGATGACGACGACGACGATGTCGCAGTACGGCGATGACGACAACGAGGATGATTACGAAGATGAAGATGAAATCAAGGATGACGAGGCGACGGTCGCGCAGAGGGATGATTTCGTCGTTGACCGATCGCGAGTGGGATGCGGGGCGCGAGGGTGGAGCGGTGATCAGGAGCGGTATTGGGCCGCGGTGGAGAAGGCTTGGGAGGGGAAGCGATAGGGTGGTCGTCCAGAGGCGTCTTTGAGATTCCCTATTGTGTATTTTATCAGCATTCCCTTGTTCGCGCGATCGTGCTGGTTTGGCTGTTGGACCCGGGTGTTACCTTTGTACGCTTGATTTTTTTTTTCCAGAACTTCATTCCAAACAGAGAGTCCCGTTTCTTTCCATTTATTTCATGACCAGGCTCAGGAGCAGGTCGATCCCGGCCAGTGAGTTGGTGTAATTAAAACCAGGTCCATCCTCTCATCAAAACGATAGAAGACTAAAAGGATCATTAGTCCTGGTCGTGCAACTGTTCAATCTGCTCTGAAGTTTTGGTTTTAGAAAATGTTCCATATCTCATATCACAATGCAGCGCCGAAACTGACAGGCTGCTCGAGCAAATTCTCAAACAAGTATTCCCAACCACAAGAAATCAGTGACTCTCAAAAACATCCTGGACCGTCATACTCCGCTGACACTCGGCCAAAATCCGCGCCTGCTGAGCAATCTCACTCAACCGCCCGATGACCTTCCCATTCCCCTCGACGAATCCATATACGGTATACGGAATCCCGACCTCGTCGCAAAACTGCATGACATGCTTTTGCGCCGCGCGCAAATTATGCCGGGGCATGCGGGGGAAGAGGTGATGGACGGCCTGGAACTGCAGGCCGCCGTGGAAGAAATCCAACCATTCGGGGCACTGGACGTCCATGGTGGTGCGCAGCATGCGCTGTGGGAAGGACTCCTTCACGCCCAAGTCGGCCGTGCTCATGGCGAAGTGGGATAATGTGATTTGCACGTGCACGAGCATGGTCACGGCGTGGCTGATCATGACAAAGGCGAAGCGCTCCCCGTTCGTTGGGATGGATTTGTATACCACGAGGTAGCCGAACCAGTACCAGAAGAAGATTTGCCCGGCGAGCTCGAGCCAGCGGTGCCAGGCGGCCGGGCCTTTGCGTGGGCCCTGGCCGAGGAGGATGTATTGCCAGCTGAGCGCGTAGAGGTTGAAGCGGCCGAGGGCGAGGATGGGGTAGTAGAGGTAGTGTTGATACTTGAGGGTGACTTTGGCCACAGCGTCAAAGGTCATGACGCGGTCGTAGTAGCTGCTGGTTAAGCCATCGAAGAAGCGGTGGGTGATTGCGAAAAACGGCATGTGTTGGATGTCCGGGTCGTGCTCGGCGCTGTTGGTCACGATGTGATGCACGTTGTGATTGCGCTTCCACCAACAGCAGCTCAGCCCACCGATCCAGTTGGCGACGAAGATTCCAATGAGGCTGTCAGTTTGGAAGTCGTGAGTGATGCCCATGTGGCCTGCATCATGGACAGTAAAGACAAGCTGGTGCCACAGCGCTCCGAGAAATGTTGCTGATGCCACATACCATCCCTGACGGAGGCAGAAAAGTGAAACAATAGCAAGAGCGGTGTACCGAGCGATTTCCCGAGCGTACGCCTTGTAATTGCAATCGTAAAGTCCTTCGTCACGGAGACGCTGGTCGAGCTGCTGGTAGAGCTGGATAATTCTTCCTTGTGTGGCCGAGTCGAGCTTCGGGAACGTCTCGAGATCATGCTGCAACTCCCTTTGTGTCCGTTCATCCGCTGCCGATTTCGGTATTACTTTCTCTTCACTCCCATCGAGGGCCAGGCTTTCCACAGATGTTGATGAAGACTCGCTGAGGGCACTACTGCTTCCAAATCGTCTTCTCATTGTCGAACCATGTGCGGGCTCGAAAAGGGGAGATGACTCCTGAGAGCTCTCGGTAAGGGTGGACTCGTCGTCGCTTTCAGCAGCGGGCGTGTTCGACTGCGCCGGCTCGCCATTATCCTGTCGAAATTTACCGCCTTGAATAGGAGGCAGGTAATCAATCCATTGTCCGTCAACCTTGCCGATTTGATAGCGCAGCATCATTTGCTGGGTCTCAGCCGAGTGAAATGCCTTGACCTCATTTGTTGCGTCTCGTCCGACCATGTGCAGGATGGCCTTGTCACCACCAGGGTGATATGGTAGCCATGCGTCGACTTTGAGGACCTTGCCTTCGACTATGATAACCTTTCGTCCTTCTGCGATCAATGCTTCGATCTTCCTCCTCTCGAGGACAATGTCCTTGGATCTGGCGGTGGGCCGCGCGGCAGCCATGGTGGATGGCGACAGTATCGTATGCAATGCAGTTGGTTCGATGGAGCCAGAGGATCTGTTTTCGCACACGGTTTGCCAATTGAGGCGAATGAAGATTCCAATTTTCCGTTTTGAAGAGTCCACGGGTCGTTAGGAACTGTGGACGTATCGAGAGACCCTATTGCACTGTTCGGAAGACATGAGCTGGGCCCTGGATATTTTGCAGCTTGGACCAGAAAAAGACCCTGTTGGCGGTGCAGTAGTGCTGCGGTGTGTGCCTGGAAACTCAATTCACGCACGGCGGCCAATGCCAAATGGAGGAAACTGTAGGCCGGAGCCTGTGCCCCGCCCCACTGTTGCATGGCTGGCGGCTGATCCGTGCCTGTTTCTGGCGTGAGAAGTTCGCCCCTCGAACCGCCGTTTGCCCCATCATATCGTCCGCCTGTTGCATTGCAGTCACTCGCGGTATCGATTTAACAGTGGTTGGTGGTTTTATCATGATACCAGACCGCACTTGACTGTGTCGCCAAAGGTTGTGTGTACTGTATCTGATTGTACATACAGTTGAAATTCCTTGTCAAGCTCTCTGTATGCAGGCAGGTCGGCAAAGGCATAATTTCCCGATCAAGGCTACCCAGGCATGCTTCACGAACAGTAAAGTACCGCACCGCATGTGCAATGTTGCGGATGGATGCCTGGGAACTGTGTGGATTTTAGTCATCCGCGCCGGCCAGCTCCATGCCCGCCGCCCGCGCAGACAGTCAGTGACGCCAGCAATTATTGTTCGGCTCGTGTGAGCTCCAACATCTACAGTAGGCCGTGAAAACAATCTTTGCGCCTCTGAAGCATAGGACTACACACTCCCACTACACCGTTTAGCAAGTGAATACAACAATATCGTCTCAATCGGTCAAATCACCCTAGGCAAAGCAAACCGCCTGATCGATCACCAAATTCCCACAGCGAAGCAGGCGAAAGTGTCAGCCCAGCATCGCGCCGCAACCACCACCGATGACGGCACTTCGATAAAACGCGATCGCTTCTGCAACACTCGCAACGCAATCACAGACAAGTCGAACCAGAACACACAATATGGCGGAGTCGCTGGGTTCACTGCTCTCTTTTCCGCCAGAGCAAGGCGTGTCAATCGGTGCAAAAGAGTATGACTCGAAGATCGTTGCCTATATCAAACAGCTCAATCAGATCCCGTCGGCGCAATGGTCGAGTGCCGTTGATAAGAAGAACATTCTTGATGTGCTCGATCCTTCGATCAATTCCCTCCCATACCTCTACGCATTGAACGCTCAGGCGAGTGAAGATGTGGATCAAGATGGCGATCGACTCGTTGCGTGGGTCGGCCATGCAACCAATTTCTTGCAGTCATTTGATCCTGTGCAATTAAGATACGAAGGCGGACAATGGTACAAATTCTTGCATACTGTGCTGCGGATACATGAGACACAGGGAACACAGAACGTGGATGCAGTCATTTCGGCAATACTGCGTTTGGATCCCACCGCTGGCACATTCACCGTGTGGCACTCACGGATCGTGAAACTCTGTCTTGCTGCAGGCATCCCCTCACAAGCGCTGCCCATACTTGACAATAATATATTTGCCTTTCCGCAAGATCACGTCAAATATGCCTCCGAAGATGTCGTCAGTGACCCTACGAATCTCAGCAACGCATACATCACCGCAAAGTCAGGATTCACATCACGGATAAATTCTGAGATGGTGCTGGAGTACTATGTGCTCGGAGCGCAGATCTATCTCGGTTTGGGAAATCTAGACCGCGCACGCTTGTTCCTCGAATACATCCTTCTAAGTCCTGGTGTTCAGCATGCCGTCAGCGCCCTCCAAGTAGAGGCTTACAAAAAGTGGATCCTCACAGGTCTGCTATCCGAGGGACAGTCGTTTCCTCTCCCCAAAACCATCAGTCCATCAATTGTGAAAGCTGTAAGGGCCTCCTCCAAAGCATACGACTCCTTAGCGGAGAGTGCGAACAAGCGGGACTGGAAGAAATTTCAAGCAGAAGTGGACCGTGGTAATGATATCTGGAACGATGATGGCAACGCGAAATTGGTCCGAAAAGCCAGCGACGCATTACTACATTTCTCCGTCAACGACCTCAGCAAGACGTTCGTCGCGCTGCCGGTGTCGAGGGTTGCAGCTCATCTCGATCTCCCGGTCGATGCTACCCTGCAGATCCTCGCAAGCATGGTCAGCGCAGGCAGCTTACAAGCCGACGTCGGCGGTCAAGGCGCCAGCGCAGTAGTCCGTTTCCGAGCAAAGGACACGCAAGATGATGGATTGGCAAGCACGGAGGCCCAAACGGAGCGCATCAAGACGTTGGCGGTGTATATCCAGGACGCGGACCGCCGACTACAACTCACAAAGGAGTACATCGACAACCAAAAACGACAGAAGCTGTTCTCCGGTCCTGATGGCGATCCCGCGGATGCGATGGATTTGTCTTACGACGCGCCCACCATGGCGGACGATGATGTGGGTGACGAGGATATCATGGAGTGAATGGTATGTCGTTCTCCGCTACCGATCAAACATGAGAGGGCGAGAAACGAAGCGCGAGAGCGGAATTTCCTAAGCAGCGTTGAGCTTGTAAGGTCTTGGCGTTTCTTTTGGACTGATACCTCCGTGGTGGCGCTGGAAAATGGACCGCATTCGATGACTTCCAAGTATGGCTGTTTTTTCACGAGCATGAATTATGAAGTGGCCGACATCTAAGTAGACAGACGATGTCAAAAATGTGGGACGGCATATTGCTACCGTCACCCCCCCAGGCAATACCACGTATTGAACTGTGAGGTCTGTTCTCTGCACCTGTTGTGTGATGATTTCCCCCCAGTCTGAATACATCCAATCGTCCAACTCACGCATCTGACTGCTGAAGACAGTTCGGGATCACTATGAGAATCTTGCTTTTGGTTCGTATATCACATGCATCTCGTCTACCAGCAAGCGCTCTTTATACATCTAAAAAATCCGCCCTCTAACTTTTTTAATCAAATGTGATCTTCGTCGCCTTCTTCATCGTCGACGGATCGACATCCTTGTAGAACGCGCCATACGCATCATGGCCCTTCTTCTTCACCGTCGAGCCAAACTTCATCAGTTCGTCGGGAATCGGCTGTCCCGCTCCCTTGAGGACATTCATCAACGCACCCGCGAGTCCCTTCTCATTCTGCGTGAAAAGCGTGATAGCATGACCGGACTGACCTGCACGACCAGTTCGGCCAATGCGGTGAACGTAGTCCTCCACCGTCAAGGGGAAAGTTACGTTGATGACGAGTTTCACGGCAGGAATGTCGAGGCCCCGCGCGGCGACGTCCGTCGCGACGAGCAGCGGGACCTGGCCGGTTTTGAACGCCTCGAGACTCTCCATGCGTTTCTGTTGGCTGAGATCGCCGTGGATCCCCGAGACGGGGAAGCGGTTCCGGCGGATGAATTCCTCGATGCGGGTGGCTTCTTTTTTGTAGAGGCAGAAGACGAGGATGCGGTCGGTTTTGTTCTTGCCGGATTGGTATTGCTTGAGGAGTTCGAGGAGACGGCCTTGCTTGGCGAATTCGTCCACGACTTCGACTTCTTGCTTGATGCGGATATTGGCGCGGAGTTCACCGGATTGGTTGTCGCCGATGGTGATTCGCACGGGCTGTCGGAGGAATTCCGAGGCTAGTTCGCGGACCGAAGGTGGCCATGTTGCGGTGAACATGACGGTTTGTCGGTCTGGTCCGGCAGCGGCGGATGTGATGATTTTGCGGACATCCTGCTCGAAACCCTTGTCGAGCATGCGATCTGCCTCGTCGAGCACCAGGTACTTCGCGTGGGACAAATCGATTGAGCCGTCGCCGAGGAAGTCATTCAATCTTCCAGGCGTCGCAACGAGAATCGCGGTACCCCTGAGCTGACCTCTTTGTTCGTCCTTGTTGACACCTCCATAGACACAAGTTGCCTTGTATCCCCGAGGTGTCCCAAGTTTGACCATCTGCTCTTGAATTTGGAGCGCCAGTTCTCTCGTGGGACTCACAATGCATACCTGGATGTGCTTGCTTTTCGGGTCCAAGCGATCGATACAGGGTAGTCCAAAAGCATAAGTTTTGCCCGAACCGGTTTCCGCGACACCGATCAGGTCGCGGCCTTTCATGAGGTACGGCCAAGTCGCAGCCTGGATCGGAGTGGGCGCTGCGAAGCCTGAAAAGTATGCTGTCTTTGTTGCCTTGTCGAGAGAAAGGTTGTCGAACGACAAGATCGGACGAAGGTCGTCTTTCGCAGGGTCTTCCACCACGATTTGCTTTTCCTTGTAGAAATCCTCCGCCTCTTTGGTGCTTACAACCGTCGCTGTACTTGTCGATGATGTCGACGATTGATCATTGGTCGCTTTAGATGTGTCATCGCCGTTCTGCGCAGCTTCGGCGGCTCGCTTTGCAGCCTTTTCGGCTTTTCTGCGAGCTTTTCTCTCAGCTTTGGCGGCGAGCTCGTCGACATCTGCTGTGTTCGAATCTTCGGGGGCAGGAGCATCGTCTGCAGTCTCGGTCTGTGCCTCGAGTTTCTTTGCACGTCGGAGAGCTTTTCGCTCCTCTTTTGAAAGTCCGGTGCCATTTTCATCGGCGGCTTTGGACTTTTTCTCTTTTTTGTCCTTCTTCAATTTCTTCGGAGTGACATCACCGAGATCCACAGCATCAGCTGCTTCCTCTCGATTTCTTTTAGCCATTTTGTTTTGCGTGTGTTAAACTCAATACACGGTACACCGCGTAGAGACCCGACAGAGTGGTCAATGAAAATTTACTGAGCCGCAAGATCTCATCGACCCAAATTTTTGCGACAGACGATGGACAAGGGCAATCAGGGCAAGGCCTTGGCGGTGCCGGCGCGAGTTTTAGCCTGGCGGACTTCAATCCAAATGACCTTATTTTTGTGTTAGTACCCGTGGACTATGGTTGGCCTACTCGTGGCCATTATTAGTGATTACAGTTCCAGACGACAGGGACATTCATCGATCGTGAAAATGGATGATTGTGCCCATTCACCTGACCTGATCATTAGTCGTGCGGCAACGAATGCGCCTGTTCATCTCCGACAAATCCGAGTGGCAAGGGACGAGCCTAATCCTTCAGCAGACGGCCTCGGCTTGGGAGGCGATCTTGGAGAGTACAGTACCTCGTCGCGATGTGCGGGCAATGCAATCGAGTGCATATCATCACCTGCAGCTTCCATCGACGCGACTGAACCATAAACCTAGAGACATTTCAATCTTCCTGTTATCTATTAGCAATGAACGCGATTTTCCACCAATACCCAGCCAGATGCCTTCCGTTGTTTGCATGAAAATCCTTTCACAATTTGGCAGCAAGCCGTCGCCTTACGATCGGGCGTCACTCTGAAGCGGCTGTCATATACTTAGGTACTATTCATCCCGACGGGGGAAGACCATCACCTCATCATAGAAGTCAGAGCGACCGGGGTCAGCGATCGGTATTTTGCCTCTCACCATTATATCGACTTCAAGCAGACATGACCACAATGGATACACCGCACGCCGCGCGCAATACTAAGAGAGCACGTGCTCCATCACTAGACCGGCACCACCACCATAACAACAATAGCGACCATGCCATGTCAGTGGTCACCGACAAGTTGAGCCCCGAAGACCTCCTAGAGGAATCACATCTGTCCGACCCGCTGGACTACCCACGAAAGCGAGCATCCATAGCTTGCGAGATTTGTCGCAGTCGAAAATCACGATGCGATGGCGCTCGGCCGAAGTGCAAGCTCTGCACCGAGCTGGGAGCGAACTGCGTCTATAGAGAACCAACACTCAAAATCGACGCCGGCGACAAACTCATCCTCGACCGACTGTCGCAGATTGAAACCATTCTTCAGCAACGACTGGTTTACACGCCAACGGCGACTCCATCCCCACATGCGGCGGTCGGCCAGGCATCACCGGTCATCTTCTCAGAAGAAATGCAGGCACGGCTCGCTCATGCGAACCTGATCAATGGCGCGCGTGTCTTCGTAACCAATACGCCGAACCCCGTAACAAATGTTTCCGCCATGCCAAAGTCACATTCTACGCCGGCACTGCACCTGCTAGATTGGCCTGTAATCAAAGACCTCGCTTCGAAGTCAAGTGATCCGCAGGTCTTGATGCAACTCGAAATGGCTCGAACGCCCCTCGACCTCATACCACAGACTTCCATTCACGCACTCAGACAAGACCTTCATCTATACTCACGCAGCTTCTTTGACGGAGTCAACAACTGGTACGCGATCGTCAATCCAAATAATTGGCACGAATGCCTCAGAGCGGCAGACAAACTCGAGTTCAAGGATGGTACTGAAAGCTGCATGGTACTATTGGTGGGCGCTCTGGGCGCCGCGGCTCATTCAGGCAGCATCTCATACGTCCAGAGGTCAAACCGGCCTCCTGGACTGGAGTACTTCTGTCACGCTTACTCGATTCTGCCCAAGCTCACCCTACGGAATAATGTGTCGAGCGTGCAATGTCATATCCTCGCGGCAGCTTATTTGCTGTATCTTGTCCGACCATTGGAAGCATGGAACCTCCTCTGCCAGGCCTCAGTCAAGCTTCAGCTCCTTTTGGCACATCCCAATGTCATACAATCCGATGTGGGAGAGCTTATTGAACGCGTCTACTGGAATACGCTGTTGATCGAATCAGACCTATTGGCAGAACTCGATCTACCACATTCGGGAATCGTACATTTTGAGGACAATATGAGTCTACCAAAGGTCTTTCCCTTTGATGCCACCGATAACGCAGAAAGACAAGGAAAAGATGACCTGTGGTATTTCTCTGCAGAAATCAATCTTCGAAGGCTTCTCAACCGAGTATCACACACGATCTATGCCGATGCTTTCAAGCCGGAGCGCAGTCGGCCCGATGACTTTCTCAACCTCGTGGGACCCACTGCAAACGAACTCGACAGCCAACTGGATCAATGGTATGAGTCTTTACCCGCCGGTCTAAAGTTCACACGAGACCGTGCCGCAGCACGTGATGATACTCAGACAGTCCTACGCCTCCGCTACTTCGCATGCCGCACCATCATATTTCGCCCCTACGTGAGAGTGGTCTTGGCGGATAGGTGGATGGCCAACAAAGAAGATGTATTAGACGCGTGTCGCATATGCCTTGATGCTTGCATCCGACAGATTGAAGACATTCCAGCACATCACGCTGGACACCTGCCCTACCTGTGGCAAGGTGTGTTATCGATCACCAGCCAGACACTGCTGCTTATGGGTGCAACACTTTCCAGGCCGCTCAGGAAGCTGTTGCCTCCGCAGAAGCAGGTCGACGCTATGATACAAGGCGTCATACTCGAAGTCGAGCGATTGTCGCACCTGGCGCCCAGTTTGCAACGCTGCGCGGAGATCCTTCGCGAAGCTGAGGATCGGCGAATCGAGCAGCTGAGGACATCCTAGCCATGTGTTTGTGTGACGTTCGGCACGATCAAATCCACGGTTGGCTCGAGTGTGCATCATGTTGGGCGGGGTCAATGCCGATCCTTCCCATTCCTAATAGGGCTTTGAAGCATCAAAGCCCGTCTTCGCCATCTCCAGCTCGAAAAGACTCGATATAGTAAAGATCAAATTGGCGGCTCAAGGCCCGATGCTGGCGGCTGCAACTGATGCCAGGAGACGCTGCGATGTAGACTAAGTTTCTTCGAGGAGGTGGGACATCTTGATGTCACAAGACACGGGACACGGGATTTACATTCGTGTGACAGGCTCGAATGTCAGTGTTCTCATCCCGCCACTCTGCCCACAGACGATGCACAATGAAGTTCCCCCAGACGTGCCAATTGATTGAAAAATTTAAAACAGAGTTCAATCATGTCGCAGCAATCAAATCTCCGTTGTGATGTGATATGCATGATCGAGCTTGTCTTGGCATAAGCCTGATTAACATCAGTACTTCCAAGGTTGCTGTCGTCTTCAATGGCAACACTGGTCGTTTCTTACCCCGAAACCCTATGGGCGGCCCGATGCGGTCCACGCCCGCGGGACGAAAGATCGCTGACTAATGAAGACGGACAATTTGCCCCGCGACGCGTGTGTAGTTGAGACGCGTCAACCACGAAACCTCTTTAGGCAGAAAAGTGTACAGCGCAGCGGCGAAGACGTCAAGTTGATCTCCGAACATCTCGGATCACTTCTTTGTAGCTGTCACATTTGCAATTGTGGTTCATAACCAAACAACTTTTCAAAATGGATGCTTTCGGCGCTATCAGTCATGGAGTACTTCGACAGATCGCAGACACTCCTCCGGAAAATCTTGACAGCATTGGAACACCTATCTTGCAGTGCTGCTCGATCAAGGCCATCAATGGCGCGCCTGGCGCACCCCAGAGATTTCGCGTCGTCTTCAACGATACCAACAACTTCATTCAGGGAATGATTGCGACACAAGCGAACGAGATTGTCACTAGCGGTCAGCTCAAGAGAGGCTCGATCTGTCGGCTCAACAAGTTCCAGGCCAGTTTCATCAAGGAGAAGCACATTCTTGTCATCATCGACATCGATGTTTTGCAGGAATATGGCGAGCACGAAAAATTGGGGATGCCGGTCGCCTTGGACGCGGCAAAGGCAGAGGGTGAAGAAGAGCAAGATGTAAAGCCACAGCCTGGAAACATCACCGGGGGCAACTTCTACGGCAACGGCAGCGGCACCAAACAACAACCGCAGAGCACGAATCAATCGACCAATCAGCGTGCGCTACCATCAAGAAGCAACGGACCTTCCAATGGAGGTTCGCATGGTAACATTCACCCAATCGATTCACTTTCACCATATTCCCACAAATGGACGATCAAGGCGCGATGCACACACAAGGGGGAGATCAAAACATGGCACAACAAGAACGGCGAGGGAAAATTGTTCAGCGTAAACTTCTTGGACGAGACTGGCGAGATCCGGGCAACTGGGTTCAACGATGCCGTCGACACGTGGTACGACGTTCTCCAAGAGGGCAGTGTCTACTATGTGTCCACGCCAATGAAAGTACAATTTGCGAAGAAGCAGTTCTCAAACGTAAATCACGACTATGAGCTCACATTCGAGAAGGACACACTGGTCGAGAAGGCTGAAGATATGGGCGGAGTTCCGCAAGTGCGATACAGTTTCACTACCATCGCTGACCTTCAGACCGTTGAGAAGGATTCCACCATTGACTGTATTGGTGTTTTGTCCGAAGTTGGCGAGACTTCGGAAATCGTTTCGAAAACGACGCAAAAACCATACAGCAAGCGTGAGCTCACGCTGGTGGACAACACCGGTTTCAATGTTCGCCTGACCATCTGGGGCAAGACCGCCGAATCCTTTGATGCTCGTCCCGAGTCTGTTGTTGCCTTCAAGGGAGTCAAGGTTTCCGATTTTGGTGGACGATCATTGTCACTGCTTTCGAGTGGAAGCATGAGCATCGAACCAGATATCGAGGAAGCGTACAAGTTGAAAGGCTGGTACGATGGATCTGGCCGGAACGAACAATTCGCATCCCATGCCAACTCGATGCCCACAGTTGGTGCTGCTACAGGCGGTGGACGTGACGCAATTCACACCATTGCGAAAGTTCTGGAAGATAACATCGGCATGGGTGACACGACCGAGTACTACAACATCAAAGCATCAATTCTCTACATCAAGAGCGAGTCCTTCGCCTACCCGGCGTGTCAAACTCAACAACCCAAGCCCTGCAACAAGAAAGTGATTGAAGTCGAGGAAGGAAATTGGCGTTGCGAAGCCTGCGATCGCTCGTGGCCGCGACCGGATTACCGCTACATCATGAGCATCAGTGTCTGCGACCACACCAGTCAGATTTGGCTGAGCGGCTTCAACGAGACCGCGTTGCAGATCATGGGGATGTCCGCCAACGATCTGATGGCCATGAAGGAGGAGGGGGATGAGAAGGGTGTCACCGAGGCTTTCCAAAACGCGACCTGCCAATCTTTCATCTTCAAGTGCCGAGCCAAGATGGACACATACGGTGACCAACAGAGGTGAGATTTCCCGGTGCTGCCACGATTCTCGAGCAAATTCTGACTGACGTGATATGCAGAGTTCGTCATCAGATCCAGTACGCCAACCCGATCGACTTCCCGCGCGAGTCGAAGAAGCTGGCAGATCTCATCAAGCTTTACGGAGACAGCGACAGTCTCTTTGTCTGTTGATTGTGGAAAGTGTCGCGACTGATTTGCGGGGGGTTGAATTCTATCGCGCTGCTCTTGTCGATTATACCAGTTACCACAAGCTCGGGAAGCGAGCGGCCTTTGCCAGACGCTATGAATTATGCCGAGAGACGTTGAAAACATCGAGAAATTGTTTTCTTGTAGTGATCCTTCTACCATTCGAGGATAAATTTTCAATTGTGTTTTTGTTTTGACACACTGGTCATGTTGCGACTGTTGAGTCTTTTGTGATGTGAAGAAAACCCTCACACATCTAGTCTCGGGGAGATGTTCCGCCGCATAAAGCAAATAAAGGAATCGTAGTGTCCAAAGTCCGGACGATTGACGACGACATGATAAAAAATAAGGGGGGGGGGAATCTGATTGTGATAGCAACGCTCCAAAAGGCAACTCCCCCAAAAGGGACAAACCCAGAAATCTTCCAAATTGGAAAAAAACAAAACAGCAGAAGGAAACCTCCCACCCTCCTCCTCCTCCTCATATCACGCCGGTGTGTCGGAACGTCAACTTGCCGGCCGAGTGGTGGTTGTCGCTGATGTGGAACCTGGTGCGGGCGGCGGCGCACTCGTCCTGCTCCTTCTCGCGGAACTCCTCCTGCGGGAAGTGCTCGAGCGCGGCGACGACCAGCTTCGTCGTCGAGTGGAACGGCCGCCGGTTCCACATGCTCAGCACGAACTGCAGCACCGTCACCGCGATCCCCAGCGTCGTCACCACCACGCCCAGGACCCCCGTCCGGGACCCGATCCCGTAGGCCCAGACGTAGAGGCGGGCGCTCCGCAGGAGCGGCGGGTTGGTGGCGCTGTCCGCGGCGGTGGATTGTTTCGAGGAGGAGGAGGAGGGGATGGGGGTGGCGTCGTAGTCGATGAGGGAGAGGGTCTGGGCGATGGGCAGGAGGACCATGAGGGCTTGGATAAGTTTGTCGTCGTCGTCGGGCGTGTCGGTGAGGAGGGTGGAGAGGGTGTCGACGAGGAATTTGCCGGTGAGATGGTGGAGGGCGCTGACGGTGTTGTTATTGGCCGACCAGGCCGCGAGGATCCAGGCCGGGTCGATGACGAGCGGGTCCTTGTTCGGCGGCTGCACGATGTTCGTCGTCGTCAGGATCGAGGTCGGGTTGGTCAGCGGCGATGGGTCGAGGACGTAGGTCGTGAAGCCCAGGAAGGCGGTGAAGTCGGCGACCAGCATCGCGGAGGAGGCCCCGTCTTGCATCTGCATCTCGATGGTGTTGACGTTGACGCTGCGGTTGGCGAGCGGCGAGGAGGGGTCGAGTTGGAAGAGGCGGTTCCAGTCGCAGTCTGTGCCCGAGGGCAGGGTGCCGTTCACCCGGCATGCCGATGGGAACCAATCCGGGAATTTCCCACCGGGGAAGAATGCCGCTTTGTCGGAAGAGTAGACGTTGACCGTCACATTCGGCCCCAAGGTCGTGTGGCTGTAGTCATATATGCCGAGGATGGTGAAATTGGCGACTTTGTTCGTACTGCTCCATCCGGAGCCGATCCTCAAACACTTGGTATACGTCGTCGGGTTCGCGTTGTTGGATAGGAATTCGAGGGTGTACTGCTCGTAGCAGCGTACCCGCAAATCGGGGCCAATGACGGTGGTCCAGGAATTGGCATGGTTGGTACCGATCCATTCGGAAACGAGCGCACCGATGATTGGGCCGTTGCGCTGCAGGTCCACCTGTAGGGAGCCGTTATACGCAGCATACGACTCGAAAGGGTCGAGCGAAACGTTGGCCTTGCGATACGCGTCGCCGTCAGCCCCGGTTTTGACGAGAAGGAGGGCGTTGAGATCGTTGTTCACATCCGAAACCGTCTGACGACTGGGCACCCAATAGGCGGCATTGTTGACCTGAGAAGCGAGTATCGATGATGTCGAGGGAGCGGTGTAGTTGATTGCGAACGAAAGCGAGTACTGCTGAGTGGTGCCTCCGGCGCCATACGACATGTACGACGCTACCCAAGAGTCCAGCGCCAGACCGAATGACGTTTGGGCGCAGGAGTACTGTCCTTGGGCTGGAGCAGATGGCGAACAGCCTAGATCTGCTGCCCTCGCCGCGGTCCAGAACCAAGCGTCGGATCTCGGCGGTCGAGCGGCATTGATGGTTGCGAACTGTGTGTTTCCGACGTCGGGCATGTCGACCCATTGCAAAACCGGAAGGACAAGGACGGCGGCGGAGGGACCCATCAAGTTGCAGAGGGCACACAAGCAGATGGTCATGAGGATATAGAGGTAGATCCTCGTTCGATAAGCTTTGGATTTCTTGGTCTTGGCCCCGAAGAGTGGTGGACCGCTCCGCCAAAGCAGCTTGTCGAAGAGCGAGGGCGCGCGGGAGAACTCGAAAGGCCGCATCAAAAACCCGATCGGCAAGCCGCTCTCGAGACTGGCGATGTCCATGGTGATGAGAAACACCAGGTAGACCGCGATGGTCTCGAACCAGACCTCGAGGGCTTTGGCGACCAACTGCAGCCCGCCGAGGACGTTGTGATCGTCATGGCTGTAGCTGAGAAGTTGCTTCTGCACCCCGATGGTATCGAAATTGAAAAAGTCGACGGAACACCTCTTCGAGGGACACCAGATCGTCGGGCCGATGACCCATCCGCGCAAGTTAATCACCAGGAGGAAAATCATCGGCGCCAGCCAGAGGAGCGCGAAAACCTGGAACACCAACGTCTTGCGCCAAGATCTCGTCCTGCTGAGATTGTCATGCTCGCCGGACGCAGGTTTGTGATCGGAGAGGTCGTGCTCGGAAGTGTAAGTCGCGGTCCTGCTCGGGTCCTTGTCGAAGTTGACATACGAGCCACGCTCGGCATTGGACATGTTAGCCATGGCGGCAGCAGCAGCTGCTGCTGAGTGATCGGCGGCAGAGAGGGCCTGGGAGTAATCGGTCTTGTCTCGCGAGACGCACATCGCGGAGAGGAGGCATCGCGGGGGGGATCTCGGGCTGTAAATATATATGACTGTCTATAGTGGTGGTGGTGGTGGTGGTGGTGGTGTCTATCATGCGTTTAGGCTATCTATGGCCTGGCGTGGCCGTGGCCGACGTTGATGAAACCGTTGCACCGGTTTTTTTCGCCCAGCCAAAGAAGCCCCATTGGCGGCTCGCGGTGCCAGGAATGCTCCTCCTGGTCTTGTTGAATGGGATTGTTCCGTCCAGTCCAGTGTCATCCAGTCCCATCCAGTCCTGTCCTGTCCCGTCCATAGGGCAGAGACACATGACACAATCGGGGACGGATCTCTTGGGACTGGTGGATCAATTGACGTAGTTTGACGGTTTTCCAATTATGAGTCACTTTAGTGCAGGATTGCCTAGTCCTTAAGCATGTGTGTATCGAGGATCGTCGCGATGTCTAGATACTCAACTCACACACCCACCTAGGTAATACTCTCCGGTATACATTTGCAGAGAGGTGTTGCCCTAGCCTAGTAGGCCCTGTCGTCGGTTCCGCCCGTACCGCCTGCCGCGTCCAATTCATCTGGTCTTTTGTTGTCTTCTTAGGTTGTTCTATCGTTATGTACTGCGACACGATACGATAACATAGAAACCGAACTCCTCCCAATATCGCCGAAAATGAAAGGGACAAAAGGCGCAACGGCAGTACCAGCAAAAGGCCAGCTTGCGGCAGATGAGGATCTGTCCACCCAGAAAGATTGCTTTATTAAGCGCGAGGACCATTTCAGCCAGTCTTCGACTCCGTGCTAGCTTTCCAAAACGACTGGGCCGCCGGCTCGAACGTTTTGGCCCAATATTAAAAAAAATAGCACGCAGGAAGGGGAAATCCACCACCGTTTGATTTTAGTCTGCCAAACTGGCGGAATGGCACCCTCCCTTTCTTTCTTTCTTACCGTATCTTGCGGGCAAAGAAAACATCACAGGAGAGTGGAACGGCTTGCCCTCCTTCCTGCTTGGTAACCTACTGTATGTGGTTTGGAGGAGACAAAACGGGCGAGGGTTCTATACTAGCGAGACATTCCCACTCTTCGAAAAAGAAAAGCATAATGTAGTGCAGAGGCGAGAGTGGAGATTTCCCGATGCTTGTTTTTCCAGTCACATATAACAACCTAGGTATTGTGAAAAACAGTGACCGTCTCCATTCCAATGAGGCACGACGATCGGAGCAAAGGGTGAGAAAGCCTCATCACATCCTCACTGCTATGCGCGATGGACTGCTGCTGCTGCTGCTGAGCGTCGAAGAGTTTCCGCGTCTACCTACCTAGGTATTCATCAATGCGAGGGATCGGCGTTGATGAACCACGTTTCATGCCGCTCCATAGGTACCTAGGTATGTTCGAAATCGGTTCTGCACACACATACGCAAACGACACGACCGTTCCTGCGAGAAACAATTCCACGTGAATTCCCGACGGTTGTCCCTCGCTCTCTCTATACACAGAACACACATGTACCCACACGATCGCGTGCCCGCGAGATAGGCTCGATAGGAATAGAGTTGGAGAAATGGAGAGTAGGAAAAGAGAAAGAAAAGGCATGACAGACCGCCATCATCTCCCATCTTACGCCCTCCCCTCCAGGAGATCCCTCACCCTCGCCCTCTCCTCGCCATCGAGTCGCCAGACCACGCCGGTCTCGCGTTCGAGGGCTTCCCCGTCGAGCGCCGAGACCGCCTCCCACTCGTCCTCCTCCATGTTCAGGACGAGGGTCATCTGCACGCAGCGCGCGAACAGCGCGCGGAGCTCGTAATGGCCGCCGCGGACCGTCGCGTTCACGATGCCCGCGACGTCGCGCTCGAGCCGGACCGCGCCGAGGGCGTTCACCCGCCCGTGGTAGGACCAGATGCGCTTCTCCAGCGTGCGGGCCAGGTGCGCGAGCGTGCCGGCGAGGAGTCGGCCGTAGGTCTTGGCCGTGAGCAGGCGTTTGACCGGGAGCGTGAAGGCCTGCCAGCCGCGCTCGAAGCGGTGGGTGACGAGGTCTTCTTCGATGTTGTTGTTATCGTCCGCGGTAGTGGTGGTTTGGGTTGCAGATTCCTCGTCGGGGATGGAGTAGTCGACGTCGCGGAAGGTCTCGATCATGACGGGCCGGAGGCGCGGCGTCATGACTTGTTTGCGGATGACCTCGATGGCTTCGGTGACGAGCTCGCTGGTCTTGGCTTCGAAGCCGGCGTGCATGTTCCGCAGGGCTTTCTCGACGAAGAGGGACTCGTTCCCGAAGGGGAAGGAGTCGGCTAGGTGGGGGGAGGGCGTTGCTGTGGTCGGTCCGTTGGCGGTGGAGGAGGGGCTCTCGCCGAGGGAGGTGCCGATGATCCGGTGGAGGTAGTCGGTGGAGACGTCGAGGTTGTTGATCAGGACCAGGAACGCAATGATCAGGCCTTCGGGCGGGAGGGCGCCTTGGATCGCGGCCTTGGGGTAGCTTTCATCGCGCATCTTTCGCTGGATCATGCCGAAGAAGTCGCCGCCGAGGACCCTGCCGATCGAAGGGACCACGCTGGCAACGACGGTCTTCTGTAATGTCGCGATCGTCCGCTGCAGGACTTGGTTGACGATGTACATGACATCGTCGACCGCGGAGGTGATGAAGGGCGGATTGGAGCCTAGTGGCTTGTTCGGGTTGAGAGTCAGGTCCGTAGGCGATTCGTCCAGTTGGAAGGCCTTTTCAACGGAGCGGCGGAAGAAAAAGGTCGACATGAGGGTGAAGGGGTCGATGAGGAGGTCGTTGACTTTTTTCTGTAATGTGCTGTGGACGACGAAGGCCGGTATGGACAGCTTCGTATCGTCCTCGTCAGCCGGCTGGGTTTTGCTCGCGATGAAGCGTACATAGAGCGACCACCGTCCCAGCATCGTCGTGATCTCCGTCAACATCGCGTCGACTTCCTTCATGTCGACCGATTCGTCCTCGCTAGGGCGACCATGCGCGGGTGTGGGAGAATCGCTGCGGGAGAATCCTGGTTTGGGAGCTGGGAGGAAGCTCTGCGCGAGGAAATTGAAAGGATAGCTCTTGATGTCCGTCAGCTTCCGGGCGACACTGCGTTCCTCTGCCCATGTCTCGAGGATCAGGCTCCCCTGGGAATCCGCCTCGACTTGGATGCGCTCGATGACTTTGGTCATGCTCCCCGGACCGTAATGGCGCTCGACGAGAGATTCGTGGCCGTCTACGATCTGCGCGATGTGTTCAAAGAGTTTGGTGATGGCGTTGGCGTAGAACATCCCGTCGCGCCGTGAGGAAGAGCTCATGTTACTCCTCGCCCGCGCTGCGATCCCGCCACAGACATAGCGACCGTACGCATCCAGACCGACTTCACTCCGACCGATGAGCGGGAACAATTTGAAAAACCGCGTGACCCGCGCACCATCGCCCTCGTTCGCCGCCTTCTGGAAATCCCTCAGGAACAGCGTACATAGGCCCTCCGCGGCCGAGTCCAGCGTGTAGCGCGGCAAGTCGGGGACCTCCGCCGTCGGCACGATCTCGCCGGCGAAAGCACCGTCGATCACCGCATCCGGGATCAACGAAGCCCGGCGGAGATAATTCGCGGCCGTCTCCCAATCCTGGGGCGCGCCCATGGACCCGTGGACGCCCAGCACGCACGCCTTGAGCTCCGCGACCTGCTCGACGACATCCAGGGTCGCCTTCACGGCCGCCTGTTCGCGGTCGAGCCTCTGCACGGCACCGGAGATGCTGCGGGCGGTCGTGGCCGCGGCCGAGAGCATGCCATTGCTGATCGCACGGGTGGAGACGACCTGGGAGCCGAGTTGGGCGCGCGCCAAGTCCAGCCGGGAGATGTTGCGGTTGAGGTCCTTCTGCGAGGCCAGGAGGGAGTCGAGTTGGGACCCGATGGCGGCTTCCCGGACTGACAGCTGCTTCAAAGCCGCACGCAGCTCGTCGGCGGTGGAGGCGCGGTGAATATCCTTGTGATCTTCCTGGATCACTGCCATTGTTCCATTGGTTGGACAGGCGAACCAGTCGCCGTATTTATTTTAATATTTATTTCAAATCGGCGTACCTAGATCGATGTGGTGGCTGTCGAGCCGGGTGCTGGCATTGGCCGGTAGCCTTCATTGAAGGCGATGCTGCAGTGCGTCCATACCACTTGGGCAGAGAGGGCAAAAGGTTAGGGTTACGAAACAGACGACACGAAACGTCTCCCGCTGTCACATGGAGTCTGTCAACCTTGCCCCGGGAATGGACATACATCTATCTGCATGTCTTCTGGAACCGGACGATCTGGAAGCCGGGCGTGTGTGGATGCTGCGCCATGAAATGCCACGCGGTCGTGAACCACAATCCTCCTCCTTATTATTACTCCTCACCCATCGAGACATTTGACCGACCGAATCAAGTGGCAGTGACGCCCCTCCTTGTCGTATCCGACATTCGACGCCGTCTCACGTCGGGCAATCTATTTGGCCGTCATCTCCTTGTGCCATGGCATTCCATTGGTGAGATATCGTTGGATTCCTCGCATCCGGGATAACAAGATTAAAGAAAAAGAGTATCCGTGATGTATACTGTACACGATCCCTGACCTGACCTCGCCCCCGAGGACACGTGCTCGAGATGTGTGCCGTTCAGTGGTCGGGAAGTCTCATCATTGTACTAGACATAGCAGGAACTGAGTCGGGACTGATCAATACCTAGCTAGGTAGGAGGACTTTCTTCTCGCCCGATGGTCCATGGTATACCGCTGCTACAGTACAAAACGCGTTGGGCCAGCACAAATGTTCGCGCCGTACGGTCGTCCCAAAAATACATTTCAATGCATCGGATCGGGAAGGGTTGAACTAGCACCGTCCAGTGTTGAACTGCAGCTCTTCTCTTTACTGTTTGGTGCACCGTTCGTTACGGGCGCATCGGTCGCGCCGCCGCCGCCGCCACCACCACCACCGCAGTCGCCTTGTACGGTAGTAGTAGGTATGTAACGTAACGTATGCTGGAGATCTGGGCAGTCTGTACCTTATATTTCTGCATTGCCCAGCAGGTGTGTACATACGTGAGTAGGTATGTAGGTATTGTGTAGGTGTTATGTAGGGATGTAGGTATTATGTTTGGTATGTAGGTATTACGTTTGGTATGTAGGTGTTATGTCTGGTATGTAGGTATGGAGGGCAATCAATCGACGACTTCCAAGGTTTTGGTTTTATTCTTCTTTTTGGTGAACGATTTGATGACGATGCAGCCGCTGTGGAAGCGCCGCCGCCTCCGCCTCCGCCGCCTGCCTTGGTTTGTTTGTTCGGCGGGAAACTGGGTGTCCAGGGGGGGCTCCACGCCTCCTCCAAATGGACGGGACGCCGCTGGTGACGAATTCCCCGTACTCCAGTCCATGGCTCGGGCGGTCTGTCGTTCCACCCTGCCGTCATGTCTATGTGTCTAGGGCTGTTACAGATGTGTGGCCGACTAAAAAAGTTGCCCGTGTGTGTGTGACGACGACGGGCCCTGGGATGCAGCACTGCGCCGTAAACAAACCCCCAATTGCATGCCTCTGGTCTTCTTCTTCTATACTGCCATACATACACCCTACGAACATCCTCAACTCCCTCCCGCCATCCTTGGAACAATTCTGAAACGATCGCACTTACAGTTCAAGCATCAGGAATCCCGAATCAATCCAATCCGATCCTACGCCCGTTCTGCCAATACAAACAAACCGTTGTGCACTGCCGACGCAAGCCGCATCCCCATCACCGTCACCGAGAACCGTGGTTCTACAAGCGATTGCCAGATCCAAACCTCGACCACATGCCGCGCCTTCACATCCTCTCTCGATAAATCAAATCGACCTCGCGCCTTGCGCGCAGAGAAATCCCCACAATCATGGACGTTGCTGGCCAAGTCCTACGACACACCCTCACACTCGCCGTCCGAGCGGCCGCAGAGACGACGACCGCCGCCGCCGCCGCCAATGCCCCAGGAGCTGCGCCGGAGAATGAACGACCGGGATGGTATAAGATCGTTGGGATCATCCTCGCCATCGCCTCCGGCCTTTCCATTGGAGTGTCGTTCGTGTTGAAAAAGATTGGATTGTTGAGAGCGAATGTGAAATACAATGAGGAAGCCGGCGAGGGCTTTGGATACCTCCGGACACCCATGTGGTGGTTCGGCATGACCTTGAGTATGTGCATCCTCGAGACTATGGGGCGCATCGATTTGCTAACCGGCGATTGTCGATAGTGATCATGGGCGAAGTGAGTTGACTGCTGCGTCATGGAACCGGCGCCGAGCATTTTCATTGACCTCTTCTTGCCAGATCTTCAACCTCGTCGCTTATGCCTTTGCGGATGCGATTCTCGTCACACCGATGGGAGCATTGACTATCGTGGTCACAGGTAAGACCACCAAGGAAGGCGGCTTGCGTCCAATCGAGGAACCTCGCTGATCCGCTCGCTAGCCATTCTGTCAAAGATATTCCTCAAGGAGCGCTTAAGCTTCGTCGGCTGGGTCGCATGCTTCCTCTGCATAGCAGGTAGTGTGGTCATTGCGCTGTATGTTCCCAATGATGCCGACCAGATTACACCACAACCGCTAACGTCACCAAAGGAATGCGCCGTCACATTCTGCCGTCTCCGACATTGCCGAAATGCAGCGCTACTTCATCACGCCCGGATTTCTATCCTACACCGGAGTCATTATTCTCATTTGCCTGTTCCTCGCCTTTTGGGCCGCGCCACGCTATGGTAAAAAGTCCATGATGGTCTACATCTCCATCTGCGGTCTGATCGGTGGCCCCAACGTCGTTGCTCTACAAGGTGTGGGCACTGCGGTGCTGACACAGATCGGTGGCAAAGCCCAGTTCAACGGGTGGTTCATCTACATTTTGATCTTATTCCTGATTGTAACACTACTGGTGGTAATCGTCTACCTGAATGTAAGTCCTCTCAGCTGGGCGGATCCGGCTGACATCGCCATATCCATCATTTCCTCCAACTCACAACTTCACAGAAAGCATTGAACCTCTTCAACGCCGCAATGGTCACGCCGACCTATTACGTTTTCTTCACCTCGTCAGTCATCATCTCCTCGATTGTCCTCTTCCAAGGTCTCAAAGGAACGGCTGTCCAAATCATCAATGTCGTCATGGGGTTTCTCGTCATCTGCTCCGGGGTCATCCTGTTACAACTTGCCAAGTCGGCGAAGGAGGTGTCCGACTCGAAAGTGCTCAGTGGCGATCTCAATGAGATTCGTACAGTGGCAGAAGTCGAAGAGCCCGAATACGAGCCTCGTGCGGACACACTACACGGCAGTGCCAGCATCGTCAGAGCGATGAGTCGGGTCCGCACGCAAAGACAGATCAACGAGGTCAAGCGGATACACGACGAAATGCTCGAACCGGTCCGCGAGAACGAACATGTCGAATGGGATGGATTACGCCGACGAAAGACCGTCTCATCGCACGGCGGCTCGGTATCGAGACAGAAAAGTGTCCGCCCACCCCTCGGGATGGCACAGTTCCCGGACGACGTAAGCGAGCCTGACAGCGAAGTCCACCCCGGCTTCTTCGGAAGAATCGGCCGGATGGCGAGAGCAGGATCACAAAGCCAGACGACCCGCGGACACAGTCCAGTCCCCATGACGAGCGTCCAGCCGAACAAGCAAGACCCCAACACCAACCACGACAACAATGGAATGCAGCACACTTTCGGTCTACCCGCCGCCTTGCAACGGGATCGTGCCAGCGAATACACCGAAACCGCCTACAAATCCATCCCGACCGCGCCCTCGGGCTCCCACATCCACTTCGTCGGCAGCGACAGCCCCTCGCGCCAGGAGTCCCGCGGCAGCAACAACCTGCACCCCCACGACTCCGTCCCCAATTCCGCTTCCGGCACCCGCCGGCAATTCTCCTTCCAAAACGTCTTCACGCGCAACCGGGCCGACAGCGACGACCCCCACCGGCCCGTCAGCCGCGGCGCCCTGTCCTTCTCCAGCCGCATCAGCAGCCGGGAATACCCCGCCGGCGCCGCCACGACGGAGGAGGAACGGCTGGGCCTCGTGCACGGCGACTCGCGGAAGATCCTGCTCCCGAAGTTCCGCGAGGAGGAGGAGGAGCGCGACGAGGACTGGCAGATGACCCCTTCTTCGTCCTCGGCCCGTGGCGGCAGTTCAAGCCCTGAACGGATCCTCGTCGGTGCTGGCGCCGGTGCTGATGATGGTCGGAACCCCCCTCCGCCGCCGCCGCATCATCAGCAGCGGAGGAGGGACACGTTTGATGACGATGACGATGGCGATGACCTCGAGAAGCACGAACTGTACGATGCGCCGCTGAGGGATCCTTCCGACCGGGAGGACCAGCCTGGGAATCGGCAGGGGACGAGCGGTGGGGGTTCGGCGTATAGATGATGATTGAAACGATTTGAAGTACATCTGCATGCGTGGGACAGGGGTTTAAGACCTCTGTGTTTCTGCTCTGATTGAAGCGTTGTAGCGATTTTACATTTACCATCATAATGCCCTCGCCTTTTTTCTGATGATTCAAAAAGGAACTCTGTGGTCCGTCTGTGCCCCCCCTCTCTCTTTCTTCACGATGGTCTCGATGGGTGAAACCCGCGATGTTTTTACGGCTCTCTTTCTCGCCCCTCCCAGAATCCTCCAGGTGGCTTCTCGGAGAAATGACTTCTCATCCACCTCCCTCCGCGGGCTGTCTGATCACAAGTTGGGAGATAGGCGAATACAATCATGTTGTTAGGTATCCATCACCCAGACGAGTAGTCTGATAAAATTGATCGGAAGTCTTCCCGTGCGATTCATCGTTGCCCAGGTGGACGGCAATAAAACACCACGATCAAAGACCGTGCCAGGAGAGATTGTTTTCCTATCGATAACGAATCATCATGGGTTGGGTGCGCCGCGGCTCTGGTGTTGTCGTGCGCATCTCGGAATACTATAAACGAGCCCGTTCGCGCTCTTCCTCCCTCCGCTAAGGCAAGCGCTGTGTGGAATTCCAAATCTCTACGGCATTGACAGATGATGTGCAGAATACTCAGGTATACACGGACCGAAATGTCCATGGAGGCGCATGGCCGGTCTGTTTTTTTAAGCCTGTGGCTCTGCTTACCCCACCCGCTACGAGGAGGACAGGCAAGCCCTTTTTCTGCCGAAGTCCCCACAGGTGAACGACCGGGACAGACAGTAAACAGAGCAGGACGAAGCGAGGTCGTTGGTGGTTTTACAATCAAGATCCCCTCCCTCCTGTCCTCGACCTGCGATGGCATCGGGCTGGGGAGGAGGTGGACAGTAATCGGGGACCTTTTTGCCTTTGAACCTGTATGGTCAAGATGCTTAGACTCCACAATCGCATCGAAGTCTGTCTCCAGAGCCTCCCGGAGCATCGTCCAATGGCCTAGATCTGCCCAATGCACGTGTGCTCGCATCGGACGAGACACGGGATCGTTCCATCGCGCGCGCCCAGCGGTATCTCCCTTGGAGCTTGTCGACGCCTCCCCCGACGCAAGACCCCCTCCGAGGTGACGACGACTGGGACGAGAACAGGGCGAAAAGAAGCGAGTCGGACGTGTATATAAGAATAAGAAATGACGATCGCTCTTCTTTCTCCCCCGTCGTGTCCACCTCCAGCCTTGCGCAACTCCCGGAAGGACGGCCTCGACGGTGTTGTTGATCGATCGAACAACCGACTATCGCCATCATCATGGTGAACTCAAACCTCACCAAGCTGGCACTCTACGTCCTCTCCATCGCCGCCGCGCCCGCACAAGCCATCAATGTCGTGCAGAGCAACGACGACGGATGGGCGGAGATCAACATCCGTCAGCAATACTACAGTCTGACCGACGCCGGCTTCAACTCTTTCATCTCGGCGCCCGCGGTCGACAGGAGCGGAACCGGGTCGTCCGATGCTCCGCCCACGACGGTCGGGAGCAATGGGTGCGAGTTCGGATCTTGTCCCGCGGGGAGCCCTGCGGTGGGCAAGAATGAGAGCATGCCGCGGTTCAATGTAAGTGGAGAACCAGAACAAACGCATGACGGAGCGAAGTAGAGAGGAGAACGGCTATGATGGCTCACATGACTCCCTTGTTTTTGTTTCACATAGTATGTCAATTCCTACCCCGTGACAGCAATGCGCTACGGCATCCAACATCTCGCATCGACCTTCTTCGGCAACGGGATCAAACCCGACATCGCCGTCTCCGGCTTCAACGTCGGCGCCAACCTCGGCGTCGTCACGCAATTCTCCGGCACCGTCGGCGCGGCCTGCGAGGCCGTGAGACTGGGCGTCCCGGCCATCGCATTCTCCGGCTCGACGGGCACGCAGACGGCGTGGAACGCGTCGGTCGAGGGCTACGTGCAGACGTACGCCACGCTGGCGACGACGGTGACGAGATACCTCACGGCCGGAGAGAAGCCGTATCTACCACGGAACGTCTGGTATGTCCTCCGCACTTCCCGCAAGAGGGAAAACTACAGGCGTGCATGGGGAAAGGACCCGGGCTGACGGACGTCGTTCCTATTTCTTTTCTTTCTCCTTTTAGGTTGAACGTCAATTTCCCACCGTCGAACAGCACCACCTGCAGAGTCCCCCTCGAATACCAATTCGTCCTTTCCCGCATCCACGACGCCGTCCCGCGGATCACGCCGAGCGACGTCGTCACCTGCAACAACAAGGGCCGACTCCCCACCGAGACCGAAGTCATCAACACGCCCGGCTGCTACGCTTCTATCAGCGTGGGTTCGGCGGATACGAAATTGGACGCCTGCGCCGCCGAGCAGGAGTTTGTTTTGGGCAGGTTGGGGGTCATTCTGGGATGTCTTCCGTCGAAATGAGGAGGTGTCGATGGTGGTTTAGGTGTGGAGAATGAATATGTGTTTATTTTTCCTTTCTTGTTTCTTGGAAAAGATCTCTGGGTGCTTCATGGTGGCTTTTCGCGAGATTGAGGAATGGGAATTCCTAGACGTGCCCTCCCGCCGTACACATCCCTGCGATCCTCGACTTCCGAAATGCATCATTGGACATATTCATCGGGCACGACCGTATCGTGGCTCCACTTCAGGCCAGCATGTCGGCTTTCATTAATCTTCGAATTCATGGCATGTTGAAATCCAACGTCCGATAACCCATCAAGTTGTTTCTGTGTGTGTCTGACCTCGTAACAGGGATCGTCTACTTCGCCGCGCATCGTTACGCCAGTGACGAGGTGATGTTATCATTTATTTCCAAAATACTGTTGGGCGAAACAAGAGGTGCGCGACGTGCGCGTCTTGCGTTCACCAGGGGATGGGACTCTGATCGAGACAGAATCTACATTTCGTCACTTGTACGCGAAGGCTGCCCGAGAGTGGCGTTGTCAAGATGATGTAGTCACTCCCTTCAACGATCGACGGTGGACTCACGTCCATGCCGTTTGGACCTTTGACCTAGATCGCGATGTCCTGCATTGGGACAGGAGCGATTGTAATCTCTCGATCCTCCTCGACATCATCCGCCAACGCGCCATAACGGTTTCCGATTTCGAGCCTCGCAAGATACTATCATCGCCTATCGAACCCGCCTCGGTAATCTTGCATGGAGCGCCGCATTGGAGAATGATGCGCAGAAAGATCGATCACCTCAGCCTGTCACGACGCAAAAGTTTCATTCCTAAGGTACTATCCGACTTTGCGTTTCAGTGGAGGCATGTCCTCCATGGTCACTACAACAACTCGACCTTCCGCAGGCTCGCCTATGCGATCATCGGATCGTCGCGTTGGACTTCAACGTCAAAGGAAATCACGCATCCTCGTCAGGGCCTTGGAGGATTCCTAGTGTGGGTGGATGATCTTCCCAACTGGGACCTCCCAAGCAGCCACATTTACAGGTTCGGGGACACGTCCGTCGTGATCTGTCAACACGCTCCGCATGCTGTCTCAATGATACGGAACGATTTTCTCAAGCGTGCGGGGCTCACCACCGAACCCTTCCGCGAGACCCTCACCTATCTCATCCTCTCTGTCAGAGAAGTTGTCCTTTTTCGAATAAATCGGGGGGTCGAACGACACACGGAACCCCATCGTCTGTTTGATGGCCAGAACCCTCCTTCCGACGAAGCGATCGAACTCCTTCTTCAAAGCGTCCAGCAGAGCCCCAAGCTTTCTCCTCTCCGCAAACTGCCTGTTGAGCTACAAGATTCCATCTTGGATGAGGTATCAGCAGGGCCCATAGAGCGTGCCAGGATCGGCTGCCTGCTGGACGCTGGCTCGAATTTCGGTTGGGCATGTGGGAATCGGATTGTGGAAAGGGAGGAGGGCCGCCGGAACAGAACATCTCAAACCCCAGTGGAGTCGCATGTTCAGTTTGATGGATGTGATAGCGGCGTTGCTTATCGAGAAAAGCTTCCGCGACTTCCATCGAGCAGCGTGACTTGACCCTCCGATCTTGTAACAAGAAGCCCGATAGCCAAGTCATTTATATGAGACAATCTATAGTGTCTATCGTAACATGTTGATCAGCGGCCAATTCAGAATGCTCTTCCTCATGGATTTGAGTGGAGTTGCCAGGATGAGTTATACGCACCGCTCTTGACCTGGATGCGCAATCCTGAGACTGGCGGCAATCATTGCCCGCACGCTTGCACTTCCGCATCCAAATTCCGCCAAGACATCACAATTTCGGACACAATACTCAGTAAATCGCGAAACCCTCGAACAATCCTCCTCAGCGATATCGACATCAATCCGACAAAATGGCGCCCAAGAAGACCACCAAGACCTCTGACAGCATCAATGCTAAGCTTGCGCTGACTATCAAGGTCAGTCACGAGAATTTCGACGTTTGCGCGACGCAGAAATACTGATGGAGGCGCAATTATAGTCCGGCAAGGTCACCCTTGGCTACAAGTCGACGCTGAAGAGCCTGCGATCCGGCAAGGCCAAGCTCATCATCATTGCTGGCAACACTCCTCCGCTCCGCAAGTCCGAGCTCGAGTGTAAGACTTCCATGACGTCCATGCGACCACAATCCATACTGATCGACTTGGACAGACTACAGCATGCTCGCCAAGACCGCCGTCCACCACTTCGGAGGCAACAACGTAAGTCGCACACATCCACATCATTCCACCTGGCGAAGGAGCTTTCATGGCTCTGGAGGGTGACCCTCAGAGCCCTGAGATGAAGCTTTTTCCAGTAGTCGGAAAACTTCGGAGGGACATTTTTCACTGACGTGACGGCCCAACACAGATCGAACTCGGCACCGCTTGCGGTAAGCTCTACCGATGCTCCACCATGGCCATCCTCGACGCCGGTGACTCCGACATCCTCAGCAGCAACCCTGCGTAAACGTCTTCGGGAGGATAGGAACGCGAATATATGAAAAGATGTGGATCCAGATTCTGTACTTGGTCACAACCGCGCGCCGGGAGACTGTTGTGGCATCATGCAAAACGACATGATGCCGGACAGGCTCCCGGCATGTCTGCCCGGTTTCTGCAAAATCTGTGCATATTCCCTGACACTGTGCCGATGAACGGAGGTCTTGTTGTGGTTTGAAGCCTACTCAATGACAGCAGCATGAAGCTTGATTTCTGGCGTTCGGCGCAAAAAAACAAAAAACGATTCCCAATGTTACATTTCATCATCATGTGCCGGGGCGGTAGCACTCCCTATAGATGTGTCACGAATTTTACTTCTTTGAGATACTTCACCAGGCGGTGTGAACAGCATCACCTTGATCGAATTGTGTGCCTGGTTTGCGACCTCGACTTACATGTAGTGTCTTGCTTACCGATATCCCATGCCCGAGAGCATTGCACTTGCCGTCCGGTGGATATGATATGGTGGTATTATACATGCGTGCATGCGTTGCGGCCTGCGCAGTGAGTAAATACCTGGGTAGAATTGAAGATCGATGAAGTCTTTCCTCAGGTACACCGTTCATGTGTAATTATACTCGAATTGATATGTCGCGGCCGATTTCACGACTGCACGGGTAGCACTCAAGCTGCGATCGCTTCCCTCTGGCCACATCCATCCTACACAGTTCGAGACTGTTCGCGATTGACTCTTCGGCAGATGTGATTGATAAGCCGTCAGACAGCCTTGGAGGGTCGGAAAGCGACTGGAAGTGACTGCGAGCGTATTGATAATCAATTTGACGCTCGTCATCATGAATTGGCGTGATTCATTTGAGCCAAATTATTGAATATCACGTGATAGTGACACATTTTGCCCTGTAGTTGCCAAGACTTCTGCCCACTGCGTCCGTGCGGACTTGATTTCAAAGCGAAGTGGAGCGCCACCAGTCAGAGGGAGAGTCCTCCGCTGGGTGAGTTCAGAAGAACGTCACTTCTCGCTCTCCTCCACGACTATCACTCTCTCACCAACAACAACACCCCGAAAACACCGTCAAAATGGCTCGCCGTCCTGCAAGATGCTACCGCTACTGCAAGAACAAGCCGTACCCCAAGTCGCGATTCAACCGTGGTGTCCCGGATCCTAAGATTCGTATCTTCGATCTCGGCCGCAAGCGTGCCAACGTCGACGACTTCCCTCTCTGCATCCACCTGGTCTCCAACGAATATGAACAGCTGAGCTCCGAGGCTCTCGAAGCCGCCCGCATTTGCGCCAACAAGTATGTCGCATGGAAGATGGAAAACAGAGAAAGAAAGGAAACAGGGAGGAGGAAATATAAAAAAAAGAATGAAGGCTAATACATGATGTTTTCAAAGGTACCTCGTCAAGATCGCCGGAAAGGAAGGTTTCCACCTCCGTGTCCGCGCTCACCCATACCACGTTGTCCGCATCAACAAGATGTTGTCGTGCGCTGGTGCCGATAGACTGCAAACCGGAATGCGTGGTGCCTACGGCAAGCCCAACGGCAGTGTCGCCCGTGTCAACATCGGCCAGATTCTCCTCTCTGTCCGAACCCGTGACTCTAGTGAGTATAGACCGGATGGAACAACGATTTCCCACGCACAGCGACTAACCATGACATCAGACCGCGCTACCGCCATCGAGGCTCTCCGCCGCAGCCAGTACAAGTTCCCCGGTCGCCAAAAGATCATCATCTCCAAGAAGTGGGGCTTCACTCCTCTCGACCGTGCCGAGTACGTCGAGAAGCGTGCCGCCGGTCACCTCCGACCCGACGGTGCCTACGTCCAGTTCTTGCGCAACAAGGGCCCGATCGAGTACAACATGCGACGATTCCCCGACGCCAAGGCCTTCCAGGCTGAGGCTTAAGTGTGTATTGGTCGTTTGATTTGATTGGCGCGCGAGGAGCAAAGAAGCACTACCTTTTTTTCTTTTTCTCTGATGGTTCACGACGAAACCTCTTGTGGGAAAGTGGCATTACATGGCGTCAGGTGAACGGCCGTGGACTGTTACTACTTTGCATCTGTAGACATTTCTCAATTGATGCTCCATCATGAACTGGACTTTCTACCGAGCGGGCGTGCTGAGATGATGATTGTGTGATGTATATGAACCTTTCACACTGACCTTTTAGAACGTCCGTCTATGTCTTTGTAAACTTCGGCTTGAGAAACGTCTTAGTCTTTCGATCGTACATGGTCATCGATATTCGTCCCAATTTAGGCCCGCAGGCGATCTCGACAAAGACATCCAAGCCCCTGAACAAGACCCAATCGATCATTACAAATCATTCTTTCCTGACGATAGCATTCACAGATGGCATCAATTCGACCCCTGACTTTCCCGCCATCGCCTCCAACCATCCCAACAACTTCCACGCTCCCTGGACATCCACCATCTTCGCGGCAGTCGTCAACCCGAGGACTTCTACCCCCCGTTTCGGTTGCGGGTTGACCTCATCGACCTTCTGGCGATGCTTTCTCAAAGCCCGCTCTCTGCCTTTCAGTCTGCCGTTCTGTCGCCTTGGAAGATCTATTTTTTTCGAACGCAAGAAACATAAAATCAGCCTCCACGCCTCCTCTATTCACCAGGGAAACCCAAGAAACAGCGCTCCGCAAAGAGCTCGTCTCGTCAAAGGGAAAAAAAGACTCACCGTCCCCAATAAACCTCGCAAAACCCCTCGTCCTCGTCCACCCGAGGAGTCCCGCGCCGAAGGTCGTGAATGGTACGCCGAGGGTCAGTATGCCCGAGGAGAAGAGCGACGTCTCCCTTGAAGTCTGCTTTGTGGTCGTCGAGGAAGGAGCGGGGAAGGAAGAAGGATCGAGTAGGACGATGACGGCGTAGAGGAAGAAGAGACTGCTGAGGATGTAGATGACATGGCGAGGATTCTGGGGACGTTTTCTTGTTCTTCGGGAGGAGGGAGGATGGATGGCCATGTTGGGTGTGTGTGAGTGGACAGGTTCCGTGAGCTCCTTATGCTTGTTCGCGTCCCCTGCTGTGATCCGGGTATGGAAAAAGTTGCTGGGTCGTGGTGGAAAGCGGGTTTTGGTCGAGTCGATAGTAAAATATCCTGTTCTCTTAGTTCTTCTACTGCAACGCCAGCTGCTGCTGCTGCGCCTTCGATGATTTCGCCTGCGAAAATCTTGACTGTTTTGAAGGGAGACAGGGACAACGGAGGAAGATTTCGTTTGCGTCGGAAAGAAGAACATGAACAGAAATCATTCTTTGCAACAGAAAATGTCTCCAGGAGATATATAAGAGAAGCCATCTAGGAGAGGCCTCTTCACTATGAGGTTATGGTTTCTGTCTGTTCTCTGCGTGGACTCCATCGTGCATCGTCCATCATTGTCGTGTTCATTATTCGTAGATTGACCCATTGGAACTGGGATTCTTGATCGAGGCCACTCGTGATGACTCATCAGTGTACAGAATCAACGGACGAGTAATCCACGACGACGAGGCTCCATGGGTCTCCGTATCATGATGAGAGAAAGAGGGATTGCATTGTGGCCTCATCATTGGTCTTAGGGTTCTTCATTTGTTTGGTAGAAGGGGAGGAATAGAGGCCACGCCCTTCGGAAAAGTGGGTCCAACGACATCTTTTGGGTATGAGACCAATGGTCGTCGTCAGAAGAGAAATTTGTGATACTCTAGAAAGGTAGTAGATTGCCTTATTCTTTTTCTGTTGGATTGTGTTGCGAAGTTTTCTGCGGTATAACGAATGAATCGTGTTGATCTTGGAATTGTACAATCGTAGGAAACAAAGCCATCGTCCACCCCTTTCCTTCCATTATTCGAAATATCTTCTACCATGTCTCTCGCTGGTCTATCCTCGGATTCGGAGATCTCCGTTCTTGAGCCTGGATTAATGTCTAGATGTCTATTTCAAGTTCTTCTTTGTCGTCGGGGCCAGAAATTCGACCCCTAAATAGAACATCTTCGGACTTGTCCTATTACCACTCGCTCTTTCCCTCCAAATTCCGGATCCGACACACACAAAGCAAAAATGCAAAAAACGCAATAGGATCATGTCCAGCATTCAAATGATCAAGTACAACGAAGCGAGCACACTCGGTCCCAGGAACAATCCCACCCAGAATGTAGTGTTGCCCAGGATCTGGCGGTTCTTCATGAAACTCGTTCGAGTGAAAGCTATGAGCGGGATCTGGCAGAGCTGCATGAGGAAGAGGTACCCACGAATCTTCTTGAACATCACCGCCATGCAGAGCTCATGCACCAGCGCGGAGAGTAGGAACGTGGCAAACGTCGCGGCGCCCCGACTGAAGTGGAAGGTCGAAATTGAGGAAAAGTAGACGTGTCGAAGGAGGAAGTGATGCACTGGACGGTTCCACTCTCGAGCGTAGTGATCAAACGATTTGGCGTTATACCAATCCCCATAGAAGCCCCTGTCTTCCAAGAAAGTCAGCATCAGGAGTCGTTGTCAAGGGGGAAAATATGGCATCAGGAATGAATGAAAATACTGATCACGTGACGCTTACCTGCAAACTTGAAGACTTCGGCGAGGACGTTCAGGATGCATTCCCAGATAACGTACCAGGTCAGCAGCTGCTCGACGAGGATTGGGAGGACCATGTCAACGACGATGAACGGGAATTCGCGCAAGCGCTCGTCGAGAGACATGCCGGCCTCTTTCATGGCGATGGTTTGCATCACCAGCGGGTAGACGTAAGCCTGGCTGATGACTTGCATGATGATGAGGATGCCAAAGGTGGCGGCGGATTTCTCCGCCACGTACCACCAGTTGGTGGATTCCTGGCGTGGGTAGTCTAGCTCGTAAACGAGGGTTGGCAGGCAGATGTACTCGGCATGGTTGCCGAGTGTGAGATTCTTCGGGTACGCGGTCTTGCCGTCTTCGCTCTTGCCGCGGAGTTCCTTGGCTAGCTCGGCGATTTCGCCCTTGATGATGTCGGAAAATATCTGTACCTGCTCAGGACTGATTGATTGACCGGATTCAATGGCGGAGGCAACGGCTGCCACTTCGGTTGGCTCGGCTTGGAAGTTCGTAGATGTGCGATGAGCTGTCGACGGTCGGCGGGTGGCTGTCAGGTTGTTGTTTTCAATCCCAGTGCTTGTCGATTGTTCGCGGACGGGACTGGTCGGCGGTGATTGAAGCGGCTCCATCGCCTCCAGCTGCTTCAATTTCTTCTCCAGAAGTTCTTTGCGGAGAGTGACACCGGATAGGTAGCCATTGTAGAACGAGTAGCTGTGCATCTTCATGAGGAACACCAAGCAGTGTAACGTGATGAAGATCGAGTGCGACCACGGCCAATCCCGATAATAAGTCCAGCCGACAAAAGCTCCGAGGTAAGCTGTTTGCCAGATGTTCTGCAAAATCCATCCTGTTCTTGCCCAATTGATACATCTCTTGTGTACCAGCTTCTGCATGATCCAACCTTCAAAAGTGCCGAGGAACATGGCGCCGTCTGTCAATCCCATGACAGCGACATCACGTTGAAACATCATTTGCGTGAGCTCATTGCGACCGAGGATGTTGCCGTGTGCACGATAATTCATCATGGCACTCTTAACCACCACGAAAAGCATACAAATCCAAAACAAGGTGAAGAAGCCGAAGAAGGCGCTCTTCTCGTTGTCAGGGTTCTGACGATCGAATGCTGTGAATTGTCGCGTGAAGACCAGCTCCCGGATGCGCATGCGTGGCTTGACCTTTTCGCCATTTGCACGAGCAATCTCCCGTCGCAGCAGTGCTTTGGTCTCCGGGTCGTCCACTGTCAAGATATACCGACCCTTCTTCTCCGTCCGTTCCAGCCGGACTTGCAGCCCTCCCTTGTTCTTTCGCGGCGACTCTACCGACGTCGATGAGTCGGACTTCTCATCGGAAAGCACTCGGCTGCCAGTGCGCGCGTGCGCAGGCCGATAGGCGGTATCCAAGGATTTGCGGGAGTTGTCGACGTGGCTGTCAGGATCCGGGCGTATGGCATCGTAGTCTTCTACTGCATCATCGGCCACTTCAGAAGCAGGAGAGCGACCTCCAGCGCGAGCTTCGTCTGATGCTGATACGACTCCAGAGCCGATCAGGGCATCGTCGTCGAGCTCAGCGACAACATCTTTGCCTTGCACACCGGATAGCCTTGCGACGACGTCTGTCGACTTGGATTGAGTCATTGTTGATGGACCGAGGTGAACGGCGCGTGAAAGGGTGGTTCCGCCAGCTGCTATGTAAGAGGGCTCCTGATATTCTCTTCTGAGAACTGGTGCGCGGACGTTTGTTCACAAGCTTCGAGTGACGTCGTCAGGGTGTTGTCAATGCATTCAGTGAAATCACGTTCGCATCGTGATGAACAGTTCAGGATCGAAAGCGACAATGACGAGAAGGAAAGGTAAAGTGTGGTGGTAAATGAAAGGATCTATGATAGTCTATATGATTTGAGGCCGCATCTGACCATAGCTGAGAGAGTCAACGTACATGATGCCAACCAAGAAGGAGGAATAAGTGCGTGGCCGTGTCGGCCGAAAAGGGTAAATGTGACGATGATGTAAGGCGTGTCCGCGTCCGCCGCCGCCGCAAGTCAGGGACCAAAACGGCGGCACGAACAGCCAACGGCATTCAGGTCCGATCCCGAACGAGAACTCCCCAACGGCGGTACAGTACAGTACAGTACTTCATTGTCGTTTTCGCATTCATTCGCGATGGTGTATACGCGACACAACCACCCTCACCACAGGCACCAGCGTGTCTCGATGACTTCTTGCATTGGAATCTGGACACGAGGATCACGAGTCAACACTGGATACTGGCTCCAAGTCCGGTCGACGAGCATCAAGTCTACTCCGCATTGATGGCGCAACTCGGCCGAAGGATCGACTGTCGTTGTCATTCACATGCTTCTGTATCGACATGGCGTCGCGTCGGTCGTCTTTATTATGGAATGTAATAGCTGGTGTCTCGTTCATCGTTCACGACCCGACTCGCCGAACACATCAACCACCTGAGTTCAAAAGCCGACTCGCGAAGCGCGCTTGGGCTATTTCGTCTCTGCTCGTACCGCGCTCTTTCCATACCGGCTCGTGAAGTTCTACCAAGCTCAATCAATGCCAATAGTCTGTGATTTTCTAGAAGACTCTCCAGCAAGGCCACTGCGTCTCGCTTGGCTCCAGGCCTACTCCGCTTGTGATGAGTCAAGATATCATACATGTCCCACTACCTAGGCATCATCAGATCGGTCTAATGTAGGTGCCTACTACATTGCGGGTTTTAACCTGCGCCCTATCTGTCTGCCTACGATCGCTCAGGTCCAGGCGATTCCGTGTCGTTGCTGGGCTCGTCCTAGGAATCTACAGTGTCGGCATTCAACAACGATCATCCCATAGGGTCGGTAAACGACCTTGCCAACGGCTTTACAATGCTCCAATACACTTTGAAAACACTACCTAGCATCAGAGCACGAAGCAATTGTACATGAAGAGGTTGAACGATATTTGCCGAAGGTCAAACGGACAAGCTCCGAGGCAGACATGATATTGATCTGCATAGCATCTGTCAAGTCTCACGTGAGTTGACCCAATTCCAAAGGGAGGCAGGCATGTACAACTCCAAATCTTGGTCTGGTGCTCCGCCGGTCTATATCCTTGGAATTTATTGTTGAAAACACATTCGGTATCATTGTGAAATGTTTACTTGCGGGACGTGATCTCCTGAGCGCCAACGGAAGATGGAGAATGCCCAGGTGGAGAATGAAAGCCCCACCACCATTCATCATTGCGGACTCGAGGGCACACCGCCGCTAATAATAACTCCGTCCATTGACGCAACGGGGAATTTTCCCAGGGACCACCATCAATTCACCCCACTTCGTTCATATTCATGGAATTTTTTGTAAATAGTCTGGCCCGGCATTGTGATCTCCACTTCCGAATAATCATAATCAGTAACAACCACCGAATTATTGCTCTCGACTGACGTTCATCGTCGTCGTCTTTTCCACACATCACATCTGATAATTTCAATCATCTCACAAGTCATCAGAGTTACATACCATCCATATATTCCATCATGGCCTCTGCCGCGGAGGACACCATCATGTCCACCGACATTGACACCGACACCACCAACGATGAAATTCTCCTCGCTGCGACCAACCACGACCTCGATGCTCTGCGAACACTATTCAAAACTGGATCTGCTCGGATCAAGGACCCCGACACTGGCTTCTCTCCTCTACACGCCGCCATCGCCGCTTGCGAGGCGGATGAAGATCTCAACGAAGACAGTAGCATGAATGGGGAAGGTGATGCCATTCACAGCGATGCTTTGGGCGAAGAGTCGGCATTGGCTACTGTACAGCTATTGTTTGAGAACGGAGCAATTTGGAACGAGCTGGACAACAATGATGAAACGCCCGGCTGTATGGCTATCCGGTTAGGCTTGAAGAAGGTCTACGACGTTATTGTGGCTGCCGGCGTTCGAGCTGAGCTTCTGTTCGGTCGCCTTGACGCATATCAGCTACTGGCTGGCGGTGACGATGAGGACGAGGAAGATGACGGAGAAGGCGACGATGATGCTATTGATGGCTTCGAGCCGACACCCAGCGGCCCCGCTCCCGGCGCAGATGCATCTGAAGCGAGTGGATCGGCGACCGCACAGACTGCGGAGGGCTTGTCTGGATTCGACCCTGTCCCCAACCCTTCGTACAAGGTGGAGAACGCTTCTGGAGAAAATGCCGGACAAGGCGTGCCAGAGGTGATTCAAACCGATGAAGCTGGACAACAGACAACAGCCGAATCTGGCCTATCAAACCCGAATGTCAACAATGAAGACTACCTGCGCTCAAAACTTACATACTCCGAGGGACGTCTCCTCGACTCTGACAAGAATGCCGTCATGATGGATTGGGAGACGGAGATCATGAAAGCCTCTGCCGACCAGCTCTGCACAGGTCCCGGACTAAGAACGATGAACATTGGCTTCGGCATGGGTATCGTCGACTCAATGTTCCTCGCGAACAACCCATCCATGCACCATATTATTGAAGCCCACCCTGCCGTGATTTCCCGAATGAAGGAGAAAGGCTGGTTCGAGAAACCTAACGTTACCGTGCACCAGGGACGCTGGCAGGACATTCTGCCAGGCCTGATCAAACAGGGTGTCGTGCTCGACGCAATGTACTATGACACCTACGCAGAAGATTACAAGGACCTGAAGGAGCTCTTCCAGGAATACGTCGTTGGACTGCTTGACGCTAATGGCAAGTTTGGTTTCTACAATGGTCTTGGTGCGGACCGACAGGTCTGCTACGACGTGTACACCAAGGTAAGTTTCAACGGTAACTACGGCGCTAACGCTCTGCAAATATCCTAACGTTTCTCAGGTTGTTGAGTTGGATCTTTTCGACGCCGGCCTCGATGTCGAGTGGAGCACACTTGCTGTTCCCGATCTTGCTCACGCGTGGGATGGTATCCGACGACCGTACTGGGTTGTGGACACTTACCGCCTGCCGACTTGCCACTTTGTGAAATCCTGAGCGAAGCGAGCTCCCATATCCCTCTGCGTCAAGCGCTAGACATTCAGCAGCAATCTCATGGTGCCCATTGTGTTCCAGTCACATACTACGATTCGATTCCGAAGAAAAGTTTTGAGTTTGAAATTGAGATTGATATTAATACTGGGTACGAAACGAAGAAAGACGTCGCGCAAAAGCCAACGCACCACGACGGCAGTATTCACCTCTCCACAAATCCCATGCGCTGAAGCAGATACTGCCGAGATGTGATGCATGACTCCGCGTGCTTGATGCCGTCCACTATCTTGTCTTTGTGGAGATGAAAAGCATCCAACCACTGGCAGCCCAACATGTTGTTTAGCGAGCGTACGCCCGTTTCAGAGATCACACGTGGTCCCGCTCTCTTTCTCACATTGGCTCTCGAGAAAGCTGAATGTGACCCGCTACAGCTGTATCTGATCTGGTCTCGAGCGGAGGGCTCCGGACAATATCGAAACTGTCCAAAATTTGATCGGTCGAACGACGGGTCATCCGACGAATGCCCATCAATTTGTTTCGACGCAGCACGTAGAGAACACCACCATCTGAGAGGTAGGCCGGGCAGGCGAGAAGGAGGGACAGCTCGCCTTGATGTGAAAGTTGAGAGATCCAGTCGACAATCAATCGTCAGTATCTCAAAGGCGTCAACAGATCTGATTGGAATTGATAGAAGACAAATAAAGACTTCACAGCTGACCGCTCCGCGTTCATTCACTTTCATCTTTCGTATTGGAAATTTACACCGAAATGGTCTTCCTCTACATGTGCCATAGTAGCAAATCTCACAAGGAATAGAGTCGCCTGAAAAACGGGTGTGAATGCTTTGACAGTGGATGAGACATGTACTGTAGATTGACAGCGCAGATGGTGTCCCATCCAATATACCAAGTAAGATCATCGCCACCACTTCCACTTCCTGCCATGTAATCATTTTAGGATTGTCCTGTAAACGATCCCCGATTCTCATTCGAAATACTTCTACCTGGAACGTCACGTTACTTCCAACGTTTAATCCGACTGCCTAAGGTCCCTCCGATGATACCATAAATTCAAGACGGGAATTTCGAAACAGGATCTGTCGATCAATTACGTTTCCTGTCCCGACGGCCTCTTCTCATAGACGGAAGCTCGATGAATGAGGATTTTACAAGAGTCGTATCCTGACGAACATAAGAGATCTCGGCATTGAAGTAGACAAGAGATAGACCAAAGTGCCGGATTATTATCACGCCTCGTCGGAAAATCTAGAACATCAACCCACATCACATCTAAATCATCTTACTTTATCAACCTGCGACATCCGCCCATAGCCCAGGACCGAGTCTTCATCCATCCTCTCTCTTCATCCTCCTCGAAATCGCGTCTCTCCAGTCGCAAAGGCACCCGAATCCCACAAAGCTGGCGAAAAGGAATTCCAAATCCAGCGGAAGAAGAGGAAAAAAGATGGGCAACGACACCTCCTACCCATCCTCCCCCAACAATTTCCCGCCACCAGCGCTCTCGAGTCCGACCCTCCCCGCCGTCGCGAAATACATAACCTCGGGCCGCGCCAAGAGGATCCTCGTGCTCGCCGGTGCGGGCATCAGCACGAGCGCGGGGATCCCCGATTTCCGCTCCCCGGGGACGGGACTGTACGCGAACCTCGCGAGGCTGAATCTTCCCTACGCCGAAGCCGTGTTCGACCTGGGGTATTTCCGCAAAGACCCCGTGCCGTTCTGGACGTTGGCGAGGGAGTTATTCTATCCTGAAGAGGAGGAGGAAGATGAAGATGAAGAAGCAGACGCAACAGCATCGACATCACTTCCCACTCGAGATCCACCATCCACCACACGACCAACGAACCCAAAACCCAAAACCCGCTTCCGCCCCACCCTCACCCACTCCTTCCTGCACCTCCTCAGCCGCAAGAACCTGCTCTCGCAGGTGATAACGCAGAACATCGACGGGCTGGAGCGGGCGGCGGGGGTGCCGGAACCGCTGCTCGTCGAAGCGCACGGGACGTTCGCCACGCAGCGGTGCATCGAATGCAAGGCGCCGCAGTCCGCGGCGGAGATGCACGCCGCGCTGCGGAGGGACGCCATCCCGCGCTGTTCCTCTCCTTCTCCTTCCTCCCCTTCTCCTCCGGATGCGCCCCCGTGCGGCGGCCTGGTGAAGCCGGACATCACCTTCTTCGGCGAGGGTCTGCCGGGGGGGTTCTTCGCGGCGCGGGAGCGCGTGCGCGACGCGGACCTGGCCCTCGTGATGGGCACGAGCCTGACGGTGTACCCGTTCGCGAGTCTGCCCGGCCTCGTGGGCCGCGACGTGCCCCGGGTGCTCATCAACCGCGACCGCGTGGGGGACTTCGGCGCCGTGCGCGACGACGTCTTGGTCCTGGGCGAGTGCGACGACGGCGTCAGGAGGCTCTGCAGGGAGTGCGGCTGGGAGGAGGAACTCTTGGCCGTGTGGGCGGAGACGGAGGGCATGGGTGGGAAGGGGGAGACGACGGAAAGGGAGGGGGAGAGGGAGAGGGAGTTGTCGCCGGATGAGAGGCTCGAGAGGGAGATCGGGGAGTTGACGAGGGAGGTCGAGAGGACGTTGGATCTGTCCCGCGGCCTGACGGAGAGGGTGCTACGAGAAGGGGATGTGGATGGGAAAAGGGGAGATACGTCGGGGAGATCTCCTGTTCCGTCTCCTCCTCCTCCTCCTCCTTCTCATGACAATTTGGACCACGTCTTCCTCGGAAGAAGTCGGACGTCCCCCGATGGGACCCAAAGGGAACCCTCGGGGTAAAGTATAGGAGGACGAAGTGGACGGAGGAGCGGATGGATCACCGATGAACAGACAGATAGACGGACAGACGAAACACATTTTTGGCTTGGATATCACTCGTTCGGGGAGGGAAAAAAGGGATTCTCGAAAGGAACTTTTTTGGATTTTCGTGACACGGTCGTTTTGGAAATAATATCCTACAGAGGTTTGGGGGCAGAGGGAGGGGAGGAGGCTTCCGGCCTTTCCTCTCTCGCGATCCTTCCTCTTTTCAGAGGGCGCACTGGGTCCCGTTCTGCGTGCAGAACGGCATCTGGATCGGAGCCGCGCGGATGCCCCGGGCCACGAGGCGCTCGCGCATGTCCGAGAGGCGCGGGGACGCCGTGATCTGGGAGCGGTTCTGGCCGGTGAGGGGGTCCTTGGCGCCGGACCAGAGGACCTCGGCCGCGGCGGAGGTGCGGGGCCAGACCTGTACAAAACCTCATCAGTCATCGTTCGAGCATGGAAAGGAGGGGGGGGGATGCATTTACCAGATCGTCGAGGTTCACGGCGTCGGTCTGTTCGCTCCAGATGTGCGTCTCGCCGCCGAGGACGAGGTGGTGCTCGGCGGCGGGCACGCCCGAGAGCGGGTCGTAGCTGTACATCAGCCGCCAGTTGTGGAGCGGGTTGCAGTAATCCAGGTAGGGCCAGAAGCCGCGGGAGGCGTCGCCCGGGCGGAAGTCGAGCCACTGGCCGTGTCCGCAGTCCAGGTACCAGTAGTCGTACTGGCCGACGAGCGCGCGGTGGCCTTTGCCCGTCACGGCGGCGACGCTGGCGGGGCTGATCCAGGTCTGCACGATGGTCTCGGCGGGCAGGGTGAGGTTCCAGTCCAGCAGCATCTCCTCCCAGACCAGCGGGGTCAGGCCGTAGGAGCGGACCTGGTCCATGTTGCGGTCCATGTATTTCTGCATGAGGGGTTGGAGCACGGCCGGGTCGTTGGAGCGGACGGTGTCGTCGAGGTTGTAGGCGTTCTTGTTGACCTCGTCGCCGCCGAGGTGGAAGTAGGAGGTCAACGGCTTGAGGCGTGGGAGGAGGTCGTCGAGCAGTTTCTTCAGAAAGGCCGAGACGGCGGGTGAGTTGAGCTTGAGCGTCCCGGTCGGCGGCTCGGCGGCGTAGGTGTCCCACCCGGGGAAGATATTGTAGGCGGCGATGAGGTCAGGCAGAGAGTACCAGATTGAAGCGGTGTGACCTGGGTTGTCAAACTCCATGGCGACCTCGACGCCGAGCAAGGAGCCGTAGGACTGGACGGTCTGCACATCCTGAACGGAATAAATCTGAGATGGGGTGTATGCACCCTTGGTGGCCAGCTCGGGGATGGACGGGACCTCCAAAGGCCACGCCTGTGAATCAGTGACGTGCCAGTGGAGACGGTTCATCTTGTTGTACGCCAATGCATCGATCATTGCCAGAATCGATGCGACCGGCTTGAACGTGCGCGAGGTGTCGAGGTTCAACCCACGCCATTGGAACTGGGGCGCATCGGTGATTTCGACGGGCGCCTGGGTCGTGTAGACACCATGGCCGTGGCTGGACAGATAAAAGAGCTGAGTGAAGGTGGTGAGACCATACATCAGACCGATCGAGCTGTTGGCGGCGACCATGACACTGCCATCTATCGCGACGTGCAATGTGTAGGATTCGTCGACGCTGCCGATGGCGGGTTTGAGAATGTCAGCCGGGTCAGGCTTATGCTGGACCAACTTGACATCTCTGATGCAGACGGCATCAGAACCAAATTTGGGTTCGAAATCGGTGTTGCGCAAGTGGAATTGCCACGGGACGTAGGATTTGGTGAACAAGGTGTCGCGGGTGCGCTCAATGGCTTTGTTCACGATGGCGCTGGCGGCGGAGGCACCGGCCGAGCCATACTTTGGCGCAGTCTATGAGAAACAAAAGCCGGGAGGTCAGAATCGCGAAAAGGCTCAATTCGCCACGAATGCGATGCGCTTGGAATGCCATTGGAACGGAGGTGGCTCTTGTATCGCATTTTGAAGACTGTTGCAATGGCTTACCTGTGGGCCTGTATAGGCAAAGTTGATGTCTTGCGGACCCGTGATCCACAGCGCATGGTCGCCATTGGAGTATGAAGAAGGGATGGGCCAGAGAGCGTGGGCGACACGTGCGCCGGCGGCCAACGCAACCACGAGCGCGTTCACCTTCATGACTTTCCGCGTCGAGGACAGAGTGGTGATCCGATATGGGCGGCGGCGGCGTCGAAGGGGAGGTTCAGGCGCGGGTTGGAGGGAATTGGGTCCCAGACCAGAGAGGAATTCAAGTAGAAGAGGGAGAGGAGGACGAGGTCAGTGGGTGAGAGGGAGATGGAGAGAAAGAGTAGAGAGACAGACAGACAATGACGGTGGTGGTAGTAACAACAGCAGCGATCAATGTGATAATAATACCTAGGAGTAACTACTGTACAGTTAGAAGAGGATATGCAGTGTAGATCACATCCAGAAGCTCTTCTCTATGCAGGGTTGTGTACACCACCTGCATGGCTGAGTGTACTGTATACATAAATTACATAAATTACATAACATGTCCTGTCGACGATTATGATTACTCCAAGGTTCCAAAGGTTCCAAGGTTGCATTATTCCTTAGGGTTAAACAATTGGAAGGGGTCCAACATAAATCCTACTGGAGGTATAGCGAGAGAGTCCGAGGTAGCTGGAACGTGAGTATTGTATTGCAACTGTATTATTAAATACATATATATATATATACTGTATAGAGCCTCCTGTTCACCTGAGGCCCACGCAGGTTTTGGCAGGTTTGGCAGGTCTTGACAGCACACGAAGCACGCTGGAACACTCTCCAGCTTCTTCATAGACACTACCTCACTACTATACTACTACTACCACCACTACCACCACCACCACTACTACTACTACTACTACTACTGCTGCTGCTGCTGCTGCTGCTGCTGCTACCCCTACTGTTACTACTGTTGCAGATTTACTACAGTATCTTCAAACCGGGAGAGGATCAGGTCTATCATCAACGCATACGACGATCCTACCCTTTACCATATTTCCAGTACAATCCCCGAACGGCACAGTCCCTAGTTGGCGTATGTATGTGTCGGTGCGCGCGCCCGCCGACGCCACACGGGTGCATCTTGTCCGACCCTGCCCAGCTGAGCTTCGGGATCCTCTTTTGTCCCGTATCTGAAATATCGATCATGACAATATGGGAACAATGCCAGCCAGCCACCACCATTTGTTTCCGTCCGTTGACTGTCATTCCGAAGCCAAGCGGGCCATCATCGGTTGATGACCGTTGGATACTGCACAGCTCTGTAGTCGTAGCACGGACAATAATAACACATCGTCCATGCGAGGCGGCGATGGACGCCAAGTTGTCGGTGATACTCTGCATTCACAGTGTATAACAAAATAAGGGACGGACAGGGAGAGCGCGCCCCCTTGGCCATAGCTACAGCTGGATGATGAACTGTCAGATGTCCGGACAGTGCCACCCGCCTGCTGTAGTACTGTCCTCCACACAGATATATATACACGTACGGGTGGAAGATATGTATATGTATAACGTAATCCATCAGCGAGCCGGCCACACCACCGAACCCGCCACTTTTCCTTGGCATTGAAAATGAGGTGACTGCAAACATGGTTTATTTGACTACATACCTAGTTATACAGCTGCTATGCTAGGATATGATTCAGAAGGAGCATCTCTATCCTGCTGGCAGGTTCGCGAGTTGTGTCCAGCTATTCCGCAGTTTCCACATCGTCGTTGAGTTAGAAGTCCTCGTTCAGGACCAGCTTTATCACGAGTCCTTTTCGATTGTTGAGCACTCAGACCCGCATCTACGCCTGCCTGCAATGCTCCAATACCATACTCTATAGATCCACCTTGCTGTATCTGCTTCCGTTTGCGCGATCTTCTCTTAGTTAATACTGCTAATTGCTCTTCAAGCTCTGTAATCCGTGCAGCTTGAAGTACATTCTGATGGAGCATCAACTCAGCACCTTTTACCAACTGTGAGAACCCTTCCTTAGCTTCGGGTGGAGATCTAAGGAAAGAGCTACTAATCAGCCGTGATTGAGATCCGAATTCATGCGAATTGCTTGGTGTTTGGGACTCCCATGCTGCTTCCGGTAATAGCTGTCGAGGAGGGGTGTGTAAACGTATATCAAGACGATCAATGACTGTTTGCGCGTCTGTACGGACTATCGCTGTTGCCTCAAAGGCCTTTCGACAGTTCTCTTTCGTAAACACGTCGAAAAACGCGTCCTTAAAGGCTGGAAGGAAGTTCTCTTTGTTGATATAGAAGACGCGGTTCCGTGCCAAGCCTCTGACACGCTCAGAGTATTTTCTCTTCAGCGGTGAGAAACATACTACGTCGAGAGGCTGGAGGATGTGAGATGAATGT